GCGCGGTTTTCCTGTATAGTAAGTTGTTGAAGGTCCGGCAAGCCCAAGGGCACAGCGGTGTAAGAATAATATTTCCCCCATGATCTATAATCGATGGTACACCTCGACTAAGCCTCCTTCCCCTGATACAATGCGTCAGAATACCATCCCAATCCTGCCGAATGCTTGCCATACTGTATATCACATACCACCCTCAAAAACAATCACTTCCTACCCTTAGAAACATCCAACCTAATATGCTAACACCCTTCGCCGAAACGCCGTACTTTATCCCTTTTTTAAACTTGCAGAGGTGGCCCATAACATCAGACCCACAAAGACACAACCTGCTTGTATTGCCCTCTAATTCTTGCCCTCCCCTTCTTGCCCTTCATGGGTACTACCATTCCCATACTCCACAGGCAGATCCATCCCAACCCGCCTCGCCGTCAACCGCACGCGCTCCTCCTCGTCCATGCCCATGCCCGGGTTGTAGCGCTCGAGCAGGGTCACGTAGGTGCGCTGCGCGCGCAGGTAGGCCAGGTACTGCTCGGCTTGGGCCGCCAAGAGGGTCTGCTGCTGCTGCTGCTGCTGCTTGTGGGATTGCTGTGGCTGTTGGAAGTTGTCGCGCAGGCGCTGGTGGAGCGGCGCTCGCGGCGAGGAGAGGAGCGGCCGTGGCGGGAGTTCGCGGAGGAGCGCGCGGTAAAGGGAGCGGAGGGTTGGGGCCGTGGTGGTCATCTCGGCTTGTGGGTATGAGTGAGGGCGAGAATTTGGTGGGTTCTCCGGGTATCGTGAATCGTTCGCAGGAATTGAGGTTGTTGGATAGGGTTGTGATCAACGAGTTGTACGAGCGCTGGGATCCGAAAGAAGCTCGACTCCGTAGATTGATTTAACCAACTTTAACCCCAACCCTTATCGGTGTATTTCTCCCGGCAGGCAGAAATGTAATCTGTAGCATCTCAACTTCAAACCGCGATTTGCCCAACTTCGGACTCTCGCACCCTTTCCCCGGCAATCAAACCCAGCACAAACGAAAGGTATTGAAGGGACGTCAGTTAGTTTCCGACGCAATGGCAACCCCAAAGAGGATATCACCGATAACACTATACAACATCCTGACCCGACGTCCGTGCCGATACTTGTCCGCCACGGCCGCCGCCTCCTCCAGAACCACATCCAAATCTGCCTCCTCCGTAACTACTTCCAAAACCGCCTCCTCCAAGCTCCCGTCCAGACCCAAGCCTGTCTCAAACCAAACCTTGCCAGCCCTCTCCTTCCTCCCGCCACCCTCCAACGACCCCAACCAGCGCGCCCTCCCGGCCCCTCGCCCTCCCGACGCCGCCCTCTCCCGCGCGACCGACGTCTTCACGGCGAAACCCCCAACTTTCCTCTACTGCTCCTCGCGCTTCCTCGAGATCCCCATAAACACCCACACTCCTGAAATTTGCCTCCTCGGGCGGTCCAACGCAGGCAAATCGACGCTGATCAACGCTTTGGCCGGCGCCGTCTCCAACAAGGCCGGTCATTTACACCCCCGGCGGGCGCGGGCCATGGGGCTCGCCATCACGAGCAAGATAGCGGGGAGCACGCGGTCCCTGAACGCGTACGGTTTTGGGGTGCCGACCAAGGAGCAGCGGCTTGCGGCGCTGCAGCGGGCGAAGGAGGTCAAGGAGGAGTTGGAACGGGAGTTGGGTGGAATTGGGACGCGGAGTAAGAGGAGAGCGCTGAGTGAGAAGAAGGAGCCGCCGCCGCAGCATCGACTTATTATGGTGGATATGCCTGGGTATGGGCTGGGCAGTGAGGCGGAGTGGGGGAAGGAGATCAAGAAGTATCTCGGGAGGCGGGAGATGTTGAGGGGTGCGGTGGTGCTGGTGGATGCCGTGGCTGGGGTCAAGGATGCGGATCGGATGGTGCTGGAGATTTTGAGGGATGCGGAGGTCAAGACGACTGTTGTGCTGACCAAGGTGGACAAGCTGGCGAGGGTTACCCAGGCGGGGAAGGCGCAGAGCCGGGTGGATGAGGTGTGCCTCAACGTGTGGGAGGAGCTGAGGAGAATAGAAAGGGGGAGTTTGACGTGGCTGGAGGGAAGTGAGAAAGGGTGGGAGAACGAGATTTGGGCGACGTCGGCCGGGGATCCGGATGCGCATGGGGAGGGGGTTGGCGTGGTTGGGGCAAGGTGGGCCATCTGCAGGATGGCTGGCCTAGTTGAGGACGGTAGGGTGTTGAAGCCCTCGCTGCCCGCGCAGACTGTCCAGAAGATCGTGTCGTTTGATGATATCCAACAGATGGCTGCTTCTGCGGAACGGAAAGCCAAGCTAAGTCCCGGCAAGGCGTTATTTTAGGCGCAAGTGGCGTGTATGATAGGCGTACGAGGATTGTGACAGGAAAGACGATATAGCTTGATACCCTAAACAGAGTTCTTAAATGTCTCGAACTCGCGTCACTGTCCAAGGCTCGGTGTTCTATTCTTGAGTCTATCCACCCATCTAGTTTATGCCAGGTAGATTTTCCTCGCCCTCCTCTTCCTCTTGCGACGCAATCTCCCCTCAGGCAGTGGCACGTAAGGATCCCTGAACATGAAACCAGGGACAAACACGTCCTTAAAGTTATCCCAGAGTCCCAAATCATAGAGATTTTCGACGTCTCGCAGCCTCCAAACAGCCTGCCACTCCCCGAACCCTGGCAGATTCCCCCCCTCCGCTGGCGGCTTCCCGTCTTCGGTCCTCACCAATACCTGCTCTGCCTCGACCGGCCAGCGCGTCCACGCCGGCTCAACCTTCACATCCTTAGTTCTCCCGCCGTCCAACCTCCTTCTGAACGCAAACCCTTCATCCATCTCAACCTGCCAATCCGACCACTTCATCGCCTCGTTGGTCGTCGTCCCGCAGTATACTAACCACATATGATACCCCAGCAACCCCCATACCAACGGACTCGTCATCAACGCCAGCAGCGTCACCGCCCCCATTGCCACACCGGCCCCGGTCCCCTTTCCACCGTCTTGCATCCCCCAGCTCCAAACGACCAGCCAATCCGTAACGTCCATCCCAGCCCCGCCGTTCGCCCGCCACGGAAGCATCTCCCAGTGGGGAAACCTCCGCCGCATCTCCGCCGTCATCAACCGCACCCCGAGCACCCCGCCGTAAAGCGTCAGCACGGCGGTCGACAGCAACAACAGAATAAACCAGTGGTGGTTCCGCGCGCCGACGCAGTTGTTGATGAAGATGCAGTGGTGGTCGGCGCGGGCGACGCAGCGTTTGCACACGCTGCAGTGCTTGGAGCGGGCGGGTTTCAAGAGGTGGCAGGTGGCGCACTCGGCGCCCGGGTGGAAGAGAGAGAAGTCGTACGGGTAGCGGGCCATCTCGTGGGCGTGATTCTGCGGGGTGATGGTGCCTGGGTCGGAGAAGGCCGACAGGTAGAGGAAGAGGTAGGGGAGGAGGATGGAGATGGTGCCGGTTGTTTTGACCAGGGGCGTGAGTTGCGGCCAGGCGGTTGGGAGGTAGAAATACTCGCCTCCGACGAGGAGGATTAGGAAGAAGATCTGGGAAAGAATGAGTGGGGGGTGCTTGAACTGGAGGAGAGGTGGGCAGGGGTGAGGGTCGTACCAGGACGGTTGGGTGCCGGTCGTACATCATGTAGTTGAAGAATCGGGTGCAGGAGGATGTCACCCTCCGTCCGGTGAGTCGTTCATCGAGGCTCACAGCCCCGTTGGGAAGGTGAACCCATATCAAGCGGTGCAACCAGGCAATTGGCGTGCGTCTGGGCGCGTTAATGAAGTTCGAGAGTCAGATGAGGACTTGTAGGGTTCATACCTGAGTGCAGGTAGCCGGCCGAAAAAGGTCACGAAGATGAAAAATGAGATACCAAGAGCGAAGAGGGCGATCTTTGCGATGACGCCCATTTTGATGTATGTCTGTGAGGCAAGTTGGCCCCCAACTGCATCCTATGCCCGACTTCCTGTCTTGAGTTAACTTGAAGGTTTGTTGGTACAGCCGCCAGGGGTGAGACTCAATTCGGCGCAACCCTCAGTCTAACAGTTCAGCTGAACCGCAGGGAACCACCGGAGTGGACGGCAAAAGCATCCAAAGATCTATAGAGAGAGCTGAGACAATTTCGCGCTCCGAATAATGTATGGAAATAAAATCATGAAGTTGAATCTTCTTATCTTTGAAGCGGTAGCAGCATGTCCCATGTTGCGGCAGCAGAAGCGAGCGTCAGGAAAGCTGACCTGAACTCTGTGTGTCGTGGAGTGCATGCGGTGGAGGGGAGATCAAAGATGATTCGGTAATTGCAGCTAAGCGAGATATGAAGCATTCATTCATTTTAAGCAATAAACCGATCCGCTGCATCGTAAGGGGAATCTTACGGATAGTGAGCGCGCGATCACAGGAAACCAACATCGCGTCACGCGCAAAGCCTGAAGTTTATTCATGTCCGTACAAAGCCGCAACTTCCTCCTCTTATTGATGTGCACGAGGAAAGGCCACTAGCCTCATACGTCGGTTATTTCTATCCAATTTTTCCATCAAGCAACAATTTCCAGTTTCTACTCTCGCGGAGCTTACCCCCATCATCCGGACCTGAGTCTCTTTCGCACACTCAGATCCCTGAATACGCGTCGAAGGCGAGGCACGCACAATTCTCAGTCGCCGAACCCATCGTGTCCATGTTGGGAGTTCTTTCAGGTGACGCCCATTAAGTCACTCCCCCGTGGTGGTTTTATCAGGCTCATTTTGACACTGGTTTACTGGTAACCGCCCGCGACAGGGTTGGGGTTAGGGTCGGCTTCCAGGCTGCCCAACCTGTCTGTCGGGATGCCGTTATGGCGGCCCCTGTGGTGTACGAAGGAGTAAACGGGAAATACGAGGGCACCTTATTCAACGGCATCAAGTTCTGGGTTTCCCAGCGCGTGCCCACTCGGAGTGAGATAGTGGGAAAAATCAAGGCGGGTCCCCTTCTACGTTCTACCCTCCCCCCTGTTGCACCACGGCAAGACCTAACTTTCATCCTAGGACAATGGCGGCAAGGTTGTGCTCCTGGAGAAGCACGCCGACGTCTTGATTGATGACCATGCTCGGAAAGGGTGCCCCCCTGGGTCTGTGTCTTGGAAGTACATCAACCAGTCGGTGGCCAACGGAGAGCTCGCCAACGTCGAGGAATACCGGATCCATGAGTCGACGAACCCAACGAGGGCTATCAAGGCGCCATATACCAAGGAAGACGAGCAGATACTCGTCACTTGGGTGCGGAGAGCAGGCAAGAATGCCAGTGGCAACGCAATCTACATGGATCTTGCCAAACGGGTCTGTAGTTTGCCCAGTCATCGCAAACACGTGCACCATGCAATTACTAACCCGTTCAGTATCCACAACACTCCTGGCAGTCATGGCGGGACAAATGGCTCAAGCACTTGTCCCTCCTTCCGCAGAACCAACTGCCACCAGTGCTGGCGGAGCTGCCGCCTCCTCGGACACGATTAGGTAGTGCGCCCGAGGTCGCACCCGCCGCTGCCGCATCGCGACCCAAGCCAGCACCACCGAAGACGCGAGCCGAGGCGACCTCCGGACCGGCCCGCGAGCCCAAGAGGAGGATCCCCTTCACCGAAGAGGACGACAGGCTCTTGACCGAGTATGTGAAGCAACGCGCTGGCGCAAGCAGGAAATGGAGTAGCAACAAGATATATCAAGACTTTGAGGAGCATGTAGGTACAGTCTGTTTGTTTGTTTGTCTGCAGTGTCTGACGTCCGCAGCACCCGCACCACAGCTGGCATTCATGGCGTGATCGATGGCTCCGACATCTCTCGCTAAGAGACAACCAAGACGTGGCGGCCTCTGAACGCGGCCAGCAACCATGCAAACCGCCAGCAACTAAGGCTCCTCCAGCCCAGCTCTCTCGATCCGCACTTCTAGCGAGATTATCGCCACCAGCAAAGTCCCTGCCGGCCAGACCACAACCCCCGAGATTACCACCAAAACCCCCGCTTCATCAGCGAGCTCACCTTGCACGACCACCCCCTACAGCGCCTCCAATATCTCCCACGGGCCCAAGCGGGAATGGCCAAGGGATGACCAGGCTACAGGATCTGGCGCACAAGAGGAGACTGATCGAAGCCGCGAGGACAATCCAACCGGCCGTGAAAGGATGGCTATTACGGAGGAATCTCCGGCGAGCGGAAGTGCGCATCGCGAAGTTCCAGGCGCGAGCGCTGGGGTTCTTGGTACGCCAGGCCGTCCACTTGACGGAGGTTGCACCCGGCCCGGGGGCTACGGCCTCGTTCGCTACAGTCATGCCAGCGCCCTCCGAGCATGACGTACTGGATCCGGAGGAAGAAGTGGAGGAACTCGTGCCTAAGGAGACTGAATCTGACATGGTTCCTGGGGGTGGGGACGAGGGGTCTGCCTATCCGCAGGACGATGGTGTGGGCCGTACGCAGTATCACACGACTTCAGCCTTCCAGGGAACACCTGTGCCGGAAGAGCCTGGATCGGCCATCGATGAGGATGATGATGTGGGTGAGGAGTTTGCACCCTCGCTGGCCGACAGTGTCGACCGTAGCAACTCTCACCCCCCCCCGATCTCTCATAGACACACGCCCATCTCACCCAAGGAACAGTTCTGGCGTGACTTCAATGCGTTCAACGAGATTAATGGTCTTATGCCCGGCCCCTGGGTGCAGATCAAGCATCATGTGGTCGACTTTTGGGACTTGTGGCGGTGTGCGACGGCCGAGGCGCATTTTGATCGCAACTGGGGCATCGTCGCTGAGAGGCTGGGCTTTGACTGGGTGGCGGAACCGCATGTGCCTGGTGAGTTGAAGGCTGCGTTTGAGAAGCATTTGTTGGAGTTTGAGACTTTGGTGAGGGAATTCGAGAGGCAAAAAGAGGAGGAGCCCGAACAAGGGGAAGAAAATGAAGATGGTGAGGAAGATGAAGAGGGAGCGAAAGCAGAGGAGGCAATTGAGGAGGACGTCAAAGAGGTTGAGCAGGAGCAGATGGGCCGACTGGCTGCGCCGCAAACAGCCGACGTCGACTTCGCGTCGTCGCCCCCTATTCTTGGGTTGAAGAGGGCTAGGAGGTCGTCAGCCGTCTTATCTTCAGGTTCGGTCAGGAAAAGGCCACGATACGACCTGAGCAGTGAGATTCCTGAAACGCCGCAGACTCGTCCTGAGCGAGCTGGGGAAGGGGTTGCGGCGGCCCGAGCGGCAGCTGCCGGCCAGCAAACCCCCAGCAGGCGCCCCCGGGTTGTGCAGCATACCGAAAGACATGCTGATAATACAGCCCTCACCGAGTCTGAAGTGCAAGACGACGACCTTCTTACTTCCTCACAGCAACTGCGGTCGGAAATCGAGGCGGTTCCTTCCGTTCAGGATGCATCTCAACATCTTCCGAGGGCTCCATCCTCTCCCGACCGACCTCTACCATCGGTGGAACGTGATGGCGACAGAACCTCCAACTCAAGCGATGCCTTCGAATCTGCCAGCAAGGTCCGCGCTTGGGATCCAGCAAACCTAGGACGGCGAAGAAGAGTCCTTGAACTTGAGGAAATCTTCCGAAGTCGAACACCATCCCATGCCAAAGACAACGGTAAAGACAAAAAGCCAGCCATCAACACCCCCGAGCAGCCCGCGAGGGCCTTAACAACAACAACCACCACAGCCCAAGCCCAGCCGTCCTCCGCGATCCACGTCCGTACGTCCGCCATCAGCGCTTACTTGGGCCCTCCACCAGCCTCATCCTCATCCAATCCCCCTCCCACTTCCGCAACACTAAGAAGGCCACCGCCCATCGACCCGGCCACGTCAATGACGCACTTCATCTCCCAAGGATATCCGCCCCACCTGGTCGTACGTGCTGTTAAGGCCACCACGGACCGGCAGTCCGAGATGAGTATCGCGCTGGCCAACACGCGGATCGTGCTGGACAGTCTTGTGCAGGGCCGCGGGATACCCAAGGACATGGCTCGGGTGTGGACCGAGGAGGAGGATAGGTTGCTGAGGGATATCGGGGCGCTGGTGGATGGACTGCGGGGGAAGCTGCCGGATAGAGCGGATCGGCGGCCGTTTGGGGACGGGGACGGGATGCGGGTACTTTGGAGGCTGGTGGCGAAGCATGGCGCAGAGGGAATGTTTGATAGGAGGGAGTTTCTGAGGGTTTGGGATCAGGTGTAGGAGGGGGGGCGGGGGTGCGGAGGTTGGGGTTGGAGTATTTTTTGGGGGTGTTGATCGTGGGTGGGCCAGTTGGCATCAACATTGTCTTGCCTCCTGAAATTGTTTGTTTACCAGTGGTCGGTTGTACAGACGACCCTTGCAGTTGAGGAAGAAGAGGCATGGCCAATTTTGAGCCACGTTGTAGATTACCAGCTCTAGTTCTCGCCGCAGTTGGGCTGATTATGAACCAGGGGATGATTGGGGATGCGGCGGCAAGAAAGGCGTTTGAGGGCGGGAACATGGCGTATGAGATTGTGTATGCTGACTTTGTGTGGTGGTTTCCGGAGGCGACGAGGGACGAGACTGTGCAGACGTATGTGCTGGCGCTGAGGTTGATTTGGCAAATTTCGATTGCGTTTTCGAGCGTTAATTACTTGATTGCCATCCTTGAGAAGCAGGTGCCGCTGAGGACGGAACTCAATACTGAGTTTGGACTGGAAAAGGTCAAGTATGGGTCCGAGGGCGGAAGGATGGATGCTGAGAGGAGGCGGGAGTAGCTGGGAGTCGGGAGACAGTTAGACCCAGCCCTTAGATATTCTTCATCCAAGGCGCCTTCTTCAATGCCTCCACCTGTACCGCGAAGACGGGTTCTGCCAGCCTCAACAGCGTAGGCCCAAACTCCTGCAACACAGCTCTGACCTTCTCCTCCCTTCCGCTCCCCAAAACCTCAAGTTCCGCCTCGCCCAGCCCATCCTCTTCTTGACAATCACCGGTCACGGCGCCCAGCCCAAAAGTAGCAAGGCTCCATTCCGCCTTCCATTGCCGCACCGCCTCCACCGCGGCCTCGCAGTCCGGCCTCACCCCTTTGGCGACCATGTAGAATGACGACCGGATCTTGTGTCCTGCCTGCGGCTTGGATAGCTCCACGCGTTCAGCGAAAGAGTCGAATGTGTGCATCAGGAGCACAGACGGCCAGGCGTCAGCTTTATGCAGCAAGATGACCATTGTGCCGCCCGAACGGATGCGCTGGAGGGCGAGGACGAGCTGCGCTGTTACTAGGCGGGTTGCCTCGCACTTTTCGCGATCTAGATGGACGTCAGTTTATTTTGATTCTCTTTCAAAAATAAGCACTGATGTGTAATACTTTGGGAACCAAGACCAGAGTGTCAGAAGCGGGAGAAGGCTGACTTACACTCGTGCCGCTCATGGGTGCGAAGGACCTGGCCGTCGCAAAAAACAAGGTCGAACTGCTGCTCAATAAACGGCCGATCAGACGAAAACGACTTAGCATCAGGATGCGAAGCCGGGATGCTGGATGGAGGAGTGCCCATCTCGTCTGCCAGGAGGGTGATGTCGCAGAAGGAGACATAGACCTGGGCATTAGGGTCCGTCTCCGACCAGCGTTTGCGGAGGAGAATCTCGTGGCCGCCTTGTGACGGTGGGAGAGTGATGCCGCGGAGGAGCGCGGCCGGGTTGCGCGTGAGGGCGGCCAAGGAGAAACCGCCCGGAGCCATGCAGAGGTCCAGGATGGCGGGCCGCGGGTCGCCATGACTCGGCCTTCGGAGGTTGAGCGCCGACGTTGCGGCGTCGATCTCAAGACCAATCTTGTGCATTAACTTGAAGAACTTGGCCTTGGCTTCGGCGTCGGCATTGTCGGCGCGTTGTCGTTGGTTCTGGAAGTAGGCGTCCGCATCCTCGCTTTGCCAGCCCTAACCGTCTATGTTAGTCACGTAGGTGATGGTGTTGGAAGGGGAGCCCGAAGCCAGCAGCATAGAAGAGCTGTGTCCTGACAGGTGCTTGCTTTTTGCTGGAGCTCACGAAGCTCGCGGTAGATTTCGAGGTGTTGTACGAGGTATTCCTCGATAAGAGCCTTGGGTTTTACTCTTGGTTGAGTGTTGGCATCAGCAGCCTCCGGAGAGGTTTCAAACTCTGGGACTCCGTCCATGCTCCTGACTGCTGAATGCAGAGGGTCACTTTACAGGCAGAAGCTGGTGAAAGAAGCGACGGGAGTAGTTGGGACCTGGGAAATGGAATCTGGTTCAGCATTACTCCTGCTACTAAATGCGATGGCACGGAGTAGGCGAAAACAGAATATATAGGATGACTGCTGCCTCCTTGGTTTGATAAATGGTTGACGGGGAGCTGCGTGCGGTGTGTAGAAGGCGATTGGTGACCATGTTGGTGTCAACTAGTGCCAACCGTGGATTGTTTGTGTGCCTCTGCAGCTGCGGTAGTCCTCAGAGGGCACCAATGCGCGTTTGTCAAGCAGTCCCCCACGGCAGTGCTGCCACGACAATCGACCAACCTGAACTGTTTGCTAGCCGATATCTAAGTGAAATGGGAGTTTTGTAAAGGTCATGGCAAGGCACACGGAGCTTTGTGTAACTCTCTTGGAATGTAGTGCCACCACGACAATCGACAACCTGAACTGTTTGCTAGACGATATCCAAGTGAAATGGAGTTTGCAAAGGTTATGGCAAGGCATGTGGAGCTTTGGCTGATTCTGTTAGACCCCTGGGGTCCTGGTGCACACTGCAGGCGTTGGAAGAAAATTGGGACTGAGGGACCGATGTTGGATGGACCTATGGATGGACGGAGTGGAGGGCAGTAGAAAAAGGAAAATAACACCCATCTTGATAAGGTAATCAAAAGTCGACGCGAGCCGGATTTGAACCGACGCCTCCGAAGAGATGAGATTTCGAGTCTCACGCATTAGACCACTCTGCCATCGCGCCATTGATGATTGGCTGAAGCTATTCAAAATTTATGACATTTTGGCATTTGGCAGCCTTCCATGTCACAGTACTACTCAGGCCTTTGCTCCCTTCGTAGGACCCTAGGGAAATGTAGGCAGTATGTCGTCGGCCGAAGTTGCAAGTATTAGCTGTCTTGATACCTAAAGTACAATTTCGATACATAATTTTTAAGTCTTGCCCTTCCCACGAGTGCTGACTCTTCCGTTCTTCCCGTAACCTCTTCCCGTAACGTTTTACTAACGGCTTCCTCTTTGGAACGCAGACTCGTACGGCTTCACGAAAAGAAAGAGAAAATTATATTCTTCTTGCGCTCTATGTTTCTGCGTAAGATATTGAAACAACTTCAGTGCCATGTATCGTATGACAGCCGCGGCAGCGTCAAGCTGAATTGGTAATGCAGATACTCGCCCGCCTAACACTAAGTAGTGTATGGAAGTTCCCCATTTTGTTCTCCATTTATCCAATCTTAGGGTTATCTTTTCTATCCATGTTTTTGACTCTTTCTTAATTGTCTTGTATCCTCCAGCCCAGCTCCACTGACCATTGCTCTACTGTTTCCCTAACAATCCCCGTGCTTACTGCCAGGTAACTTGGTTAATTCCGAACACAGCTCCAGGACAAGAAGCGAAAATGCCACAAACGTGAGTTTTCCCATCACCTGACGATGCGCCAGGATACTAATTGAACTAACCAATGCCGATGAAGCTGCCGAGCTGCCGAAAAGAAGGCGAGCCATCAAGGAGAGCTGTAATAGAAACAGCATCTGATCGACTACCCAGAAACAGAAGAACCGGCCTCGCAGGCACAAAAGAAAGGAAGCGAGGGAGGGAAAGACGTTCCTCACGACCGCCGAGGTCAATCCATCAAGACACCCGAGTCCAACGTCACTGCTGAAAGCCGAATCTAGCCAGGTACGGATATATAACTTGAGTTGGCCAGAGGCGCTGCAAACTGACACCCCCGCCGTACGTTGTCGAGGACCAACCCAGCACTAGAAGACAATCCTGCCAGAGAGTACAGAATTTGCATGAGTTGTATTCAGTCTGGCTCACCATTACATAAACTGCTTCGCCCTCAGTCATACCAGATCGCATTCATACCAAACCCAGGTTCGGGGATCCGCACCCGCGCGACGCGGTGCAGGAACTCATCTTTCCAGCGGTACATCTCGAGCCAGCCCTCCTGGTCATCCGTGATGGCCATCCACTCGTCGCTCCAGTCGCACGGCGACACGGCGTTGCTGTGGCCGCCGCTGGTCGGGGTGGGGTTCAGGCAGATCTGACGCTCGATGCTGCCGCAGTCGCGCAGCTTGAAGGCGGCCACGTAGCCCTGCAGGTCAAACCTGTTGGCACGCGAGGACGCAAACATGTACTTGCCGCTGGACGTCAGCGCGACCACGTCGGCGCGGTAGAGGCCCTTGCCTGTCTCCCTGTCGCGCGCGGGGATGCCCGGGGGGATCAGGGGGAAGCTGTGGTGCGTGTAGACGGGCATGTGCGTCGCCGGGTCGATGACGTACTCGCAGAGCCGGTTGCCCGCCTCCATAAGCGCGTAGAGGTACTGGCCCGTCGGGTGCATGGCGACCCAGCGCGGGTGGTCGCCCGGATCCGGCGCGTCGACGCTGCCGAGCAGCTCGACCTCACCCGAGGGCAATTTGCGATGCGTCCACAGCTTGTTGGCCGTCAGGTCGGCCGAGTAGAGGTACGTCTCGGTCGGGTCGAACACCATGCCGTGGATACCCGTGTTGGGCTGGTACGGGTAGTTTTGGATGTTGGTTTCGAGCTTGCCTGTGTCTGAGACGGAGAAGACGCTGCCGAAGCCGGCGTGGCTGTAAAAGGGGTTGGCATAGACGGCGTAGGGTGGCTGCTTGGCCGCAAGCAGGAAGATGGCGCGCGTGTTCGTGTCAGGGCTGCTCGCCTTGGCTGGTGAGAGGGTCAGCAGCGGTTTGCGTCTGGCTGTCAAGCACCGGAAACATACGGTCATGATTCATGGGGTGTGATGCCTCGTGCACAATGTCAGTTGGGCTCCGGACGGCAAAGCTGGACCACTTCTTCATGGCGGCGCCGTAAATATTCTTCTTGGCATGCTGTGTTCATGGTGAGCATCACTCCCTGTTAACAGTCAGCTCGGCCACTTAGTGTCATACATCGAATGACATCCATGATATCGGCTCGTCGTGTGGGATCTCTGTGCGCTTGACCAGCTTCAGCGTCAGGTTCTCGTCGTCGAACTCGACCGTAAAGATGGCTCCTGGCGGGGTCCAGGTCCCAATCATCAAGTGATGGAGGGGCATTGCTGGATGACGTCGACCGCGGCGTCGGGCCTGTTCTGGGCATTCAAATTGGAGATACAAGACCAATTTCTTCACCTTCAAAGACACAACAACCGAAAGGCTCGGTCGTACGATGCATTCAAAGCGACAAGAATGGTGTTGGCGTAGGAATTACCATCGCAGCCAATGGTTACCTGTGTCGCAGTTCATTCCAATGTTTTCTCCATAAGAGAGCCAGCACATCCACTGACGGCAGTCGGGTGTGAATCTTTACCCCTCGGCACATTCCCGCCCTCGGAAGTGCCATGTGGGGTCGGTAGCGGCGGCGGTAGATGGGAGATCGCTCAGACAAGGTCGGGATTTCTGGCCGCCTGCACTTTGGCTCCACGCGACAGAAACAGCGAAGCACGACCCGACATTGCCGCAAAGCCTCGTTTCCCCAGATTCCGCAGGGTAAAGGCTCATCCCCGCTTTGAGAGATCTTTGCAGTCAGGCGGCGAGCCCCATACCTCCATGGCCACAGGAAAACGAATCGAGACGGATCCCGAAAGAAGGTCTGGCTGGGTTGGAATCGATCTCGAATGGCGCAGATCTTCCCCATGCAGCACAAATGACTCCACGTGGAAGTAACTTGCTCGTGAGATGGCAGCGGCAAGCGCCTGTTTGCCAAGCACGCTGTTAACTTTTTCTGACAGGCATGCGCTGTCACTGCAATAGGCCATGTTTCGGCTGGGGCACAGTTGGAACATTGCACGTGGAAAGTTTCGGATGAGGGGCAAACGTTCTGTCGGGCCCCTTGAATTCGCCGGTCCCTGGTAGGCCCTCGTGGCAAGGGCTAAATTTCTCCCGACTTGCCTCCTTCCCCGACCCCACTCCCGTGATGGTGACCTGACCATGGACAACCTGCCGTGAAAGCACCCCGATTGTTTCGGCGGGGAAACTATGGATGCCACATGGTCCGCATCCTATCATGTTGCCCGGATTCACGATCCGCGGCAAGATGACACGCTGTAGAGCAAGACCAGGTTGAGGCGACTGCCGGATTCGTGGTAGGTCTATATAATATGTTGACCTCAATCAAGTTGTTCTGTTCCGGCCATCTGCTTCCTATTCCTTCATCATTCTGATCAAAACCTCTTCACTGTGATACCCGAGCATTACCGATCCGTCTTTCCATACCTTACCTTCTCTTACATCCCAACGCCCCACGACAACTATCACAATCCTCACAATGGCCTCTGACAAGCCTTCTCACCGGTTCGACCCTAACTTTACCGACCAGGTGGTGAACGGGATGGGTCCCAACACGACGCCCCGCAACCGCCAGGTCCTGGGCGCCCTGATCCGCCACATCCATGACTTTGCCCGTGAAGTTGAGCTCACCATCGACGAGTGGATGGAGGGCGTCAAGTTCATCAACGCCCTGGGCGAAATATACGTCAAGAGCAACAAGACCCGGAACGAGGCGCACCGCATTTGCGACGTCATCGGCCTCGAGTCGTAAGTGCCTTCTACCCCCTTATGGCTTGGTCTAGAAACGAACCTCAAGCTAACCCGCCGTCCCAGCCTCGTCGACGAGATCGCTCACAAGATTGTCTCCGAGTCCGGCATGGACCCAACCTCGTCGTCCATCCTGGGACCCTTCTGGTCGCCCAACGCGCCGTTCCGCGAGATGGGCGACGTCATCTTCCAAGACGGCGTGCCGGCCGGCGGGCGCGTGGTCAAGATGCACGGCGTGATCCGCGACATCACAACGGGCCAGCCCATCCCCAACGCCGTCTTCGACATCTGGCAGGCGTCGGCCAACGGCAAGTACGACTTCCAGGACCCAGAGAACCAGACGCCCAACAACCTGCGAGGAAAGTTTCGCGCCAACGCCGAGGGTCGCTACTGGTTCTACTGCCTGCACCCGACCGCCTACTCGCTGCCGCGCGACGGCCCGTCGTGGCAGCTTCTGACGCTCATGGACCGCCACCCCATGAGGCCCGCCCACATCCACATCATGGTCACCCACCCGGATTTCCAGGGCTGCACCACCCAGCTGTACCCCAGCGACGACCCCTGGATTAAGAGCGATACCGTCTTTGCCGTCAAGGACGATCTGGTGGTCGACTTTAAACCCATCCAGGGGGATGACAAGGCCGTGCTCGAGCTCGAGTACAATGTCAATCTGGCTCCAAAGGGATACAAGGGGAAGCTCTGAGACGCCGCCGGGGCTTTGTGGGGAGGTTGGGGGTTTCTCTGTACATATATTTGTCACGTATATACCCGGCTTTTTGGATAAGCGGTCTAACTGCCCGGACGGGGACGGAGGTTTACTCATTGCGGGCTGGTTAGCGATGCTGTCGTATCTGGGTTGGATACATTTGCTTGTTCTGTTTTGTGTTGTTATCTGCAATGAAAAGCTTGAAAAGCTACGAACAGTGGCACGTGATCCCTGTGACACTTCTCATTCCTCCTTGTGCCTCCCTTTTACTACGCCATGCTGTGATCATATGGCCAGGGCAGACATGGGATGAGGTATTCAGGGGTCAAACTGAGTGACGCGTACTCCTGCCAGGTGGATGAACAGCAATGTGTATATCATTCTCACGGGTAGTATCAACGCTGAATCAAGGTAATCTCGCCATGGGAGTACAAGTACCTGCAAACTAACATTCCACGACCGCACACAATTTAACAGCTCACCATTGCAAGCAGCTGGGCTAGGTCATAAGCAGTCACCCTTTGCTGGACTGCTAAACAACATCAGCTGCCGGCAAACCATCTAAAAATCAACTAAGCACCGTGCTAGCACACAGAGGTGAAGGAAGCAAAAGGATATGGGAAATGCCATGACAAGGGTGAGATTCGAACTCACGCCCCTTTCGAGACCACGGAACTCGATGGAGAGTGTGAATTAAGGAAAATCCTTAACGTGGCGCCTTAGACCGCTCGGCCACCTTGCCGGGAACAGAATAATTCTTGAACCTGTGTGGTGGGGTTGCGGGTTTTTGAACAGCTCAGAGGGTGTGAGTGAGGTGGGTTTGTGTGGAGTCAGGCTCGGTATTTCAGATTGATGAGTCGCGAGGAGAGAGTTTCTTCTTGCTTTGGTTAGAGTTTTTGTGAAGAGAGACGGGGAGATGGTTGGGTGCAGTTGGCAGATGTCTATGAGTTGAGCAGGAGCCCGTTGATGATCTAGGGGGTTGAAGCTGTACTCAGTTTGAGCTTCATCAAATGCTTCTCCTTCGCTGCCCCCACACACTATCTGTGAGCCAGGAGCATCACCCCAGCCCGAAAAGACCAGGTGTTTGCCGGCTCCTGGTTTCATGAGTTCATGGCTGGGAGAAGAGGTGGTAAAACAGAGGAAGTCGATTTGTGACGTGGTGGTAAATGGCAGGTATTACCAAAGCTCATCGGACCGCAACAAACACACCATTGCGGACCAGGTTCCGCACACCTGAGATTTCCCCAACAAGAAACAGCGCTTGCTTCTGATTCGGATGCGGATTGTATAACTTTTGTTGGCACAATATGTACAGCACTCCGAGCCGCTCACTTCTTCTCCTCGGCCTTCTCCTCCGGTTTCGGCGTCGGTAGCTTGAAAGTATCCGGAGTCCGGTCGACGCCAGAGCCGACTTGTTCCCAGGCGCTAGATCCCCCCTCGAAATTGCGAAACGCCTGCGTGAGCTCGAGCGGCTCCGTGACAATGCGCTTCTTCTCCTCGTCCCACCGGATCTCGGTGTAGCCCGTCATGGGGAAATCCTTGCGCAGCGGGTGGCCTTCGAAGCCGTAGTCGGTCATGATGCGGCGAAGGTCGGGGTGGCCGACGAAGAAGACGCCAAACAGGTCGTACACCTCCCGCTCGTACCAGTTGGCACCCATAAAGAGGCTGGTGATGCTGGGTACCGGCGTGGCCTCGTCAGCGTAGGTCTTGACGCGGATCCGGGAGTTGTGCCGGACACTGAGCAGGTTGTAGACGATCTCGAATCGTTGGTCACGGGTCGGGAAGTCGACAGCGGTGATGTCGCTGATTTGGGTGAACTCGGCGGCCGTGTTATCTGGGGCAAACGGTCAGCCGCCGCCGGCCCAACAATCCTCCTCAGAACCTGTCTTACATTTCAAGAAGGACATGACCGGAATGACGCCGGACGGGGCGATGTAAATGGTCAGCTCGTCCTTCCAGACCGAGAACTGCTGGATGTACTTGGGGAGACAGCCCATGAGCCACGAGCCGTACTTGTGCATGTTGTCGGCCTTGGACTGGTACTTGTCGGCAGGGTTGACGAGAGGCGCCTGAAGGGTGCCTTTGGCGTGGTCGCGAGGCGCAGTGCGCAGGTTCTGGGCATCCTTGGGGACAGCGACGCTGGCGCGAGCGGTTGTCGCGAAACAACGCACGACGGCCTCGCTGCTGCGCGCTGCAACGGACGAGTTCGCTGGCCGCAGGGCGAAGGCCAGGGCCCTGTTCTTGCAGAGCTTGCTGGCCATGGTCGGGATTGGGAGGGTTAAGTGGCCAATTGGGAAGAATCAGCCGTTGGCCTTGATCGAGAATGCTGCTTGAATGAGTTAAATCGAATTGAGGTCGAGCTCGGAGCTCGGTCGAGTCCCGGAGAGAGCACGTGAAACGTCACGTGCATTTAGTGCTTGTGAGCCATGAGTCTAGCGTAACTTTATGACCGAAACTGGAGGTCGAGAAGTCAAGTTACTTACCTGAAGCGAACATCTCTTGTGAACTGCCGCAAACCTTTGTCCTGTGTCAACTCGTCGCGGCAGGTTTGCAGGTGTGCTGCTTCTTCATCCGCTGCCCAGTGATCGGTCCACTGACTCGGAGTCGCGTCTACTCGCCCTGAAGCCGTCAGCCAACCACAAGCGGCGCGACACGTGCCACAAGACGCTAGTCCCGAATTAGATTAGTAAAGTCCTCGAACCTTTTGCTGGAAGGCTCTGCGTCGCCTCCATCCTCCTTCATTCCATACTGCTCTTGATGCACGATCCGTTTTCCCTCGGCCATTTTCCACCACGTATCTCAGAGCATATCCGGGTCCTCCTTGTAACTTTCAGCAGGCGTTGATCAGAGCGACCATTTGTTTTATTTCTTTTCACTAAGCGACCGTTTCGTTGCATCGGCGACAACCTAATACTCCTGACCTCTGTTCTTTGCGCCCAGCAATCCATCCTTCTCCTCGCGACCGACCGATTAAATCGAGCGAGTTTCCTCTTGCCGCGCCGGCGATCACGTTACTCAGTCTTGCATCCTGCACCGACAACAATCCGCAACCATGGCACCACAAGACTCATACGTCGACGATGACGAGGACTGCTGGTATGGAGCTCCGCCACTTGTGCTCGCGCAGCTCCCTTCCGTCAGCCATGCTAACTTCACGTCCACACAGTCCTCTCTGCATCGAGGAGTTTGATCTCTCTGACCGGAATTTTCGACCATGCCCATGCGGCTATCAGGTACGGAGATGAATGCCGTATTATGCCATCACTCAGCTCTGCCTCTGACTGTCCTGCAGATTTGCCAGTTCTGTTTCAACAACATTCGGACAAATATGAACGGTCTTTGCCCGGCATGCCGCCGACCGTACGATGACAAGACCATCCAGTGGAAGGTCGTCACGCAGGAAGAGTACGCTAAGTCGTCTTGCTGCTGGGTTTTCGGCTGCTGACATCAAATTAGGATTGCCGAGTTCCGAGCGAATATCCAAAAGAACCAGAAGAAACGAGCTGCCGAGCAGCGTCAGAAGGAGGCTCAGAGGCGCGAGGCCGAGAAGGACAATCGCAAAAACCTCGTTGGCGTTAGGGTCGTCCAAAAAAACTTGGTTTATGTGACCGGGTTAACACCGACAATCCGCGAGGACGAGTTACTCAGAACCCTTCGCAAGCCCGAGTTCTTTGGTCAATACGGCAACATCCTCAAGATTTCTATTAGCAGTCGCAAGGGCACCGATGGTCAAAACCACTCTCTAGGCGTCTACGTGACTTTTGAGAAAAATGAGGAAGCAGCTCGATGCATCCAGGCAGTCAATGGGTCTCAAAACGGCGACAGGGTGCTTAGGGCACAGCTGGGAACGACCAAGTACTGTTCCGCTTGGCTGCGTCACGAACAGTGCACGAATCGGCAATGCATGTTCCTGCATGAGTTGGGCGACGAGGAGGACAGCTACAGCCGGCAGGACCTTTCTTCGATAAACAGTATCAATACGCAACGCCCGATTCCGAACGCCAGCACTTCGCGTTCCGCTTCAAGACAGCAAGCGCACCCCTCACCTTCGCCCACTGTCGCGCAGCCCATGGCGAGGAGCTCCAGCAAGGACGGTTCAGATAACGGGGAGGCTCCGGCGCTTCCAGCCTCGGCCAACTGGGCCCGCAATTCACAGGTCCGCAGTCGCCGGGGCAGCCACGCCACCAGTGCGGCAGCCCCCAGCCCTGCCGTTTCCAACGCGTTGCCAGTAACTGCCGAGTCTGCCGTCGAAGATGTACCACCCGGTTCTTCCGCCACAGCACCATCGGCTCGGGCTTCCCCGTCTGCAGCTCAGGCGAAGCTAGACAGCACGCAATCAGAGAGGGCGAAGCGCTCCCAGGAAGATGCCCTCAGGTCGCTACAGAAGTCGCTCAAGAGCTGGACGCTCGTGTTCCCTAAAGTGGGCGGCGATTTACCGCCCGATGAATTCAACAAGCTCTATCCCCCGCTTTTTGATGCTTACGGTGGAATGCGGCGGCGCGCTCTGCGCGCTGCTGAAGACAGTAGCAGTGTTGGAGATCAGCAATCCGGTGGCATTCGGGAGCCCTCAGAGGGCGAGCCTGAGAGCAGCGGGAGCCTCGCTCTGGGCGGAGAACCGGAGGATCGCGACCATGGCCGCGAAGGCGCTGGTTTTGATACTCGTCGCGCTACGCAGCCGCCTATCCAGAGAGGCAACACTGATGGGCTCTTTGGCCAGACAGTCGGCTCCGGCTTTGCTCAAACGCCCGGGAACTTGGGCTCGATCGGGAGCCGCACGATGACGCCGCAACAAACCGCCTTCATGCGCCAGCCTACCAACTTCGTCGACCATCTTTCCTCGCAGGCGAACTTGTTCCAAGGCCAAGGCCACAATCGTCAAGGGTCGCGTTTCAGCTTCGCCAATGACGGCCGAGATGCTGCGTCGGCCACGGCTGTGAAGCTCGCGGCGAACCCCCGCATCATGGCCCAGCAGTCGTCAATGATGCCTACGTCGTTTCACTCTCAGCCTGGCGGTCAGTATTATGCCACCTCTATGCCCGGGCCGCCGCCGGGACTCAAGTCGACGGGTACACCGCCGGGCGTGTTCGGACAACCCGGTTTTGGGTCGGCAGCATTTGGTGGCGCTTCGAAGGATACCAACGAGATGCTGCAGCTCTTCCGCAGCCGGGGCGCAGGCACTCAGGCGCATGATGCCGGAAAGCGTGAGTACATGTTCTCTTCCTTTCCCAATCAGTACCCACCCTCCACCTCCTCCACCCCAGCTCCTGCCTCGAGCCACCTGGCAATGCTCTACGGTTCTCAGCCTGGAGCCTTCCAAGACTTGGGTTCAAAGCAGAAGAAGAAGGGGAAGAAGCACAGACACGCTAACACTTCCTCCTCTGGGGGGAGTGGCTTAGTAGATCTTGCGGACCCGAGTATCCTGCAGGCGAGAATGCAGTCTCAGCAGCATCTGCAGCAACAGAGCAATGCCGGACTCGGACAGGGACTGTTCGGTGGTCAGTCGCAAGGTGGGTACAACAACCCCGGCATGATGTACAACCCGGGCTACCGGGCTTGGTGATATCACCTTGGAGGGAGCAGCAGCAATCTTCTCCGGCCACGATGGGCGAATGTCGCTCTTTTGCTTGATCTTATTTGTTTCGTCAATCATTTTTGGGAGGGGCCAGCACTTTCTTTGTTTCTTGTCTTGTCAAATTATATATCACGACAGTGTCCGAGGCAGCAGCCGGGATGAGGATTCAGAGGCAATCAGGGAATTGCGCAAAACCCTTTGTTTTCATGGAGCATCACACAAGAGCCGGTTCCGAAGGGGGAGCCGCCTTGGGTTGGCGTCGTTTTTGCATTTCTGGGCGAATGGAGGGATAGGGCAAGGGCATTCCCAGCGGTTGGAGTCCATATGTCCCGTTACCCGTCGCGACTAGGGACTTTGCATCGCCAGGGTTATTGGGTTACGTCAGGCAAGCTCTCATCGTCTTCCTCAAGGTTTTCCCATGTACGTTAACTTGGGCCCCAGGTTTTGCGCCGGCTGGGCTGAGATGACATCGGTGATCAAAATAGAGCATCATTGCACCGCTTTTTCAAGGACGATTTCGCCTCTTCACAGTTTCGGGGAAGACGATGACGGTAGTCTGTTGACGTAACCCAAGCCCTCCTGTACATAGTGGCGCTGGCTTGTTGTGCTGCTCCCTCCTTCGCTGTTGAGACGTATTTTTCAGCCTGATTTATTCACTCGAGAACCTTCTTACACTTTTCAGGGACCAAAGGCTAATCATGGTTTACGTAGACGACGATTTCCCGTTGCTTGATGAGGTCAGATCGAGCATAGATGCTCTTGTCGCCGACGAGCCTTTTGACGCCACCGTTCGGCAGCCTCCCGGCGCGTTCGAGTCCTTTGGACGCTCAGGAACCCCGTCGGTGCCGCCCGGATTTTCTTTCCCAAGCTCGCATCCATCTCCGGCCATTTCGCACTCGTCTCTGCCCACCGCGAGTCTAGGACGTCAGACTCCGCCTGTTGCGCTGCCCAAGGTTCCTGTAAAGCCTGCAGTCAGCGCTTCCAGCCCGCTCATTAAAAAAGCCATCACGCCGTCGGTGCTGGAGGCAAAGAAAGCTGTCAAATCCCTTGCCGCGGAAAGCGGCCTGTCGAAGGATATTGCAAAGGTCAAAGCAAAGGTCTTGCAGGATGAGGACTTCCCAGCCCTCAGCTCGCCCAAACCTCAGTCAGCAACACTGGTTACGCAGACGAAGGCAGCGCCAATCAAATCAAGCAGCAAAAAAGCGCAAGAGAAGCCCGTCGAGAAGGCGAAAGAGAAGTTGAAAGAGAAAGGGAAGGAAAGAGAGCAGGAGAAGCCGGCGGCCACACCTGCGCCTACCCCCGCTGCCGAGAAGACCGAGGCCTCTACGCCGGAGCCAAAGGCTTCTGAAAAGGTCCCAGAGAAGGTTGCCGGAAAGCCCGCTGAGAAGAAGGCAGAGAAGCGTCCAGTCCCTGGCATTCTCAACATCGCGGCGGCGACCAAGGCGGCTCAAATCAAGGACGTGGAGGCGCAGTCGGCGACAGACAAAGCGACTGCGGAGAGGGACTCGGCATTCCCAGCGCTTCCGGCGCCGACGTCGGTTTCAACGTCGTCTCCCCTTGCTAGGGCTGCTCCCAAGACCCTTCGAGTCGTCTCGACGCCCAAGACGGAGTCGCCGCCGACTCCGGTGCTGACCACTCCCGCTGTACGGTCTGTGGCTGCGGCTGCCATTCGCCCCGAGACACCCGTCAGCGAGTTGATTTCGGACAGCGCGTCCATCATATCGGCGTCCATTTCTGCTTCTCGCACGAATTCTCCTCCCCCGTCAAGGATTGGCTCGGCGCCTGTGCGAACGACGACCAAGAGCCAGCAGCGCAAACAGCGCAAGGAGGCATTGAAGAAAGAGTCAGCGACAATCGCAGCGCAGCCTGTAAAGGTAGAAGCGGCCGTCGAGATTGGGCCTATCATTGGCCGCAAGAAGAAGCAAAAGAAGGAGAAGGAGAAGCCGAGCAGCAACGCTGCGACACCTACGGTGAGCCGCCCTGAGACGCCGCTCGCGACTTACGCGAATCCGGTCAAGGAGACCAAGGAAGCTGCCGAGGTCAAAGAGGTCAAGGAAGAGTCGTCGGCTTACCGGTCCACGGCTAACGAGACCACCACCCTGACCGATGAACCGCTGCACAAGAGTAGGTATGGCGACGTAAAGAGCAAGGCAGGCGAAATGCAGGACAGGGACGCTGATGCGTCGACTCCTCGGACCCTGCCAACACCTGCCTCGGTGCTGCACGACCTCCAAGCGGCTGGACTGGTGCCTGACAATCTGGAGAGCCTACCTTTCTTCAAGCCATTCAATGTCCAGCTGGACAAGTCGCGGAATGATGCCAATAACGCAGTTGCTCGGGACCAGGCGAAGAACTCGGTGGCCCCGACCAAATCAATTGTCACTGAGGACGATCAGGCGGCGCTCCTCGCGGGCAAACCAGTGCGGAAAATCATGGACGGCACGCGCATCCTGTTGACGCCCAACGGCGACTGCATTCGGAACCTCAGCCCCGAAGAAGAAGACCGTTTCCTTGAGCTTCAACAACTCGTCGCCGAAGCGACTGCAAACCCCGCAGCTTTCGTCTCCTCCCGCCACGACGCTGGTAGTGGTTTTAGCCTCATCAAGGGCCGCGCGGTACCCAACGGACCGCCGAGCTACTTTCCCCCGGCACCGGGCGCCTACCCATCGGACCCTGTCAACAAGATCCAACGGGAGGAGGCCATCTACTACATCAACCAGTACGTGCTGCCGCGACTCAAACTCAATTCCAGGGACATGAGCCTGCCAAAGGCAATGTCCACCTGGACCACCGACCCCCGCGCCTCAGCTGCCCAGGCCGCCGCCGCGAACTTGAGCTCGGTTGCGCCGTGGCTGTACGGCGGCCTCGGCAGCCCCTCGGGTTCATCTTCATCCCACCTGCCTCCCGTATCCCACGACGATGTGCTTGATGCAGGCGCCGCGCCGCCCGAGCTGAGCTACCCGGGGCCCGTGGGCGCCTTCGCCGATGACCTTCACCATGCCGGTCCGCATGGCGTGTATGACGTCGAGCATCTCAATTCCCAACTTCCCACCGTCGAAGATGTCTTTGGTGATGCCGCTGCCGGGTCGGCAACAAGGCAACAATCGCATCATCACCATCATCACCACCACCACCATCATCATCATCACCATCACCACCAGCAACAACAGCAGCAGCAACATCAACAGGATCATACTCCGCAGCCCTCGTCGGCAGCCATCGCCGCCGCCGCAGGCGGCATCAACTTCACGTCGCCGGGCCCCTTCGGCAACGTCCCGCTCCTGTCGCTTGAGGACGCAGAGCAGGCGCTGTCGGCGGCGCGCAAGGAGACGGAGAAGCTCGAGAAGAGCCTCAACCAACTTATGCGCAAGAATCGGCGCTTGCTTGTCTCCTCCCAATCTGCGGCTGCGTCTAACGTACTACCCCCGATTGCTGCCGCTGGTAGTGGTGACGCTGTTGGAGCGGTGGGGGGGCATTGACTAGCTTGGCGCCGCCGTCGATTCCGTTTCTTTACTGCTACTGGTCTGGTTGCTGTTTGGCCTGGTGGTGATTCTGACTCGGGCGATTCCGATGCGACTGCTGCTGCTGCTGCTGTGGCGGGTGAATATGGTGGATATGGATATGGATATGGATACCATGGTTTGTCGGGAGACGGAATCGGAACCGGAAGCGTGATGGACCGCCGGGGCAGGGGTAGGGACGGCAGCAGCAACAGAGCGGCGGCGAGGCACAATGCCGTCGCTGCCGTGACAGTGGCGGTCGCGCTGGCCCGGGTACTCCGCGGCCTGAGCAGTATGGGCGAGGCGGCGTTTGCGGCGGTGTGGATGGCCGTGTTGGTGGTGGAGAGCGTGGTGGCCATGGCAGCGAGGGGTGCCGTCGTTGCGGTCGAGGTGGTGTGTGCTGTTTTGGACTGGGTCGGGGCCGAGTATTGAGAGGGGGAGGGGGCCCCGCATAACGGTGCACTCAGAGTTGGGTGAATTTTGGACGTGAAGGAGCCGTTCGAAGTGGGTTTTGCTGGGTGGTTGATTGGGGGTTGAGGGCAGCAGTTGGGCTCGATAGCTTTGCAGCGTAGGGTTGGAATTATGGGAACAGCGTTGTTCTGTATGTATTGGTGTTGTAGGATCCCATTGTTGGTTTTTAGCGGAAGAGCGGAGCACAGAGCGAGCGGGCTAGTCGGATTGAGCGGCTCTGGAGGGAGCGCTGCTTTTTTTCCATCGGCGTAGCGGCAAATGTAGCATTCTCGGTGTTGTAGAATTGAGCTTATGTGTACCAGTAGTTGTAGCTGTACATAGAATAGCACATGATTATGAGAAGATCACCTTGACGTCCACTGGTGCCGACTTGATCATTGCGTCGGACCCTGCTGTATGTGGAAAGAGTCGAGTGGGAAAGTGTTGGGATAGTCAAACGGGTAGTGGGAAGAACTGGGATCGTTCTTCAATTACCTTTTGAGCTACATACCGACTACCTGACCTAATTTACAGGTGACGAGTAGGGCTCCAGCTGATCTTTCCCCAGGTATTGTGGCAGCGAGGCGGAGTTGCCTCCCGTCGTGGTAGTTGTTCCCCGTGAAGGGTGCGGTGTATCGAGGAAGGCTCATAGCCCGCAATTATACATGCCAAGTCAATCATCTTGGTTTGCTGGCAGCGCCCTGCCAGCGAAACAGCTGCAACCGGATATTGTATTGCTTTTTAAAAGTTCAAGGATGAGCTGAATGCTTCTTCATCTCGTGCTGGTATGGTCTGTGTCACACCTCTCCCACTCACCAGTGGCTACACTGATAACACAAGGGATAATGTGTCATTCCCACCCAGGTCCGTTTTGCTTTTCCTGTTGGAGCCTTGAACGAGTCGTCCTAATAATAAGGGCAGATCAAGCAGTTGACGATAACCACCCTGGTGTGGAACAAGGCCATAAACAAACTTCGGGTTGATGTAAACGAGAGTGTAGGCCAGAAAAAATGCTTCGGCAGTCTACATGGTCTACCAGAACCGCACGACTTTATGAGGCTATCACGGAAGCACAACAACTCGCGAGTATGGCAGAGAGAAGAAGGCATAAAGAGATGCGGCAAAACCATAAAGATTGGATTTGGGGCTCAATCGGGGATCGAACCCGAGACCTCGCACATCTTCTTGCCTGTTTACAGGCGGTGGGTTACCACCCGAAGCGCGAATCATACCACTAGACCATTGAGCCGAATCCACTGTGTTCCCATTAGTCAAATTCAAAACCAATAAGCTTTATTTTTTGGATCACAGGAACCATTCCAAACATTCAAGCTGGATTCAAGGAGCGCCTCACGGTGCAAGGCTAATCGAATGAGAAGTGGGGGACCAGTCAAACATCTGTCCGGCTTCCAAGGGGGTATGTCCTAGCTACAACACTGTACTGTGTATAGAGTTTCAGATTCCAGGGTAACATCTGAGTGGACTCTAGAGGTGGACATGCCCTTGTTGTTCAGAGGAGACCTGGAAGCATTCGACACTCAAGGAGCATTCCGCGCTCTGTTCGTAAGAAAAGATTACAATTATCACGAACGTGTCATGGGTCTCGCGATCCTGGCGCCTCTAAGGCTCCAACACAATGACTCATTCCAGATCCGCGGCAGAATACCCCCGTCTCCCTGCATCCGGAATAAATGGGCTACATCAAGCTCGCTTTTAACTTATCTCTCTCTAGGAGGATTGAAGCAACTAGTTGGCTGGCAATGCATTAGCTTACTATAAGACGTGAAGTTAACCGTAAATTAGAAATAGAACTAAGATCTATTATAGTAAAGCCCAACTAATTCATATCTCTATAAATAGAGACTAAAGCTAATAAATAGGAAATAGTAAGATAAGTTAGAAATAATGTGAGAGACAAGTGGCATTGGGGCGAGGCAGCAGGGCGCTGCAAATGCCGATCCTAGTCTGCTAATCGCAAGATGGGGAGAAAAGGAAGAGAAGCTGGAAGAGCTCTCGCGATGGAGAGGTCAAATGCCAGCGCAGGTGGGGCACTCGCGAGCAAGGCAAGCGCGCACCTCGGACGGCAGGTGCCGTCACAGATAATTCAACACTCTTTTCATATCGCATAAAAGCTCTAAAAAGTCTTATAGTAACGTCAATCTTCTACTCCCAGTAATCTTTAGCTAAACTAGGCCTTATTAATTACTTTGGAACCCAAGATAATTTGAAAGCTTACTACTCTATACTTATACACTACCCAACCCTTCCCTTCCTAGGCAGTTCTGTATTCACAAACAATATTAAACAACTTCAGATAAAGACATAACTATTTCCGCCTTGAATATCAGTTTACCGGTCTTTTACCTCGAATAAGCCTATGAACTCCGATATCGCACATAAACAATGTAGGGCTGTTGGTCTAGCGGTATGATTCTCGCTTTGGGCTTAGTCCTGATTATGGACAGTTTTCTTGCGAGAGGTCCCGGGTTCAATCCCCGGACAGCCCCAAACATGGGATGAAATTTTTAGATCATTCATCTGATAGGAAAGTTTGGACGAGAGTCGAAATGCTCTTTTTACTGCAATACGATGGAGCTACGTGTTCCAAAGTCAGATAATCTGTAAGCCAGCAGCAGGTTGTTTGTATGTGGTCCAGCGCGCAACACCAACAACAAGGAAAAGAGCTCTGGGGTATCGGAGTCGCACGCAAGGCTGAGTGGGAGATGCCAATTTGCATCCTCATGTTGTTGCTCTGAGCCTTGACACTATCTCTACCTTGTTCGTACAATGCTTACCTGATGCTGCCCATGCCAGTAGTGGACCATGAACAGCCGCCAAACCATTACTCCCCTCAACACATCCATTCTCCAAGCAGAATGCCATGTCAGCCAACACCCTCTACTCTCCCGAAACATTAGAATGCGACGTCCCCGGCCTACTCCCGCCCAAGCGCCGCAACCTTCCCCCAGCCTTCTTGGTATTAAACAGGCTCTTAACCCTCCTTAGCCGCGACATCATATCCATATCCTTCTTCTTCCTCGCCTCCTCATCATCGGCCTCTTCATGCTCCTCCCTATCCCCGTCGTCATCTGCCACTAGTACTCCCGGCTGCCCGGCCACAGTCATCGGCCGCTCAGGCGTCTTTGGTGGGCCTTGCCCATCCCCATCCCCGCCACCACCACCACCACCGCCGACGATTGCCCCATACGCAACAGACGCAGGAACACTACTCTTGCTCCTCCCATGCCCCATCATCCCCATCTTCTTCCCACCGCCACTACCCGTAGTATTATCATTCTTACTACCAGGACCAGTGATCTTCTCCCGAATAAACGCCTCGTTCCTCAAGCCGGTAACCAACACCTCCCACGCTGCCATCTCCTCCCTCTCCCTTTCTCCCTTTCCTCGTCCTCCTCCTCCTCCTACCGTCCCCAGTGATAGTACCTTGCCGCCAGGATTTCGCTGCGCGGCAGGGTTCTTCCACGGGCAAAAGAAGCGGTGCTCGCGCAGCGGATCAAGGTGATCCATCAGCGGCGCTGCTGCATTGGGGCTGTTCGACGACGACGACGGCGGCGGCTCCGAGCGCGGTCTGAACATCCACAGGCCCAGGCGGCGCAGGCAGGTGTGGCAGGAGGCGCTGTTGGGGATTGGCGTGTGCAGGGTCGGGTGCGTCAATGATTGCCAGCCGAAGAGGGCCAGGGCCAGGGCGGGGCGGTTGATGCTTGGTGGTGTTGCTGTTGCTGTTATTGTTGTTGTTGTTGTTGTTGTTGTTGTTGTTGTTGTTGTTGTTGTCGGTGCCTCGATTGTGGACGTGGGGTTGGAATTGGGGTTGGTGGTTGTGTTGTTGTTGTTGTTATTGTTGTTGCGGGGCGGGGGGTCGATAAAGAAAGTTGGTGGGAGGTAAGTGATGACTTTGTCGAGGTTGAGGGTCGGGGGAAGGCGCAGAGTGGATTCGTAGGGCAGGAAGGCGGCGCGGTCGCAGAGTTCGTCGTAGCGTTGGCGCAGGCCTTGGAGGGCCAGTTTAGGGTTGGGAAGCGGGAGGCGCAGGAGGGAGTCTGGATGTGGGTTGTTAGAAAAGAAAGTAAAATGGTAGAGACACGGCTGGAACGGGAACCTACCGTCACACCCTTTCCTCCTCCACAGACAGTCCTCGGCATGCGCCTCGACGATCAGCTCGACATACTTGTTCACCACCGACTCGGCGATCTCGGACGCGATCAGCACCGCAAACTCCTTGCCGTCCACCTCCCTCCGGTTCACGTTGACCACCAGCTCGGCCGCGCAGAGCGTGCACTTAACACGCTCCTTGCCGTGGCGCACCCAGCCGCGCTTCGCCCACTCAACCTCGCTGACGCGGTCCGGCTTGGGCGTCCAGTCGGTCAGCTCCTGAAAGGTGGTCAGACGTCGCAGAAGCTGGTCGCGGTCGGCCGGGCAGTACTTGGGCGGCGGCGGCTGTCCTTCCCTTGCGTCTGGCGCGGGGCTGGCGGCGCCCGGAGTCCATCTTCGCAGGGTGATGTTGGAGATGGTGGTGCTCGGCCGGACGCTGCGTATGCTAGCGGGCGATGATTGCATCGAGGTGCCTTGGGCTTCTAACGTTGCGTGTCTGGCCGGGGTCGCTGTCGGATCGCCGACGCGGCGCTTCTTGTGGAGGTCGATGTCGCTGGCCATGGTCCTCGAATATGGTGAGGATCGTTGCGATGCAGGTAAGGAGGGTGCGGGACCGGCGAGACTGCGGTCGTCCGTCGAGGGCCGGTTCCCAATGCCCTGGAGCAGCGCATTGAACTTGCGCTTGACTGTGGCATTCATCTTGTGATTGCACTTTGCTCCGCCGTGCGCGTGCTGTACTCCCGGCGAGACAAAACAGCTGCTGCGGCAACGCCGTGACTGACCCCACCGACTGTTCGTTACGCGCCGACTGCTTTACGGGTGAGAGTGTGCGCGGAAAAGTAAAGAAAGAGAGAATGTATGCTTTGTGGTGGTAGGAGTAAATGACAGTAACCGGATCCAGAATATTGTCATTTCATAGAAGGGTCTCTGGATTGCCTCGAGCCTGCTTGAGGCTACTTGTTTACCAGGTACTGTAGTTTGTTTGGTTCGGTACCTTATCTTTGGGAGCTTGGGGCCATGGAATGATTCGAATCCGATTCCAGCTTGCCGGGGGCTTCAAGCTTACTGTATTGTAAGTTACCGTTGTGATCATACAGTACGCCCTTCAAGCATCAAGCTAGCGTCTTGGCTGTCAAACCTAACTTTCTCTTGCAGCCTTTCCATTCATATCAATCGGATAAGCGCACCAGCAACCACTCTCAAGCAAACATGTGAAGGAACGGTATGTAATCTCTCAAGCGGAAGTGGCACATCTCCCTCAACAAACCCATCTGAACAGACGCTCGACAGACACTGAGAACTAGACCCAGCTTACAAGTTCCCGGCGGCAGAGACGATGCTACAAAATCCAAGAGCTTGCCCCTCAATATCAACCTTGTCGTTCGAGGATTCCTGTTCCCACTGTTCCGCTTGTCATTGTTCTGTGAGGCATTGCTTGGAGCACTTACAAGAGCTAAACTCTTCCACTTCCTCCGGGGCTGGTGTTTGGATGACGAGGACTCTGGCGTTGTCTGCAATCCCAACCCTGGCCGAGAAGGAGCGGTATTTGACCACAATGCCACGCAGATTACCCGTCACAGGCTCGAAGGTGCCTCACTGTCGTCAGTCGAGCTGTCGAGATGACGCTCTTTTTTCCCTCATCAAGCCCGCCGAGACCGACAACACTGACTGCATCAATGCCCGACACACCAACCATTCTGACGCCGAGATGGACATGAAGGAAAGGACAGTCAACTGGGCCCAGACTCGGTGCCGGATCCTCCTCGCTTCATCTACCCGGAAACCCATCTCATGAAGTCGTGTCCTCTACGGCTCTACGGCCTACACAGGGGTGACAGCACGATCGTCCAAGGTAGGAAGGAGGTCTTGTCTGTATTCCGGACCAGGCCGAGCAGCACCTGGCTCCCGAGCCATCCACTGCGGCTTCTCGACCCGGCCCTCCTATGCTTGATTCCTATCCAGCAATCGCCGATCGCATCAAGCAACGCCTCACTTACGGGTTGCATCCGTGGACGTCCGACTCCTGAACTGTCGTGCAGTCAATGCCCGTCACCCTCAGAGCATACTTGAAGCCACGGTGCTTGCCGTTCACCATGCGTGCAATGAGACCGCCCCCGGCGCCGTTGGCGTGTTCACTCACACAGGCGACGTGCGCGTCCGCGCCGCCCTCGACGGCCGAGTTGAACGGGTACTCGTCGCAGGTTGCGTTGTCACCCGCCCCGGGCTCACCTGCAGGGACTGTCCGGCCTATGGAAGTTCTCGAAAGAACCAACGGTCAGCATATCTCATCAGGTATCGGAGCCTTGGGGGTTTAATTGGTAGGTTACCTGTGCAGCATCCACGCGATCTCCTGCAGTCGGATAGTTCCCGGTTGGGAGAGTTGGGTCCGTAATAGGTCAGGATTTGCTGATTCGGCGTTGTCTCGGGACGTCCCAACGCCATCTGGCGTCTTATTCCTGTTTGATCACTTAGTAGGTGGCTACGGTTAAGGTTCAACATTGCCAAAGGCCTTACCGAGACAAGTGTTCTCGACCAGCTAGATGGCGGATATCATGTTAGTGATTTCGCTTCATGACCACCCAACTCGAATCAACACGCAGACAAGACTTACGTCGGAGATGATGTGGTTGGGTGTGTATCCGAATTCGAGAACGGGAACATTGCAATACCCAGGGGTAGTACTACATGTCGATGCCTCCGGACAGCCTGCAAGACGGATCGCGAGGTACTGTAGTCAGCGGCGCGGCATCCAAGATGTATTCCTTGGCTTTTGAAGAGGAAGCGCAACTTACACCACCCGTCACAGCAGACTTCGTACTCGCCACAGCACGTATCCTTATCAGCCGACGATCCCGGACAGCACTGGCTGCTGGTCTCGGGCTTGGTCGGGTCGCAGCAGGCCCCCGTGCCGCAGCACGTCTCGTAGACGGGACACACCCTCCCGGCGCCGCAGCACTGTTCGTCCAGCTCCTTGCACCCGAGCGGGTCAATGGGGCCGCACCCGGTCGTGCCTGCCGGACAGCAGCCGCCGCCGGGGACACAGACGGGGTGGCTGGACGAGCACGTGGTCCCGTCGCCGCAGCACGTCTCGCCCGGCTTCCGGCAGGTGCGCGTGTCGTTGGGGCACTCGGTCGTGCCTGTCGCGCAGCAGCCGTGCGGTTGGCACACGGGCTTGGCCGAGGTGCAGCAACCTCCGTTGACGGCGATACACTATAAGGCCAGGCAGCTCCCTGTCAACGTTCTTGTTCTTGTTGTTTGTTTGTTAATTGTTGGCATTGAAAACTGCGGGCTATACGTACGCAAATGGGAGCGGCAATGGGACAGCATCTTCCTTGACACGGGACTAGTTAATGCTGGTCAGCTTTCACTTATGGTGGAAAGGCAAGTCTGAAGCAGACTGAAAGGCATCGTTTCGCAAACTCACATGGATGGGTCGGGGGACAGGTTTGCCTCTCAAACAAGTCCAGGTCACGGCCCTGGAGGGGGTCGGCAGGGGAGCCACTGCCGCTTTTGAGAGCTGCTTTGGCCGGAGACGACGATGAACCCAAGGCGCCGTGGTGGGCTGCCGCGAAGGCCTCCGGATTCTTGATGCGGCCAGGAACGGAGATGGCGTCCCCGCTCCAGCGGATGTCGGCCTGGCAGAAGCCGGCGATTCCGAGGATGACGGTTGTGAATAACATCATCGTCTGGTTGCAGCCAGCTGTCTGGTAACTTCGAGTTGATACAAGGCAGTGTAGGAGGTATTGGGGTTGTCTGGTCCGGCAAGAGCGGGAGCCTGAGACACATCGAGGTACGAATTCAGAAGCATAACTACCTTATATACTCCCATCTGTATGTCATTTACATTCATGTTCCTTTAATGACTAGCTGCACAGAGCGAGTCATGCCGTATGGTAACCAATTCCTACCTGATCATACAAGTGCTCCCTCCATCATGGGTCATGCAGTTTCCTTCACCCTCTCAGTCACTCACCCCGGTATCTTAAGGTAGGCAGCCAAGCCAGCCAAAGTGTATTAATTGCGGTTGAAGTTGCATCGCAACGTTTCAAAGGATTCAAGCGTCTCAACAGAACTAATCAGGCTTGTTCTTGGGCGCAACACCCCGCCCTTCAACATAGAGCACACTGTCAGCACGGGATTCGGGTTGTCCCGCGAGAAAGTTGTGATAGCTGGTTCAGCCAACGGCCGAGCCAATGAGCTCTACCAGCTCTCGCCAAGGCTGCTCTCTCCGACCGCATTCCTGCGCGTTCCGCAGGCTCGTTGTAACCCGCTTCCCTCTTAGACCAGACTGTGAGCATCCAGTTTGGCTACCTACCTGGTGTCCATGAGATGAGGTCTTTGAGACCGGGGACTGATTAGATAACTGCCATCAAGGGCCCAATTGGACAACGCAAGGGTTGGACCTCCTCCTCCTCCTAGGGCCTGGTCTTGTGTCTGCTTATCCCGCAAGCTCTGCAAGGCTCTCTGTATGTTTGAACAGCTAGGCAGATGTCAGGTGCGGTTGATTCTTGCGTCTGGCAACCCGTTGCTTGCCTAGGGTACCTAGGTAGGTAGGTAGGTAAGTACCCGAGACCCGTCACTTCGAGGACCCGATTTGCATGGATTGACGCTCAGAGATTGTCATACTAGGCCCGGCACTGAAAACAGGTTCGTGTATAGACATGGACCCTTTTGTCACCTCATAAGGCAAGAGAAAGATTGAGGAAGTAGTGGATGAATCACATGACATCTCACAATCAGGGTGAACGGCGTGCGAAATCTCACTTGTTAAGTACCTTTAGAAGGACCTTTTCCATGTCTTCCTGACCGCTCCCTCGGCCCCTGAAGATATTGCCTGCCGGCGGAGTAGTTGGCGTGTCGCAAGACCGGGAACTGACCGGGTGAGCAAAGGAGGCGGACTACCTAAGGTCTGCTACCCCCGGGTTGTAACCTGAAGGCTCGAAGTCATCAAATCAAATCAGAGCTCCAATTTGATTGAGGGGAGGGCTGGTTTGAATTGATTTGCGTTGAACTTTATTGATGAGGTTTGTTTCGACGGGGTCATGCGCTCGATAACCAGCTAGGTCAGGCCGACTTGAGTGTGGATCTGCCTTCACGAGTGGCTGGGTGACGTGTTCTGGTGTTCCCATGCAAGGCACTGGGAACATTATTGCACAGTACCGCCCGATGAACTCGGATGAATCCGAGTCCCAACTCTCGCTCAGATCTTGCTTTCAAAAGTACAGATGTATGCCAATGCGCAACTGGAAAGATGAGGAGACGAAGGCTGCATGTGAATAGGGTTAGTTTCTACGAGAAGCATGCCCATCGCTTGTTGGGGAGTGCCGTAACCACCTTACTTTTGGTGTTGTCCCTTTCTTCTTTTGACAGACAGACAGTGTGAGGCGGAACTTGAGGACCGAGACTCTCAAGCTCTGGAAAGTGGCGTGGCGACGGTCAAGGCAGCAACCGTTCGGACAGTAACACATCTCAATGGACAGTTGATAGGAATGACCGACTCGAGAATCCAGCCTGTAGAAGCAAACGATGGGTATCAATACCAGCTATGCAAACAATTGCGCTCAGTCTAACCCAACCCTTTCCGCTCTCCCTCCCTAATAAACATAAGGTATGGTACCCAGGATGAAGATAGGAAAAAAGCACCTCACTCAATTCTCCTCTCCCGATACCCAACCCACCCAAACCTGGCCCTCAAAGCCAGCGAGCTCAGCACCACACTAATACTGCTCAACGCCATCGCCAAGCTCGCCCAGACCGGATCCAACCTGACATGCTGCCCGTTGCTCACAATGGGGTAAAACGCGCCTGCCGCGACCGGCAGCGCCAGACAGTTATACACGACGGCCCACGCAAAATTGAACTTGATGCGCCGAAACACGACCTTACTCAAATCCAACAGATCGACCACCGCCCTCAAGTCACTCTTGACCAGCACAAAATCCGCGCTGCTGATCGCCACGTCGGCGCCGGATCCAATCGCCACCCCGACATCCGCCGTCGCAAGCGCAGGCGAATCGTTGATGCCGTCCCCGACCATGGCCACCATCGCCCGCTTGGTACTGCTCTCCTCTCTGTTCTTCTTCTCACTAGCAATAGTACTGCTACCGCCAATGCCGGCGCGGAGGGTTGACTGCAGATACCGAATCTTATCCGCCTTGCCCGTCGGCAGCACCCCGGCGATGACCTGCTCCGGCGGAATCCCCAGCTGCTGCGCGACGGCGGCCGCGGTGGTAGGGTTGTCGCCCGAGAGCATCCAGACGGCAGTGCCGCGGGAGTGGAGGGCGCGGATGATGCGGGGCGCTTCCGGGCGGATCGGGTCGGAGATGGATACGATTGCGGAGAGGGACCATTCAGACTCTGTAGTAGACTCAGACGAGGAAGACGAGGTGGCGGTGGAGGAGGATTTGGTGGCGACGAGGGCGACGGATTTGGCTTCGGATTTCCAGCGTTGGAGGGTCGCTGTTGTGGGGGCGGGGATGGTGACGGAGAGGTCTGACATGAGGGACTCATTGCCGACGGCGAGGTCGAAGGAGGTTGAGGGGGTATTGCCGTAGTGGGTGGCTCTCATGCCCTTGCCGGGAATTTCTTGCAGGTTGGAGATGGTGGCTTTTGAGGCAGCGTGGGTAGCGCAGAAGGAGACGATGGCTTTGGCAATCGGGTGGCTGCTGTTTTCCTCGACCGCTTTCAGCGCGGCGAGGATCGCGTCTTTTTGAGTGGGATCTTCGGGGTAGATTTCTGAGTCGGTGATGCTTGGCTCGCCGCCCACGGTGAGGGTGCCGGTCTTGTCGAACACGACGCAGTCAATCCTGCTGGCCTTCTCGAAGGCTTCGCCGCCGCCCTTGGCCAGGATGCCGTGCTTTGCTGCGAGGCCGCTCCCCACGAAGATGGCTGTCGGTGCTGCGAGCGCCAGACCACACGGGCAGGCCACGACGAAGACCGAGATGGCGAACTGCAGCGAGAACGCGACCCAGCCGCCAGAGGTGACGTCCAGGTAGTGTGGTGGGATGTGGCCCCCGAGTCCGAGAGAAAGCCAAATGATCCAGGTGAGAACGGCGATGAAGGTGACGACCGGCACAAAGTACGACGTAAGGAGATCCGCAACCTGCTCGATGGGCGCACGCTTCGTCTGGCCCTCGCGGACGACATTGACGATCTGGTCCAGAAGCGACGAGCCCGGCGCGCCAGTGATGCACACCAAGAGCGAAGCGTCCTTGTTAACCGTCCCAGAGAAAACCTCATCTCCAGGCGCCTTGTTTACGAGCCGCGATTCACCCGTCAGGCTGGACTCGTCAAAGTTGCTCTCGCCCCTGACGACCGTGCCGTCAGCCGGGGGTGAGGCGCCATGCGTGACACGCACCACATCGCCAAAGTCAAGCAGATCCGCCTTGACGACGACATCTTCCTCCTTCTCGGTCCCGTAGCCCTCGACGAGGATCGCCGTCGTCGGCCGCAGCTTGCCCAGCATCTCAACGGCGTCCCCGGTCCTCGACTTGCTGTAACTCTCAATCAAGCGCCCCAGCAGCAAGAAGAACGTCAGGAACACCACCGAATCAAAATAGAAATTGGAGTCGTTGGTCTCCTCGGCCTGATGGGCGGCGGCAGCAATCATCTGACTGACCGACGAGATGTAGGCAATGGTGGTGCCGAGCGACATGAGCGTGTTCATGCTGCCGAAGCGATAAAATCGCTGCAGAATCGGCACCCTACTGCCACGGCGCCACAGCGTCCGTACCTCCTTAATGGCACGGCGGTGGAACAAGTCAGCTGCGAAAAAGTAGACTGGCGTCGCCATGATAAAGAGGGCGATCTGCGCGCGGCTAATGCCGGACGTCCAGGGGGTCATCATGTAATGCTTAGTGTGGTTGGTGTCCGGGAGGAGCGACATATAGACGATGCCGATGACGAAGGAGGGGATACAGACCAGGCCGGTGAAGATGACGCGCCATAGAATCTGAATCCGATGTCTGCGCTGGATTTGCTTGGAGCGCTCTTCCAGGCTTGGCGGGTGGTAGATGGTGGCAGTGAAGCCCGGATCGCTGGCCTCGATGGCTGCTAGGATCTGCCGGATGGTGAAGGATGGCGCGTCGGGTACGTACGAGATCTTCATGATGGGCCGTTGGCGGGTGGGCTGCGTGATGACCTCCAGTTGCCGCCTGAATCCCGCCAGACTCTTCGTGACGCGGTCCGGGCAGTGTTCACAGTAGAAGCCCTCGATCCGAATCTCAACTGTCCGCTCGTGGTCTTCGGCGGCTTCTTGGGCCAGGCTGACTACCCCGTCTAGGGCGGCGTCATACCCTAGGTCTTGAATGGCTTCCGCAACCTTGTCGGCGTTGTCCCGGCCCTGGAAGTCGACTGTGGCGCTGTTGGTGAGAAGGTTAACAGTGATGTCCTTGACCCAATCCCTTTTCCTGATCTCCCTGGTGATGCCGTTGGCGCAAGAGGCGCACGTCATGCCTCCAATGGCGAGGGTTGCCCGCCAGGTGTCCGAGCCAACCGGTCCCTTAGGCTTGCCCTGTTTGAGGTCCGTGAGGGAGTCCAGAGTTGCCTCGTACCCAAGATCCTCGATGGCCGGGACCAGCTCGTCGACCTTCTCCTTGTCCTTCAAGTCCACGGTAGCGCTGTTGCCGAGGAGGTTGACAACCACGTCCGAGACCCAATCGTGCTGTTTCAGCCCCTCGGTGATCATGTTGGCGCAAGCAGCGCATGTCATACCGCTGACGGCAAGGCTAGCTCTCCAGAGAGGCTGGGCAAAAGCATCCTCATCACTCTCAATGGCAATGAATGAGGTGGAGAGTGTGCTCGCGTGTGAACTCGAATCGGTGGCTTTGGCCAATGTCGGGTTGGCGTGACGGGAGACGGCCTCCAGAGCGCGCTTCTCATCGGGAGCAGTGCCCATGGTTGTGCGGCAGTGTTCGCAGTTTTCGAGGTGGGCTTTGGTTTTCTGGGATGGGGATGCCTGTGACGCTGAGGGCATAAACCAGCGGCTGAGTGCCGACATCGGGTTCTCCATGACACCGTTGGTGTTGCTGCTGCTGCTCTGGCCGTTCGGCGGGCTTTCACCGGCTTCCAGGTCCAGGTCCAAATCAATGGCGTTACTGGCCGATGTCGATATAGCGCATACTTCAAAGCCGCTCTCCTCGAGTGCGCTGCGCATCTGCTGAAAAGACGCTTCGGGGGAATGCTCAACGGTTACCACCGAAGTGACCACGTTGGGCGAGACCCACTTGACGAGGTCACCGCAGGACTCGTGGAGGACACTTTTTATAGTCGAGACGCAGGTGGGACAGTGAAGGTTGGCCAGCAGGAAGGAGGTTGAAACCGTCTCAGACGGCCGGGCAACCGCCCAGCGGCTGTTGAAGGGTGCCATGTTATGCAGCGTGAGCTGTAACCAAGCCAGCAAAATCCAGAAAGGGGAGGGGAGGTGCCGTACACCCTCGGGTGGCCGGTGCCGAAGGTGACAGAAACCTGCGTGCGACGTGGGTGACTGGCGATGTCAGTCAAGCGTGGCACAGGGCGTATAGATTAAACGGCTTCCGAGTTGGGAAAGTTCGGAGCTCAAATGGATGCCGCGCCGGGAAATAGGCTGAAGTGGCCGATGCGGGTGTCGGTTGCTGTTTGCTCAACTGGAAATGGGGCCAATCTGGAGCTGTTGATTCATAGGCAACATGCGGGAACAAGACGATGCAAGAATGGTGATAAGTATGTACTGTGGGAATTCGATGAAATCCGCAGTCATGGATGGCAAACAGGACGAGATAAGAGGAAGGGGCGACTGCCCTCATATACAGGGGCTGAAGGCGTCGTAGAAGGCCATCGATGGCGAACTCGCCTGTCTTTGGTTGCGAATTCAGCGATTATTCAGCTTCTCTTACAACGCACAATTCACGCAGTTCTAGAGGATGGTCTTGATTCTCCAGTCTGGATCCTGGCGTGATTGCTTCTCGAGTTTACGCTTATAAGCGGCTCCACACTCTCCATGTGGAATGCCAAGCTCTCTGAAGCGCATACGCTAAAAAACGTCCGATTACATTTCAGCCTTGGCCTGCTTGTTAGCACGGAACTTACAACTGGCATTATCCCTCGTCTTCTTTCGCTTTGACCTTCTTTTCTTTCTCTCTTCTTCCTCTTCCATTGTATCTCTCGCTTTCCTCTTCTCTTCGTTTTTTTTTTCTATTTCCCTGAAAAATGACTTTACATTCCGTTATTGTTTTCTCTTTCTTGTTTGCATACGTTCCTTAATTTTTTTTCGTTTACCTCATTCATGCCTGGTGCCTCAAGCTGTACCACGCTAACGGACAAACCAGAGCTGGATTGTATTCCTGTCGACTGATGAAACTCCTTCCAGCAGAACTGCCCCCAGGTTTCGGTCCATCTATCCGGCTCAGAAATCGGATCTGGGGAACCTGCATGCAACTGCCCCGCTCTTCGCAGGGTGAAGGGCATTGGCCCCGTGCTAGAGTCAGATGTCAGATACCGCAATAACCAGTCCCTCCTTCTTTGTTCGTAATTTTGAAGGCCATAATTATAGATGCCATCATCGGGCTTGAAGGGCATCACCAAGCTAGGTCAAACTCAGCGTGGACGCCCATCTGATGTCCGGTTCCAAGCTCTGGGTAGGTGTCGACGTCAAGTTGGGAGCCATCATTCGCACGTCAAAAACTGACTCATGCAGATGTGGCGACTTCAAACCATTGGCTCAACTTGCGGCGCAAAAGCCGCTGCCGGCTCAGGGTCGGCCGGGTCCGCCGGCCCATGGCCCCATGACGCAGCCGGATATGCGCTACCATGCGAATGTAGTACCGGCACATTGCCCTTCGGACGGGCCGCGGCAGTCAACCCGGAGCCGGATCCGGCCGGATCCACTTCTCCGGCTCGGCACGGAGCTCGCAAACTTTGACGGGGGCTGGCCCGTTCTCTTTGACAAAGAGACGGTGGAAGCATCAAGAATGTCCTAGGAATTACAGGACTTTATGCATATGCAACACTAGCAAGTGGTAAACTCAAATAAATGGCGATAGTTGTCTTGAGTCCTGTCACTAATTGGACCCTCCTGTGCGACAATTCTGCGCCGTTGATGACTGAGAATCATTCCGCTGCCTTGACCGCCCCACTATTTGGAGAGTTGGGTCAACCGAGCATGCCAAGAAGGGGTTCCAACGGGTTATCTCTGGTCAGTTCTACGGCCTCAACAACCAGTGACGCTTACTGTGTATGCATGGTACCCGTCATACAGCACTGACTGAGACAGCTGTAAATGGAGCAATTTGACACCGTGTTATGGGCAGAGCATATGAGCTTCAATGCCTTCCAAAAGGATGCGTAATCGCACGCTCTAACGCAGGGCTCCATATATACACGGCGCCCCAGGTTTGGACCTCAAGTGGTTTCTCAGCCCTTAGTTCAGCACAGCCAATCTCATGATATCAAGCGCAGATACTAAACAATCTCGTTCGAGGAGTTCGCCACCACGACCGAAATCGGAAAATGCCACGTGTTTGGGCACGTGGTCGCCGACAAGCACCGAGTTCCGATCATCCTACCCACAAATGGTCAAATGTGGTTAGCGCAAATCACGCAATCGACCCGCGACTTCGATTTTGAAGCAGTGATTTGGCTTTGAGCAGTTTGGGGTCCAGACGTTTTGGGCAAAAATGCTGCGGCACTTTGGAGACCGAGAAGCGGACGCGGGAGGCGTGGGATGACAAAACAGGTAGGAAAACCATCTCCTCTTGTAAAATCTCTCCTCGACACTCTCTTTTCCCTGCGGTTTGAGCCCAGCACTTCTCGCTGGCGCAGTCGTTTCTCTCTGTTTTCTCTGTCCGCGAGCCCTTCGAGGCAGTCCCCGGGCCCCTGTTTTGCCTCCTGCCTCGATACTTCGCAAGCGGCCGAGTCTCTGCTCTTGAAGAAGCGTTCAAGAGCTCATCCTCCGTTGTCATTGAAACCTGCGACAAGCTTACCAAGATGCAACTGAAGAACGAGGTGACCACGGGCGGCGTCGTGGCCACCCCGGAGCCCAAGACAGCCCCTGAGAACCTCGACGGGTACCAGGTCCCGCTCGGCTCCATCTCCGGGCCGGCTTATGTCACCAGCCAGCTGCTTGTCCAGCAGACGGCCTACAAGTTGTCGGACAAGATCTTCTCCTTCTCCCCAGAGACCTTCGACCTCGACCTCGCCGTCAAACAGTGGTCGCATGCCGCCGAGAAGAACATCCATGGCGAAACCACCACGGTTGTGCCGCTCCAGACCCGCGCCGGCGCCGGCACCTTTGCCCTGGGCTACATCTTCTCTACGGACTTTGACCTCAGCAAGCGCCACATCCCCCAGACCCTGCTGGCTCCCTCGCTGAGCCTCCGACACCTGCGCTCTGCCCTGGACCAACTCTCGCTCCTCTACGCCGTGGCCAGCCCCTTCGTTGCCCACATCGCCGCTGCTGACTACTCGGCCCACGACGGCCTCGTCACCGAGTACGAGAGCGCCCTCCAGATCGCCGAGGACCTGGGGCTTGGTCTCGTATCCAGCGCCTCGGCTTATGAGGCCCAGCACATGTCGCTCCTTGCCACGCTCCTGGCCACCTTGCTGCCGACTCTGCATGTCTACGATGGTCTCCGGACTGCCAGGGAGACGCTGAAGGTGGTGGACGCGCTGAGCGAGGCCGCCATTGCCGATCTTTACAAGAAAATCGCCAAGGAGGCTGTCTCCCTGAACAAGAGGCTGGACATCGCAGGCAAGTTGGTTGAACTCCTGCGTTTGTTCAACAGCGAGCTCGGCACTTCCTATGCCCCATTCGAGTACCACGGACACGAGGCACCGGAGCTGGTTCTTGTGGTCTTTGGCAGCGCCGAGGCTCAGCTTGCCAAGCAGGTCGTGAACACGCTGGCTGCTGAGGGTAAGAAGGTCGGCGCAATCAACGTTCGCATCTACCGGCCTTTTATTGAGGAGGCCTTTCTTGAGGTCCTCCCCGAGTCGGTGCATCAGATTGCCGTACTCGGCCAGGTCCGCGATACCGCGGCTGTGGACGACGCCTCGGTGCAGTCCGCCCTGTACTCGGACGTCCTCACTGCCGTGTCCTTTGCTGACCGGTCGAGCGAGGCGACTGTCGTCGACGTTAAATATGCGGCGTCGACCACTCACACGCCTAGCTCGATTGCCTCCATCATTCGCCGGCTCACCAGCAAGGATAACCAGGGTGAGGTTAGGCTAGCTTTGCACGCTCTGGAGCAGGTTCGCCAGTATACTTTCTGGGATCTCGACAACTCGGCCGCCGTTGGTGCACCTTCGGCTCTCGGTAAGCTGCTTGCTCGCGAGGCACCGAGTAATGTCTACGTCCACGAGGCGTACGACAATCTCCTCCAGGGTGGCGCTCTTCGCACCGATATCCGTAGCTCCGAGAAGCCCATTGAGGCGCCATTCGCCATTGAGGAAGCTGATGTTGTCTTCGTTGGCGAGGAGAAGCTGCTCAAGGATGTCGATGTGATCAAGGGATCAAAGTCTGGCAGCAAACTGATCCTCCGGCTGCCCAACTTCAAGCCAGAGGACCTCGAGAAGCGGGTCCCGGCCCCGGCGAGGAAGCAAATCCAAGAGAAGGGTCTGGAGCTCTTCGTGCTGGATTCTTCTTTTTCACCTGCCCTTGAAAAGGATGGCCAACTCCTTGCCCAGCTCGCCTTCCTGCAAGTTGCCCGGCCCGACCTCACGCTGCCCCAGCTTTCCAAGATGGCTGAAGTTGCCCAGGATCAAGTGACCCTGGCAGAGGTGTCCGACGCCCTGCAGCAAGCACTCAAGCAAGTCGAGATCCCTGCTGCCTGGAGCGAGGCTGCTGAGCCTCTCACCGCCCCTCTAGTGCAGCCAAAGCACACCAGCTTTGTCCCCTTCCAGAAGGACGAGCCGGAGCCGTCGCTCAAGGTCGATAGCTTCCAGGAGGCTGCCAAGGGCCTCGTCTTCAAGGAGGCGTACGGCACGCAAATCGACCTGCGTCCTGACCTCACCGTCAAGACGTTTACCATCACCGTCAAGGAGAACCGCAGGCTCACCCCGCTCACATATGACCGCAACATATTCCACATTGAGTTCGACCTCGGCGACTCGGGCCTCACCTACAACATCGGCGAAGCCCTCGGCGTCCACGCGGACAACGATGCTAAGCAGGTGCTCGACTTCATTGAGTTCTACGGCCTCAATGCCGATGACCTCGTGCAGGTGCCGTCGCGCGAGGACCCCGCCGTGTTCGAGACGCGCACCGTGTACCAGTCTCTTGTGCAGAACATTGACATCCTCGGCAAGCCCCCCAAGCGTTTCTTCGAGGCGCTGGCCGAGTTCGCGGCGGACGAGGCCGAGAAGAAGAAACTCGAATTCCTGGGCGGCAAGGAGGGTGCCGAGGATTTCAAGCGCCTGTCCGAGGTCGAGACGGTCACCTACGTCGACGTGCTCCAGCGATTCCAGTCGGCGCATCCGGCGTTCGCCGACCTCGTCCGCATCGTCGCCCCGCTCAAGCGCAGAGAGTACAGTATCGCTTCGGCGCAGGCCGTCACGCCGACGTCGGTCTCGCTCATGATTGTCGTCGTGGATTGGGTCGACGCTCAGGGCCGCCAGCGCTACGGCCAGGCCAGTCGCTACCTGTCGCTGCTCAAGCCCGGCACCGCCGTTACGGCCTCGGTCAAGCCCTCGGTCATGAAGCTCCCCACCAAGGACACGGCGCCGCTGATCATGGCCGGCCTCGGCACGGGCCTCGCCCCCTTCCGCGCGTTTGTGCAGTACCGCGCCATGCAGAAGGCGCAGGGCAAGGACATTGGCGCTATCCTGCTGTACCTCGGCAGTCGCCACCAGCGCGAGGAGTACCTGTATGGTGAGGAGTGGGAGGCGTATGTGGATGCGGGTGTCATCACGCTGCTGGGCGCCGCCTTCTCGCGCGACCAGCCGCAGAAGATCTATATCCAAGATCGCATGCGGCAGACCATCAAGGATATTGTCAAGGCGTACATCGCGGAGGAGGGCTCGTTCTACCTGTGCGGGCCGACCTGGCCGGTGCCGGATGTTACGGCTGTGTTGGAGGAAGCGATCGCCGTGGAGGCGAAGGAGAGTGGGAGGAAGGTGGATCCGCGGAAGGAGATTGAGCGGTTGAAGGAGGATGGAAGGTATGTCTTGGAGGTGTACTAGAGTTGGAAATACTAGCGGGTTTCAAATTCTGCGGCTTCAATTTATTTCAGTCAAGGCCTTATAAGATTGTGCTTTCGTCGAGTTCTGTGGTCGAGTGTGAACCGACCGCTGTGGTCGTCAATAATGTGACTGGCTCCGTTGCCACCCGTAACGGCTGGTGCGGGGAGGATGCGCAGGGCGGGGCGGCGACAACACTGGAGGAAATGAGGGCAACCTATGAGAAGCCGGGAGCTGTCCCAATCCCGCCGCAACCCGCTCGGGAGACTTAACCGGAGTGTGGGGAAGCTGGGGTCCGGTCCGGCAAGCAACTCATACCTCGGCGTGTCTGCACCGTTCGTCTCAACAAAAATCTCTGTATCACACGTCGCTTTCCTATCTCATCTTGATCCGCACAGCCCCGAAACAATTCGCACAGTCAGTGTTCATATCCAACCCAGGTTAGGTCAAGGAGCCAAGATGGGAGCAGCAATCCGCGCCGTCCCCAATGTAAGCCCACACTTCCCTCGCCGACGCCGAATCTCATGACAGAAGCTCACAGTAGATGTACCCAGAGGGCCACCAGGGCAGTCGATCTCCTCCGCACCGTTCAGTTCTCTCATCCACCATCCTGTCCGTGCCACTCCAACCCCAATCACCACCACCACCACCACCCGGCCTCGGCAGCATCCACCGTCTCCCGCTTCGCAGACCGCCTAGCCAGGCCCAGCCTATCTCGGTCGCGGGGGTATGCCACGCCGCGCGACCCGTCCCAGCAAAAGGAGTATGCCTTTGAGATGGCGGCCTCGTCGATCCGGTTCGGGCCGGGGGTCACGCGCGAGGTGGGCATGGACCTCAAAAACCTCGGGGCGAAGCGCGTGTGCGTCGTGACAGATGCCACGGTGGACAAGCTCGAGGCGATGCAGCAGGTGCGGGAGGCGCTGGATGCGGAAGGGGTCGAGTATAGGGTGTTTAAGGGGGTGCAGATCGAGCCCAAGGATTACTCGTCCGTTCTCTCCTCTCCTCTCTAACATAATGTGACTGACACCGGCTGTCAGTATCAAAGAAGCCATCGCCTGGTCCAAGGCGTACTCCCCGGACAGTTTCCTCGCCGTAGGTGGCGGCTCGGTAATTGACACGGCCAAGCTCATGAACCTATATACATGCTACCCTTCCGCCTCCTTCCTCGACTTCGTCAACGCGCCCCTTGGCAAGGGCCTACCCATCACCCGCAAGCTCCTACCGCTGATCGCGGTCCCCACGACGGCGGGAACGGGCAGCGAGACGACGGGCACGGCCATCTTCGACCTGACGACGCACCACGCCAAGACGGGCGTCGCGCACAGGAACCTCAAGCCCACCCTGGGCATCTGCGACCCGCTCAACACGCGGACCATGCCCGCCGCGGTCAAGGCGAGTTCGGGGCTCGACGTGCTGTGCCACGCGCTCGAGTCGTGGACGGCGATACCATTTAGCGAGCGCACCCCGAGACCCGCGAACCCAATCCTTCGCCCGGCGTACCAGGGCGCGAATCCGATCAGTGATGTTTTCTCGTTGAGTGCGCTGCGCCAGACGGTCAGGTACCTGCCGCGGTCGGTGAGGGATCCGGAGGACTTCGAGGCGCAGAGTGAGATGCTGCTTGCGGCTACGCTGGCGGGCGTTGGGTTTGGGAATGCGGGGGTGCATTTGTGTCATGGTGAGTTTTCTGTGTGTCTGTCTTGAAAAGAGGTATGTTGGTGATGATTTAACTGGGTGGTGGACACAGGCATGTCGTACCCCATCTCGGGCCAGAACCCGGGCTACAAGCACGCCGGGTACGAGGTCGACACGCCCATCATCCCGCACGGCGTGTCGGTCGCCGTGTCGGCGCCGGCCGTGTTCAGGTTCACCGGCCCCTCAAACCCGGAGCGCCATCTCGCGGCCGCCGAGGCGTTCGGCGTGGATATCTCCAACCTGAAGCGGGAGAGCGCCGGCGAGGTGCTGGCCGAGGCTCTGACCAAGTTCTTGGCTGACTTGGGCGACCAGCCAGCAGGCCTTAAGGCGCTTGGGTTTGGGCGCGAGCATATCGAGGACTTGGTCGAGGGCACGATTCCCCAGGCGCGGGTGCTGATGCTGGCGCCGGGGTTAGCTAAAGAGCTGGAGCAGGAGAGGGATCAGCTGAGGCGGTTGTTCGAGGATGCGTTGGAGCATTGATGGGATGGAAGAGCCGGTGTTGTAGGGCTATTGTGCTGTTTATTGTTTACATTGTGGAGATGGATTCAGGGGGCGGCGCGTGAAATGAAGCAAGTGGAAAGTGCACAGTAGAACACAATGGCCATGAAATACATGGCTGTGGATATACGCTTCACACGAATAGATTCAAGATGTGATTGTCGAGTTGAGCTCAGGTCTAGGTACCAGCTATTTTTAAAGATCATCAACTTGCTGCCATGGAAGACCGCCTTCTTTCCCATATCTTGCCAGTGAAGCTCAGTTCACATATCTTTGACATACTGTTCTCTCAATCAGCGCAGGACAGCAAGCCTTGATATTGCGCTCGAGTGTCACTACATCCCACATGCATTCCTCAGACTCCCATTTTCATCTGGCACCCACCCCCCTGAACGCGGCTGTCGCACCCCATCCCAACCAGCGTCAGGGCCGAAAAAGGAACCCAAATCCTTTCGACGCTGTCATTGGGGTCCACAACTATCTGATCTCGGCAATACGTTCAGGATTATCGGCCAACCCAGCACCAACTCTGTTCATGAAGACTTGTCTCGGTCTCAGTCTGGGACCGATGCTGCCCATATCTGTTCTCTACACTGGGATGCCATCTGCACCGAGAGGTCTCTTGCTGTGACCCTCGACCGCGACGAGGATAGCGGAGCCATTCTTTTCACTACAAAGGCTTACAAGCGCTACTCCAACAACCCAATCTCATACCCCGGGGTTAGCATTGCTCAAACCACGCTAAGCCAGCGCCACGGGGCAGACCCCTACGACGCCGACAACGAGCGAGACGACAGCGACGAGAGCGATGAACCGGTACTCACGGCTCCGTTCCCCTTTTCGACAACAGCGACACCATATCCTTCGCTCCCAAGTCGGAGAGCCTCCTCAAACGGTCCGGTATCCCCCACCCCAACAGCAACCCAGTCTCCCTCCCTCCGTCGCTCCTCCACGGAGACTTTCCTGATTACGTCTCACTTCCGCCACCCTATTCCCCGCCGAACAGAGACGCCTTCGCATCTATCTCAGCCCTCCGCGCTTAGTTCGACCTCCCCTCCGCCACCGAGTCGGATCGCGACGATGACGATGACTACAATCCCGCCGAGGGGGACGCTCTCACGTATTACACGGACGGCAGCCTCTACGACGAAGCCAGCTTTTAATCTTTTGACGACGACGATGATGATCGCAATTTCTCGACGTTAGAGGTCATGATCGCCATGGTCGAGTCCCAGCTGGACTCGCTTTAGCCGGGCGAGTTTGGGTCGCTTATGGGATTGGATACCGACGGGGATATTGACGTTGGTGAAGGGGATTATGGTGACGAGGGAAGTGAAAGTGAAGGCAGGATGTTGGCGGGGGTTTAGAGTGGGATTGATGAGACCGGGCAATCAACAGGAGGAGGATGGTGTGGCAGTAGAGGAGGAGGGGTTGCACTGGACAGCGGGTTCGGGAGAGGGCAGGGTATGCAGGTGCTGGAGGCTGATCGCTAGGTCTTGGCGTCTTGCAAGTTGTGCCGGGACAGAGAAACTCGGTGTGGCTGGATTTTGTTCGCTGGAGGGTGGTTGGAGGCGGTTCGGCTGGTGGACACTGCGGGCGGTGTCCAGGGGGTAAGGGTGGCGGTGGTATTATCAGATTCTCGCGCTGTTTCCTAGGTCTCGGATGAATGGCAGCTTATGCAGATTCCATAACATAGCGCCGGGGGCTCGAATCCCGGTCCAGACCTTGAGTTTCACTGTGTTAAGTACCCTGAGCATTGAATACCAGCTACTTTTGCGGTGTCGTGTATACACCTCAGACATTGGTCGATCATCCGAACCGTCAGACCGCTTCTCTAACCTTTCCGTGCCACTGTGAGCATCCTTCAGCCAATGACGCCATGCGCACTTACGATGCTGAATTGTGAGTCTACAGTGACACTCGAGATGTTCAATCCATCGTGCGCCCAGGTGCTTGTTTCCATGCCTGTGTATACCACAGTAGGCCGTGACCACCCCATTCGCCGCGTGTTCTACCGACGCGAGACCGACTTGGGCAGCCTCAGCGGATGCGCCTCCGTATTAAACACATAGTCGTCCAAGCTAATGAGTTCCGGCTCCGAGAAGATGAGGTAAAAGTACTTGAGCGTTTCGGCGAGCCAGAAGCTCTAGCGCAACAGTCAGCGTCTTGTAGAAGAGGACGAAAAGGTTTGCGTGGCTTTACCTCCATCTCATCCGTCTTCGTGGTATACCCCGTCGTCAGCACATCGGTAATCGCCGAGTGCGCAAACTTGGTCCTAGTCGCCTTCTTGATCGACTCAAACATGCGCCACGCCGTGTCCAGCAGGTCCGTCTTTCCCGTGATGCGATACAGGATGAACACGCTCTCGATCGCCTCGGGCCGGAGCATGTAGCGCGGATCCAGGACGGCCGAGAAGGGCTTGGGCAGGTGTACAACACGCTCGCCGTGCTCCATCCATCGCGTCTCGTTCCACGCGCAAGGGGCCAGGTTATCGTCTTCTCTCTGAGCGGCGTCTTTCTCGCAGGGTATGATGACCGACACCTCGGGCATGATGCCAGTCGGGAACGAGTCGTATGCCCAGGCACAGCCCCGTGCGAGCTGCTCGCCTATCCTGACGTGGTCTTCCCGGCCAAAGAGTCTTCCGCCGAGGGCGAACATGCCACCCGCAAAGCAGCCGAGGTGCTGGACCTCCGGGCGGAGCTCAATGATCTTGCCGTTAGAGAGGACTGTGCCGGAGAAGAGAATGTCGGGGGTCGGTGTGGGTGAGAAGTCTGGTAGCATAGGGCGGAAGAGGACGTGCTTCTGCGCTGTGGCCATGGCTTTGGTGTGGAGTCTCTCGTAGGTCGGATCCAGGCCGCCGAGGAGGGCGTGCATTTTGGACAGATACTCGTATGCCGAGTCGGCGGCGGCGCCGAGTGAGAACGAGGTGCCGGGGGTGAAGAAGTCGTTTTGAAGATCAACGAAGACGGGCCACATGCCGGGGAGGCTGGTCTTGTTCTGTGTCCTCTCCAGCGCCTTTTTGACGCCGTCAATAGCGTGATAGTATTTGGGGTCCCCTGTCAGCTGGGAGAGCCTCGTAAACTCGAGTGACAGAGAGCCTGCAGCAGCGGATGCCTCATGCCGACTGGCACCGAGCTTGCCCTCTTTTGCTGAATTGAAATGGAAGCTGTTGGCAGGCATATGATTCGGCGTGTCGAACCCAGCGTAGAGCATATCGCCCAGCTCAATTGCCTTGTCAAGAAGCACTCGTTCCTGGCTCAGGTCGTAAGCCGATAGCAACCCGCCCAGATAACGGATGTTGGTCTCGAACAAGCTGCATTGCCGAGACGTCGCGTTGTTCCAGTCGATGCTAGCGACGTGCCGGACGGCATCCCTAAAGTCCTCCTCCATGCCCATAATCCATAGGGTGTCCAACGAGTCCACAAGCGTCGCACCCCATCCGGCAAACGTGTCTTTCCCGACGAGTTGCTGGGGGGCAACCTCATCACGGCCCCAAGCATGGTTGCGGTAAGTCGCCCAGGATCTTCTTGCAGCAGCCCTAACAGCGTCCCGGCGCGCTCTCTGAGTTTTGTTGTGTGCCTCGGTCAGTCCATCATGTGAGAACAGATACTGTATCGCAAGCAGTTGGCGGGGCTTTCCCTCAGGCAGACGGGTCATGGTGGACTCGTTGACGGGGTGCGCTTGCGGGCGGTTCCGCCAGTCAAAGCTGGTCGGCATGTATTCCCAGTTGCGCCAATGTGCAGCATCCCGGGGATAAAGGGTGGTTCGGTTGAGTAAGACATACGCGGCGAGAAACACGGCTGCCACTAGAGTAAGACGTTGGAACTTCCGCTGGACTGTCAGCATGGCCATGGTGCCCCGATTCCCATTCAGTAGTTTCAACCATTGCCCATCCGATGACACTTGACGATGGACAGCAGGAGCACGGAGAGGACTGCAAAGAGACAAGAGTAGGAAAGAAATAAAGACTGAAACTTAAACGACGGAGCAGCTGGACGCGGCCATATGCAGGAGGTAGGTAAAAAAGTGAGACAGGCTGCTGGGTCCGAGACTGCACAGAAACCTCCCCTGGAATAGCTAAGAGTCCTGAACGGGGAGTTTCCCCTGTCGATTCCCAACTTGTTGCATGCAAGCACTGGACCTGGTGGACACTGTCCTCGCAGATCCCTGTGGTGATGTCAATTCTGAAGGATGTGCGGCGAGAGACAAGCCCTCAATCTCGCCTGTCTGATGAGCTGAGAGGTGTTTGCTCAGGGGCTGATTCCACTGGAATAACTGAGGAAATGCTTGACTGCCAGTCGCGGCGTTGAGTTACGTGGCCCTATGGTCATGGTACCAAGAGTTCAGTGTGCTCCGGTCTCTTCAAGCCCCTGGTCCATGCTGTAGAAGGCCTGCGGAAAAGATTCGATCCAGACAAAGTGCGTGCTTTGGTTCTCGCCTCTCTGGTGACTGTAAAACGCTGGAGGGACACTGTTTCCTTGGTAAAAAGTTGATATCTCCTGGAGAGTACGGTAGCACCCTGCTGTCCATATAGCAGCCGAGAACATCAGTCGGAGAAATCAGTGACATTGGGTCGGGTTCAGGTTGTTGATACGGGTTTTTCTCATTCACAGCTTGGAGGTGGAGCAGGAGCGCCGGACTTGCAGAATGCAGATCCTTGCTCCGGCTCCCGAGCCGGACTTGGCACATGCAGGGCTGTGGGGCGCCAAGCTCACAATTTGTATCATCGCAGAACTTATCGGCGCCAAAATTTCCAACCCAAGCAACACAGCATCTCGGGCACACGTCAAACAGCAGGCCGACGAAGAGGTTAGCTCTGCAACTTTCCACATCAGACCGTCGGAGGAATGTCATCGCTACGCAACAGGTAACCTACACCACATACAAGGTGGAAACTAACTACGCCAACATGCTAACCTGCCGTCAGTGTCCAGCGACGATCGCACCGCGAGCGGGCGCAGCCCCTCGAGCGGCAGCGCCTCGGCCTTCTCGAGAAGAAAAAAGACTACCAGAAGCGTGCAAAGGACTACAACAAGAAGAAGGCCGTGCTCAAATCGCTGCGCCAAAAGGCCGCCGACCGCAACGAAGATGAGTTCTACTTCGGGATGATGTCGCGCAAGGGGCCCGGCTCCGCCATCACGCGCGGCAAGTCGTTCACCGGCACCGTCGACGGCGACCGCGGCAACAAGGCCATGGACGTCGACCTGGTCCGCCTGCTCAAGACGCAGGATCTGGGGTACATCCGGACCATGCGGAATGTGGCTGCCAAGGAGGTGCGCGAGCTCGGGGAGCGATTCGTGCTCGCTGGCGGGACAGATCAGAACGGGGACGATGAGGACGACGACAGCGACGACAACGACGACAACATGGGGCCGTCGAGATCTGTGCCGCAAAAGCCAAAGAAGATTGTGTTTTTCGACAGGACGGAAGAGAGAGAGCAGGCGCTGGAACAAGCAAAGGAGGAGGGCGAAGCCATGGAGGACTTGAACGATGAAGACGAGAAGACAACTGCGGATTTCCGGAAAGCACAGAATCTCGAGAAACTGCAGCGGAAATTGAAGGCCGCGAAAAAGAAGCTAAAAGCCTTGCAGGATGCAGAGTACGAGTTGGAGATACAGAAGGCCAAGATGGCAAAGACAGCGACGTCGGGAGGCGTAACCAAAAGCGGACGGAGGATAAAAGTGCGAGAGAGGAAAAAATAGGCTGAGGTGAAGGGATGAACTCGAGGTGCGCAGTGATACAGCGGTATGCAGAGGAAGGGTGAGGCGTGGCCCTGCGGCGTCGAGCAATGATCACCCAACGATGTCATGGCCAGGGAACGTTTTAATGGCGGAGTCCGTGAGTAACAAAGGTAGCAGTCTCCCGGTTGTTTGCTTTCCCAAGAGATAGAGCTTGCAGCTGGATATCCTGTATGTTATATACCCAGGTAGCAAAGCACCTCGAATAAATGACTCCAGAATTGAGCATGAGCTGTTTAGAAACACACCGCGGGAATAGCTTTCGTATGTGAAGTATCCTCAGAGCCTGAAGGGGCTTGGGATTTCCATCGTCTTGATCTGTGTCCGGCCCAGGAGAAACGTCAGCGCGATACTCCCTGTTGTTGAGCATGGCAGATACTCCCCTGAGCATCCACTCCGGGATCAAGAGCAGCCTTTAGCCCTAGGTTTTCGGGACAACGAAAGAAGGCCCAGCTCACAACACTAGTTGAAACTAGCAGGTATACCATACAATAACGTACCAGAGCAGTAAGAAACTCAGAAGACACAATACGTTCCTTGGTCCCTCCGACTGAGAGATCTAGCGTTTGCCCAGTTACCCTATGCTATAGTTTCCCCAACCCGCAACACTTCGTCAGGCCCGACAAGATAGCCAGCAGCGCCTTGAACGCCAGCGTCGCGCACCACACGAAGCACTTGAATGTGACAGTGAACAACCCCACCAGCAACCTCAACACCCCAGGCAGCTTGTCCTTCTCTCCTCCTTTGCCCAAGTCACTCGTTTGACTCTCGAGGTCAATCTCAAACTGCTCCATCCGCGACTTCTTCCTCTTTTTACTATTATTCTTCTCCTCCCGCCGACTAGCCCGACTCCCCGCCGCTCTCCTCCCACTCCAGCTGCTCCTCCCGCCCTCACCGCCACCATCACCACCACCTCCTCCAAGATACACACTCCCATTCGGCCCGCCAAACACAACCGGCGGCGGCTCAAACACCTCCCCGGCCCCACCACCAATACTCCCCATTCCAGCTGCCTTTTTCCCCCTCCCATCCAGATGCGCCACGATCACCAGCGCAGCAACAACCACATCCACCAGATACACCGCTTCAATCTTGCCCGCAATGCCCGTATCCACCTCCAACCACCCCTGCCCCGTGCCATCCCGCACCAGCCTGGCAATGTGCACGGGCGACTCGAGGTGCTCGAGCGTGTACTCGGTCCGACTATACGCCGGGTGGCGCTCCACGGTAACACAGAACGGCATGGCCAGGGCCGGGTGAACCAGGAAATAGTTGCCCGAGTCGCCGTCCCACACCAGGCGGGCCGATTCCTGCTGGGCCAGGGCGACGGTCGTGGCGTCGTTGGCGCGGTCGGCTACGAGCCTGGCGGCGGCCGACGGCCAGAGGTGGGCTAGGAGGCCTTGGTTGTCGTCGTCGGTAGGAGCGGTCGAGGTGGTGGTGGTGGTGTTGGTGGAGGCGGAGAGTTGGGTTGAGAGCACTTCCTGCCAGTGTTTTTGGTGCTTGGGCGAGGTGGTGGCGGGGGTGTGGGCGGTGTTTTGCGGGGCGGCGGCGGCGTAGTTGGACTGGCGGCTGCTGGAAGAGGCGCGTGGGGAGGGGGAGGAAGTGCCGCTGTTGGGGCTGGGGATGGAGATCATGTTGCCGCCGGCGGAGGGGGAGGAGGAGGTGCTCGCTTTGAAGGGCTTGTTGGGGTCGTAGCGGGAGAGGGTGACGAGCGCTGAAGAAGATGTCGGGTCCACGCGCAGGCAGTAGAAGGGCTGGTTCGTCGAGGAGGAGAGGGTGTATGAGGGGGGCACGTCGGGCGAGGCTGTCATCTTCAGGCAATAGGTGCGCCCTTCGAGCGAGGAGGCTCTCCAGCCGTTGGTTACCTTCCATAGCCCGCGGAGCTCCTCGGTCGTGTTAACGGGCGGAATCGCAGCAGGCTCGTGGTGCCGCTGCCCTACTGGCGGCCAGCGGGGTGCGGACGTGGCTGCTTGCGGGGGATTAGGTGCTTGTGTACCAGCGGGGGCATTCGAGGAGGTGCTCGCGCCAGCGGCAGCGCTGCGTGGGGAGTAAAGGGGCCTGCTGATGGCGGATTGTGGGATGTGGGTTGGACTGGCTTGGGTTGGGTAATAATCCTGCTGGGCGAGGGGAACTTCGGGGTTGTACCGGGGGAAGATGGACCGGATGGGCGCCGGCTCTCCGGGTTCCTCAGGCTGCGAAGACGAAGAGGGCCCGGCGTATGTTATTGGCGGTTTGGCTATCGAGCTCCGGGACCTCTGGCTCGAACTCCGGACCAGAGTCTGAGCCTCGGAGAAAGCTGTCTCGCATCGTTGGGGTGCGTCCGTTACTGGCTGTGAACATGAGGTTTCTACCACGGGATCCTCGGCGGAAACAATGTGTGACGGGCCGGCCGCGCTCTCGGCGGATGTCTGCTGCTTTTTGGCATCAAGGGCATGCTGCCACGGGTTGTTGGACACAGCCCGCTGTTTGGCCTCTCTGGCTGTCGAGTTTCTTCGCACCGGCGTATGTCTCGCGCCGCGAGGAGGGGTTGCCTCGATGGAGTTGGCCGGCCCTTCCTGGGGCGTGGCTGTCCGAGGTCTGCTCTGGGATCTTGATGGTGGCCGCGGGGCGTTGCTGGGGTTCGGAAAGAGGGAGAACCCTCCGGCGGCGGGTGCTGACATGTCGAATTGGGAGCTCGGCTCTTCTTGAGTCCTGGCGGTGTTTCTATGCTGTCGTCCTTCTTTGGTTCTTTTTCTCCCAGCTGCGAGCCAGCGGCAAGGGCAAATCGATCACAAGCCAGCGGTGGAACCTGCTACCGAACCATGATGCTCTCGACTAGAAAAGATGAAAAAAGCCGATGGGCCTGCCCGTTAGTCTTCACCGGGTCGACGTCACCAGCAATTTTGATGGTTCCGAACCAAGGCCACGGGAACCGCATCAGAACGGGCACCAATTCGTTTTATTCAAGAGGCTAGGTACCAGACCGTTCACCCGCAATAAGAGCAAGGACCGGGCACACGCAGCTCGGCGCCGGGCCCCATGTCCACGTCCCGCGTCTGCCATCTGCAGGTGTGGGAGGCCGGCAGCGGGTCGAGGTGGTGCGCTTGCGCGAGGTGATCTCCAGGGCACTTTTTTGGCGGGCAGACAGCGGAGAGGTAAACTCGGAAAGTGCCAGCCAACCTATCACGGCCCCGGCATTCCACCTCATGCAGTGCGCTATGGAAGGTCGCGGTTCCGACTGCAGTGAGATTCGGCAGTCCTAAGCGCCAGGCAGTCCCAACGCGGCCGAGAGGAGCGGCCATGTCGGCTGCTGTGAGCCTGTGAGTGGACGGGGGTCGAGGGGTTGGATGGTCGAAGTCGTTGTGGGGCGGCGGGAAAGCACGAGACAGGCGCTCAAAAATAGAACCCGATTAACACCCCCTGTCATGGCCGACCAATCAGGCAGCCAGTCACCTTGCATTAAACCGAGACGCCCAGCAAATCGTCCGATTCTGCTTCTTCTCGTCTTCCTTCTGGGCCGTTTCATTTGCCTTCTGCAAAGCAAAGCAAGCAGCGAGTTATGGACAAAGCTGGGCGAGCGTCAGTTTGCGCCCATGCTGCGCGGTGAGGCCTTAGGCGCACAAAAGAGAGGCAACTGATCAACGACGCCTTGCCTGCTTAAACCTGTTGCGAATGCGGAGCTTCTGCTGACATGATAAGGCAGACCAGAGGGCGCTTGTGTCTGCGAAGAGCCGATTGCAACGCTGGTGATGATGAAGCCGGCAAGGCTACCGCGGGCTTTTACTAGGCTCTTCATCGGCTCAAAGACAAAGCATTCAACGAAGCGTTAGTTTGTCGGCTGAACCCCTTAACTCCTCGATGAGACCAGGGGATGGGGAGAACTGTCCTGGCTTGCCCATGAGCTGCACCGGTACGGAGGACATCGGCAGGTCTAATCTTAGTTCGTCAGTGTGCGATCCGTTCTGTATGCTTCCGAATCCCCATCAAGCGAATCGGGCCCTTCCCTTGCATCGGGAGCTGGCGAACCCGGTTATTGTTGTATGGCCCATTTAAGGATATCTCCCGTCCCCATATGCACGAGAATCTGGAGTGCATACACCATCATACCCCGCCTTAGCGGCACGGCTAGCAATCTCGTTCCTCGTCCCGTTCATCAGGGCAACACCGACAAGCGTCTTCTCTACGGACGCAGATGGGGCAACAATCCGCGTATGCCTTTGAATGAACCTGCCAAGCGAGGAAGGAATTGTCGAGGGACACAGGGACACCACGGAGAAGGAGAACGACAATCCTCGAGAAGCACCTGTGTATTCGCTCAGCCTGCCCTACGCATGCTCATTCTATCACTCATGCTTCGGATGTGCCCACGGTCACAGAGACTCGAATGGGGATGGCGCAGTGGGCCTTGATGCGCCGCCTCTTCTCCTCGATGCTCCCTGACGTAGGCTGCAGCAAATGCCTCAAGATGCCATCGGCCTCGGCGTCTATTCAAACCGGCAGTCCATGTGACCGAGAGAAAGCTACGCTTGAAAGACTTACCGCTCAGCAGATTGAACTGGAAAACCCTCCGCGGAAAGCCGGGAATGTCAAGCCCACTCACATGAAAACGAAAGGGGCCAAGGGTGTCATTCTGATTCATGGTGAGCTTGTGTTGATCTCCCTGAGTTCGGTATTGTGGTCACTGCCGTGGGGAGAATAACGTCTTGGTGACAATATCAAGGTCGGGATCAATGCGCATGTTTAGCTTACAATGTTCTGAGAAGGCTGTAAACGTCCTTCAGATACTCCTCGAGTTTTGCCATCTTGTCCAGCCATTTTCCGCCATCATTGTCCAAAGTCGGGATCGTTGGGCATTCCACGAGGTCGGCAGCAATCGATTTGTCGGAGGCTCTAAAGCGGTCCCACGCTTCCTGTACCCAATTGTGCTGGGGCCGCATGACGACGAGAGGAACTCCGGATGGATCGACCATATTCTTCTCGTGGAGATACTGAGAGTGGAACTGGTGTTATGGAAGCAACTCGATATCGGCTGAGGGAATGAAAATCGTTGGATTCAGGAGGAACAGAAATCGAAATCGCGACGAGGGCCGTGGCTCTTAGCGCACTGGCACCCGACACAGAGCGCCCTTTTCTCAACCAAGACCGATTCTGGCATGGTAGAATCGGGTGCCTGTGCCTCCCATCCCTCCTCCTCGCGAACCACGTTCCCTGGGCTGTTCCTTCCCAGAGCACGGTGGGGTCTGAAACCGCAGGATTGAGCAAGTACTGCAGAGCATCTCATACCGATGGGAAGCAAGGAATTGCTGAGTACCTTGCCTTGTCAACGAGCACATAATGCAGCGTGTCCTAGAACCCCGATCTCAACCGAACCGAGCCGGGTTTGGCGTTTCGGATCCGATTCAAGTTCCGGCGGAAACCGGAACCCCCGAGCATACCGGGTAGACCACTCGGCCTTGTGGAGCCGCATAAGCTTATCGGAGTAGACCCGGAGTGATAGGGGTGGGATAGCGTCTCTGCTGTCCATCAGTGGTAACATCAGTGGTAAGGTGCCCTCTGCTATTCGGGTGCCATCGGATGCAACTAGTTCCAGCCTGCATTCGAGGCACCTTTTCAAGTTGTTTCATCGCCGAGCGGATGAGAAAGCTTCAAGACGCAGCCTCGCGCAATGTTCGGTTCGCCCCGCTCCAAAGCAAATAGACCCCATCTTATCTCAATCAACTCAACAGCCACTAGCAGGGATTGAATAGGCTGAGACAAGCCAGGTTGGCTGAATGCGAGGAGCCAAAGCCAATCAGACAGGTTTACTGGCGCTAGTGGCTGTTGAATCGGTTGAAGAGTTGTGAGTTCCTCACCTCAAGGACAGACTCCCTCTTTCTCACCATCCTCTCCTCTCATCTTGCACACTTGAGTAGGCCCTCCAATAAGATCCTTCACAGAACCTTCACGCAACATGCCCCGGCAAGTGGTTGTCGTCGGGTAAGGTCCCTTTCTCTCGGTTTACCCATATATCATCAGGTCAGAGAATCTGATCGTACCCTCCAGCGCCGGCGTCATCGGCCTCAGCTGCGCCCGCCTCCTTCAACAGACCGGATACGTCGTGACCATCGTCGCCCGGGACTTCCCCGCGCCTTTTGAGACGACTGACCCCATCGCCAAAATTAATTACGCCTCTCCGTGGGGCGGCGCCCGTATGCCTCCCATTCCTTTCACCCATACCTGACCTTCACGTACCAAGCCAGCCCGCCAATTAACACACATCAATCCCCCCCCTTTTGAAAAGACAACCGCTGGGTTCCCCCTCACCCCTCCCTCCCAGCCCACCTCACGCGCGACCACGCCCTCTCCCTCCGGACCTACACCCACATGAAGCGCCTCCACACCGCCCACCCGTACACGGCAGGCATCACTTTTATGAAGGGGATCGAGTACGTCGAGCGCCCCGGGCCCGAGTACCTCGCCCTCGCCAAGGACGGGCCAGATGCGCTCAGATTACCGGGAAGCTTCCGCCTGCTCGACTCATCCGAGTTCCCTCGCGACGGCCGCGTCACATGGGGCTGCGAGTACGACACGTGGTGCGTCAACCCGATGGTGTACTGTTCCTTCTTGCTGCGACAATTTGTCCACCGCGGCGGAAAGGTCGTCACGCGCGAGGTGAGGAGGCCCGAGGAGATCTTCTCGTTGGATGCCGAACTGTTGCGTGTCAGTCCCAACGAAGGAGGGGGGATGATAGCAGCCGTAGTAAACGCATCCGGCACGGGCTTGGTTCCGGATCCGAACATGACTATCACGCGGGGCCAGACGTGTCTCGTGGCCGAAGATTGCGACGCCACGGTGACGAGGCAGAACGCGGATGGGAGCTGGACGTTTTGCGTCCCGCGCGGGTTTGACGGCGGGACCGTGATTGGCGGGACCAAGGAACTGAATAACTGGGACGTGAAGCCCTCGGCGAAGGTGAGGGAGGAGTTACTCAGGAAATTTACCGAGATGTATCCCAAAATATTGGGCGGACAAAAACAGTTGACAGTGCTGAGGGATATTGTTGGGCGGAGGCCGACGAGGAATGGCGGGCCGAGGATCGAAGGGGAACTTGTTCCGGGAGCTGGATTCGTGATGCATGCGTATGGACTGGGCGGGAGAGGGTATGAGCTGTCGTGGGGGGTTGCTGAGGCGGTGGTTGAGGGGGTCGAGAGGCATGTCACGGGGGGGGAGGCGAAGTTGTAGTCCAGCCAGTTGGCAAATGCTGTCTTGCTTTCCGTAGGTGGAGGGGAATCGTAGTGGTTGCCTGTTCCCTCTATCGGCTTCCTTATGTTCGGGTGGTTATACTGTACAGCGTTGCGGTTCCTTCCTTGGATCTCACTCAGCCCCATTGCTCCCAATGCTGCTCATCATGCAGCCTTGCGCGGCATCCCGTCTGGCGCTCGCTTTGCCGGCGCCTCTCCGTTTTGCCTTCAGACCCAGAATTCATACAACCGGCTCTCCGAACGGCCCCTCCTCCTTGTCACCGCACACCCCACCCTCACTGCTTATCCACCAGTATCACCTTGCCCCCTCCTCCTCCCGCACCTGGCCCCCCTTATTATTACCCTCATTATTATAATCCTTATCCCTCCTAGCAACACCCGCAACCCTCTCCGCCCGCTTTATCTTTTCCATCTCCCTCCTCGCCAGCTCGCGATCCTTCTCCGGCAAGCCCCACCACTCCCGCAGAAACGCCTCCTGCTCGGCTTTTCGTAGCGCCTTCCTCTCCCGCTCCCGTGCGCGCTGCAGCCGCTGCGCAAACCACTCCTCCCGCGCAGCATCCTGCTCCTCCTGCGTGGCGTGCGCCTTCATGCAGCTGTTCATGACGCGGTGCGTCTCGCGGCAGGCGAAGGGCGCGGTGAAGGTGCGGCCCATTGCGCAGTCGGCAAAGGCTGTGGTGATATTGGAACTCCCGGTCAGTCAAGTGTAGACGGTCAGAAGTGGGCAAGGACTAGGGCGGGCAAGTGAAGGAGGAAAGAGGGCGGGCGGGCAGAGATGTTGGGAAGGACTGAGGGAGACAGAGAGAGGCGTACCCTTAATCTCAGGTGCGCACCGTTTCCGGACTCGTGCGTAAAAGATATCTCTGACCTGGGCCTCCTGCGACGCCGAGAGCGGCAGCGGGTTCCGCGACGGCATGGGCAGGCGCTCAGCCTGGTCGCCGCTGGCCCCAGCCATGGCGGCCATTCACGACTGTTCGCCGCTGCGGGGATGTGCGCAATAACGGAGTGAATCGTCGAGAATATCGCTCAGGAGGGTGAGCAGTCGCTCAAATCGCTTGAAGGGCGGGGACGTCGAAAGGAGAGGATGTTCGTCGTGTTTTGTGTTCCTACTGTACCTAGGCCGATGATGGGACGGTGTTGTGATGCTGATGAAGCTCCCAGTTGTGCCAATGCCAAGACAGTGTGAGCGTCGTTCGCACGGATCTGTCGTGTCAGACTTGCATCGAGGTGCTCGTACAAATGTACGGTCACAAGTAAGGTACTCTTAATCCAATGAACTCTCGTTACTACCACATCAAGCCTTCGCAGTGTATTTTTGAGTGATAGCTTACTTCTACACTGCTTCTAAGCCAACATTATGCAAAGGTACTACACTCTAGCTTATTTACCCTTGTAGCTGACTTGTATCTGATGCTTCCCAACCACCACTCAACTCTTAGGAGCCCTCCTCAGCAAGCCCATCCAGCTCATTCATGAACTGCGACCTGTCCAGGTCCAAGCTCTCCTTTTCCTTCTTGGCCTTCTTGCCAAAGTTGCTGAGCCACCGCGACGGCGCCTTACTCTCCTTGCTCTTAGTCGCGTGGCTCACCGTCGGCGCCAGGCTGGGGCTGCCGGCACTGGCCATGCTATCATAGCTGCGGCCCAGGAACGCCGGGCTCAGCCCCCCGGCCTCGTCGGCAATGTCCTCAAAGTCGCCGATGCTAGACCGCTCGATCGAAGCCGCTCCTCCCTTGTCCGACGTGCCCCCTCCGCTGGCCGTGCTGCTGGGCCCCTTCTTGAACAGGCCCGAGTCCTTGCCGCTGAGTCGGCCGGCGATGCTGAACTTGCTCGAGCTGCCTTTCCGGAACAGCTTGCGGACCACGTTGTCGTCCTTGAAACTGCCCGACATGCCGGCACTGGTGGGTTCCGAAGGCGTGTTGGAGAAGGACTGGTCCAACGACAGAGAGTCGCGCGACTCGGCGACCGACGTCTGCGTGTGGATCGAAAAGTCGTCGCGCGACTTGCGCGACTCTACCGGAGACTCCAGCTCGAGAAGCAAACCCTGTTGTTGCCCCTCCGGTGTGACGGCCGGCTCCTTGCTCTTAGATTTGTCCTTGGCATCCTTGGATTTCGCCTTGTCCTTCTTCTCGGCCTTGGTCTTGTCCTTGCTCTCTTTGTCCTTCTCCTTTTCGGGTTTGGACTTGAAGAAGGACGTGATGTTGAAGGCCGGGGCGTTGGGATTCAAGCGGCCGGCAGGCTTGGACTGGGTCGGCGGACGGCTGCCGATGACTCCGACCTCGTTGACGTTCGGCAACATCTCCTCGCCAAGAATCTCGTCGTCGGCTGACGCCAGCGTCGTCTTCAGGGCCGAGGGCGACCCATGAAGGGACGGCCGCCGGGACGGGTTCCTGGACCACGCGTCAGGCGACCACAGACGGCTAGGCTTCCCCAGCGTCGCCACATCGCCCGGCTGCAGACCCCAAATCGAACCGGAATCGGTCGACGGCCGAGGGAATTCGGCAGACGCGATACTCTCGGGTCGCGGGCTGCTCGGGTCCCTTTCAGGGAACAAGCCGCCCGGGGCTCGATGCGAGCTGGAGAAGGGGTTGAGGCTCCTGGAAAACATGCGCGAGGAGGGCGCGTGCCCCTCTGTGATCTCGGGTCCCACCGAGTTGCGGTTGAACATGCCCCATCCGCTCGATATGCTGATTCGGCGCTTGTTGCCAAGCCCCTCGAGGTCATCCGTCTGCCTCGGAAACGACTGGCTCTGGCCGGATTTCAGGCTACCAAACGGCACGCCCTCCTTCTCGGCGGCTTTGGCGGGCCTGGAACGCTGGAAGGAGAAGAAGCCGCTCAGCTTGTTCGGTGGGGGCTCCGTCGCAACAGGCGATGGAATCGTTGCGGTGGCGTTGAGTGACAGTCTATCGGATGCGTCGTTTTGGAAACTGGGGAAGGGTAGGTGGCTCGACGACCCGTGTGGACTGGAGAAGATGCTGAGAGATCTCCCAGATGACGCAGGCGACTGTGGCGCGTTGTCGGGAGAAGCTTGTTGCGGCGGAAGAAATGGGTCCGGGCCAAACCTGGAGACAGGAATGGGCTCATCGTCATCGATATCCGCCATTAGATTAGATGGCAGGAGAGCGGTAGCCGATGGGCTGAGCGGAGCAGTTCTTGTGCTCGACTCGTCCGAGCGGCCGACATCCGCTGAGTGGTCCATGAACGGACCGGGGGCGAAGCCGGGAGGCGCGTTGGCGGATCGTGAGCTGGCAAAGCCAGCGGGTGCCGAAATTGCCGAGTCTATCTGAGAGTACGACGGCAGCGACGTCGCTGGGATTGAGAAGTTTGTTCCAGCCCGGCTCCGCTGAGTCAAGTGCGTGGCTGCCGAGTGGTCGAACTCCAAGCCGGATGTGTTTGGCTGGTTAAACAAACCAAAGGGAGTCGGAGCCTGGGGAATGTGTTGTATCTGGATGCCGAGAATGCGAATCTGCTCGTCCAAGGCTCTGGCCCGCTTAGACTCCAGGACGTAGGCATCCTGCAATTCCCTTCCCGTGCCCGTTTTATACCACTCCCGCCTCTCTTCGGATATCTTTTCACGCCATTCACCGTCTTCGTCCCCACCTGGCAGCTCCTTCCGGTCCTCTTCTAGCTTCCTCACCACCTCCCTCTTCACCTTCAGCTCGGTCTCTAGCCGCGAGCACTCGGCCTGCAAATCGCCGTTCTCTTCCCGGGACTCCTCCACCTTCTGGTCCCGTTCTCCCTCAAGTTCTGCCATCTGTTGCTTGAAACTGTCGCAATCTCGGCGCATCTCCTCCAATCCCTTCTCCCACTTGGCGATGTTGTCGTGGAACTTTGCGCGCTCATTCTGCTTCTCTTTGAGGAGCTTCTCCTTCTGCGCCTTGCGTTGCATGGCATTCCTCATCGAGCGGTCCGTCGCGTGCACATCCCGCTTCAACCTTTCGGTTTGCTCCTCCTTCTTTTTCTGTTCCTTCCTCCTCTCTCGCTTCTCCGCTTCTAGCTCTTCCATCACCAGCCTATTGTCGCCTTCCTCTTTCGCAATCTGCGCCATCACATCTTCTGTCTCTTTCCGGATAGCCTCGAACTTCTCGGTCAGTTCTGGCAGGGTCTGCTTGAGATCCGTCTTGGCTTCCTCTCGCACCGGCTGGTCGATACTTGTAGTCGATGGGGAATGACGCCGCGATACCGTATTTCGGCGTATGCCTGGCCCGGCTGAAGAGTTCACATCCCGCACGGGCGATGCGCTCGGCTCCTGGTGGACCGTTGGAATCTCCAACGCAGGTATCGGGCTGCGAACCCCCCCAGGTTCGTCACCAGTCTCGTTCGGCGTCGGTCCTCGTGGCTCCTCGGGAACGAAGTTGGATGGGAGGCGAGAGTTTCCCAGCTGCGGCCGCCCGTCGCGGCCAAAAGTCCTCAGCCGGATGACCCGGCTGCCGGCCTGGAAGTTGTTGAAACCAACAGCAATTACGCGCACATTGTAGAAGTGGTTTGGCTTCAGGCCGCTGACGACGATGGCGGGCTCCTGGTTGGCGGCGACCTCCCCCACTAGTGAAAAAATTATTAACCTCTGTGCCGGACAAGATCCGTGGTGGCAGGTCCGAACTCACCCACCACGCCGTTCACCTGTATCAGAAACTTTTGCACCGATCGGTTCGCCGGCGGGCGCGTCCAGTTTACGGTGGCGGCATCGGCTCGGATTTCGGCGAGCGACACGTCCGGCGAATCGGGAACCTCGACACCCAGGATGTTGATTAACTCGGGCACCGGCTTCCATAAAGTTTGCCACGCTCTCCGAACCAGCCTGTGGAGACGCACAATGAGCCCGATGCCGAAGCACGGCGGACGATTCGCGAAAGCGCAATCCAGACAACATTGAATAGGCAACAACAGCCGGCGCAACTTACCAGACGACAGCGACACCTGTTACCAGCATCTTCGAATGCCTGAGAACGAAAAGATGGAGGCGGAGGGAGGTCAGGGCATTGACGACCAGGGCGTAGACCGAGTAGGAAAGGTCGCGGCACAACTCGGGCGCGACGGCCCAGCAGAATAGGGCGGCGCCGGCAGCGGCGATCAGGTTGATGCGGGCGTTCTTAGGCTCGGTGAACCACCAGGCGAGGCTGGCCGACAGGACAAGGAGCGTGGGAACCAGCGACGTCCAGGAGAGCCATGACATGACGCTGTGGTCGGGAGGAACAGCGAGGAGGGGTGGCCGGGTTGTTGGACAAATGCCGCGCAACCTGCGAAAAGGATGGACGGGAGTGGGGGTCGGGGGGGAAAAGAAGGTGAGTTGCAGAGACATCTGAAAAGGGAAAAAAACGAGATGCGGATGACTGGCTCCCTGCGCCGAGATCCGCTTGGCTTGGCACTGCCTGCATTGACCCCGTCGGACTTGCTTTACGGCTGGGATTTGGATGCTTCTCACTGGCCGTGAAATTTGGGGACTCTTCGCAGTTGCCAGACAAGCAAATGACGGGCTCCATCAAGACAAGGGAGATTCCAACTGTGGAGCTCTGATGCCCTCTGTCGTGATCGACATTTCTTTTACACGTGTAGCTGCATTGGTTGGTGGTGGAGATGACTGCCGAAATTGTGGCCTCTGGACGTAAGCATGTGTCGCATGTCAGTTGCGGTGCTCGCTGTCCACCTGGCAGCCACCTGCGCTTGCCTGCCACTTGACTTCTCCGTTTGCCGGGCAGGGTTGTGAAATACTATCCATGGCTCATATAACACATGAATGTGGAAGCAAAGAGGGCAGCTTAATACTTGGTTGACCTCATAGGTCTCCACGGTATTCAGATTTGTTTCATGGCCTTTGTAACGGCGTCCGAAGCCGTGGGCAGGCAGCGACCAACCCGACTCACCCGACAAGAGGGAAGATCGACATTCAAAATGTGCACAGCCGATCAACTGCATACACGATGAGGGGACAACATCCTGTGGGATACTACATCTGCAAATGCCTGAAGTTGGAAACCGACGAGCTACGGATTGTCTCAAGTTTGTGGCAGCATTTGATGGTCATTCTTGATGTTGGATAAGAACACTGCCGTCATGGGCGGGAGAACGGGGCCATCATCAAGCACACACCACTCCACCCCATCGACCTGAACTATTACTGTTCAGACCCCATAGCGCCATGACGTCCGAGAAATCCCCACTGGGCAAAGCGTGATGGACCGGAGTGAGGTATGTGTGACTGTTTCAGTTCCCGATTCTCACATCGGTGGCATGACACCGAAGCCCTCTAAGTCAGAGACAACATGCAAATACAGTCAACCACATCCCCCTCCCTTCACTTGTCCGCCGTCTTGACGCCCTTCTCGGGCATGACAAGATCCCTTAGCCTAAACCGCGTGACGAAATTGTTCTGCTTGACAAACCAAGCATTGACAATCTCCCACTCCGAGTTGGGGTCGTCAAAGGAGATCTGTTCCAACCATGTCAGCCGAGTCCTCTTTCTCTCTTGGAGGTGTAAGGCAGGAAAAAAGCCTGAGAGACCACATACCTCGAACCGCCGCAACATAGTCGGCACCAGCTTATAAATCTCCAGCAAGCTAATATTCTTCCCAATGCACGTCCTGCTCCCCATGCCAAACTGCAGCATGGTGCCATTCATTGCTTTGACCCTCGCCTCATCCCCTTCCCCATTGACCTCCCATCGCTCGGGCCTATACACCTCAACATCCTCCCCAAAGATCCTCTCGTCCCGATGCAACACCCACGCCGAGCACCCCACAATCGTCCCGCCCTCGATCCTCCTCCCCGCGATTTCCAACCCCCCTTTGGGCACGACCCTCTCCATGGGCAAGCCCGGGGCAGGATGCAGCCGAAACGCCTCCTTGACGCACGAGTCCAGATACGGCAGACTCTGGCTCTCGTGCCAGGTAACCACCCCGGTCTCATAGTCACTAAACCTGCCCTCCCGCGCGGCGTCATCAATCTCCCTCGTCAACCTCTCTAGCGCACGCGGGGTTTTTAGCAGATAATAAAACACAGCCGACAGCGAGATGGCCGTCGTCTCGGACCCCGCAAACGCCATGCTCACCGCCATGGTCTGCACCAGCGTGTCGGTCATGAAGTCCGGGCGGGCCTCGCGCGCCGCGAGGAACTTGCTCAGCAGATCCGGTGATTTGACCGTCACTTTTTCGGACGTGGGCAGCACCGGCTCGCCGTCCTCGAGGATCTCCGGCAGGCGCTCCGTCATGCGGGCTCGCGCGAACTTGGCGACGGGGAAGGTCGCGTCCAGGAGGCCCCATTCGGAGAGCTTGAGGTAGATTGGGTTCTTAAGGAAGAGGCGGTCTAGGAGGGGGATTTGGCCGATCTAGAAAACCAGGGTGTGTTGTTAGTCGGGGGGAAAGAGGAAAAGGGGAAAAGGCGGTTAGGGAGGACGTTACGGGAGCCACGTAGAGGAAGAGCTTGGTGAGATAGGCGACGATGCCGTCGACGTCCTCGTTCTTCTCGATGAAGCCGTGGCGCTTGCTGTAGGTGATCTCGCCGATGACATCAAAGGCATAGAACTGCAGCCAGCGGGTGAAGTCGCAGGGGCCCGGCTGGTCGATGTACAGCCGCTCCGTCTGCTTCAGGAACAGCTTGGTCGTGTTGTCGACGAAGGGCTCGTACTGCACGAGGGCCGACATGGCAAAGGCCGAGTTGACGCAGCGGCGGAACTGCATGTGGAAGTCGTTGTCGGTCGTGCTGAAGAGCGACGGCAGCGTGTGGCCCTTAACCACGGACTGCTGGACAACGTAGAAGTCGGACTGCGCGAGTCAATAAAACTGAAGCTTGGCTGACATGTAAGTCCAAAACACACCTTGATAAAGCCCTTGTTCAGCCCGTAGATGGTTCTGAGCGCTTCTGGGTCGGCAAACGAGAGCGTGTTGGGCCCGAGACGGACAACAGGGCCGTACTTTCTGTGGAGGGCGATGTGTGACCTCTCTGGCCGGCGGCCGTAGACATCAAAGAAGCGCCACCAGTCCGTCAGGGACGCCAGGAAGGGGCCTGGATACTTGTTGAGCCCATTGTGATACCGGTTCCTTACCAGCCAGGCAAGGACGACAGCGAGGACAATAGGTAGCCAGTGCTGGCTCAGAACGTGTGCTATCTGGTCTGTTATCATGGCGCTCTAGGTCTGTGGTGTCGACGGAGCCAAACTGGCGGCTTTCCTTGTTGAAGAGGCCAGGCCAGCTACGGGAGCGGGAGGGTGTTGAAGAGAGGGGTGCGTGGTAGTGACAGCAATAGCTGGGTGCGAAGTGGTGGGTTCATGCGAGGCTCTTTATCTCAAAGGCAGGAAGGGCCCCCGAGGACCCGAGGAGTGGGTTGCCGCCAATGCCGAGCTGTTACGGGGTGCCAGGTCGGGGTGGGCCGTCGAATAGCATCCGGCGGGCAAGGCGAACTAGGTAAGTCAACCATCTAGCCACCCGGTACTTCGGCAAGGTACTTGACCACCAGCCTTGACAGTTGTCAAAAGCTGCTCGATCCTTGGCTGGTCCTGCTTGTGCAGCCGCAGAGGTGCGGATCCGGAAGCCCACAGGGCGGGAAGATATTGACAGGTGACCGGAGCTAAGACGAGTCTTAGACGACCCAGGCGTGAGCGAGGCCCAACCAGCGGTTTAGTTCCCGGCTCGCCAGAGCGGGGCCTACATCCCGAGAGACGCCCGCGCTGTCTCATGACGGATCGTTCCAATCAGACTGTCAGTCGTAACTGCACGGCTCGGCATAAGAATCACCTCTCGACTTCTTCTTCCCACAATCGGGAAGCGAAGGTTGGCCGGCGGTACAGCGTCTTACATGGACATACTGCTACCTGGCTGCCGTCGAAGTCAAGGGAAGCAAAGGGTAACGATACGGGAACCATCGGTCTCCGCAAACAGCCCGCCAGGGCGAGGTGAGAGCTTGCACACCTCAACCCACGTCATCCGTTGCGTAGTTAGCAGGGTCCCGTCCCCGGACGCTGGGCTCACAGAGTCGACGTTGGAACTGTATTACCGGGGCCCGGGGAGGGCACATGGTGGTGGGGCCGTGGAGTACGGGCTGTCAGTGAGGGGGAGGATCCGTCGGCAGATGTCAGGTCCAATCGCCCGGCGCAATCACCGCCTGGCGGATTCTCCCCCAGCATCTCCACATGGTCTTCCCGTCGTCTTGGCAGCGGTTGTGGTTCCATCAGCGCATGGAATGCTGTCAGCTACTGCACGCCACCGGATGGCATCACGGCAAGACGTGTGGTGCTGTCAACGAGAGAGGGCGAGGCTGTCTTGTGCCGAGTGTTTCGCGAAACGGCGAAAAGGCAAAGCAATGATGTTGAGCAAGTTTGGGACACAAGCAGCAGCACTATAGCCACGACATGCGCGCCAATCGCCCGACAAACGTGCACGTAGCCGGTACGGGCTGCCGGGTAGACCAGAAAGCAGAACGGTCGCATTCGGCAAACCATAAATCCACGTTGAGATGACTGACTGAGGAAAGATCTGCGTGACGTGTTGGGTCAAGCTGGGTGCTTGCACAGCTGCTCGGATCGGAAACGAGCAATCACTGCAGACATCGCCAGACTACGGCTTCGGAAAGTTTGATGCATCAGAAAACGAGCAAACGAGACTCGCTCTTTCGCATTCATCAGAATAGGGCACAGCATAGGACTGTCGAAGATGCGCCCTGCGAGGTTTCAGGTAACTTCCAGGCGGGTCCAGTGGTCGACGCATGTGCCGAACGGCGTGTTGAGTCGCGGACTGGGCTCGCTGCAATGCTCAGGTTTCGTGTCTTGGAATGTTTCGGCAGATGGTTAGCAGCAAGTCTCGGGAGTGGCTTATGTAAGACAACCTTACCATCACCCCCTTCTCAGCCTGTAAAGGGGACATTGAGCAGAACACAAGGAAGAGAGGGGTGCTCTGGAAGAATTGAGACAGCTGGTTACGATCACACTGGCGTCCTTAAAAGACATTGTTGAATCCCGTGTAACTAAAAGCCTCGGTCTAACCAAATCTAAGACCATGCACCCCAACCATAGTACAACTAGAACGCCCCCCCGTGTATCCGTATCTGCAATGCTGACTCGCTGCCCGTGATCCGATTCCCTCCACTGAAATTCGATTTCCCAACCGCTGTTCACAGCCTGAGCCTGCACCCAATCCGTACTCGAAGGAGAAACCAGATCAACACACGTTAAAAATGAAACCAATTCCTGATCACACAGCCCTCTGCTTTCCCTTATCCTTCCGCCTCCCCTTGGAAGCACAAGCGCTGCTCAGGGAGCGGAGAAAAGCTCGACACGGCTACACTCTCGCCCATCTGACTGATCCAATGTGCCGTGATTGCCCTAGGCCGTCCATCGGGTTACGGCCGGCATGTCTGCGGGCACCGGTCGGACAATTTGGGCATAATCAGGTCTCCCTTGCTCGCATTGCCGACTGCAGCAGGCAAACCGGACTTCCTCTAGCCTTGTGTGGATCTTCGCGTCCAACTGAACGGCCGGCTCTGACCCAAGCAAACGCAGAAGAGATGGCATCTCTGCGGTGTATCTGATATAACCGGCCCGTCGAGCCAAGTTTATCCTCTTCTCTGACAGGCAACCCCATCGCCAGGTCCTCATAAGTCAGGGTGCCCCTCCGATGGAAAACAGGGAACAAGTCATTCTCCAGGGCTGAGGACTCCCTCCACCCCCGGCTCCCACGGCAGCCACCCGAGGTTGGCCCAGACCGCGGCGCAGAACGCGGTAGACCCGGTGATCCCACGCCTTCGCCTGCTGCGCCCCCTCCCCTTCCACTGCCACCTCCACCACAGACTCGCCAGCAGCCGCAGGCCTCGCCAGCAGCCGCAGGCCTCTAATCCTCCGCCTCATCCTCCGAATCCGACATGTCACCCGGCACCAGCGACCTGTACCGGCGACTCGCCAGGTCCTCCTCCAACCCGCCCTCGCTCTCCGGGTCCACATATCCCTCCCCTCCCAACAACGACAGCGCCACGGGCAAGAACACCAGCGCATGGCTGGCGGCAAACACGACGAGCGCGACCCACACCCTGAAATAGTAAATCTCAAAGATCTTGCTCCTCGTGAAAGCAAGCACCGTGACGCCCAGCACTTTGGTGACCGTAATACCCGAGAACACACTCCCACCCACATTCGCCAGCGCAGTCCACGCGCGCGCGTCCCGCCCCCGAAACCGGTTCTTTGCGCGCTCCATAAAGGTTCGGCTAGGGAACATGAAAGCGCGAGCGACGTGGGCGCAGAACTCGACGGCGATGCCGACGCAGATGATCAGGTTGACCAGCGACACGGCGTTGAGCGAGACGCCCATGAGCGCCATGGCGCCGACGATGTCAACCAGCGCCATGGCCACGGTGAGTGTGACGACCGCCGCCGTGAGCACAGAGCCCAATAGCAGGGAGGAGACGACCAAAACGATGGCTAGGGCCGAGCCCAGGAGGGTGGTGGTCAGCGACACGAGGGTCGTGTACTGGTCGAAGAAGATGTAGAAGACCGAATAGGGGAAGACGTCGAGGCCCGTGCTGGCGCTGATGTCGTGCGCGATGCGGCGGGCAGAAGCGTGGGCTCTGATGAAGTCTTGCTGACTGCGGAGTGGGGAATGCATCGTGCGGAAGTGGCTGGCGCGGATGGTGTCGCGATCTGTGTCGACGACAACGGCGGAGCCGTAGGACGCCTGGCCGGCTAGCGGACAGTCCTCGTTGGTCGGAGCTGTGAGGAACTTCTGGAGGTAGCGGACGAATTCGTCGCCTTCCGGCATGCCGGCTAGCGTGATGTTCCACTCCGGCTCGCGCCGCCAGAAGCACGGCTTGCGGCGCTCGACGCAGCAGGCTTCGTTGTCGGGGTTGAGCCACTGGAAGAAATCGTCCAGCCAGCCGGCGGTTGGGGATGAGATGTAGGAAATTTCCTCGCGCTTCCGCTCCTGCTCAAGGATGTTGGTAAGAGAGAGCTGCTCGCAGGTGGTGAAGCGAGAGCAAATCCTCTGCTGCCGTTCTCTTTGGGTGCCATTGAACTCGCGTGTGACAAAGTAGACAGGCGGTCCGGCGTCAAAGTAGTCGTAGAGATCGTTGAAGTATGGGATCAAATATGAGTCGTCGGGAATCGCAACACGCTGGTCTAGCCCAAGCTCAACCTCCGGCAGCAGAGCCAAGCCAGCAGCAAAGATGCCGAGGAAAATAGCAACGACCGCCGCCTTGGTCTTCTTCCCCAGCAGCCTGGGGGCATACGTCTTGCGGATGAACTGCTGCAGCAGGCTCTCCGCAGGCGCATCGTAGTAGCGAGCCCCGTTGGTACCGCCGTTCCCGTTCAGGTGTATCCTCGCTGACTTGACTTGGACGCAGGGGAAGCAGTCGGCGCGGGAGTCCTCGACTCGGATCTGGTTGAGGGTGAGGACTGAGACAAACATGGTGACTTGCAGGATGGCATTGATGAAAACAGCGCCCGCCGCATAGATGGCAAAGTTGCGCACAGCTGGCATGCCGACGAAAGCGCCCAACACGAAGCACAGCGTCTCGGTAATGGCCGAGAAGAGAATCGACGGGCCCATGCGGCCAAGCGCTCTCGATATCCGGACCTCAACTACATCATCGGGGTGGCTGATGTTTACACGCTCAAACTCGTGGACAATGAGGAAGATGTTGTCAACGCCGACAGCCAGAATGATGAAGGGAATAACGTCGACGATGATGAGGGTGGCCTTGAGGCCCACCCAGGAAAAGAGGCCGATGGACGCCGTGATGGACATCAGCACAATGACGATGCCAACCACGCCAAGGGTGAATTTGGATTCCACTAGTGATATGGCTGGGTTGCGCATAAGGTCTCGGAACGACAAAGTCGTCGATCCCAACGCGAAGGATGCGTAAAGAAACATGATGATGTAGCTGATGACGATGATCTTGGCGTCGGTGTTGGTCGACTTGTTGAGCTCCTGCTCGAGGCTGATCTCGGTGGAGAATGACAACCTGAGGTTGCGCTCTCGAGCTTCGTCCTGGAGCGTCAGCAAGCGGTTCTTCATGGCCTCCTCCCAATCCATGGCGCGGTTTGCATCGGGTGACCCCTCCGGGTAGTTGTTCAGAACCCAAGTGACTGTCATGGCCGTTGCCTCAGCCGGATCGCCAGACTCGGAGTATCCGCCAAAAATCATGTTTGGCTCCAAAGGTTGGCCGTACTCGGGTCGACAAGCAACCGGCGAGTCAGCGCATTCGCGCAACCTGTCTTTCCACCCCCGCGGGTCAACCATCTCGGGATCACCCTGAAAGTATGCCGAGACCGACTGAACGACGCAGGCATCGCCGGTCGGCTTGAGGCAGAGGTCCTGGAGCGTGCTTCCGTACTTGGGGCCTCTGAGCTTCCGAACGCTGGACTCCACATCCATCCACCAAAGAAGCGTGTCATAGCTCAGCAGGGGAGCAGGCGCTGAAGAGTTCAAGTCGTTCACGAGAAAAATTTTCTCGGTCCGGTAAAAGGGCCCAAAGTTTTCATCGAAAAACGCCTTCTCCTGAGCCGCGGGCGACGTCGGGCTCACCCACAAGCGGGCTGGGTCCTTTTCGATCTCAAAGTGGAACCAGCCAGCGCTGAGTAGCAGGACCACAAGCGTGCTGCCCACAATGGTCAGCGCGGGGAACCTGGCTGCCATGTGCCCTAGCCGGGAAAACGCGGCATCACACCACATATTGACAACGTATGTGCTCTGTGGCCGGTCAAACATGGCGCCGTTCTCGGTGAGATCGCCCTCGTCTTCGTCATCGCTCGGCGCAGCATCGGTCAGCAGCCGCAGCCGCTCGCTCCTACGCCGCGAATGCCTGCTCCAGGCGAAATGACCCGCCACGGCGGCGACGCACATGAATAGCAGCAAACTGTACGTCAGGATGGAGGCGAACGACAAGCACGGCAAGGCCCCGACGTGGCACGACCCGGCCTTCTCGATATCCGGGAGCTTGGGACATACCGCGGGGCAGTCGATGCAGGCGCAGCGGAAGTTGGGGTCTTCGTCGTTACACTTCTTGGGTTTCATCGGCAGCGGTTCCATACCTGGCTCGCTGTAGCTTTGCGGGAAGTTGATCTGGAACGGAGAGCCTCCAAACCGCTCCTTGCCCAAGAAACTGAGCAACTCTGTGTGATTCTTGGCCCCGCCGCCGATCAGGTCCATGGCCCGCGAGTTTGTCGGGCCAAACTTGACGTCCTTACAGCTGTTGTAGAACCCGGACGCATACTTCTCGGATATCAGCTGGTCCAGTTCCGTCACCAGCGTCTTCCCGTTCTTCTCCATTGTTTTGGTCACGTTGACGAAGAGCGACTGATCGGGCGAGCAGGTGAAGGTGCAGAACATGTTGAAGAAGTTCTCCTTGCAAGCCGGACACGTCGATATAATCTGGTTCGCCGTCTTGAGATTCGACTTGAGCGCGTCGACCTGCTCGGCGTTACAGCAGACCGGGCCGGTGGCCCATTTTGGACCGCACAGCTCAGTCAGTTGCCGGCGCAGCTCGACGTCGGGTTCCTCGGCGGGCCCATTGTCGACACAGGGCAGCTGGCTGCCGAAGAAACTCTTGGATCCGCAATGACCTCGGATGGCGCAGCGGCCGGCTTCGTGCTTCGGCGTGTAGACGGTGGCGGCGGCGGACCCGAGGGTTGTCAGCAGGAGCCCGCCTGATGCGACGAGGCGCGAAACTTTTGTCATGGTCGGTGATCAGCCGCTCAGCGGCACGACGACCGAGGGGAAACGTATGAAGTTGATTTGGATCAAGTCAACGTATCGAAAATGCGGGAAACTCTGGTGTAGGTGGTGAAGTAGAGAGTGATGGATGCAGAGTATATGTTGGCGTGATGTGGATGTTGGCGGCGGCAGGAGCTCAGCGGACCACCTGCTCAGTGCTACCTGGTGACATGCCGTCATGCCGTCAAGGGTGCCACAAGCCTGTTGTGCACAGATCGATGCTGATTAGCGGAGTCATTTGGGGTTGGGCCCGTTCCTGGGGATCCGCCTGAGGGCTGCAGCAAACCCTGTCGCAATGGAAGTGCGCTCCTTTCTGGGGAGTGTACATGAGAACCTGCGTCAGGAATCGGGTGCATTGAACATGGTTGTTCTCAGCCTTTTTGAATGTCTTCACCTTCTTCCGTACTCACAAATATTCTGGTTACCTACATACAGAGTTACTGCGATGCCATCCAATCCGACTCTATTTTCCTTGACCGATCACAAGTCCCAACCTAGAGAGAGCTGTCCGTTACCCACGCAATACTCAGATCGACATTCATATCGGGTCAGGTCCAGTTCCGACCAATACCTTGACAGAATGCCTCCGATCAACCAAACATGGCCATAACCCCAACCCAAAGTCAACACAAAATCCAGCCTCTCGGCCATGTCTAGTCCAACAACAAGCGCACACCGGACATGCTGACCCCTTTGCGCCCAAACTCCAAGCCGACAGGCCATCAGATCAGACCCTGCCCGTAACATAAAACTTCCCCGTCAGCGTCTCCACCTTCCACCCATCATTTTTGAGAAACGCCCCGACGGCCTGGCGCAGACGGGACACGCCGCCAGCGCTGTGCTTGCCCACCCCGGTGACGATCGTGAAGCCGTTTTGCCTGGCCAGCGCCTTGCGGTTTTCGCCTAGGCCGTTCCACCACGCCCAGACCCGCTGCTTGGCGATGCGGACTCCGTCCATAACGAAGACGCCGTGAAGATCGACCAGAGTGGCGGTGCTTTGCCGGGCGACGTGCGCCTCGGCCGCCTGCGAGGCACGAACTGTCAAGGTGCCCCGCTCTTCCCGGGCTCTTTCCGTGTAGACGACGGCGCCTTGACGGCCAAGAGGGCCCATCCGTCGGAGTGAAGCGGCGGCGCGCATGCTGACGGCGCCGAAGTCGCTGGTCACGGGTGATGAGTCGGACGGCGTTTGTGCTAAGCGGGGTGTACTTATGGCTGGGAGAACGGTGGGAGCTGACGGCAAAACACGCCGTGTGAGGCCTGCTCCTCGTGAGTCGGCGGACTGGGCGAAGTCCTTTGCGCCCTCAAGCTCTCCTTCGTCGACGGTAGACGAGACAGCCTTGTACTTGATGGCTAAGACTTGCTTTTTGGTCTTGCCGTTCCCTTTTCGGGCACGGCTGGTTTTGCCCTTGGCGGGTAGATCCTCGTCCAGGTTGAAGAAGCCATCAATACCCTTGGGGAGGACGCTCGAGTCCTCGAGGTGCTGACGGTTGAGTAACTCGTCAAACGCGCGTTCCAAATCTCCGCCGGTCTGTTTGAGTATGTAGGCAAGCGTGTGATCCCTGAACCTGCCTTGAAAAACAAGCCCGAGTTCTTGGATCTTCTGCTCATCGCTCAGATTAGTTTCCTCGGTAAGCCTTCGATTCTCAGACTGGTCTGAGTACTCGGAGATGCTGGTCGAATAGTCGGCAAAAGAATCGAGACCGTTGCCGCTGGTGGTCGTCTCGTCAAGGCGCAAGCCCTCAACCTCGGCTACGCTGCCTAGGCCCGATGGGTCAAATCCCGTCGCTGCTTCCGCGCGGGCAGGACCGGCCAGTTCGTCCAGAACTTCACTAATATCCGCGTAGTCTTTCACAACGTCTCTTTCATTGACAATCAAGATGATGAGAGACTCATCCAGTACTGAACCATACTCCTCCTAAGGCGACAATGTCAGCAAGATGAGAAGACCAAATATAACAGGGGAGTAGAAAACAATCAAAACAAGGCCACCAACAAGTAGCTTCCTTCGATTCCGCTCGGCGGCATCGCCATCCGCATCGGCATCGGGGTCGGGGGGGCGCGTGGTATTCATCCCCAAGATATTCTACGTTTCCGAAACCAGTAAAACGGATTAGAGAGACGAGAAAAACAAAAACAGCACAGGGGCAAGTTGATCAATGATGTGTTCGACTGAAGAGACATGATGATCCCGTCGAAGGTTGTTGGTCGTTTGTCGCGCCAATGGAGCGTTGTCCGTGACCTTTGAGACGCATCATTTACAGGGCGAGCACAACGAGGAACACCTTCATCCGTATTCGTCGTTGATAACAGTCTAAGTAGTTATCCGTATCTAAAGTGGGTCTGTATCCCAGTCAAACGTAGCCATGTATTAATCGGGGTGCACTCGCCGGTCGGCGGCTAAGATCTGTCAATGGTTGTTTGGTTGATGAGTTTTCAGTGTTTTGCTGCACAACCTCATCCATGCAGACGGGACTTGCTATGTAGGTTGTAGACACGAGGTCACAACTCTCTTGGCGTTGCTGGGATTCTTCTCTGTCCCTTCAGAAAATGAGTCGGAAACCACGTAATGCTTACTTTTAAGGAGCGACTTTATCCATCTGCATCAATTCTTCATATTCTCATGCATTGGATACATCACCGGGTTTGCTTGTTCTCGTGTTGTTCGTGGCTGCAACGATCATGGCTTCAGAAGATATGGAGCGCCACACCACGGGGACCCGGCTCACCATCCCAATGTCGAGACATCTCTGCGTAGCGCAGCAGTTTGACCTCGATCTTCGGTATCCTCCCGGGGTCGATTCAACTACAGCCCTCTACGGAGGTATCGGATTCGCTTCGGCTCGGAGCTCCTGCGGGCATTAACCAATCTGGGTTGTCGCAGGAAAGGGAAGAACAAGGTGACACTGACCAGGCAGATAGCGTTATCCACTGCGTTGGGACACGCGGTGTCTCTCTGCTATGCCTTCAGCTCCTCTGAGAACTGCACGTCAATTCAGCCTCGAGGTGACGCAGGCAGACTCAGCCGCATCTACAGTATATCGACCGATCAGAATGTTCCAAACTGCTGGAGGCAAAGCACGTGGCTACCCCCGCTACCAGCCCAATCCGACAGCCAACGACACAAGAACGTCTGAAAGATACACCCTACTACCCTCAACATACGAGCAGCTATAAACGAAGAGGTTTTCGTCCAGCGTGACCAGGAAGCGGGGGTGCATGGCCGTGACGAGGAAATAGAGCAGATAGTGCGAATTGGACGTAATGAGCTGCTGGCGTGGAACAAATAGGTCCGCATCCGCTGGCTTTGATGAGGTGGCCACTCTTCTCCTTGATATGGCTCAACGCTGACCATGAGAGAGCTGCGGCGCAGATGTGGAATCTGTGAAGGTCACCGCGTGGCTTCCCAGCTTCGACTTTGCGACGAAGCAGGTTGACTTTTCGAATCGGCGGCAACCCGGAACGGGCGAGTGGCTTCTTTTGGATCCTGCATTTCAAAGTTGGCTGGGGTGAGAGCAGCAAACTCTATGGTGCCCTGGGCTCCGTAAGCATCGGCCGGCCTTGCTCTATCATCAATATGATGTCGCTAACTCCTTACATTATCGAGGAATAGCGGGCGCTGGCAAGACAACCCTGGCGTATGGGGGTCTTATTCCGAAAGCACCAGGAGCGCTTAATGATCAAGATGTTTCAAGTTGCTAACCAAGGTCTACAGAGCAATGGTTATTGATTGGCTCAAGAGCCAGCATCGAGGCATCGCCATCTACCTGTGCTGCAGCTACAAGGAAGAGCACTTCCAAACGCCGCTTCATATGGTAGGAAGCCTGTTAAAGCAGATCATCCAGCATAAGGCCGCGCTTCCCGATGAGGTGCGCAGCCTATACGAACAACACCTGCGGAAGAAGACGCTTCCCAAGCTGGACGAGCTTGCTAAGCTTCTCGTGCAAGAGGTCAAGACCTGCTCCACGGTCTTCGTCGTAATTAACGCTCTAGACGAGTGTCTTGAACGCGGCAACACAGGGGGCATAATGCTCGACGATATTCTAAGGTTGCCATGCAATGCGCGCATTCTTATCACCTCTGAGTATTCTCCGACGATCGAGGACAGGTTCGAGAGCATCCCGCACATCATTGTTGATATCCGCGCAACAGAAGAAGACGTCAAACGATATGTCCGAGCCTGCGCCGAAAAGGAGAGAGCGCTTGCGAAGCATCTCCGCTCAAGCCTGGGCCTGATGGAGCATATTGTGAACACCATAGCTGAGGAGAGCAAAGGAATGTACGTTTTGTGTCTTGTTATTTTGTCCCGCTTCCAGTCCCCATCATCATGTGTTCTCGCATATGACCTCGCTCGTGCTGATTTTCACTCTTGGGCATGGACAAGGTTCTTGCTCGCTCGGCTGCACATGGGCAGTCTGTCAAAGGAGCTCACTCGCCGAGAAGTCCGCGCAGCGGATCCAAAGCCAGGATGAAGGCCAGGCCGCCCTCGCTCACAAGGTGCTCTATTGGATCTCGTGTTAGCTCCGGCCACTCACCGTGGTTGAACTGCAGCATGCGCTGGCGGTTGAGCCTGGCGACTGCGACCTTGACGAAAACGGTCTCCACGAACCAGAGCTGCTGGTCTCCATATGCGCCGGCCTGGTGACCGTGGACGAAGAAAGCCACCAGATTCGCCTTGTGCACTACACGACGCAAGATTATTTTACGCGCATTGGAATAGCCGAGTTGAGCGTAGTGCCTTCAACGATCGCCAGGACCTGCCTGACATACCTGCCGTTTGACCCGTTTGCTGAACGGTGCTGCTCGAGTACAGGAGAACTCGAGACTCGACTAGGTAACTATCCATTTCTGAGGTACGCCGGCAGGTACTGGGGCGATCTCGTATGCGACGTAACGGAGGATGACATTCGCGAGCTGGCCTTGGAATACCTAAGCAACAACATCAGCATTCAGAGCGCCCACCAGACCGCCGACGAAAAGCAGGTCAGATTCGGCCGTCATTTCATGGACGCTATGGCTCCGAACTGAACTCGGTTACACGCCGCCGCCTCGTCAGGCCTCTTCGAGATTGCGGAGGCCTTGCTAGCTGTTGGGGTAGACGCAAACGCAATGTCGGAGAGGCGAGCAACCCCCTTCATTTGGCCGCAGCGGGTGGCCATACTCGAGTGGTCCGCTTGCTGCTGCAGGAGGGAGTCGTGGTAGCACCTGAGTCGAATGGGAGGCGAACACCATTGCACATGGCCGCCGAGAACGGACACGAATCTGTCGTGCCCCTGCTCATCCGCGCAGGAGCGGTCGGGGACGGTGACAGAGACGAATATGAAGACGAAGACGAAGACGCAGAAGAATACACAGACGAAGACAAAAACATAGACGAACACACAGACGATGAGGATGAGGATGACGAGGACGAAGACGAATACGATGATGATGACCATGACCGGTGGGAGGGATTAGGCGGAACCCCCGTGCACCGAGCTGTCGAAGTGGACGAAGAGGCTTTGGTTCTCGTGCTCCTGATCATGGGGCCGATATCTCCGCAACTGAACAAGCCGGAAGGACGGCGCTCCAGGTGGCCGTTGAGGCCGGTCATGTCAGACTTGTGGAGCCTTTGATCGCGAAGGGCATTGAAGTCTTGGCCAAGGACGAATACGGTCAAACTGCTTTACACTGCGCGGCTGCGCGAGGACAGGCCGAGGTAGTCCAAATACTAATGGCAAACAGTATCGACCACCTGGCTGAGGACCGGAGAGGGAGAACAACAATGCATGAAGCTACATCGTGTGGACACGAGAACATCCTCGAGATATTGCTCGAGTGCATCGGCAATGGGGGGGATGAGATACAGCGATGGTTGGCAACCGCACCTCTCCACGGTGCGGTCGATCAAGGAGATGAAGATAAAGTTCGGATCTTGGTGGAAAGGGTGGTGGACCCCAATATCCACACCGACGACGATATCTCTTTTCTGCACCTCGTCGTTGTCCGCGAGAAAGCTGGCATGCTACAGCTTTTCTTGGCAATTGGGGCCAGTGTTGGATCGAAGGACAGTTGTCGCAGAACCCTGTTGCACTGGGCAGCTTGGAGGAGCTACAACGTTGGCGCTCAGCTCCTGATCGACCGCGGTGCGGACGTCCAAGAGACTGATCGAGATGGGGCGACGCCATTGCATTTAGCAATTGCGTATGGCAGTGCTTCAATGGCCAAGCAACTGCTTGACAGGGATGCGTCCGACACAAGTTTAGCCCTGCCGTGGTTGTTCAAACATAACCCGTCCGGTTATCATAGCCTCATGACTGAATATAGCCATCACAACGATCACGACGGAGATAATCTTATGGAGCAAAACGAAGGAGACAAGGAGCAGCAATGGAAGTCGCATGAGGCGATATTTTATCAAAGAACGTCTAGCCATCTTTGATCTTCTTATGGGGATGGGGGCGGATGTGACTGGGCCCCGGTGTCTCCGGTACCCTCCCCTGGTGTTGGCCATCCTAGACCGCGCCGATGTGGCCTTGATCCGGCGACCAATCGAGGAGGACGCAGGCGTCGCAGGACAAAGCGGCGATGGCGACAGCGCGCTGCACCTCGCAACACATCATAACATGACGGAAGTAGTCCAGCTTCTCCTGAGGTGTGGAGTTGATGCGAATCAGATGAGAAAGAAAGTCTGGGTCATGCCTGGTGCAACGGCACTGCAGGAGGCAGCGTGGAATGGATCGGAGGATTTCGCCCGCCTGCTCATCGAAGCAGGCGCGGACGTACACGCTGTTGACGAAGACGGCATCACCGCGTTACACCAGGCAGTCTCGAATGGGCGCATCACTTGCCATCGTCGACTTGCTGCTCGCCCACGGTGTTAGTATCAACGCAGAGTATGGTTCGACGAAGGGAACAATCCTCCACCATGCAGCTACGACAGGGAATGTAGCAATGGTGCAGTGTCTGCTTCAATGGGGCCCTCGCATTGACGTATTGGATGTCGATGGGAGAACGGCTTTGGATTGGGCTTAGAGGACCGGCCACGAAGTAATGATTATTTACCTAAGATCCTACAACACATAATATCTAGCGTCTCTCTAGGGGCCGTGGTGTCGGCCTACTGGATGCCTTTGTGAGCTGGAGAAGGATAGGCGGATCAAGGTTTGGGTGAAATTTTAGGTAGACAAAGAAACCTAAAGGGATGGGTATTTGGGAAGTGGAGATTGAGGTAGAAGTTAAGAGGGGAAAGGAGGACTTGAATTCGGCTATGAACGTAGGGCACCTGAGGTTATTAGATTGCCGATGGAACGTTCCCCGACACTGCTTGCTGAGATGGCTGGTGATAGAAACGGTATGGATCTTAGAGCGGCTAGAGCTGCTGGATGAGTCAGAAGAGCAACCTGCGAGTTCCCTGTCGAGTTCATGATGCTCCGGGAACCCATCTAGCCTGGAGGAAGCGCCAGTGGCCAACGTTTGTTTGTCTGTTGGCGTACCCGATAGTGCCCGTGGCACTTATACTACTTATTTTTTAAAAATGACCAAGCCCCTTCCTGATCCTCAGATCACCTCGTCGTACAAAATGACACCCTGCCGTCGGGAATGCATGGTGGCCACTTGACATCTACATAAAATAACCAGCTAAGGTTGGCATCGACTTGCTCCGGAGTAGAAAGATAGCTGTGCCCCAGGTTTGCCAGCACCGAGTCACAACTCACACGCCAAAGGGCGGACAAGCCGCAGACAACGGGACTGCCAACAGGCTTCTTCACGGCTCAGCAGTTTGGTTGGCACTCCTGGCGACAGTAAGATTAACTCACCGTGGTTTCAGAGGGTAAGGCACTTGTACTTCAACCGAGCCAGGCGCTATCCAAGGACGGCGCTGGGTAGACACCACTCTGGCAGCTGGCGGGCGCTTTGGGAGGTTGGGGATAGGAGTAAATTTCACTGCCATTGGCTGCAGAGAGGCTGATTCCTGCAGACATGCGGAGGAAACAGCGCGTATGATGCAACCGTTGTCTTTAAACATGTAGGTGGGCGCCGAACCTTTCGATCGACGGGGCTCTACGCACAATGCCTTGGGGATGCCCTCTTTTATCCTGTAAGCAATGGACCAAAGCGAAATCCACGGCGAGACTTTTAACCGGCGCATGACGATATAGGTCAGCCGGTAAAACCTTAGTCTTGAGATTCCGGGGCGGACCGCAGATAGGCTCAGTGCAAACGGCGATGATCAATCACGTTGGCCCTGGCCTCGCTTGTCCCAGTTTGTGGGCTTCCAAAGAAACATGAAAGACGAGGATCACGGAGATCAGTAAACTCTTGGAAGAACAGTGAAGGATCCATATTGGGCCAAGAAAGGCTGCTTTTGGAAGGTGGAGGGGAATGGTTAATCGAGAAGACGATCAAAACGATGACGAAAATGAGCGGACAGACTTTTGAGTCAAGCACGGTACCATCAGTCCATGCAGAGTAAGACCATTCGACTCTTCCTGCACGTTGTTGGCGCATTCCCTTCTTTCCACGTTTTAGCAGAAAAGTTGTGATCGATACCAGTTACCTGTCTGTATCTAGGCGCCAAATTCATCAATGATGAACCCTGCACGTGATGGTGGCCGCCGGTGGCTTCGCTAAAGTGCATTAGGGGCAAGGGGGTGCGCCTGATCTCGACCGCCCGAACCCCGGCAGACCAGGCCCCGAGTGGGCCTGATTTCGATGTTAACAAGGAGGAGGAAATGCCATCCTGTCAATCTGTGCGCGTGTGTCGTCTGTCTGTGCCTGCGCCCGATAGAAAGATCCTACGCCTTTGCTTTGCAGCATCTCATCTACCGCAGTACGCAATAGCTCGAGACGCCAGTAAAGCGGGCAGCACAGCACCTTACCAGGTATTGGGTACCGGGTATTGACAGTCGACTGTGAACAGCTGCCACAGCCCCCTCGTCACCCCTCGTCCCTGACGCCAGTGAGACATTGCGCACCTTTACCAAAACGCCCCGTGTCCCGGTGTCGTACCTCTGCTCGTCCATGGCGAGGTAGAACGAAATCTCACGAGTCCCCGTCGACCCTTCCCCGACAGATCGATCCGATCCGCTGTCATTTGACGTGAACACCGGGACCAAAGCGCGCATACTTATCCTTTGGTCGCCGTCGTCGTGACTAGAATACTCGCCCTGATTCAATAAGCGCCCCTCCTTCTGCCGATGAGAAACACACAACACAACCTTGTCCGTCTTCCATCCCCGACCGCCAACGCACTCCTCGGCGTTCACTTTGGGATCTAGCCTCCTGGAGGGCCCAGCCCAAGAATCTCGATGATGGTGCGTCAAGACCTCCAGTCACAGTCGTTCCCACGGACGCCTTGGTCCGGTTTTCGGGGTGATGCGCTCGGCACTCGGCCACAGCTGCATCTCTGCTGCCTGACATGGCGTCCTGCGTATCCGGAACGGCGGCTGTCTCGCATGGAGAAAATATGGGTCCCGGTGGACCAAGGATTTGATTGTGCGAAGGACGGCTAACATTTCTTGTCTCTCTCGCAGACCTCTACCCGACCCCGCGATGTTGGCGGCAGCTTTGCGAGCCGACGTGGCCACGGTAGCCAACTCTCCATTTCGGACCCCAGCCACCACGTCACCGAAGCGATAGGAACAATGTACGGCGACGACGACGACTCGGGAGCCGAGAACGACCGGCCACTAAGCTTCATAGCAGCCAAGTACGGAGGCGAGCACTTGGATAAGGCTGAGAACTTGGGCGATCCCGTTGGCGACCGATTGCGGCTGGTGCGCACCACATCGGATCAAACAAGCTCAGCGACTCATCTGACCCCTGAACCTAACGGTGTCAACGGCGGCTCCAGCCTTCGGAAGACTCAAACATTCCCCGCGAAGTCGACTAGCGAGGGAAACAGCTTCAACGATCGTCCCAAGTCTCCTCTGCCGCCCATGCCGCCAAATCCCTCTCTAAAAGATGTCCAGAATGCGTCCGCGTCACAGTTTCCACTCACAAACATCGACAATCCGAACGACATCGCACAAGAGCTTAGTAACCTGCAAGCGCTGCGACGCATGTCGATGGATGTCGGAAACACAACACAGGACCCGGACCTCCTGCAGTTCTCTGGCGTATCGTTGATGGAAATGCCCTCGATAGCACCAACCGGCGACGACGACGAGGCGGATCCGTCCCGCCTGCTTTGGGTTCCTGCCAGGGTACACCCGGAGCTTGAACCGACGGCATTCAAGAACTTTCTCGAGAAACGGGTGCAGACGATGAAGCGCAGGTCAGGGGACCCGCTTCTCTCCGTTGACGGATTACAGCGGAATAATTCGGGCAGTTTGAGAAGGAAGAAGTCGATGCTCTCTCGACAGGTCAATTCCAGCACAGAGAGTGGAGAAGGATATGTTGACGGCGCAGAAAAGCTGGCACGGCAGCGGTCCCTCAATGAGCCTGCTGAACTCAGCCTATCTGAGCTGGTCAATGACCCCACGAAAGTGGTGCAGAAGTTGGCGCAGGAGACGAGGCAGGAAGGTGGCGAGGGTGACAGCCCGATTCTTCCCATGGCCCCGGGTATGGGTCTTCGGCGATCAACAAAGACAACGTATAGGAAGGGCGGTAGTCAACGCTTCGGGGAGCGCGCCACGTTTTCGAAGCGGCTCGCAGCGAAGCAAGCCGAGAAGGACACAACCGAAGAACCACCCCCGGTGCCAGCAGTACCGGTACTGGATCCATCCATCGGAATGCCCCTTACCCGAGTGCAGTCCGAGCCCATCACCGAAAACTATTCACGTCCAACGCGGACAGTGCGGAGGCAGCAGAACTTCTCGAGAGAGGCGCCTGGGGAAACTTTGCCGACGGCGGCGGATGAACCGCCCAACGACGAAGGTGCAAGCCCAGCCGCATCCTCCTCGCCACCAAAAATCGAGGCGCTTCCCGTCCGGTCCTTCTCAACCTCGGCTGTGCGCTCACCAGCTCCCCCTGTGCCTCAGATTGTGGAGACACCACCCGCAGAGGAAAGCCCACAGTTAGCTCAGCCTCAGGTATCTTCTCAAATACCACCGACAGAGAACTATCCCGACCAACCTGCCGTGGATGGTCCACCTGCGCGCTCGAGTAAACGCCCTGCTCCAGGCAAGCCTTCCAAGGTGCCCGTACCCGCTGCGAGAGCCAGCAGTGTCAAGGAGCAGGCCTCAAAGCAGAACCCTCTTGCCGAGATCAATCAACCACACGCTCTCCCTGGTAGCGGTGGCTCAACGACTAGCAGTCTGACGTTTATTCCCACGTTCGACACCATCGAAAAGAAGCACGACAAGAAAAGCAAGGAAAAGGATGATAGCGAGAGCATAATCTCCACCAAGTCGACTTCGAGCTGGAAATGGTTCAAGAGCGACGATAAGGAGAAGAAGAAGCGAGAGAAGGAGAAGGAGAGAGAAAGAGAGCGGGAGCGGGAGGAGCACGCTAAGAAGGCGAAGGGCAGGACAGGCGACAAGAGCCATGACCACGCGCGGATGGACGTCCTCCAGAGCTCCATTGACAGCGTCCCCAAGGGTCGGGAGAGCCTGCGTTTGGACCGGGATAGTATCGAGGGACTGCCGCATGAGGAGCGGAAGAAGGAGACCAACCGCAAGTCAAGCGAGGGCAAGAAGGAACGGGAGGGCTTCTTTGGCGGGCTGTTTGGGGGATCAAAAAAGAAGGGTGACAAGGAAGGCGGCCACAAGAAGAAAGACCACCGGCCACTCACACCAGACCCGCCTCCGCGGCCGCTTCGCCCGGACATCGACTACCCCTGGACGCGGTTCCCGATCATCGAGGAGAGAGCCATTTACAGGATGGCCCACATCAAGCTCGCCAACCCCCGTCGCCCGCTGCACAGTCAGGTGCTGCTCAGCAACTTTATGTACTCGTATCTTGCCAAGGTTCAAGCAATGCATCCACAGCTCCAGATCCCCATCTCGCCGCAGCAGAAGAGGCTGGAAGAGGAGCGGAAGCGCCGCGAAGCCGAGGAGGCCCAGCTGCAGATGGAGCAACAAATGTTGGCCCAGCAGGCTGCTCAGGATGGAAATTTTGATTTTGAATACCATCGGGTAAGTGCTGCTTCCGGTGTTTCGCGGCCGCTCTGAAACTAATTATTTTCTCAGTCTAGCAACCAATATGGCGACGCTCCACCCCAGCAAAATGGCACCGCCCATTACGTCGACGACGCTCAGATTTACGAGTACGAGCATGGTGATCCCCAGCTGGCGACCGGCGAGCACAGCTACTCCGAGGCACCGGTGCAGGGACACGGCGGCGGGCAGCAACAAAACAGCTACTACCAGGCGCAGGGCACCAGACGGTACGATGACGACGACGAGAACAGCGATATGTGGTAGCACCCAGATCGCGGCAAGGTGTCTGGTTCATCTCGGACGAACACTGTCTTGCGCGAAGGTCTGCGCCTGGGCTTATGTCACTCGCAATCGACTATTCAGCCGGATGAAAAGCAGCATCAGCAGGAGGACGGCGACGATTCTTCACTTGCCTTGGAGGAGAACAGCAGCGAGAGGATAACTAGGGAGATGCAGGCACCGCGCCCCCACCGCAGGCAGTCGTTGTACAAGCGCATGCGCGTGTGGGTCGGCGTCCTTGGCCCGCAGTCCCTGCCGTCGCCTCCGTCTTCTCCGCCACCGTCTTCTACGCCCGGCCTTGAAGCCTCGTCGTTCTTGTCGGTGCCGGGAAGGGGTTCCGCGAGGGTGTTCGCGCGCAGGTACTGCACTGCTTGAATACCGTATCAGGATACGCAGCCCCCGAACCTTCTGGTTCGGTGAGCCAAGGAGGGTTGGCAAAGACATGATGTCGGGGCGTAACGTTCCTCGTTTCTTTCGGGCACGACCAGGCAAGGCATGGCATGGCATGGCATGGCACGGCAAGGGAAGCGCGACATATTCTACAACACCACACGGCACAGCGAGTACACATGTATCCATCCATTCCCTGCCATCCATCCAGGTACACAGTACATCGGAATCAAACCGACCGAAGCGGAGTTTTGCTTTTTTTTCTGGCTTCCATTCCTGTCCCTTTTATTTCCGTTTCTGTGTGTAGTCGTATTGTTCTTAGCATAGCCTGGCATGGATGGGTTCTGCGGAGTGATTGAAATCGGGTGTTTCAAGGAATATCGGGAATCGACTTGTTTGTTTTTGGCTCTTTTTGGGTGACGACCCGAGACGTGTGTGTGTGGGTGTAAGGGAGTCTTATTGATGGCTGGGGTGCGCACGGTAGATATACGTTAAGAGTTAGCTGTGCTAGGGGAATTCACTAGAGTTTAAGCGGACTGCAAATATCGCTACGATATACACGTGCCTTGCTTCCTTGGATGTGTGGACCTTGTTCCTAAGTGAAATCTGATCTCGGGTATTTCTCTCTGTGTTACTTTACCTGTCTGTGTTGTCGGTAGCGTGCTCTTTGGTGGAGAGAAAAAGGTGGACACAGAGACGACTCAACCACCGTGATGAGTGACATTGAATGTTCATATTTACTGGGGTTCTGGAAGAGGCTTGAATGTCGGCGGAGGTTATGGCCGCTTCGCAGTGCTCTCTCAGATAAATGGTGACACTCTCGATGGTTTACCACTACGAATCCTCATGCCGTGTTGGAACCTGAAATCGGAATGACGTTGCTTACTCGCTGTTAGCTTCGACACGTTGCGCCCTGCAGCTGTGGCAAAAGCTACCTTCTATAAAGTGGGAATTCATTCATTCCGATAGTAGGAAATTACCTCTAGCTTCGGTCCAGGAGACCACGCTCGACGCCTCAGCCTGAGGTGATTGAATGGCAAGTCCACATTTCAAATTTTTTGTGACACATGTTCCTCGATTGTTGCTTTGACAGTTTAAACCAGTCGAAAACTGCCCTTTGAACACCCCCCCGCAACAAACTATGATGGAGTCGAGGATATGGCGGAACGTCTGGGGCTTGAACGCGCATAACTCCTCACTTTGTGCCTTAAGGTGTATGCAAGATCGCCGATATACATAGTTAACATCTTGTGGTAATTATATTTATACAGAGGTCATCTCAGTACGGAGAGATGTTGCTGCAAGAACTCGAGGGCAACACAAACGCTCGGCCTCCCCGCCCGCCTGTGGGGTCAAGAAATACTGTGCTAAGCCGAAAAGAGCAAAGCGAACACAACCCCCTTGCCGCGCACTCATCAGAGCTGCCGCTGTGCTTGTTGCACCTCTTCACAGTTTCAGCCATTCACACGATTCGCAGCAGAGCTGGCTGGGCAACTTTTCGAAAAACTTCCTCAACCGCCGATTCCATCGCACCTTCTCCCGCCCACACATCGCCGAGATATACTGCCTCTGCGATCTCCCGGTGTTCTACTTTTTGCCGTTGTCCCAGAGGCTTTTCCTATTTTCTGATACCCATATCGGTCGCGCCGGCTAGGTTGACATTCGAGAACATTGGTCGCGCCTCCAGGTAGTCACAGCCTCTCCTAATTCCGAACTCGATAACAGCTTCCTCCTCCTTCCCGACTTTGCCTCCAATAGCACACCGAGTCTGCTTGCGGCATGGCATCTGTAAGTTTTCTTTGGCCATCTTACCCACGCCATCGGCCCCCTACGAGCTCGATATATCTCTTGCATCATTCTTCCCGGTTCCGTGACTTCGGAACGGAGCCACGGTCGATTATGCGACCGACACATAAGTGAAATTACAATTACTCACGAAGCACGCGAGCTAACCGAGCTTCAGCAACCCCACGGTAATCCCTACAACCAAGCGTACATGCCTAACGGCGCCATGCCTCACCAGCCCGGTCCCGTTCCAGGGGCCACACCTCTGCTCCCGAATCAAGGCCGCGTCATCCAAACCGGTCCCATCAGGGTGCTCTGCATTGCAGATGTGCGAGGTGCGAGCTTCTAGCGTCTGTCGCCCCGGCACAGAGCCGCTTAGCTAACATGACCACCGCAGGCAACCTGCGGTCCCTCAACGAGCTCGCAAAGTCGGCCCGTGCTGACTACATCATCCACACCGGCGATTTCGGTTTCTACGACGAGACATCCCTCGAGCGCATTGCTGAGAAGTGAGTCGGAAATGCGGTTTACGTTCCAGCCCTTGCTGACACCATGGTTGCAAAAGGACCCTCAAGCATGTCGCGCAATATTCCCCCTTAATCTCGGAGGCGACGAAGAAGGCCATCGCGCAAGGGGTCCCAGGCCCGGTCAAGACGCGGTTTCCTGCGAGCGAACTTCCCCTCTCAGAGCTCCCACAGCTCATCAGTGGCGAGCTGAAGCTGGACGTCCCGGTCTACACGGTGTGGGGTGCCTGTGAAGATGTGCGGGTGCTGGAGAAGTTCCGGTCCAAGGAATACAAGGTGCCCAATCTCTTTATCATTGATGAGGCGCAGTCCATGCTGCTCGAGATTGGCGGCGTGAAGCTCCGGCTTCTCGGATTGGGTGGCGCCGTTGTCATGCACAAGCTCTTCGACAATGGCGAGGGACGCACGACAATTGCGGGTGGCCAGGGGACCATGTGGACGACTCTCCTGCAGATGGGCGAGCTCGTCGACACTGCGAACCGCGTTTACGATCCGACCGAAACGCGCATCTTCATTACGCACGCGTCCCCGGCTCGCGAAGGCATCTTGAACCAGCTCTCGGTAACCCTCAAGGCGGATTTCTCCATCTCGGCTGGCCTCCACTTCCGCTACGGCAGCTCGTACAACGAGTTCAGCGTGAATCCCACTCTGGACCACTACCGCGGCAAGCTCGCTGCGTCCAAGGCCTCGTTCAACGACGTGTGGGAGACGGTCAAGGGGGAGGTTGAGCCGGCCATCCAACAGGTTGAAGCACAACAGACTCTGCTCAAGAACGCATTGGCTGTTGTTGACAAGATGCCTTCGACTGCAGCGGGCGGCAACCCATTCGGCGGCGCAGCTACTGGCCAGTCGGCGGCGGCTCTGGGCCAAGTGGATGAGAGCGCCTTCAAGAACATGTGGAACTTTAACCTTGCGGATGCTGCGTTTGGTTGGCTAGTCTTGGAGATTCAGGACGGCAGAATCGGTACAGAGATGCGTGCTCAGGGATTCAACTTCTCTCACCGTGGAGCCAAACAACAACCTGGCGCGCAGTCCGCTCCGGTCGCCCCAGTTGCCGCCGGTACGAGCCCGGTGTCCCAAGCGCCTCCGACCGCACCGCCTGCAGCTATGTCGGCCGCCCCTGCGAGAGCTCCCGCGCCTGCGCAGCCCCCGAGACCCGCTGCGGCGACGCCCACTCCGGCGCAGACGAAGCCTGCGACACCCCAGCCCGCGCCTGCCGCGTCCCCGGCGCCAAAAGAGGAGAAGGCGGCACCGGCTGCTGCTAACGGAGCTGCGGGCGCCTCCGAAGCGCCGCCGTCATCCGCCCCAAAGAATCCGGCGGATAACATCATCGGCTTGTTTGTCATGAACGCGCAGAGCGATGAGCAGGTCCGCGACCTGTTTGCTGAAGAGGATAAGGCAAGGATCCTCAAGATCGAGCGGTGGGGCGCAAACAACAAGGTGGCGCAGTTCAAGACGACCGAGGAACGAGACGCTGCTATGGAGCGTCTCCCCGACGAGGTGAAGAACCGCGCGCCGGGCCAGGAGGACCGTTCGAAGCCCCTCGTCAAGATCTTCTCGCCGCCCTCGCGCCAGTTCTCGCGTGGCGGCGCTGGCAACTGGGGGAGCAGCCGTGGTGGCAGGGACGGCGGTAACACCCAGGGCAGCGGATATCGGAGTGCCGGCGGCGGAGGTGCTAGCGACAGCGAAGGCGCCGGGCGTCGCGGTGGACGTGGTGGACGGGGTGGTCGTGGCGGCGACCGCGGACGGGGACGGGGCCCACGCGGCGGGGTGAAGGGTGAGGGTGCCAGTCCTGCTCCTCCGGCCGACTCTTAGGCGGTTTCGTTCGAGAATCAGGGAACTAAGGAAGGACGCAATGATTGGTAGGCCCCGCTGCCGCCCTTTTACCACAGACCATCCTCGAAAAACGACAACGAGAAGATAATTACTTTGAGGACGAATGAACTCAGTTGACCCATAACGACACGGAGTTGCTCTCGCCCACCGACATACGCCTTTCAAATTTGACGATGCTTCGGCCTGCTTTACGCAGCCAACCTCTTATTTCATTTCTCTTCTCTCCCTTTCCATTTTGAGGGAGGATAAACCTGGATGGATTGGGCTCGCCTTTTTGCTGCTTGGCTCTGGACGCAATCGGAAAAGAACTGGCTTGAAGGAAAGATGTATTCGTGGACCTACTTGGTGCGTTTTTCTGGACCTGCAGATCTGCTTTGGGAGGAGGGGAATTGGTGGAGTTCTTCTCTGAAATTTAGAGATTTCCCTGTTTGGTTGTTGGTTGGCTTGGCTGGTTCGGTTTGGTTTGGGCTTCGTTCCAAGATGGTTTGGTTTGGGGTTTGGTTTGGTTCAACCTCAAGCTTCTTCTTGATGCCCGGTTCTTTTTCTCCCTTTTGCCCCCTCCTTCCACCACCTAGGTACATTACCCAACTGTCGCCATTCGATCCCAATAGCGAGTCATCTTGTCATCCTGATACCCTACGCTAGCCTACACTACGCTACCTGGGTACGACTACTCCAGTATGACGCTGGTATGCTGGTATGCTGCCATGCTATGGTGGCGAGGGGAGATTCGGGGAGATTAAAGGGCACTGGCGGCAGGGCGGTTGGCAGCTTTCAGCGAGGAAGTGGTTGCGGTAGCTCCGTCTAGTACGGTAGCGGTAGTAAAATATTCTCGCTTGCGAGTGCCGGTTTTCTCAGTGCTTTTGTGACATTGAGAGATGTTGTGAATTCGGGAGGGTGGATGAAAAGACGCCTCGGTGAAAGGTGATATCATCGTCTAGTATCGACATGGCTTCTGCGACAGCAGCCAGATGAGTGGCATGGCCCACCCCATTCCCCCCAGTTTTGGGCTTTCCGTCTAAGGTGGTATGGCACAAGTGTTATTACATGTACAAATCTCCCTTTCTTTTCTCTCACATTCCACGTTCATCTTACCCACCCCCTCTGACAATGAGCTATTCAGCCCTAGGCTTCATCCCCTTGTGTATAGCAGCAACACCGCCCGTCAGATTCTCGTACCCTTCCCCAGCCACCACGAAGCCGGCGTCGACAATCATGTCGCGGAACTCGGCCTGGCTCGGGAACCGCTCGATGCTCTCGACCAAGTACTGGTAGCTATCCCGGTCGGCAGCCACCAGCTGCCCAATCAACGGGATCGCACGGAACGACCACTCCTTGTAGACCGCGTTGAACAGCGGGTGCTTGTTGGCCTTGCTAAACTCGAGGCAGGCGAACACGCCGCCAGGCTTGAGCACGCGGTGCGCCTCGCGCAGCGCCGCGGGGATGTTGCTAAAGTTGCGGATGCCGAACGCTACCGTGTAGAGGTCGACGCTGGAGTCGGGGATCGAGGAGGTTGCCGTGGACGGGTCGAAGAAGGCTTGTTCTTGGTTGCCTTGGTTGTCGTGCGTCGTGGGTTCCGCGGCGGAGGGGTAGGGGTGTAGGGGCCGGGTGAGGGAGAGATTCTCGGCGTTGGCCTCGACGAAACTGAGGGCGGCTTGCTGCGGGGCTGGGAGGAGCGTCGAGCGCTGCTTGCCAACTGTGAGCATGGCGCGGTTGATGTCGGAGATGGTCACGCGGACCGAGGGGTTGCGGTTGAGCACGTGGGCCGTGTGGAGGAGGCGGAAGGCGATGTCGCCGGTGCCGCCGGCAATGTCGAGGATGTGCTGTGGGCCGAGGGGGTCGGAGGTGGAGGTGAGAGGGGAGAAGCCGGGGTTCAGCGACGCGACGAAGTGGTCTCTGTGAGAAGTAGCTGTTAGTGTTTTGGTGGACGAAGAGGAGAAAGAGGGGGTGAAACAAACTTCCACACGCGATGCCAGCCAAACGACATGAGATCGTTCATGCGGTCGTATGACTCGGCTACGCTGGTGAAGACGCCTGCCACGCGCTCCCGCTTCTCAGCTTCTGTTACTGTCTCGAAGCCAAAGTGTGTTGGCCGGGACGGGTCGGGAATGGCATAGTCGGGCGTTGAGGAGGAGGGATTCGGTGCTGGGCATGGGGCAGTGGTCGAAAAGGACCGTAAAAATCGTGATTGTTGCTCGGGATGTGTGATGGCGCTCCGTATTGAAGGGAGCGCTCTTCTGAGAGCTGTTCGGGTTGCCATGTCGAACTATACCACACGGCGGCGGTGCAGCTCCGGAACGGGGTCTGGATTCTGGAAATGATATATCCGGGATCAGTACATACAACCCAGGTGCACAAATCGGGTTGGGCCGGGAAGTGTGGCTGCTCATGTGGCTGACTGCGCTAGAGGTTGAAGAGTCCATCTTCGGCCTTGTTTGCGGAGCTTGCAACAGCGCCAAGACGCGGGATTGCAGGGTTCCGACGAGCTGCAACTTCAGAATTCTACGACTTGCATCGCAACGACCTTTGTACATGTGGGATTGTGTTGTGGACAGCTATACATACCTATCTCGCTATCTGGGCCTCTGTGTCACGATCCTCCCTCGGTAGCACAGCACGAGCCGTATCCCTGGCGAACTTGATCCCAAACACGAGGAGAATGGCGCAGATGCTGAGTGCCAGGAGAACGGCGATGATGATGCGGCCCTGACCGTTCATCTTTCAGACGTGGAAAATCTGATCTTGATGTTTTTGGGTCTTGTCAGTGTCAATTTTTTGGATATGGTATGATCCAATGGAGTGGGTTGTAATTGGTGGTTGTTGCAGACCAGTCACTTGAGAATCGACTGCTCAGGTTACTCGTACCCTGTCATCGGTTTGGGAGCCTACTCCCCCACCACATCTGCCAAATCAGATATATTGATGATTTCCACTGGCTTACTCACTCCTGTTTATCTAGACTATCACGCCCGCCCTCAAATTCGCCAAGGTCATACTCATCAGGGTATCTCTCTAATTGGCTCTTCAACTCCTCCATCTGCTGCCTCAGGTCCGGTGTCAGCTCCTCATACACATCCTCAAACATAGTCCGGATAGGAGGCTTCTTTTCGCGTTCCGCTTCAGAGAAGGCCTTGAGCACCTCCCGCCTGATGCTCTCGCGCGCCTCCTTCTCCTTGTTCTCGTCCCAGCAGCCCTTGGCCTCCATCCACTTGCGCAGCCTCGCAATTGGGTTGTCGCGCCGCTTCCAGTCCTCCACTTCCACCTTGGCGCGGTACGCGAAGGAGTCGTCCGATGTGCTGTGGTGGCTGACGCGGTAGGTCATAGCCTCGATGAGGACGGGCTTGCCTCCGTCCTGCAGCGCCAGCTCGCGCGCCCTCTTCATGACCTCGCGGACCGCCCAAAAGTCGTTGCCGTCCACCCGGATCGTCTCGATCCCGTAGCCCAAACCGCGGCTGGCAATACCGTCGCCGCGGTACTGTTCTAGCGTTGGCGTGGAAATGGCATAGCCGTTATTGCGACAGATGAAGACGACTGGGCAGGCTCTAGTGGCGGCGATGTTCAGCGCAGCGTGGAAGTCGCCCTCGCTGGCCGCGCCTTCACCAAAATATGCCGCAACTACCCGCGGCGGTATGGTAGGGTCCTGCATCCGTTGGATCTTGAGCGCATACGCAGCCCCGGAAGCCTGCGGCAGCTGTGTCGCCAGCGGTGAGGAGATAGTGTGCTGGGGACAATGAAGTCAGCTAGGCCATGACTTGGACAGAACCAACGGACAACTCACGATATTTAGCTCCCGACTCCCGTAATGCACCGGCATGTTCCTCCCCTTTCCCGGATCTTTTTTGTTCGCGAACAGCTGGTTCATGAAATCCGCCAGAGTGAACCCACGCTGTCTAAAGACGCCCTGCTCACGGTACTGGCAGAACACGACGTCTTCCTTCCTCAACGCCGATGCTGTTCCGACCGACACGGCCTCCTCGCCCGCCGACACCATGTAGAAGCTCAGACGGCCCTGGCGCTGGGCGTCGAACATGATCACGTCCATGATGGACACGGTCAGCATGTCGCGATACAACTTGACCACCTCCTCGTCGCTGAGGTCCGGGACAAAGCTCGGGTCTACGACGACGCCATTCTGGTCGACAGCCCGGTACGTCGGCAGTGCCGGATAGGTCGACGGCTGCTCGAAGGTCATGGTGTTGGTGAAGGCCGACTTGACGGCGCCGGGGAACATGACGTGCTTGGAGTCGGGGCGCTGAGAGATGGAGCTGGCATGTCGGCGCCGTTGTTCTTGATGTATTGAGGGGACGGACAGCCTTGATATCAGCGGTGTGGACTGGACAAGGGTAGACTGCCGCGCACCGGCTCGACGCAGCAGCGCCGTAGGAACGCGGGCGACGCGGGTTCTCTTCATTTCTGGACCGAGGAGCTGGCAATCAGAACAGAGGACTCTGGGATGGACTGGAATAAGTCAGTGTTCATCCCGTAGCGCTCAATTGAGGACGGGAGATAGAGATTACCCCCAGGACGGGGGGATGGTAAGGGCAAACGACGTCACTTGTGCCGATGCAAGCCGTCGCATGTTCGGAGTTCTTGGCGCCCAGGGGTCGCCTGGCATTCTCCACATCCTCCCTCCTGGGAATTGCATCCGAACGACGCTGAGAACAAGAGAGTGCGTGGGTGATTCGAGGAGCATGATACCTGACGTTCTGCAGTTCTATGACACAAGCCTTCGTTGTCCTTAGTACGTAAGGTAGGCTTAAAGGCTGAGGGTATTCACACTGAAGGAGCCTGTCGGGCAACAACCTATTGATTCCAACAGGTGCACATGGTTCTCGACGCCCCACACATTCTCCCAAGAAAACACCACACACACTGCATCAGGACCACAAAGCAGCATCAATTTGATTTCAAATGGCTGGTCAGGGTCTGGGCCGGCAACTACCCGCCATATACAAGATCGACTTCCCAGCTAACCTTTATCGACTTTGTTTGAACCCAGATGTGGCTTTGAAGCCCAGACAACCAGGGGCACCCGGTCATGCCACAGACACTGAAGTCTATGTTGACCCGAGACACTTCAATTTCAAAGACTACCTGGGAAAACATCATTCGATTCCCTCTCTTTTCTGCCGAGTAACTGCCATACGAGACCATGGGATGCTGAGAATCATGCTGTAGGGTGTAGACACGCCGCTCTAAGACCCTATTCCTTCGTCCACTCTGTTCTACAAAAGCACAGGAGGTATCAGGGCCATAAGTTGCTCATCTGTGAAATCAAGGAGTGTATGCCGTATCGGCTCGAAGCCTCAGTGTCAAGTCTCGGCTACTAACCTGGACGTCGCAGTCACTGTACTGCCCACCGACCTGGTGCTTGTTCATGACCGGATCGACCTAATTTCGCTCCAGCCCACGAACCGGATGCCGCTCACGAGTAAGGCTATCCCTTTTCCTACAACCCGCAGGATGCGCTTGCGCTTCTTCCTCCGCTGGGTAGCCTTGTGTGGTCGAAACACGGTGATGGCTGACACGCGGTTCTCTCTCGCTTCTTCTAATCACAGCGTTCAACGAGAGACTCACGGAGTTCTTCGCGAGACATAGCAAATTATGTACCAGGGACGAGGTGGTTGTCCAGGCATTTTCTACAGTCGACGAAAACGACATCAAGCCGGAGCATATTGGGGGAAGTTGACTGAGAAACTCGAGAAGCTGAAGCCAGTACACTCCAATAAGTAGTTGCTGGCAAAGCCGGGGTTTGTCCAGACATCGAGAGGGGAATATCACTAGGGGCCAGAGTCCGGCTGCGAGAACTGAAGAACAGTTGCAGGGGGAGAGAGACGACGGGACTCGGTCCGGTAATAGTCGATGAATGGATAGTGGATTTGATGAACGACACTTGCTTGATCGGGGAGAAATAGGGATTGTGTTCTACATGTATTTGTACGATACCCCTTGAGTGGGCACTTTCCTACCTTACTTTATCTCTCATCATTGACCCGCCTTGAGGCTGGATCTTCGTCTTATATGAAAAGGAGCCCCTGGTAGCGGACTCAAGCGTCCATACCCGGGGAAGAATACATCAATGAGCTCTATATGGTGATGGATATTGGGGCATTTGAGGTATCTACATTCGCACAACGTACCCAGGTGTCTGTAAGGCATAATGGCCCTCCCATCCTGATACGGAAAAGAGCCGTATGCTGGGAAAAAAGGGCAAATGCCATGTATTCGGGGAAAAGTCAGGTTGTCGTCCTCTGGTAGTTGCAAGCAGCAACTGCAGTGGTGGGAGATATCCCACCATCCAGAGTGGGGCAGCCTTATCTTATCTACATACAAACAACCACCCCACCAATGGTGGGGTGTAACACCTAGCCCTAACCCTGCGCGATACCTTCCGGTATCACATCCGTCTCCCTCATACACTCTTCTACATACTCCCATCTTTATTCCTCCCATTGACTCTTTGGATCCTTCAAAGCTCACTGAGAGCGAGGCTGGACAGCTGGAAGTGGTTGATTTGGTATACAAACGACAATCCAGCCCTGGTTTGTCCGACAAGGTGACACATGCATTAGACATACATGGGACAACGGAAGGCAGACAAAGTAACAAAACAGAGAAGGAAGATAAAGAGAAGAATACAAAATATATAAAAGATGAAGTAAGAGTAAACTGGGGAAGAAGACAAGATAAACATGACAAGAACGAGGAAAGGAGAGGAAAGGAAGAATATAAGAAGGTTGAAGTGAAAGAAGATGATGTGTAATACCCACTAAGTTCGGTGCTAACAAAGCAAACCAGGGTTGATTCGTAATGATTACCCGTACTGTACCGTAGCCACGCTTCAAGCGGGCGTACCGTACCTGTAGTCAGGAGTTTTGAGTCTTGACACATCACTTTATGAGTGTATGATGGTGAAGATTAGATGTAGAGGCACACCAAATAATTCAACTCACTGAATCGCCTGCTAGTACTATGATCTTTGATCAAATCGTGGACGGATGTGCACCAACTACTACCTCTGTATTCTGTAGGGCACCTTGCAGTCTTGGACATTTGACCTGTTCCCGTACGGCCCGTGCCAGTGCCAGCAACACTGCTGGCCAACCTCAGCCAACCAATCCTGTCCGAAGCCGGCGCAGGGATGTGGACGGAACCGCCAACCAGATACATCGACGTCAACCAGGCTTGAGTGTCCACTGTCCAACGCACCATCCACCCTCAACCACCGGAGCCATCCATCGCCAACCACCTCTGCCTAATGAACCCAAACCTCACTTACATGCACTGGATCCTGGTACCCACCTCAACCGAAGATCTGTTTGTCCATGAGTAACTCAATTTTACTACGAAGCTGTCTTCCATCCGAATCACCGCCCGCCTGCCTCCCGATGGCGTAATCCATGGCAGAACGACGCATTGCAAACCAGCGGTCCAGATCGGCTCTTGATAACGATCCAACGCTCCTGCCTCCACTGTCATCTGTATCGCCCGCAACAACTACCGTCCCTACCTCGACGAGCACGCCTGCCCAAACATCTCCTGCTTTCTTTCAGTCGTTCACATCTCCTTCAACAAGGTATAACTCCCCTCCATTTGTTTCGTGGCCCTTTTCCTTGCTCTGTTACATTGGACGTTCTGTCTGAACTCGGCGATCAATCATTTCGTCTTGTCCCTGTTCGGCGGATGGAAACCCAAACGCACATCAACTACACCTGACTCCCAGTGCGACAACCACATACCGGCCTGCAATCTTGGAGCGTTTTACATCCTGCCGAAACGAAGAAGATAAATGAAAGCGAGAGAGAGGCCGCAGTTGCTGCAGCCGCTCTTTTGTTGGTTCTTCGGCCGTCGTCAAATTATCTTCTGCGAGTCGACTTGAACTGCCCCACAGGTTTGACAACGACGAACTAGATGTTCCCTTCTGCAGCCGATACTGGAACGCCTGCAGCCTCCCTTGCGACTGCCAACAAAATCCTTGACGACTCGGATCTTTGCAACTCTCTGCCTGCTGTCGACTCCATGACAGGCGGGTTTTGAACACATATTTACTCATGTCGTCCAGGGTCACCCGCTCGTCCGCCCGTCAAGCAGCGAGACAAGCAGCGTCCTCCATCTCCCACTCGACCGCCGCGGCCACCCCCGAATCTGCACCTGCTCCTCCGCCGACCCTGCCGACTCCCACAGCTGCCCCAAGCACTCGGAAGCGAAAAAACAATACTAGTCCGGCTCAGGCTTCCACCGAACCGCCGTCGTCGGCTCGCAGGCCCAAGCGACAGCGGGTGGCACAGCCATCACCGCAGCCCCAACCAGCTCCCCTCCCAGCGCCGAGTACATTTTCTGTTTCACGACGTAAGAAGGGCAAGGCTCCCACGACTATGTCGAGTCCAGGGTGCGTTGTCCCTATCCGAGCCGGTGCAGCAGAGTGCGAGGGAAAATAGAAAAATGCTAATTCTGCCACAGAGCCCCAGCAGGTCCTGCCAACCCACCGGAGAACGCACCATCGGCATCGTCAAATAGGCGGTCCAGCCGACACAAAAAGACAGTTGCTAGTGCTCGAGGTATGCCGCCGCCGCCTGTGCACCTCCGTGCCCACAATCTCACCCTGCCAGCCCCAGATGAATCAGGCGTCCAGGGCCCCAGCTCGAGCCGGCGATCGAAACGGGTTGCCAGCGAGGCACAGGATCAGGATGTCGTCATGGGTGGCACCGAAGAACACGAGAAAGGGTCTGCAGCTCCGCCACCGCCGCCACCACCTCTCGAGGATAAGTTCCCAGAAGATAGTGACGAGAATGACGAGGACGACGAGGCCTTGCGACGTTACGACGATGACGACGTTGATCCCTTCGGCGGATTTGGCGGCCCGGGAGGTTCAATCCCTGGCCTCAGCAACACCCTCCGAACTCTGACGGGCATGGTGTCTGGCACTTCTGCGAGGCTCCGGGATATCCTGAATAATCTCCGACAGAAGGATGACCCAACCATGCAGCTCATCGCGTTGCAGGAGCTTTCTGAGCTGCTGCTGATTCACAACGAAGACACTCTTTCAGGACACTTCTCGCCCGATGCGTTCGTGAAGGAGCTGGTAGCCTTGATGCAGCCGAACGAGCTCACGGGTGAGGAAAACCCAGAGGTCATGCTCTTGGCGTGCCGCTGCCTCGCCAATTTAATGGAAGCCCTTCCCGCCAGCACGTCAAATGTTGTCTACGGCCATGCTGTACCCATTCTCTGCCAGAAGCTGCTCGAGATTCAGTTCATCGACTTGGCCGAGCAAGCGCTCAGTACGTTAGAGAAGATCTCGATCGAGTACCCGTCGAGTATTGTCCGCGCGGGAGGGTTGACTGCATGCCTCTCCTACTTAGAGTTCTTCGCAACCAGCACGCAGCGGGTAGCTGTTACCACCGCCGCAAACTGCTGCCAGAACCTCGACCAAGAGTCTTTCCCTACCGTCCGAGAGGTTATGCCGATTCTGCTCAATGTCCTCGGGAGCAATGATCAGAAGGTCGTGGAGAAGGGCTCTCTCTGCGTTACACGCATCGTCGAGAGCTTCAGATTCCACCCGCAGAAACTCGAGGAGCTTATCAGTGTCGATCTGCTCAAGGCCATTCTCCGTCTGCTCCTCCCAGGCAGCACGAATCTGATCGGTGCCCATATCCACACCCAGTTTCTTCGGGTTCTTGCCTTCGCGGCCCGCGCTAGCCCGCGCCTATCTGCCGAGCTGTTCAAGATGAATGTGGTCGAGACGCTATATCAGATTCTGACCGGCGTCTCCCCGCCCACCGGCACTGACGATATCGCCTCGAAACTCGACAGCGTTCTCATCATGCAAGCACTAATCCATCGGCCCCGGGATCAAATTATTGAGACTCTCAATGTCATCTGCGAGCTCCTGCCGAACCTCCCGAGATCGGCGGACCCTGCTTCACCCGACCTCCCCGATATCAGCTCGCCCACCGAGCCTGTCACTCCGTCATCACTCGGTTCCCGCCGGAAGACTACGAACGAGAAGCGGATCGAGCTGTTGGAGAGCTGTGAGGAGGAGGTTCGGCGGTTCGCCATGATTCTGTTCCCCACTCTCACCGATGCGTACTCGAGCACTGTCAACCTGAGCGTTCGGCAGAAGGTGCTAACGGCTCAACTCAAGATGCTGTCCAACCTGGATGAGAGCATTCTTGTCGATGCGCTGAAGCCTGTCTCCTACGCATCCTTCTTGGCCGCCCTTATCTCTCAACAGGATCATCCTTCGCTGGTCCTGTTTGCTATACATGCGGCCGACTTGCTGATGCGACGCCTGGCTTCTGTATACGAGTACCAGCTCTACCGCGAGGGTGTCATTGGTGAAATCGCCAAGCTTAGGAGTGAAGAACTGGAAACAGAACAGAAGCCCGATGAGGAGCCCTCGCCAGAACCAACGGGCGAGCCCGAGACAGAGGCTGAGCCCGAGTCCAGGAGACACTCCGCGGAGCCCGCTGAGAACCAGTCCGACCACGATGACTCCGATGCTGAGGATGAAGAGAATGAGGACGTTGACGAAGAGGAGGACGAAGATCACTCTCACCACTCTTCGGACGACGACGACGATGACGAGGACGACGAGGGGCACGAGAATGACCATGAGGACGACAGGCACCGTGATGATATGTCGGCTTCGCCCGTCAGTACCGAAGGCTCGACCATGTCCATGGCCGGACCTCCTAGTGGCCTCGTCTCGGGCTTCCCGTCCATGAAGTCAAGGATTATTGAGACAGCCAAGAAATTTCTTGAGGTCCACGAAAACGAACAGGAAGGCAAGGCCATGAAGAAGAAGGCGACCGAGATCCTGGCCAATCTCTCGGCCTTGGCTTCTGATATCGAGAGCTTCTACCTTCGCCCTGCATTTCCGTCTCACATTGCTCTGGAGGGCGGCATAGAGCTCTTCCAGAGGCTGGCATCCTACTTCGACGCGGACGTGCTTGAGAGCGTGACCAGCGCTGAACTGCTCGCTTCCGGCGTTGTCCGTGTGCTCGAAGAAGTTCTAGGCAACCCCGATAAACAACTAGCTGCAGCAGCACAGTCGGCGTTCCTCCAAGTGTTTATGGGACATACCGTCAACTCAAAGCCCAAGATCGCTACTGCCGCTTCACCAACTACGCCTCTGAGCGTCCTGGTCCGCAAGCTTCAGGATTTGCTCAGCAGGTCCGAACACTTTGAAGTCGTCACCGTCCACCATCACTCATTCGACAGCAATCGGAGCAGTGCGGCGTCCATGCTTGCAAAGCAGCTCCGACTCAAGCTGGTGGCTGATGACGACTCGGACATTCCTCGGCACTACCGCAATATCATGGTCTCGATCCACGCCATCACAACTTTCCAGTCTCTCAATGATTACTTGAGACCGCGGATTAGCCTTTCGGATCGTTCCCGTGGGTCTAAGAGAGACGCGGTGTCGAGGGCGCTGGCTGCCATGGCCAGCTCGGGTCTTCCGATGAGTGCAGCAGCAGCCAGGCTAATGGAGCGGTCGTTGCCGCCGTCTGGCGTCCCAGCCCCACCCCCTCCATTTCCAGCTGCTGCATCCTCGCAGCCATCGGGTTCACGGTCCTCGCGGAAATCCAAATCCAAGACAGACCAGGGGCGTGATGCTCCGGCAACACCGGAACCCTCGTCTTCGAGGGAAAAGGCCGCATTGCGCCGGTCATCCCGTCGCCAAGCGGTGTCGGAGGGCTTGGGCCCACCACCGCCGCCGCCTGATGACGACGACGACCTTGAAAACGCCCTCGAGTGCGCGGACGAGAAGCCACTGTCGGACGACGAGGAAATGGGCGATGATAGTGCCCTCGACATGATCCGCGGGGTTGACGAGGGCATGGGAGAAGCACCAACGCCTGACCCATCGGCCGTCAACATGGAAATTGCTGGGGGCAAGGTGACGGCACGCAAGGAAGACGGAACCAAGGTGCCTACGCCAGCCCAGAGTCAGAGCCGATCCACGACTTCGCTCCCTAGTCGTACGAGTGCGTTGACGGCGGCTTTGCAAGGAACTCCGACCCCTACCCCGTCCTCACGTCCAATGTCGTATGCTGCCGCGGTTCAGTCTGTCCCGCAAGACTGGCATATCGAGTTCAGCATTGACGGCAAAGTCATACCCAACGAAACGACAATTTACCGGGCTGTGAACAGCTCTGCAAAGACGTCCGAGGATCATTATGGACGGAACGTATGGTCTGCCGTCCATCCGATCAAGTTTCGGCGTGTACCCGGCCCTCCCCCTCCAGAGACTTCCGCCTTTGGCAGCATCATGGATAACGGAACGGAGTCGGAAGACGGCGGCATCGCTGGATCCTTGGCGAAGTTCCCGGTTACGGCATCTATTCTGCGCCTGCTCAAGAAGCTACATGATCTCAACGCCAACATTGACGACGTTCTTGTCGACAACAAGGAGATCCTTAGGGTCAACAAGGAGCCTCGATCGCAGTTCGTCAACACTAAACTCACAGCAAAGCTGAATCGGCAGTTGGAGGAGCCGCTTATCGTGGCGAGCAACTGCCTTCCGAGCTGGAGCGAGGATCTGGCGAGGCTCTATCCTTTCCTGTTCCCGTTCGAGACACGCCATCTTTTCCTCCAGTCCACCTCGTTCGGGTATGCCAGGTCCATGACGCGCTGGCAAAATGCCCAGGCTCAGGAGGAGGCGCGTCGAGACCGACGGGACGAGCGACTGTTCCTTGGCCGACTGCAGCGTCAGAAGGTCAGGATCTCTCGATCCAAAGTTCTGGAATCTGCCCTAAAGGTCATGGAGCTCTATGGCGCCTCGCAAAGTGTTTTGGAAGTCGAGTACTTTGACGAAGTGGGCACCGGCCTGGGTCCTACGCTCGAGTTCTACTCGACTGTCTCGAAGGAGTTCTGCAAGAAGAAGCTCAAGCTCTGGCGTGACAACGATCCCAACGGGGACGATGAGTTTGTCTCTGGGCCGAACGGACTGTTCCCGCGACCCCTCAGCGAAGGATATGCGGCCTCGGAGGAAGGGGAGAAGATTCTTCAGCTCTTCAAGGTCATAGGAAAGTTTGTGGCGCGGTCAATGGTCGACTCCCGCATCATCGATCTCAACTTTAATCCCATCTTCTTCCGCATCGGCGACGAGTCGACCGGGATCCGCCCATCCCTTGGAGCAGTCAAGTCGGTTGACCCGGTCATTGCTAGATCGCTCATGACGGTCAAGAAGTTCGCGTTGGCGAAGAAAGCCATCGACGAGGACCCCAAGCGGAGTGCCGCGCAGAAAGTGATTGACACGGAGAACATCACAGTCGACAATATCAAAATTGACGACCTGTACCTCGACTTTACGCTGCCCGGCTACCCCGAGATTGAGCTCATTCCGAATGGATCCCAGACCCAGGTGACCATTGATAATGTCGACCTCTATCTGGAGAAGGTGATCGACATGACTTTGGGGAGCGGGGTCCGCCGGCAGGTGCATGCTTTCCGGGCGGGTTTCTCGCAGGTGTTCCCGTACTCAACGCTGAGCACCTTTACACCGGACGAGCTCTGCACGCTCTTTGGACAAGTGGACGAGGACTGGTCTTTGGAGAGTAAGCAGTTTTCCTAGGTCTGTGTTGAAATCGGACGAAGCATTTGTTGACTCTGTCGTTAGCTCTCATGGATTCTATCAAGGCGGACCATGGATACAACCTGGACAGCAAGACGGTCAAGAACTTGCTGCAGGCCATGAGCGAATTCACGCCGGCGCAGCGCCGCGACTTCTTGCAGTTCACTACGGGCAGCCCGAAGCTGCCTATTGGTGGTAGGGTTCCACTCTATCATGTTCCTGGACCATATGTTGTATGCTGACGTCGACAATAGGCTTCAAGAAGCTGACGCCCATGTTTACGGTCGTCTGTAAGCCGAGCGAGGCGCCTTACACATCGGACGATTATCTTCCCAGCGTCATGACGTGTGTCAACTATCTCAAACTGCCCGACTACTCGGACATTGACATCCTGCGGAAGCGGCTGTTTACGGCCATCAAGGAGGGCCAAGGCGCGTTTCACCTGTCTTGATGCGGCGTGGGACGATGGCATTTTTGAGGCGTTGAGGTGGAGTTGGGGACTGGTTTATATGCTGCGTTTCGGCAGAAACCGGAAATTCCGGGAGTCAGTGGAGGCAGCGTTTTTTTGGCTGTCTCTATGCATGGAGAAGCACTATCGGCCTGCTCGCCACCAAATCTACATCACCGGAATGGAACAGAATGGGCAGCATCATCGGATATGACGCGCGCGTGTGGTAGAGTCTTTAGGCAGGGACACCCCGGGGGGGGGGAGGGGGGGTGATACGACTTAGGAGGACACGGAGGTTCGAAATACGGTTACGGCTATGGATTGGTTACGGAGTGAGTGATCTGGGGTTGTGTTTTGCCTTCCAAACTTGGAGGGAGAGAAGGGGAAGGGGATAGGACTTGCGGGATCGTCTGGGTGTGTGTGTTTGTGTGTGTATGTGGGTAGTGTCGATGTCACCCCCTCTTGCTTTTGGCATCATTTTGCTTTACAAGTACGTTACCTTGCACCATTTCATCTAGACTGGCAAATGGCAAATGGAAATGGGAGGTTATAGACTCGGCAGTAGCGGTAGGCGGGTGAGGCAGCGAAGGTACCTAATCTGATCGTGGTGTGGTGTACAGGTGAGGTGAGGCAGCGGGTTTTGAGTTCATTAGGACCTACCTCCTTGGGCGGAATGAGAAATAGCGAAGGATACTTTTCGAGTGACTGCGTTGCTTTTCTTCTCTTGAACGGTGTCTGCATTTGTTCCTTGGCTAAGTTGTCGCAGTGGTGTGCACAACGTTTGTGGTTTACTTCGTACTTTGATCGATATGGAATTTCTCGAATAAAAGGGGAGGACGATTCGATCAACGTTGATTGACCTGTTTACTGACACAACCCACATCGTACATACTTGTTTTCCTTTGACTTCGAGGACATGGTGGAGCTCTTCATGTCGAATCTTCTTGAGGTGGATCGGTTAAGTTACAGTAGGATGCACTGAAGCTGAACTCAGACTCGGCTGAGGTGTTGTTGACCAATGATGTCATGATTCAATCGCTAATGATCGTGCCTTGTACTACGCGCTAAATCTGCCCCACTAAACGCGCCGCCTGACGCGCTCTGGCTCGAACTATCCGAGTAACGGTGAAGATATGTAATTGATTGTGGAGTGTTGATTATCATCACGGCGCGAAACGGCTTCACCTTTACGTTGACAGCGAGCATCCCGATCAAGGAACGATAGAAGGAAACAAAGTACCAACTGGCCGCGTCTGAACTCAACCGATACCATCTTTGTCTAAGCACACTGTCGCATCAGTTGTCACGTAACCGCCTGAAGTAACTGCCCGCAACAACTGCCCATCTCCACCAAACCCAGTTTCATTGTAACTGCGACGAGCGGACAAACAAAGGACGGAGCAAAAATGCCCAGAAGGAAACCCAAGACCCCTGTCCAACCCGCCGACACAGCGGCCGTGGCGTCAACCGCAAATATCACCAGCGCAACGAAACCAACGACGAGAGCGACGGCAAATGCCTCCCGAAAAACATACCAGCCATCGGCACCTGCCCCAAAGCAGGTGACTTTCCCCGCGCGCAGGAAGGTCATCCGGACCTATGGCGGTCGGAGATCGCTTCCTGCGAGGTTGGAGACGACGTCGACGCCGGGGTCTGAGGAGAGGATGAGAAAGAGTCTGAGGCAGCAGACTCTGACTCAGGTGGGGTATGTACGGTCATCGTCTGGGTTATCCGCTGGTCGAGATGGAGAGGAGGAAGGAGAAGGCGAGGAGGATATGCTCTTGGGAGAGGATGAGATGGAGGGCTTGGGGGGCGGCGAGACCGATGTGAGTTGGGGGAGAGAGGTGGAGGTTGAGGCTAAGGTGCAAAAAAATATGAGCGGAAAGCGGCTGGTGGTGGAGGAGGGGGTTGAGATTGTCAAGGTTAGTGAGAAGAGGAGGGGAGAAAGAAGGTCCAAGAGGAGAAAGACAATGGGGGATGTGCCTACCCCGACTGCGCCTGGGTTGGAGAGGAAGGGGTCAAGTTTCCATACGCAGACTTTGACGCAGTTCCTGGGGGCTTCAGCGTCACGCTCGGGGGTCGACAAAGCGGGAAATGCTGGGCTGAGGGTGGCGGATGAGGATGAGGTTGAGGACCTGCCGTTACCAGGGAACCCTTCGACGCCTAACAAACGCCCTTCATCGGTCAAGGCCGGCCAGGCAACAGACAAGGCCGCGGCTGTCCCCTTCACACCTAGCAACAAGCACATCAAAGCCGAGATCGACGAGGTCCCCTCCTCGCAACCCACGCCGTTCACGCCCATGCTGGGGTACAGCCCGATAATGCCAATCAGGTCGCCGTTGACGCAGAAATCGACAAACGTTCATGCCCTGGCCCCGGCTGTCGAGACGACATCGAAACGGCCCCGGACCCTGGTCATCCAGGACAGCTACAGCATGGCCAGCAGTGAGGGCCTCTCTTCCTCGGTAGCAGATGAGTCCCCGAGAAAGGAAGAGGGTACACCTCCCCAGCCATCGGCGAGGGAGCCTCTGTCCGAGATACCCCTCGCTAGTCTCGAGCTTGGCGTAGGTTCCACTCCCACTGTAGAGACCTCATCAGCCAGGCGGAAGGAAATGTTCTTCGAGATTCCCGATTCAGATGATGAGATGGAGAGCGTCGGGTCCACCCCTTTCAAGGCTCGGTCTACTCAGCAAACGCCCCTGAAGAGGGATAGTGGCAGCTGGGGTTTTCCGATAGCATGGTATCCAGCCCCAGGTGCAAGGTCTACAAGGATCAGAGTATCGGAGACTCCTGCGAGCTTGGGCAGGTCGGACAAGGAGAATGAGTCTCCAGGCATCCAGGTGTGGAATGAAGAAGAGACGATTAATGAGGGGGAGGAGCCCGGTTCGCGCACTCCGAGAGTGACAGGATCGCAAACAACAAAGGGCAGGGGCAGCGCGAGCCAAGCCAGCCCTAATACGGCCTCTCAATTTTGGACCGCGTCAGTGGAGGATGCTGGCGGCTCGGAGCAACCAGGAAGGCCTGCTTGCAGTGTCTTGGCCGAACTTGCCGCCCCGGAGCCAGCGGTCGGTGAAGCCCCGGGTACGCCAACTCCCGGTCCACGTCCATCGCAGTTTCGCGGCAGCATGCGTGAGTTAAGTGAGAAGCCCCGCAAGGGCACGCCGCAGATGGATGACTCGGAGGAGACAGCCAGCGAGGCGGAGGAAGAGCACATACCAACTTCCATCCTTCGCAAGCCGGCGCTTCAAAGGACACCACGCAATGACTCGTTGGGCCTAAAGAAGCGCCAGTCGACGCCTATAGTCATCACATCTGATTCATCCGCCAGTGAGGCGCCCGGTACGCCAACACCAGCCGTTCGGAAAGTCCAGATCGAGCTGCCCCCAGCTCCAGGCGCCGAAGAAGTCTGCAAGGAGACCCCCAGAAGAGAACCTCACAAGCCGTCGCCAGTGTACCAACGGCAGACTCAAGCTCGATCCCAAGCCCGGTCTCAATTTTACAGCTACGGCCTCGAGAGCCAGCGTGTCCCGATGGAGGTCATCCGCTCGCTCGGGTCGCAAACAGATCGTTCAGACATCGTCATCTTGATCGACTCGGACATCGTGGACGACATTGTCAAGGGCCTTCGAGACCACGAGTTTCGCGACTACAGATTCCCGATGCAAGTCTGCCGCTGCTGGATCTTCGCCGGCCATCCTGCAAACGAGGTCAAATACATGGCCACTCTGGGTCCCGCCCAAGAGCCGGGCCAAATCGACAGCAGCAGCGGCCTGGGTAATGCCGAGTTTAACGCCGGCGCTTCAGGCCACAAGTTCGCGCATAAACTGCTGCAGGTGTACCAGCTGAACAATCCGGTCCCGCTGGAGGACATGGCAGACAACGGGCTGGGAGAGGGGCCGCCGGCGAAGTACAGGTACATCCCGCCGGCGATTGTAGGGCAGCTGCTAGCGAACCTGCGATGTTCGTTGTTTGAGGAAGAGGGTGAGGTGGAGGGAGATGGGGATGCTGGTGAAGGCGACGTGACCATATCCCAGGAGCTGGAAGAGCAGTTTCGCAGCGACATCATCCACTCCACGCAGCTGCGGTCAACCGAATCGGGGCGCCACCACGAAGAGGAAGATATCATCCCAGCAAGCCAGAGCCCGCTCAAGGCCCGGTCAAACCCCGCCAAGCCGGACGACGCATTCGCGCGCCCGCCGATCCCAGCTCAGCGGTCAAGCCAGCGCCTCCGTAACCAGCATCAAAGCCGAAATCAGCCCTCGCGCCAACCTCCGGCCAAAAGACAACGCCAATCAAACCCCTCGGTCACCACCGCAACAGGTAGCAAAGCCCCAAACTCGATCCGCCCTTCCCAAGCAACAACAGCATCAGACATCTCGGTGCCCTCCTCGCCGGCAAAGCCGTCGTCGGAGTTGTCGTCGGACCCGGCCTTCTCGGTTCCGAGACCGCCCTTGCCCGGGTCCAGCGAGCCGTCGCTGCCGGAGGATGATCCACTGCCGCCGCTGTCGGGGGGGATGGGCGAGAGTAGTTTGCTGCCGCTGCCGCCGGCTGGGTTCTTGCTGTCATCGTCGCAGACTGGAGGCGTGTTGCTACCGCCTGATAGCTTGTTGGTGGATGAGGGACGGGTGGCGCCGCCTCCTGTTGTTTGGGGTTCGGATGATGATGAGGACGGCGAGGAGGGGGAGGAGGAGGACTAGGGTGTTTGAGGGTTAAAGGGGACATAGGGGGTTGGGCTGGGTTCGGGCTTGGGTTGGGGGCTGGGGAATAAGGTGGATTTGGAGGAGATGGGTGCTATTTGTAGTGGGTTGGTTTTGTTCTGATTGGGTTGACTATGCTTGTTATTCCTGTGCTGGGTACACCTTGGGTTGCTTTCGTGGTGGCCAGGCTGGGATAGCCGTTCGCTGGTCTTACTGTGTACAGCTACGTAATGAAATTGCCCTGTCGAGGTATGAAACTGCCGGCATAGGGTCGTTTGGCCGATCACGGAATGCAGCCGACTTGAAAGGAAACAGTTCCTGCGCACTACTTCACGGCTAGCTTGTGGATTTACATTATTTTCTCGGTTGGGGGGGAAGGGGCCCGGGGGGGGAATTTATTAACAGGGCAGAGATGTGAGGACTTGAGAAGGAGAAATTTGATTCATGTTAGGGAGCAGTTTCTCAACGCTCTGTGATCGAGACAACGATCTACGGATATGGCGCCTTGATATAGCTGTCCCAAGCTGCGATTTCATGTCGACGCAAATTGGAATGGAAGCCGAGGATCATTTGTCTTCGGCGCTGTCCGATCTGGTCTTGGCGTGCAGGGCTTTACGGCATGTCTCGGCGCAGCGCACCACAGAGGCCATTTTGAGACAGCACGGGCGCCAAGCCAGCAACCGCCAAGCCAGGACAACAGCTCCTCAAAGTTCGTCACAAGGGAACCATTTCTCTAGCCTCATCTCATCAACCCAAACCCCACGACTCCACCTTCAAGCTCAGACACAACCAGACGCGGCCGGCCATTGCGTCCATCTCACATCTGAGTCTCTGACGAACGTCGACGGGATCGAAGCGGCAGCACCTTCCGTGATCCCACTGCACCCGACATTGTGTGTAGCGGCACTCAAAGATGTTGCGTCCCTCAAGTCTGCAATCGCTACCCAAACGTTCATGACCCTCCCTCTTAAGCCTCCACCAACGCTTGTCGGGAGCGCTCGCCCCTCGCTACCATGGCCATGAGTGGCCGTGATTTGAGCCGGGCCGAAAGATTCGAGGACGAGAAGAGGAGGATCATTGACAGCTGCTTTTCCAAGCGCGAGGCGGATGGTTCCCGTAAGCAACCATCTTTCACCGGGAGCACGTCTTTAATCATCGCACTGACTGCTCGTCGCAGTAACTGAAACATACATAACACACATCAAGATCACCGAATACCAGATATCCCCGACAACTCCGCCGCCGCCCTCAGCAAGGACGCCCCAGTACGAGAAGCCCCGCGTCATCATCGTTGCCGTTCGAAAATCCGGCCGCGTGCGCGTCCACAAGTCCAAGGAGAATCCCAATGGCACCTTCTCCATCGGAAAGACGTGGAACCTAGACGACTTGTCCGCCATTGAGTCTTTTACCGGCCCGACAGTCCACCCAAACAACCGGCAATGGGCTGGAGATGTGGGCTTCGTGGTGACGCTCGGCAAGCCGTACTACTGGGAGGCCCAAACCGACAAGGAGAAGAAGTTCTTTATTGCGAGCCTGATCAAGATCTACAACAAATTTACCGGCGGGCGCACTCCCGCTCTATCAGGTTTCGAACAGCGTGAGCTTGAACAAGTCTTGGGCGGCGCGCAGGCCCCTCGGCGACAGGAGCGACCGCCGCCGCGTCCGTCTCCCCTCGACACCGCGGCCGGCAGCGTGATCGGCTCCATTTCGTCCGGATATAATGCGCCGCCCAGCGCTGAAAGCACCTCGGCCTCGGTGTTCCCGGACAGGGTGGCGTCGCGCAGCCCCTTGGTCGCTAACGGAAAGTCTTCTCCTGCCCAAAGTTTTGATTCAGGGCGACCTTTACAGGAGCAGGCGTCATTGCGCAAGCTGGCATCAAGGAACAAGAGTCAAGATTCGGTTGCGACGTCGTCGGTTACAAGAAGCGAGGATGCGAGCAGCCTCCGTCTGAGTACCAGGAACGGGGTGAATGGGCCTTCCTCCTACGGCACCCCTGAGCCTACCCCCGTCCCAGCAACCGATGATACCCCTCCGGAGCGTAAGCGGCCGCCAATGGATCCTCTGAGACCGACTCAAGTCGACAGAAACTTAATACCGGCGCCACTGATGAGCCCCGGCATGCGTCGAGAACCCACCGTGCCGCCGCGGAGCATCGAGAGAACGTTACCCCGGAAAGACTCGATGAGCCGACGAAACGAGCCGTCGCGTCTCGCGGAAACGGTTACGACTCCCAAGGAGACGAGCAGACCGGATCTCGTTGCCGGGTCTGCCAGCCCCGCCATCTCAACACCGCCTCCTTCCAGCCCCCCGACTGCTGCCATACCACCTATCCCTACGTCGACCGTTGAGTCCACCCAAGTCGATCCTCCTCCTGAGCCCGAGGAGGAGACGAAGCCAGGGCTCGGCCCCATGATCAAGTCGAAGAAGTCGAAGGGGGAGATTGCCGGGGCGTTTTGGAAAGCGGCCAGCGCCGCCAATGCCTTCAAGCCGAGGCCCGGCGGCGCCGCAGACCGTCTGCGTCAGAACCTGAACAAGACCAGCGACGGTCCTGATGGCATCACGAGCGTGGTCCCCGCACCCCCCAAGCCGACGCCGGTCCAAAAGCCTCCAGAGCCAATAATCGAACCGGCCCCCAAGGCAGCCGATCGAAGCGCTACTCCGAGCATTCCCGAAGTCAAGGTCACCCAGTCTGACCCTGTCAGGCCAAGCAGTGCTCAATCCACTGCCAAGGGCGTCAAGAAAAAGAAGGGTGAAGAGCCACCAACGGTGGAGGAGACTCGGCGCTCGATTGTGGCGGGCAATGACACCAAGTATCTCGCGACTCTCGGCATCGATCCCTCGGTTCTCGACAGCCGGACCAGCGAATTTGCCAAGTGGCTCGATTACTTTGGTTGGGTGCCGGGCGAGAAGATGCGGGCGCGCAACTTTGACGAGCTACGCGCTGACCTCGACCGCGAACTGAGCAAGGCTCAGGCCGGCGGCTGGCTCGCCCGCTTCCAGGAGGAAGACGAGAGGGTTGAGGCCATCAAGAGGGGCATCGACCTCTCGATTAGCGAGTGCGACGAGCTCGACAATTTGCTTACGCTGTACAGCGTCGAACTATCTGTGAGTCTCGGATGTTGGCGTCGGATGTTGATGGTGTTGCTGACCAGCGGCAGACGCTCTCGGATGACATTGCGTACATTGAGGCCCAAGGACAAGGTCTCCAAGTGCAGGCCGCCAACCAGAAGCTGCTCAAGAAGGAATTGGAGTCTTTGCTGGAGACGTGCGCCATCAGTGAATCCGACCTTGATGCCCTCCGGAGGGCACCGCTTGAGACGGCGTCCGGCGTCGAGGAGATTGAGGCTTCCCTTGTCACGCTATTCAGGGCCATGATCAAGATCGACCCGACGTTGGGCAACAGCGAATCGCGCAAGAGCGAGGACATGAATGCAGACCAGTCACTCGGCCTCGACAGCGATTATGGCAAGATGCGCATCGTGCAGGAGAAAAAGGAGATGTACCTCTCTGAGAGTTCTCAATTCATGCGGAGGCTGGTCATCTTCATGGAACGGCAGTTCTCGGAAGCATTCCGCGTGACGAAGAACGCCCTGGATGGAGCGCTATCCAAGAAAGCGGACTCGCGCAACCACGACGCTGGCAGGGACTTGCTGTGGATGTACAGCCCCTTGATCCTCTATGCCAGGGATGTCGACCTCGGCAATTGGAACCGCATCCTGCAGATTTACCAGGACAAGAGCCATCCGATCTACAAGTCCGAGTTCAAGGACGCCATGGAGGCGTGGAAGAAGAATGCCAGGAAGCTCACTGGCGACGAGAGCGAGTTGCTGTTTACGGCTCAGCAGGAGAAGAAGGAAGAAGGACTCGCGACGACGGCTCGGAAACTCACCGTCAAGCGCAGCCAGACGCTCGCCAGAAGTCTCCGGTCGCCGCTCGGCGACGGCGGAAGGTCGGCTGAGAAGGCGCCAGACGGCCGGGCGTTGCCCTACGAGGTCTTTGCTGGCGTTTTGGACGATCTTCTGCCGCTGGTGGAGATGGAGCAGAACTTTATCGTTGACTTCTTTCACGCCACGACGCTCGCGCAGTCTGACTTCCCTGACCTTGTCGCCGCTTCAAGGCCGCACGATCGCCGCGGTGGCGACCTGAAGCGTCACCGGCTGATGGAACCCGACCGCGACCTAGCGCGGCGCATCACCAAAGCCATGGAATCCATCTTCGTGTTCCTCGAGCCAAGCCTGCAGCAGCTCATGGATTGGGTGCTGAACATGGATCCTCTGTAAGTCTCTAAGTCACATAGCCGCGCGACGAATGCTAACAGGCGCTTAGACAAGGCGTCGGCATCCTGGCGACGCTCGAGCGCAAGATGGCCGACATGAGCCAGTCCAACCAAGACTTCCTCAACAACGTCCTCCAAAAGCTCCACGGCAACCTCGAGGCCAAGTTCAAGAAGTTTGTCGACGACCAGATCCGCGCCATCGAGGAAACCAAGGTCAAGATCAAGAAGCGCAAGGGCGTCATCCACTTCATCCGCATCTTCCCCCACTTCAGCACGGCCGTCGAGAACATGCTCACCACTACCAACGACCCCTCCCTCCCCGTCCGCCGCATGGTCGACCGCGAGTACGACCGCATCCTTAAGTCTATGTTCGACTCGCTCAAAGTCATCGCCCGCGAGAACCCGGCCCTCGGCATGGCCACCACCACCACCACCACCTCCTCGTCCATGACCCTTCCCTCCTCGGTGGCGTCCACCCTCACCCACTCCACCGCCGCCGCCTCCTCGGTCATCGCCGACCCGGAGGACAAGGAAGCCCTCAACTTCCACATCCTCCTCATTGAGAACATGAACCACTTCCTCGAGGAGGTGGACAACGCCGGCGGCCTCGAGGTGATGGACGACTGGCGCGAGGCGGCGCAGCGCGAGATGGCGGAGCACATGAACTTGTACCTCAACGCCGTCATGCGCCGGCCCCTGGGGAAACTGCTCGAGCACCTCGAGAATATTGAGGCGCAATTGCAGGGCGGGAAAGCACCCTCCAGCGTTGCGGCGCAGCCAAGTAATAGCAAGCAGGTGTTTAATAAGGTGCTGGGCGGGTATGATGGGAGGGAGGTGAGGAAGGGGATCGAGGCGTTGAGGAAAAGGGTGGAGAAGCATTTTGGCGGGGATTCGGAGGAGGGAGGCGGCGGTGGTGGTACTACGGGGCTTGGGGTGCCCGGCGGCGGCGCTCTTTCTTCTTCTTCGGCGGTGCCGAGGACGGGGGGTGGTGGTGGGGATAGTAGCTTGGTGAATCGCGTGTTGAGGGAGTGTGAGAGATTTTATGGCGATGTGGGCATGCGTATAGGGAAGGTCACGACGGATGTGTATGGGGGCGATGTGCTGTTTGAGTGGCCAAGGGCTGAGGTCAAGGCGGCTTTTTCGGGGATCGGGGGAAGGTGAGCGGGTGAGAGTGTTTGATGTTTGGGTAGGGACATGTACTGGCGAGCAGGTGGCGGTGTTAGGGGGGTGGTTGTGTTATCTGGCAGCGGTTTCTTCGTCGTATATATGATACAGCTTCTTCTCTGCGTTTTCTCGTGTCTCTTGGCGTAATGGCTTGAGTTGTCGGGATCAGCAGCGAGGAGCATACCAGCTGCCGGGAGGACTGCCGGTGGATTCCTTGCGCAATGCCTAAAGTCTTGGATGGAGACTACTGAAGCTTGAGTGTCGGCACGTTGCGATTCCCCAACCCCTGTGACATGGCTTCCTACTGACTCTTTTTTTCGGGTGCCATTGTAAACGGGCCCTGTAACCGACCCGACCCCTAATGCCAGGTCATTCCTCCTTGGCCCCTTTTCCGATCCTGTAACCCCCAACTCCCTAGAAAGCAAAACAGCACCACCTACTACTCACTCTGATCCCCATCCTGCTCCTCCCCCTGCCTGAATATCACCTTCTCACACAGCTGCAAGCACTTCCTGACCGGCAGCCCAATCACATTATCCACGCTCCCCTCGACCCGATCAACAAGCACCATCCCGCCCACCCCCTGCAGCGCATACCCGCCAGCCTTGTCCGCCCCCTCGCGGGTGCGCACATAACTCTCAATGACATCGTCCGGCAAGCCGTCGTCGGCACCGGCAAAGTACACTTTGGTATCCTCCACGTGCGTCTCGAGCTCATACCCGGGGTGCGACGCATCCACCTTGGGCGCCAGCACGCACACGCCCGTCAGCACCCGGTGATGCACCGTGTCGCGCAGCTGCTTGAGCATGCGGATGTGGTCCTGCTCAGACCGCGGCTTCTCCAGGATCTGGCCATTGCGGGTCGCGATGACGGTGTCGGCGGCGATGACAAGCGCCGGGTCTTCCCTCTCGCGCGGGTCTGGCGCCGGGTTGGGGTCCTTGGACGCTGCGATCTCGTCCTGCTTTGCGAGGGCTGCTTGGTACACGGCGAGGCACTTGCGTTGGGCGGTGGCGGCTACGTATTCTTCGGGCGTGTGGGATTTCTTGTCGAGGTCTTCTGGCTCGTTGGAGGGGCGGACTTCGAGGTTGTGGAGGCCCAGCTGGAGGCGGGGAGTTAGAATCAACGTCATTGTGTGTTTGGTGGGGGGCTGACCGACTTGTGTGAGTAACGCTTTTCGCCGGGGCGAGCCGCTGGCGAGAATCACGCGCTTACCGCGGAGGTATGACAAGATGGGCAGCTCAAGAGGGCACGGGGTCTTCTTGATCGGGGCGCTTTGGCGGAGGGGGATGCCGTGTGCGCGGGCTGCCGTGATGTAATCGGGGGGGGGATCAGAGGGGTTGGTGAGGTCCATTATGTTGTACGGTATTTGTCGATGGAGGTCGTTACTTCTTACTCGTGAGAGTGTGGAAAGGGACGTAGCTCGTTGGATGTTTTTCATCAACCAGTGAGATCAAGGAGGAAGCTTGGGTTTGGTCCGGGGGCTGGGCAGGTACCTCGATGGTGGTAGATGAGTGGGGGTGGGGAGCTCTACGGATCCGTACTCCGTAAGCTCGGCAACGAGCTTGAGCCCGACCTCCCCGGCTGCGTCATTCCCCTCCGCAGCCAGCAAGCTGCCTGAACGATTACTGTGGCTCGAGCTGTGAAACAGCTGGCAGTCTAGTACAATACATATTTACAGAGCTGCATCCTTCAAACATTAGCGCCCGGCTCGAAGCTCGCTACTGGTACCCATTCACTAGGTCGAGCATATACGCGCGGGCATGCTCAGGGGTCATGTTCAACCGCTTTAGCTTTTTGAGCTCTTCAGAGGTGGCGCCGGGCTTGGCTAGGGCGGACGCATTGACGGCAACCGTCTGATTTTCAACATCCTGGGGTCCAACAGCGATGATCAAGCCGTAACCCTTGGATATGGCCTCCCGCGTCTTCAAGCCTACGCTTCGGTCGCTGCCGTCAAAGTCGACGGCAAGGCCAGTGGGCGAGGCTGCTTCTGTCGTCGAAGATGCGGGCGAGACCCCGAGTAGCAGGTCCCGGGTGTGGCGTGCCCAATTGACCACAGGCTCAGTGCTGTTGACCGTAATGACTATGGCTTGTCGCGGGTTCAGCCAGAAGGGCCATTTTCCATTGTAGTGCTCAATCAGCAACGCCATGAGCCGCTCAGCCGAACCGAGCACGGCGCGGTGGATGAGGACTGGCTGGACAGGGCCATACTCGGCGAGCAGCGTGGGGTCTTGTGTGGTTTTCCCCCGTCTCTCGAACTCGGGTGCTGGCGCTGTGTACTCCAAATTGAAACGTTTGGGAAGCTGAAAATCTAGCTGGATGGTGGCAGTCTGGTGCTCTTTCCCGTCCGAATCCTTCAAGATTATGTCAATCTTGGGGCCGTAGAACGCACCGTCGCCCTTGTTGACGGCGAATTGATGCCCGCTCTCAGTGAGTGCCGTCCTTAACGCCCCCTCCGCCTGTGCCCACTCCTCGGGTGACCCAATATATTGTTCCGGTCGCGTCGAGAGCACCAGCCGGTAGGGGCCGAGGCCAAGCACGCGGTAGGTCAGGCGGACAAAGTCGAGCGTTTTTGCGATCTCCTCCTTGATCTGCGACGGCCGACAAAAGATGTGTCCGTCGTCCTGGTGGAATCTGCGCACGCGCGTCAGGCCGCTGAGGGCGCCCGATATCTCGTTGCGGTGTAGCGGGCTAAAGTCGGCGTAGCGGATCGGGAGGTCGCGGTAGCTCCGTTTCTGCGACGCAAAGATAAGGCAGTGGCCCGGGCAGTTCATGGGCTTGAGCCCGTACTCGGCTTCTTCGCCGCCCTCGGTGAGCTCGGCACGCGAAGGGGAGGTGCTCGTCACCGTGTACATGTCGTCGGCGTAGTTTTCGAGGTGGCCCGACGTGGCCCATAGGGCCTTCTTGTAGATGGTGGGTGTGATGACTTCTTGGAAGCCATAGCGGATGTATTGCTTGCGCAAGAAATCGACCAGGCGGTTGAAGATGCGCGCGCCGTTGGGGAGAAGGATGGGGGATCCGGGGCTGTAGATGGACGTCATGAACAACTCCTGCTGGAGCCCGAGTGTCCGGTGATCTGGCGCCGGAGGTTTGCCTTCTGCGACCGAGGCATTGGTGCTGGCGCTACAGGAGGAGCAGAGCCGGGACGCGATGCGGCGAACGGGAAGGACCCGTGCTAGAGGTATCCCAGATTGTTTGGTCAGAACTTGGAAGGTTCGTCCTGGCGCTCGTAGCAAGGGCATCCTGCCGGCTGCTACAGCTCTGCAGATGTTGTCGTTCAGATCAAAGGTTTGTCGCCAAAAGCCATTGCAGAATTCTTGGCCCAGGTACGGATTCGTTGCATCCAATGATCGGATTACCACAATCGCATTCTCGGGTGGATCCCTGTGCTGCAATGCCCAGCGGCACGCGGCTACACTATTCACCATGAAGCAAACCTGGAAGGATAGGGGGGCAGTTGGCGTGGTCAGAGCGAGCGAAATGTCGGGACATATTTACATAACTGGTGTTACAGTACGAATGTTGTGTTATTCGTTCACATCTAGCCATGCAACATACACCCACACCAACCGGACCTCCCAGGAACCAAGTCTTCATCGATGCTCAAGCAAACAAAGCCTTTCATCGACTCTATGAATCTAGCTTTGCTGCCTATGTATCGTGACTCATTCTCACTTGTTTTAGAAGAACGCCAAAGGCGAGCGAGGTACCAAACAGACCCCCCACTTTTACACTGGGGCAACCTATAGAAGGGCGCTGCTGCCTTCAACAGCCGTATCGCCACCTGAGACGCAACGCGTGACCTTGCAACCGCCTGTCGCGCTATCGCGCAATATCTCAGGTATTTAAGACACGTCTACTCTATCCATCCGCCGGGAGCTGCGCCACTGGGTATTGCCGGCACTGCGCTGCCGGGTTTGGAACGGCGCCATGTCGAGGACGACACGATCATCGACCAAGCGAGACTTCGTGCCCGAGAGCTCCTGGCGCATGGTCGAAGGTGGCGAGAACGACAGCTTCGATACCTCCATTTTGCACGACGAAGACGACATTTTCATTTCAAGCAGCAGCGACCCGGCGTCGCAGCCGACCGGGTCGCAGTCCTTCAGCATTGGGGGGTCCCAGCCATGGAGCATAGGCGGCTCGCAGGATGACAACATCGAAACCTTTCTCAGCAAGGCCGAGGAAGACGAACAGCTCCTCCTCAGGACTCCGTTTCGCCCCTCCATCCCGAAATCCGTGCGGCAAATCTCCAGGGACGACATGAGGGTTCGCCCGTCGGAGCCTGAGTTCTACATGCCCAGGGTCGACGTGGAGAGCCCGAGGAGACCGAGCACATGGTCGTCAGGGACTGTGAGAGCAAGCGATCCGCCACCGACGCCGCCTAAGTTGAGGCGTCGGCGAGGAGAGGCTACAGGGAGCCCTGTCAAGGGCCGGCACTCCGAAGGGAGTGAGACACAGGACTCGGAAGAGCCGACCTCGTTCAGTGGGAGGCTATCAGCATCGCTGCCCGATGCTCTATTTGACGCCCTGTCGTGGGCGTGTGGGTTAGCCGCGCTCGCATTCCGATATGCGCAGACGCCGCTGGCCATCCTCCTGTCGTTGTACATCGCATTTGGTGGCGTCATTGTCCTCCACAACCTGGCAACCCGGCCACTATTTACAGCCCTCACGCCGGTTTGTCGCATCCCGGGAGTGTCGTGGCTAGACCTGCCCTTCTGCCCGGACCATGGCTTGAAGCGGGGGGACACCCAGGAGCGGCAGGGATCGGTCAAGTTCGACAGCTTGATGGACGTTCAGGAGCAGCTGGGGCAGGTTGTGGAGAAGTCTGTGCAGGGCGTGCCATTGCCCATCGAGATCAAGCGCTCCGAAACCTCGATCCGCGACCTGCGGACCTTGGTCCGCTACAGCACCGTGCAGAGCAAGGAGGAGCTCCTGCTGGAATTCGACGGCTTCATTGATACCATTGGCACTGTCTCGAGGGATCTGCAAAAATTCAACGCCCGCACCGGTTCCGCGATCGACTGGGTCATCAGCATGAACCGATGGACGTCGCGACATCTTGACTCCCTTGAGGGCAGCAAAAGCAGCGACGGCGATCACGGCGCGGGCATTCTAAATGGCCCGTGGGTCAACCGACTCTTCTCGCCCTTTCAGCCAGCCGTCTTTACCGAGAGGCAGCTCGTCGACACGTACATTGAGCACGCGACCCTGGTGTCGGACAAGATTTCCAAGCTGATCGAGGAGGCGCAGGGGGTCCTCCACACGCTCTCCAAGGCCGGAGAACACATGGATGCCATCTACGACTTTGTCGCGCGCACTGAGAGGTCGGTGCGGGTCCGGCGAGCCGAGGTGCTCTCGACGCTGTGGGGTCTCGTGGGCGGCCACAGGAGCAAGGTTGCTAATCTCAACAGCCAGCTGACGCTTCTCAAGCAGGTGGACGCGCAGCGGTCCGACGCCGTCAGGCAGGTTACCGACCTGATCGGCGACCTGGAAAAGATCCAGGCTGGGCTCGACGACCTAAGGGAGCGAGTCGCCACGCCGGCTCTGGCCAGGGGGCGGGTCGAGGTGCCGATGAGCGTGCACATTGATACCATCAACCGCGGAGTGGAGCGGTTGGAAGAGGCGAGGAGTCGGATACGGGCGATCGAGAACGACCGGATCCAGGAAGTGCTGGCAAGGGGCAAGGGGCAGAAGATGATTGAACAGGCTTAGGATGGGATTATCCTACGGACATTGGATGGCGTTTTGGTTGAATATCTCTTGGGTTTGGTTTCTGGTTGCATGTGCCATTCGAAGAATTTTGTTCTGGCTTTCCTCTATTACTTCTCCTTCATCCGGGCCGTCGTATTGTATGTACACTTTCCATGGGGACACAGGACCGAGAGACTCAGAGGACACAACGGATACCTACCTGAGTTTGTCAACAACTCACTACTACTATTGCATATAGTATATACCAGGCCTTCCAAATCATGAGTATATATTTCAATACCACATCATCTTGAAAGGGGCCGTATTCGGCGGCAGATTGGGTATGTTTCTTATCACTATCCCCAGTTAATGTAGCAATGACCAACTGACCTTATCAACAGGATGCGGGGTCTCAAACCCACCGGGACCGGTGGGAGAGCACTCGCTAGAACACAGGACTTCGAAAAGATGAGATCTTTTTCATGACGCCTGGTTGACCATCACAAGAAGACTTCAAGAAGTATTGTCTCAAGCATTGTTCTACAGCCGCCGAACGTGTGTTACCCGTACGAGGATTCATAGGGCTGTCCGGGGCTTGTACGTGGAGGTGCACCACTATGCATCTCGTCCCAAAAGAGGTTTGTTACACCTGTCCCCATACCTTGGCATTGGTCCCTGCCCACTACTTGCGTATGGCTGTGAGCTGTGTCACTCTCTCTTGACTCTCATCTCTCCCAGACCGAGAGAGGACTCAGCCTGGAACTCATGTGCTAGCTCCAACATCTCACACATGTTAGTAACGGGCTGTTAACTAACACAATGATGGCTCCATCAACCAGATCGACAAGATCACCATCTCGCACCTGGGCTTCCTTGCCCAGCGGCGACTGGCCCGCGGCGTCCGGCTGAACCATACCGAGGCCTGTGTAAGTTTCATCTCTCGAAAGTCGAGTTCTGCTCATACTGACACCGGAACTCATACTGACATTGTGGACAAAACTAAACAGGCGCTCATCGCCTCCAACCTTCACGAGCTCATCCGCGACGGCAACCACACCGTCGCCGACCTCATGTCGCTGGGTGCCACCATGCTCGGCCGCCGCCACGTGCTGCCTGAGGTCTGCTCGACGCTGCACGAGATTCAGGTCGAGGGCACCTTCCCCGCGGGGACCTTCCTCGTCACGGTGCAGAACCCCATCGCCACCGACGACGGCGACCTCGCCCGCGCCCTGTACGGCAGCTTCCTGCCCGTGCCGGACAACACCGACGAGCTGTTCCCGCCCTGGCCCGCCGAGGCCTACGCGCACGACAAGAAGCCCGGCGCGGTGGTGGTGGCGTGTGGTGTCAAAAAGAACGGGGGGGAGGAGGTGGGGATGATCAGGCTGAATGAGGGTAAGAAGAGGATCAGGCTGAAGGTGACGAGTAAAGGGGACCGGCCGGTACAGGTGGGGAGTCACTACCATTTCATTGAGGTCAATCCGCAGCTCGAGTTTGACCGGCTGCGGGCGTATGGCTATCGGTTGGATGTGCCTTCGGGCAGCTCGATCCGGTTCGAGCCCGGCGACACCAAGACGGTGACGCTGGTCGAGATTGGCGGGTCCAAGGTGATTCGCGGTGGGAACGGCATTGCGTCGGGCAAGGTGGATCTGGGAAGGCTGGAGGAGATTCGAAAGCGACTGCAGGAGGCGGGGTTCGCGCACGCCCCGGAGCCGGCCGGCGATATGGCTTTCTTGACCGAGGGCGCCACGCTCGACAGGAACACGTATGCGACCATGTTTGGCCCGACGACGGGCGACTTGGTGAGGTTGGGCATGACGGATCTGTGGATCAAGGTTGAGAAGGACTACACGGTGTATGGGGAGGAGTGCAAGTTTGGAGGCGGCAAGTCGCTGCGCGATGGCATGGGCAGCGCGACGGGGCGGGCCAGTGCCGAGTCGCTTGATCTGGTTGTGACGAACGCGCTTGTCGTCGACTGGACGGGCATCTACAAGGCTGATGTCGGCGTCAAGGACGGGTTTATCGTGGGCATCGGCAAGGCCGGCAACCCGGACGTCATGGACGGCGTGACGCCTGGTATGATTGTGGGGAGCTGCACCGATGTGATTGCCGGCGAGGGCAAGATCCTCACGGCCGGCGGCGTGGACACTCACATTCACTTTATCTGTCCTCAGCAGGTCGAGGAGTCCATTTCGTCGGGCATCACCACCATGCTGGGCGGTGGTACCGGGCCAAGGTGAGGGACTCCCCATAGCAACAGGGGCTCTCGTCTTGAGGGGTAAAAGCTGACTGACAGCGCCCAGCGCCAACACGACGGCCACTACCTGCACCCCTGGTCCGCACTTCGTCCGTGAGATGCTCCGGGCCTGCGACAAGCTGCCTATCAACATTGGCATCACCGGCAAGGGCAACGACAGTCACCCAGTCGCCCTCCATGAGATGATCAAGGCTGGCGCCTGCGGTATGAAGCTGCACGAGGATTGGGGCAGCACGCCGGCCGCCATCGATGCCTGCCTCTCTGTCTGTGACGAGCTCGACGTGCAATGCATGATCCACACGGACACGCTCAACGAGGCGGGCTTCGTCGAGCAGACCATCAACGCCATCAACGGCCGCACTATGCACGCCTACCACACCGAGGGCGCGGGCGGCGGCCACGCGCCGGACATCATCCGCATAGTCGAGTACCCCAACATCCTGCCGTCGTCGACGAACCCGACGCGGCCCTACACGCGCAACACGCTCGAGGAGCACCTCGACATGCTCATGGTCTGCCACCACCTGAGCAAGGACATACCCGAGGACGTGGCCTTTGCCGAAAGCCGCATCCGGTCCGAGACCATCGCGGCCGAGGACGTGCTGCACGACCTGGGCGCCATCAGCATGATGAGCAGCGACAGCCAGGCCATGGGCCGGTGCGGCGAGGTGATACTACGAACGTGGCACACGGCGCACAAGAACAAAGTGCAACGCGGAGCCCTGCCCGAGGACGAGGGCACGGGCGCCGACAACTTCCGCGTCAAGCGCTACGTGTCTAAGTACACCATCAACCCGGCCATTGCCCAGGGCATGTCGCACGTCGTGGGCAGCGTGGAGCCCGGCAAGCTGGCCGACCTGGTCCTGTGGGACCCGGCCTGGTTCGGCAGCAAGCCGACGTGCGTCGTCAAGAGTGGCATGATTGCCTACGCGCTGATGGTAAGCTTCACCCCCCACCCCCTCCCTTCTTCCAATGAACCTCCCCGATTCCGGAATTTTTTTCAACTAAAACAATACCACTAACACTAACACTAAATCAACCAGGGCGACGCCAACGCCTCGATCCCGTCAATCCAGCCCATGATCTCTCGCCCCATGTTCGCGACCTCGCTCCCCTCAACCAGCGTGGCGTTTGTCTCGCAGGCGAGCGTCGACAGCGGCGCCGTGGGCTCGTACGACCTACAGAAGCGCGTCGTGCCCGTGCGCGGCTGCCGCAGCGTCACCAAGGCCGACATGAAGTTCAACGACGCCATGCCGCGCATGCGCGTCGACCCGGAGAGCTACGTCGTCGAGGCCGATGGGGTCGTGTGCGAGGCCGAGCCCATCGCTGAGTTGCCCATGGCGCAGAGGTGCTATGTTTACTGACTTGTGTGTGTGGCGTGCGTTTACCTACGGGACCTTATGTATGATCCTTTGATAAGTTGATATTGGAGAGGGAGGGAGGGGGGTTGGACGGGGCTGTCTTCGTGCCAATGTAATGGGAAACAGGCTTTTCTAGGTGCTCCAGTTAGGTTTTCAGGTTGGGTGCGATCGCCTTGAGTCGGCAGTAGTGACGGAGCTCTTCCCACCTTGTGCATTATCTGAAGCGGGCAAGTATCACTTGTCGTCTGATTTGGGATGTTGCGGGTTTTCTGTCGAAGTTAAGTGTGTGTTTACAAGCCAGTATCGGGTTAAAGCGGCCTGTGATACTTGCCAGGTACGCACCAGGTGTTCGTCCACTCACATCTAGGTACCTAGTAGGCGGTGTTGCTTTGGCTAGCTCGTGTGCAACAGCACATCTCGGGTACAGTGCTATATAATGGTCCATTATCCAATACGTTTCACCCGGCAAAGGAGGGACTCCAGTTAGCCGCTCGAACGGAGAGCCAGCAAAGCAGAGTCGATGGGGTGCTGTGTGTAATAAGACATCGAGGTGCAGTACAGGGTACCGAGTAAAGCAGTTTGTTTCGTCAGGTAAGGTACCTTACAGACATGGTACCTACATACATGCGGTAGAGTTGGGCCCCAACGTGTTCCCGTCGATCTGGTAGCGGGTTCATCCACAACTGGGGCCACTCTTTGGTGGGTGAAGAACTGTGCGAGCGCTCCCCTAGTGGGCGGACTGTCCAGACCTCGGCTCGGGGTAGGCACCGATATATTACACCACTGTACCTGGGCTCAGAGATTGACCACTGGCCACAAGGGGTTTACCCAACCGCTACGGATTCCCCTCCTGAAACCCATAGAAGTGTATCTGCCACTGCCGGCTGTGACTTGTTCGCTGTTATGCCAGGTATTTTTACCCTCATATAGGTACCTACGATTTCATCCCGTGCAAAAGACAGCAGCTATAGGGGCTCTTTTTTTCCACTGATACCATGGCTCATTGGCGGCCTAGCTGGTGACGTCTACAGAGGCTGCCCTGGTACCTAGCATACCTGCATGCTTCGCGCCTTCAGGACGTTGAGGATCCGCACATTAGATCATGTAGAGAGGATGGGGCGTGTCAGTGATCAAACTTGGTAAAGTAGTGAAGGTTTCACGTCACCCCGGTGATACTAGGTAGAATTCATTGACCAAAGTAGTATTGCTCCTGACCGCCTAGATAACGATCTAGCCGCAGCCGCAGAACTACTTACACGCCTTACATACCGACAACAATAGACCATGCGCCTGAACCGCGAAGGAAAAAAGCATGCCGACACCTTTCAACCTTCCGTTTGCCTCCAGGAAACCGTGTTCAGAAAGACCAGAACCTCCCCATCCCATCATTGACACATACACTACTAGATCCAACAGCGGACTCGAAGGACAGTGAGCCCGATAAACCGCAACTGAAGCCCCTGACACACCCTCCTCCATTTCGCACACCTGGGCGACTTTGCTTCGACCGAAGATGTCACTCGTCCAAAGGGGCACCATCAAGGATGAAAATGCTCGCCTCAAGGTATCATAAGGAGAGAAAAGGGAAGAACGGAATCGACAAGACAGAGACAGAGCAAAAGGGCGGAAAGGCAACCTAGCCGCTCTTGGTCTTCTTACGACCAGACTTCTTAGGCTCCTCCACCTGCTCGGCCGCCTTGGACGTTCGTTTCCGCTTCTTGGCCTCTGGGCTCGCCGGGGTCGCCGCCGCGGCGGGCTTGGGGGGTTCCGGCTCAGCAGCAGCGGGGGTGGCTGCAGCCGTGCTCTTGCGCTTGCGGCTCGCCGGCTGCTTCTTGGGGGTCTTGGCCGCCGGCGCAGGCTCCTCTTCGGACTCCTCCGAGGGTGAAGCCTCGGCGGCGGCGCTCTGCTGCAGCTGCTCGGCGATCGCCTCCTGCTCATTTGCGGGTACATCCTCAACCTGGATGATGGGCGGGATCCCAATACCATGCTGATCTGCGTAGACACGCGCCTCATCGTCGGTCATGTTCTTGGCGTCCGGGTTGCCGTGCTTGTATGAGTGGACGCGGGCGTTGTACAGGCGGAGGTTGTACTGGTAGGCCTGGTTCCAGCCGAGCTTCTCAGCGGGGCTCATGACGGTCCACCTCCGCTGGCCCTCCTCCTGGACGGCGCCCTTGGGCACTTCGGCTCCGAGGTCGTTGGCGATGATGGGGCGGGCCGTCTGCATGTAGAGGAAGTACGGGGTCAGGGGCCGCTTGGGCGCATTAGGGTCGTGGGTGCGCTTCTTGCGCTCTTTCTTCTCCTCAACCGGGGGCTGTGGGACCGCGAAAGCAGCCGGCATCAGGTTGGTGAAGGAGCCGGCGATGCGGTCTAGTTCGCCGCCATTCTCAAGATTGGTGCCCTCGCCGATGAGTAGGTTGGTCTGGCGCAGATAATCCTGGGAAAAGCTCCGAATCAAATCCTGGATTGTCTGAAGCCTCTGGTAGACCTACGATCAAGTCAGCGCCGTGTGCTTGGTTTTTCACATTGCATAATGTGCCCGATGTTCGAAAGAGTGGTTCTGCATTCTAAAACTATGGACCGAGTAGGAAGAAGCCTGCTTCAAAGATATCGAAAGCAGCAAGAGTACACAAAAGGAGCATCATTCTGTGACGACCATGGATATGGGCCGTCCAGTGATGGGCTGCGACTCAATCGATACATGGGGACTGTGCAACTCCAGGTTCCTTGGCGGATGGCGCAACAAGCGACGCGACGCGACGCGGGGTTGGGTAGGTAGAAAAGAACATGTGTGTTGCGGTTTGTTTATTTTGTTCTGTGTTCAAACGGGAATGGGGCGTTGCTTGCAGCCTTGCGCGAAGCACCGGGGCACCAAAGATGCAATAGGCGGCTCTTGGGCGTGGTTGTGTTGGGAGAAGACATGAGGAGAGCAAAGCGATGACTTACTGAATCCCTGACGCGGATGAACTGGTCGACGTCGATGACTGGAGGTGCCTTAAAGGTGAGCGCGGCGGGGGGGGGAGCAGCAGCAACAGCGGGGATGCTGGGTGCAGTGATTACTGGCACAACAGGCTCGGTGACGGCTTTGTTCTTGGGTGGGCGCGGCATGGCTGATGCGATTCCGGGGGAATGATCGTTGGCGGTATGCGTATAGTGGGATGGCGCTGAGATTACGATGATGATGGTGGAGTATTGTGGTTCTTTCAGTGGTTGTTGCGATTCCAGGCGCTGTGCAAATAAAGAGAGAAAATGGGAGGGAAAATTTCGGGGGGGAAGGCGGGGTTACCGAAAATATACGTGGGCCACTGAGGAGGGGGTGCCAGCGCTGATTTTACCAAACTGAAATATTGGCAGGCCAAAAAATGCCCGCGTGCAGCCCAACCTAGGTAAGCTTGCTGCCCAGATCGGAGCCCCAAGATCAAATCACAAACTGCCCTGGGCTGCCCTGGCGGACGGGGACCTTACCAGCCTCTCGAGGCTCTGGGCGCGCACCAACTCACTGTTGTCACTCCAAAACAGCGCAGTCGCCGTCCTCAATTAAAGCTTCGCAATACGGAGCCAGTGATTCTTACAGGCGGTGCCTGGAGGAAGGCACGTTTTTGGCATCTCGGTCGCACCTGCCCCGGCTGCATCACCTCTGCATCAGATCCTCTGGGTTCAGTTCTCAAGGTACTTGTACCTTACCTCCCTACTTCCTTCAGCTGGTAAAAGCGCTTGATCCAGCTTGTCCATCGTCGTCCATCCGTTATAGACTTCCATGCTATGCCTTAGGTAGACTTTCCAGGTTGATCAGATCGCTCCAGGGCTTACCTTAGGTTATTGATGCAACAGAGAGGCTCCTAAGGTACTCGTAACAATCAACCGGTGCCTGCCAATAACCAACCTCCTACACTTGAGCCTCAGCACACACAACATCCTGCAACATACTGTATTTACATGCCTGCTGTGGTGTCATTGCCTATGCCAACCGAGTGATCTGTCAACTTGGTCCGGTGCACAGGGGAAGCATCCAATTTCACGTACTTCTGAGTAACTCCTTGCGTATAAAGTAAGTTTTGAATTGCGCTAGCTATATGCTGAGCGCATTGCTGCGATCTCCCAACTGCTCGTCTGAAGAGGACGTTTAGGTTCGGAGCTACCGCTGACCAGCAGTGTCGCTGTCCAGGCGAGGGTCTTATTACCTGTCGCCCAATGCAGCATCCGAGAAGAGGTTTCAGATGTTGCACAGCGAGCCTGTTCGACGGTCCAATGGGCGTCTGTCCAACAAACGGAGACGCGGCCCTTCAGTAAGGTGCAGTAGCTTGTGCCCGGCTCCCCGACCACAAGATATCCTCGCCGCCCGCGAGCAGAAAGCTAGGAATCTCACTCGTTAAATAATCACCATAGCGCCACATGCCTCTGCCAATTTTCAAATGAGTTGGGGTGTCACTTTAGCTCTGTCAAGATACCCTTAGTTACTCTTCAAATTAATCTGTTGAGCATTTTGTAACCTTGAAAGATCCTCAACATCTTAAAGGATCAACTCTACACAATATTAGGGGAGCTATTTAACTACAGTAATTAACCCTATTTGAAGAGGGATATCATTTTGATTCGACATTTGTTTTTAGGTTAATTAATGTACTTTTAAAGGAAGGAGCGTCTGTTAGGTCTCCTTCTAAAAAAAAAATTCTTAGAAGATATTCCTGGTAAAGATATAGTTATTGGTGCGAATAGTCACTAGACTGTTTGTACGGTTAGATATTTCAATGTGAGGGAACATCTTGGAGTAAAGAGGAGCCTCCGAGACTTCATTTTCGTAGATGCCGGTAGCGCCCTATGGTAAGTACTGTATGTAGTTTTAAGGTTCTGGTCGCTGTACAGCTACGGATGTATTCGACTTACTAGCTTGACGATCAGGACTGAGCGACACACATGAAGCCAATCGAGATTCCAGAGCTAGACAGAAGGAGAGGGGGAAATATCAGCGAGAAGGTGGATCAATATGCTTTTCAGAGCAAAGGCTGACTTAAAAAAAGCTTCCGGACTGTGATACATGGCGAAAGTTTCCTTGCGTTCACATTCACAGCAAACAAACTGGCTGAGCAATCCGAATCAATCGGGGAGTTTAGGTTTGGAAGCTGCTGTGCAGGGAGACGTGCCCCACATTTCAAGCTTCTCTCACTGATTTTGGGACGAAACACCAAGTCGAGCTTCGCGATGGTGTAACCAGATCACCGATAAACAGCGCATGGAATAAACACTTGAGAACATCGAAAGCAAATATCCTCCTGAGCCTATGGCTGCGCCGATCTCCAACCGCTGACTCGCATCTCTCCAGCCATCATGACACACCCCTGCGAGTCACGAGAGTCGACATGACCAAACATACCCCTTTCGACTACCACCTCGGGCATAACTTTCAGTTGCAACTCAGAATTGGTGTCACTGTCCCAGGATTACAGTCATGGCCGCTGGCTTACACCTCCTGGTATGTCAGGCGTTCGGGTCGGTCCAAGATGGCCGGGACGCATCGTCGCTGGCCCCGAAGGGGCGGGAAACACCGGACGCAGCTCTACGTCCGTCATCTCCGCTTCGAGGCTAGCCGTTGTCGTCATGATCAAGAGGAAATCAGTTTTCACTCAACGTCCCCAGATGGCCAATCTCGGATACTTCATGAAACCAAATCGGATCATCGGACGCTGGCCAACCTTGAAGCTTTCGTCTGTCACTTGACTGGCTGAACTCGGCCGGGAAGACGAAACTCGACAAAGTCAGGGAGCGGTTGAGCCGTGGCCAGGACATCGCCATGTCTGCGATCTATTTGGGGGTATCCTTTAAAGGAGAAGGATCCCTCGATCAAAGACACACCGGCCTTGCTGTCATGGCTCTCGGCACACTACACCCCCATCATGTCATGTCGAGTCAACACGACACCTGAACAGCCTCAATGTCGAGAGAGAGATTGGACTTGGCCAACCGGATGAGAAAAAGCCGATCGTCATGTCGAAAGGATCTGCTCTCGACCAGACAGGTGCGCTGAAAACGGGGAGAAGTTCGAGCATCGACACCGTCCTCACTTCTGCATATCTCTCTTGTCTCTCGCCCTTGGTAGGAACGATGAGATGAGCGACGCATGAGCTATTGAAGCACTCCGACACCATGACCAGAGCTACGAGAATCACGCTGACGCCTCCGACGAAGGACGTGCTCAGGGGCGCGCCGCTGGGATGACCGCCCAGCGTGAGGACATGCTCAACACTGTCAAGTCTGCAAGCAGAGGTCGTCTATCGGCTCCATTGCCAGACTCGAAACCTCAATGACGACCGGACCGGCGCCGATAGGAGTAGCACCCACTGTTCCGCAGCTCGGCTGTTTTCCGTCTAAAAAGTCACCTACGACAGACGGGGCCCTCTACACACAGAGCAACCTTCCTATCGGCGTCGTGCAGGTATTGAAGACCGAGATCCCACGTTTCAACCACAGCGCCAACAGCGGGGTTTCCAGCGTCACTAGCCTCGACGGCTACCGAGGCACTGTTGACGTTGGTTCGAACCCTTCGACGGCGCGACGATGGACGAGAAACCCTTTCGCGATGTTCACCTATTTGGCTTGCACACGTACGCGTCCAAAATGAGTTGTGGTTGAAGGTTGGCGCGGGCTTGCGTCACTGCCGAGCCGGTACGAAGCGAGATGTAGCGTACCACTCCATAGGGCGGTCTTGGCGGCATGCTGGAGAGCGCCTGAGAAGATGGGCACGTATTGGCTTTAACGTTTAGCTCAAGCAGCCTTTGGTGTTTCACGTGCGTCCCGCCTGTTGTAGCAGGGGATGTGGCGCTGTTCTAGACCTGCAAGATGCTTGACAGGTTGTCCTCGGACTCCTGGTCGCTGACGAGGCGCGCAGTGTAACCCTAAGGTACGGGGGAGTCTTGGCCTTCATGAGCGGGAGCATGAGATGCGCTAACATTCAATCTCAAGCTCTCAGCTCGCACTCGCTTCAGAGCACAGGGTGGGCACAGGAACCCGATCCATGGTTACACGTACGCTTATCAGGCTGTGTCAAGCAACGAACTGGCCGGTCACGCCAAGCCTTGGCAAAACGGGGACGGACCAGAGCTGCGCCCACGTGGTTACAGTCCGCCCACGATGTTTGTTTTTGTCTTCGAGTGTAGCGGACTTACGTCCGATGCTCGACAAGAGGTTCTTAGCTCTTACACACAAACCTCGCATTTACGGTTTAAATTTGGTCGCAAAGCATCTCTGGTCGTTCTCCGGCGGACTGCTGAGCCACGCTAAGTCACATGGCATTCACGGCGTGGACGAGGTTGGTGGCAGGGCTCTGAGGTCGAAGGTGAAGCGACATCTTCAATGAGCCAGACACCAGTGAACTTGCTCAGATTAAAACTGTTGCATCCAATAGAATGTTGAGCTGAGAGCCACTTTTAAAACCTCTAACCAGCAACAGGATTCCCAGACGGACGGAAGGATCTGGGTAGAGCATCCTCAGGCTTAGGCTCAGCCCCTGCATGCGGAAGTCAACGAGTGGATGTCTTGCTGACGCGTACCAACTGCATGGTACTTCTACTTACCATACTTTGAATCTCAACTCATACGGGACTGGGGCCTGTGAGAACGGCCATCCGCAAAGAGGCCGTCTCCGTTCGGACTCACATATCAGCTCGCCTTTCTTCCTTCTCAACATGGCAGCAGACTACTCAACGGCAGCTTCTTTTCCGAGTTGGCAACCAAGGCAACTCACACACTCACTTACACGCACACACTCTACTTCGAGTCAGCCGTGAGACATCCAAGTGCCCAAGACACTCACAACGCCCTACACGATGGTCTGCGCAACAGGGACCCCCGACTGGAGCAATGTCACGCTCGCGACGTTCAACCAGACACTCCTCCGGAACCCAATGCTGTGTACGTCGTGCACTTGTCCGCTCGTCATCGAGGGCTACCATCTCGGTTACATCGCCTACTTCCCCTCGCTGGCTGGCAACGCCCTGTTTGCCGCCATCTTTGGCCTCTGTCTGCTCCCGCAGATCTACTACGGAATCCGCTGCAAGACCTGGGGCTACTTGATTGCCATGGTGGGCGGACTCATCCTCGAAGTCATTGGGTATATCGCTCGCCTCTTGATGAGGAACAACATGTTCACCAACTCGTACTTTATCATGTAAGCTTCCTACATTACCTCTCCCACCCGTTCCTTTCCTTCTTGAAACGGCTTGGCTCCTAACGACCGACCCGCCAAACAGGTATCTCGTCTGCCTCACGATTGGCCCGGCCTTTTTCACGGCAGGCATCTACCTGACCCTGTCACGACTGATTGTCATCTACGCTCCCGAACGGGCGCGGTTCCGGCCGCAGGTGTACACGTACATTTTCATTGCGTTCGACCTGGTGGCGCTCATCCTGCAGGCGGCCGGCGGCGCCGTCGCGTCCATGGCGGAGCCCGGATCGCCGTCGGTCCGGGCCGGCATCAACACCATGGTCGCCGGCGTGGCCTGGCAGGTCTTTGCGCTGCTCCTGTTTGCGCTGCTAAGCCTCGAGTTCTGGATGCGCGTGCGCTCCCGCGGCGGTGTCCGGCCGGTCCCGCTGAACCCGGCCTTTGCGGAGCTGCGGGCGCGGCGGCCGTTTCAGCCGTTCTTCATCCTGGCTGTTCTCCTGGCGGGTATCCTCATCTTTGTGCGCTCCGTCTTCCGGTGCGCCGAGCTGTCGGAGGGGTTCGGCGGTCCGTTGGCCAACGACGAGGTCACGTTCATGGTGCTGGAGGCGACCATGATCGGCCTGGCGTGCATTCTCCTGACGGCGTTTCACCCGGGCCTCATCGTCGGCAAGGAGGCATGGTCGGCCGCGAGCTGGAAGTCGGGGAAGCACGGGTCACGGGGCGATGCGGAAAAGTCGGCGAGGGGTTCGTCCACTGAGAGGGAATACGGGGCGTGAAAGCTGGGGGGCTGCCATGATTCCTCCTATAGGTCGGGGTAAATAGAACGCATTCGCCGTCATATCTCAGAAATGCTCGGCGATAGACGGTTGGGGTCTTAAGATATTTGGGATGTGACTTGGCTTAGACACTTTGTAGACTCGGTTCTGAATGCCTCAAAATTATGTTCTCTTGCTCTACCGCTTTTTCCAGGCCAAGTAACACAGAATAGTACAGGTCAACCGGTGAATTCAGAAAGCTCTAGCATGAGCTTGACCGTTTTCTCCGCGTTCTGTCAAACACTGGCAGCCCACAAATGTGTGGTGGCATATTCGACTTACACGAGTACGGGAACGGGATCTGTACAAAGTCCACTCTTCGTGCGCTACGCCCAAAGAGGGAAGGTCAAAGCCCAAAAAGACGCTTGCCAAGCTCAGCTCAGCCTTACCCGTGCCGCCCATTCCTGGAAGGGAACCGTCATCAGCGAGCTCACTTCCCCTTTCAAGGCCCAAGTTTGTCTGCGCGGAGAAACAATCCACTCGTCGACGACACGAACTCGGCTGTGTTTGTCAGCAAATAGGGGGGAAATTCTTTGTTTGCGATTTCCTCCAGCAGAATTTTGCAGAACAGCACAAGCCGAGGTCAACAGCGTTCGACGGGTTTGACCGACCAACGCCAAGCAAATGTCACGGAGCTGCAAAGAACTGAGGCGGCAGAGACAGGTCTCGCAGCTCCGGCCAGGAACCCGTGGCTGTGCACACCTTAAGTGAACTCGCCGGTTCCATCATTCCGGGGGCGCTGGATTTGCGTCTACCACGTGCAGACGCCCGAATGTTCCACCTCAGGTTACAAGTGACGAAGTGAAGCCCAGCGACACCACTGGGCGAGATTCCTGAATCTTCAACTTTCAGGAAATTTTACCACGGTACCAGCCCGTTTCGGAGGCCAAGTCTGGATCACACTTTCTCAACGAGTCTTACCATGCTCGGCTGGGGGGACCGAGGGCGTATACCACCGGTGCTAGAGGATATCGCCTTCATGACCACTCTGATATGGCTCGTAAGTTGTCAAATCTCCCTTGCTCTGCACCTCGTTGGAAAGATTCGAATCAAGGGTCTGGTTAAGAAAGAGCAGTCTTAAATCACGAAGCGGCCTTCTACTCTCGATGGGCGTAAACCACCAAAGCATTGTCGCGGCACACTGTTGTCGGAGGCTTGAGTATGACCAGGTCAATGCATGCGAAGACACAAAAGGTAAGGGAGAAAGAGCAGCAAGAAGCTTACCGGCTAACCCTCTTCATCAGTTGAAGAGAGGGAGCCGGCTACGAGCCCTCGGGAGGGCTCACTTCGCGGAGGCCAGGGGCTGGGGAGTGGCGCTCGATTTCATCCTCGGGGCAACTGTGCGTCAAACTGGTAAGCTCACGATGCAGAGCATAGAGAGTTTATTAGGAGCTCCGGCCCTAGGGTGACCGTGTCCAATGACCACTGAGTTACTGGAGGCGGTCGGTGATATTCGGGGATGTTGACCTTCTATATCAATGACTCGCTGGCTTTCAGGAAATACCCTCCAAACATGGATGCCACCGGCCGACGCGTGCTCGACTAGGACAAATCCACAGCTTGGACGGGAATCTTTTACCAGCTATCTAACTCTCCGGAGGATCATATCCACGCCGTAAGGTTCCAAGACGGCAATACCGCCATATAGCGAGAGCAGATCGCGAGCTCTTACGCTCCAAATCATGGTCAAAGATGCCTTTATATCTGACACCTCCCAAATAGATGGGCTCGCTGGTAACGCTGGCCAACTATTTACCTATGCGTGTGGCATCCAAAGATACCTAACCTTCCCTGGATCCGCGCGAGTTTTACCGTACTGACGACCGTCTCCGACTTCGTTGCCTTTTCCTTCCTGGTTTGGAGGCCGCCGCGGACGCATCACCAGTTTCACTACCCTTAGGTGGCTGTCAGATCGGGGTTATATACCACTTGGAAGAAGACATTGGCGGCCGTTGTCTCTCTGGCCGCCGTTGTGGGTGGAATATGACATCAAACATTCCCTCGGTCTTGATTCTTTGCTGCCAATCTCGATACCCCGTAGGTCAGTTCTTTTTATCATTCTCAATCTCGTGCCTCGGCCATGACGCTTCTTAGATACCCTACGGAGTACCTTGCACTCCAATACACGCGGCACCGTCCTCAGTTCCTCTGATAAATTCGATGCTTTGCCTGCGCGCCCGTCCTTACAGTCACAAGGATAAGCTATGTAGGTACGAGACATGTTCTCTCGGCCATGTATCAATGGAGGTGAGGACAGGGGGTGACATTTTGCTTCAACCCCACATCCTCCTCCTCCACACTCAGACCGCTCTTCGGTCGGTCGAGACCTTTCGACTATTCAGCTGGACAGACTCGGCAGATTAACTTGGAAGATCGACATTTCCAATCTTCAGATGGACTTCCTGGGTTTCTAACTGGAAATAACTGCACAGTTGTGAGACAACAGCACCGCCGTCATCAATGAGTATCACAAGCTGCCATTTCTGCTTGGGTTGCAAGCACATCGTCTTGGCATTGACACTGCAGCAGCCGAGCGCTTGCAGGGGCAAAAGCCGGCGTGCCCCGCTTCAATGGCATGGCAGGGTCAGGAAGACAAGGGTCCCGTCGTCACACCAACAGCAACCCCTCTCCACCAAGAGCACCCCTCAAACCCCTCCCTGTGCCCCGCGATGTGAACCAAGCAAGCTGAATGGCTGGCTTGGCGTGTTTCCGATCGCTTGAAACCTGAAAAGAGCCCAAGGTGCAGATAGAAGGGTTTGATTCGGGCTGGTATTTGATCTGAGCCTTCGTCCGGCTGTGACATTTCCCTCTCAGCTCTCGTCGTTCCTCCACCCATTCGATCTCGAACCTAGCCCGAAATTATCACCAGCCGCGGGGCTCAACCCACTTAAAATCAAGGGTCATTTTTCTTCATCCATCACTTCGAATAACAACCCCGCTCTGCGTTTTCTGATTGCTACAACCTTCTCCCTCCAACATTAACGAACAACGCACACCACACTGATCGACTCCAACATGGCGACACTCAAACCCTACCCGTTCCTGCTTACCTTCATTGTGCTCTTCTGCTTCGTGCGGCCCACTCTCGCCTTTGGCGCTGGTAATATTGCTGGCGTCTCCAAAGTCGAGGGCCAAAACTGTAGGATCTTGTCCCCAGATCTTTGCTTACCAGCGGCTGACGATTAATTCTCTGTCACCAGGGCGTCACGGCGATATCGAGGATGCGCTCCTCAAGATTGTCATGGCACGCCTCGCCGGCGGTAAGACATTCGACAAGTTGATGGTGTCCCGCGTCTACTTCGGCAACTGGCTCCGCGACTATTCCCAAGCCATTGACGTCGGAACCGTCAAGAGCGTCTCGGCCGAGGCCATCCGTCTCCTGCTCTCCGTCCTGGGTTTCCTTACCTTCGGCTACGGCAGCCGGGAGTTCGAGGTCACCACCGATCGCCTGGGCTGCTACCGTCCGGAAGACCACATCGACAACCCCAAGGACTACGCCGACAACCAGGATGCGAGACAGTATGACCGCCGTCTGCGCGGCCCCATCGACGAAGGGGTTGAGCTCGCCGTCGACCAGGAGACGGGCATGAAGAACTACATTGCGAACGAGAGTGCTGGCATCATGACCTCGGCACAGCACGTCCGCAATCTGTTCTCCAGGTGCGTCGAATTGGGCCGCTCGTATGGCCGCTCCGGGAACAAGGATGAGCTCTACGAGGCCCTGCGTCTCCTGGGTACCGGCCTTCACTGTCTGGAGGGTAGGTGATCTCGTAACCGCTCCAGTGCCCGACGTCCGCGATACTGACACAAGTTGCAGACTTCTTTGCTCATAGCAACTATACTGAGCTGGCCCTGATTGAGTTGGGCGAGGAGAACATCTTCCCTCATGTCGGTCGTAACACCAAGCTCAGGATCCAGGGCGCGCGCGACGAGGTCTACCCCATCGTCACCGGCACGTTTGGTGGTGTTGATTTCCTCCACTCGGTTACTGGTGAATGTACGTAGCACCACCCGGAACCCCCCTCAGCTACGCAGGCTAATAAGCGCAGTGTCCGATAAGATGATTCAGAGCGAGATTGAACAGCTCGAGGGAACTCTTCAGCAGAGCCAGAAGAATGACACCAGCCTTTTACGCGAACTTCTCGACAAGATCCCCGATGGTATCCTCGGTGACGACAAGAAGTCGCAGCTGGACGACATCCAGAACAACGCCCAGGCTGCCCAGATGCAGAACGTGACTGTTTCGCCGAGGGATCCTGAGGAGTTCACCAACTACGTCACGGACATCTTCAAGCAGATCATGCCTGCTATCGAGTTCCACGACCAGCTCCTGAAGGACATTTCGGAGGCCATCTCCAGGATTCCGATCCTGCCCAAGATCATCGAGCAGCTGGAGGAGCAGCTGTCCGTCTTTGTCTTCCAGATCATTGCGCCGTTCGTCGTTCCCCTCATTGAGCAGATCAAGAACGAGCTCGCGACTGGCGCAACCGAGATCATTGAGAGCAGCGAGGCCCAGCAGCACAACGTCTTCCGCGACGACAACTGCACTGACCCGACCCACTCGATGCTGTCTAAGGACCACTTCACCAACGTAAGACTTGATTATGTCCCACCAGGAGAGAGATATCCGAGCTGACCACGCAACCGTTCCACAGATTCTCAACGAGGTTGCCGGCCGCACTGCTTCCAAGGTCGTCTCATGGGTCGTGCCCCAGCTCATGGAAGCCTGGGACGACGAGGGCGTCGACGTGAACCGGATGCTCAACAAGATCATCTACGGGGTCCTGCACCACCCGGCGCAGCGCGACATGGACCGGGACGGGGCGCGGGAGGGGCGAGCCCTCATCTTTGGCATGGTGCAGGAGTGGTGGGAGGACATGGACGAGCGGCAACGCGACGAGTACCGGCGCAAGCTGAGCCGCGAGGGCGTCGAGAACGGCCAGAACCACAAGGAGGGCCAGCGCGACTGCGGTCACGGGTGCGGCGGCAAGCTCAAGATGCGCAAGAACTTTCGCAACGAGGCGCCCCAGACCATCGAGGATCAGATTGCGGGCGCGGCGGCCGATGCAATTATCGGCGGGGTCAAGCAGGGGCTGGTGGATGCCGTCCAGGGCAGCGGTGTCAATGTTGGCGGTGGCGGTGGTGGTCGTCAGGAGACCTCCGAGGGCGGGCTGGGCGGATTTCTGAGTAGTGTTGCGGGTGGTATTTTGGGCGGGGGATTCAAGAAGGAGGAGACCGAGGCGTACACGGCCGGCGGCCGGACCGAGGACGGCGGGTACAGCCAGACTACGACCGAGTATGGCCGCTCGGGCAACCGGTATGGCCAGGCCCAGTACACCGAGACGCAGTACGGTGGTGGTGGTGGCAGCCGCAGCGAGTATCGCCGGTATGAGCAGCGCGAGGACGAGAGCGGCAGCGGCCGGGGTGAGACCACGTACGGATACTCGGAGGAGCGCACCAGTGAGATGCGGTATGGTGGTGCTTCGGGCTCGGGTGGTGGCTATGGCCGCCGCGAGGAGGAGGAGACGAGCAGCTACGGACGCCGGGAGCAGCCGAGCTATGGCCGTCGTGAGGAAGAGAGCAGTGGTTATGGTGGTGGGTATGGCCGTCGTGAGGAGGAGAGCAGTGGTTATGGTGGTGGATATGGCCGGGGGGAGGAGGAGAGTAGTGGCTACGGTGGCGGGTATGGTCGCCGCGAGGAGGAGAGCAGCGGCTATGCCGGTGGGTATGGCCGTCACGAAGAAGAGACCAGCAGCGGTTATGATGGCGGATATGGCCGCCGGGAGGAGGAGAGCAGCAGCGGTTATGGTGGCGGATATGGTCGCCGTGATGAGGGAGAGAGCGGCGGCTATGGCGGGTACGGTGGACGGAATGAGGAGGAAGACAGCGGTCGCCGCCACCACCACCGCCGAAATGATGACGAGGAGGAGGAGGAGGGCAGAGAGCGCCGTGGTTGGGGGTATTGAGGGCTGGGTCGGGGTATCGCTGAGTTAGATCATTCAAGCCTGAGGCGAAGGTGTGCGCTCCGTTGATCTGTCTGTGGTTTATGTTTTCTCCCTTTTTTCTTTTTTTTTCTGTGTGGAATAATGCGCTTGCCCGGAAATGCAGTGGGTTTGAATCCTGGTCTCGTCAGAACAGAGATGCAGAAGATGATATCTTTCCAGCTTGCCGTTACAGTTCCTTCAAGTTGCAATGCCTGCGGGGACGAAACCTCAGGGACAGTAGGGACCGAACCCAGTGACTAGCCAATCGGCTCTATTGTGAGGTTGGCATGACGAACGCCTACCGTATTCGGGTCATCGGCGGTCGCTGGGGTCCCAGATAGATTAATTTGGGGTTATAGAGAATACTCTGCCTTGATTTTATAGTCTCCTCCTCTCCACATCTGACCCATCAACCGGCAGATCTGCCCATGGTGCGGGGAGCCGAACCGGCCAATATCATGCCGCGAACTCTTAATTTCTTGGTTGTTCTGAGCTCGGGAAGCACCAGGGGTTTTTGGCCTTCCTTGTATAGGGTTACTGGTGGATGGTCGATCGCATTGAAATACATGGTGTCCTGTGGAGGAACTCATCAGGGCATGATCGACTCGCTCAGGGGAAGATGCAAAGCGGGGGAGGGCAAGGTCATGGACGGATGGATGGATGATCCAGTGGGATCTCTTCTCTCTCGCCTTGTCCTGTATACTGAGCAGGTCTCTGAGACCCTGGCCGTGAAAACGAGGGCGGCTTCATATTACGTAGCGGCTTGTCGGATGGCCCTCCCTCGGAGTGGCGCTGTTAGGGGGCCGTTTCATTTGGGTATTCATGGGCTGCACTCTGGAATAAGACTTTCCTGTTGGGTAGCTGTTCCTGGCTCGGGTGGAAACTTGTCTACAATCCACCTGTTGGACGGGTTGGAGTGATGAGGTCGTAGTAGGCTGGGAAGTATATTTGGTTGACTGCCCCTTTCCTGGGTTTTGGCGTGTATGTTGCTAGGGCATCTCTGAGTTGGGCACAAGACCATCTCTTCGCTGTCTATACAATGCATCTGCCTTTGACCGCCGCCCTCGCCGTCCTCCCGGCCTTGGCCCTGGGCCAGGTCTCGGGCAGCGGCAAGACGACGCGCTACTGGGACTGCTGCAAGCCGAGCTGCGGCTGGCCGGGCAAGGGCGGCAACCCGATCCGGACTTGTGACAGGAACGACAACATCCTCAACGACGGCGGCAACACGAGGTCCGGCTGCGACAGCGGCGGCAACGCCTACATGTGCTCCAACCAGAGCCCCTGGGCCGTCAACGACTCGCTCGCCTACGGCTGGGCCGCCGTCAACATCGCTGGCAGCACAGAGTCCCAGTGGTGCTGCGCCTGCTACGAGCTGACCTTCACGAGCGGGCCCGTCCAGGGCAAAAGAATGATTGTGCAGGCGTCCAACACGGGCGGCGACCTGGGCAACAACCACTTTGACATTGCCGTTCGTTCTCATCTCTTGCCCGACATAACGAAACTGCTTACTGACGGACTTACCACACCTAGATGCCCGGCGGTGGTGTCGGTATCTTCAACGGTGCGCCTCTCCCGTCTCCCTCCTTTTTTTCCCATGGCCGAGATGATCAGAAATCCCAACAGAAACTGACCACCAATAATCAGCCTGCACCAACCAATACGGCGCGCCGCCAAACGGCTGGGGTGACCGGTACGGCGGCATCCACTCCAAGAGCGAGTGTGCCAGCTTCCCGGAAAAGCTCAAGGCCGGCTGCAACTGGCGTTTCGACTGGTGCGTGCCACCCATGACGTTGGGGTAGTGGAGAGAGAGCGAGAGACAGAAGGGGGAGAGCCAAACTGACGCCTCACTTTTCACATTTACCTTAGGTTCCAAGGCGCCGACAACCCGGACGTCACCTTTAGGCAGGTTACCTGCCCGGCTGAGATCACGGCCAAGAGCGGGTGTGGTCGCTGAGGCACCCATTGGGCCGGCGTGTGTGTCCCGCAAAAAATCTAGGGGTAGCAGTAAGCTGTGGGAAACGCTTCCAGATATGCACACAAGGAACGCATACCCGGACATCTTTTCTGGACAGGCTAGGCGGATATAGGAGCACTACCCACGACGCCCCTTCGCGTTTCGAATGAAAGCGTGACTTCTCTCTCCCTCTGGCGGAAAGGCTGAATGTATCACCCGTACCTAACCCCATATAATCTCCTGGTCGTAAAATGTAAGGACGGTAAGACCCTCCCAAGCAAGCAACGCCAAAGTTCAAGGGATGCACTCGCGTGTACCACACTCCAGGCCAGAACCTCCTGAGATCTTCGATGAAATGTCCCAGGAACCAGACTCCATATGTCCCAGGAACCAGACTCCATACGCCAAGAGAAAAACCCACTCAACCCATCATAAGACGCCCGCCAGAACCACGCCATGTTAAACAATACCCATTAAACGCCCGCCGCCCTCCCATTCGCCACCGAATTCACATTACTAGCATGCGCCAACAGGAACTTACAGCACGTCAGCGTAAGCTTGCAGGCCTTGGTCCACCCATCGTCCTGCGCCACGCCCAGCCGGATGCTCACGTCGCCGATCCTGTCGCCCTCAATCCGGTAGGGCAGGCTGAGCGGGGTGCCGTCGGCGGCCGCCGTCTGGGCGTGCACGTGGGCACCCAGCTGGCGGACCAGCTCCAGGAACGCCGTCATGGCATTGTCAAACTTGCGGTGCATAAAGGTCAGGCCTAGCGGCATGTCGCCCGACGAGTACAGGTCCAGGACGTGCCGCTTGGGGGGCGGCGGGGGCGCGCTGCGCGGGGTGGTGGTTCCAGCGGCGGTATCGGTGGTGGTGGAACCAAGCCGGCGGCTGGATGTCGGGGAGGGCTGGTCGTAGCGGATGATGCGCGACGTCGAACCCATCGGCTGCGGCTCGTAGCCTTCGAAGTGGTAGCCCAGCTTGTCGGCGACCGTGACGAGCAGCAGCAAGGCGTGGCCCCAGGCCGCGTTGATCTCGGGCCAGTCGACGGGCTTGCTGGAGAGGCGGCCCAGGCGGAGACCGTTGATGGTGGCAAAGGTGCCATCGTGGCTGATGCAGAAGGTGTCGTTGTAGACGTTGCTGCGCTGTAGCTTCTCAAGCTGCCGCGAGTCGTGGTCAAACTTGCTGTTGATGCAGTCGCGCTCGTTCTGGAAGTCGGCCAGCCGACTCGCAAACTCGTTGCGCTCGCGCCAGAAGGCTTCTTCCTGCGCGTCGAGCTGCCGGCACTCTTCCTCCAGAGAGACGAGCTCGGCGTCAAGCGATTCTTTCTCCCGCTCCAGCTGCCGGATCTCTTCGCCTGCCGCGGCTTCGGCGTGCAGGGCTTTTCGGAGGGCTTCTTCCCGGCCTCGTAGTTCCTCCTCCGTGGGCGCGCTGGCTTGCATTTCCTTCAAGAACGCAATGTACGCATCCCTCTCTCGCGTCGTCGTCTCGAGCCTTTTCTGCAGCTCCTCTAGCAGCAGCTCAGTGCACTCGACGCAGACAGGGTGGTCAATATCGGAGCGGGCTGAAAGAATCTCGAAAAGCTTGGTGATGCGTTCCGTTTCGTACGACTTGGATGCATCGTCCTCGTCCGCGGTGCTGTCGTGGCGGCCTGGAGAGGTGGGAGAAGCATCCGAGACTTGGTGGCTCCTCTGCAAAGCCAGGTTTGGCGGTGCTATCTGGGATTCGGTCAAGAAAATGAAGGACATGGCCGAGCTATCGCGCGGGTGAGCATCACCTCTGCCCGGCCAACCATGGCGCTTGAATATCGGAGGGGGTGCATTCTGGGCCGCTCGGTCGTAAATTGCTTTCCTGGCGAGGTCGTTCAAAGGTAATGTGCGGGATGTGGAGGGCTTCTTTGGCCCTTGCTGTGAGTGCGTTGCTACAGAATTCGGCCGTGAGCCCAAGGGTTCTGACATTCAAAGCATTCACACGTGGATACAGCCAGATTCAATTGTCTAGAGGTTGGTGCTTACCGACAAGTAGATCGTACGCTGCCGGATTCAGCTTCTCCAGCGAGCTGTCTAGCCTGAGCGGGGTACGGCATTTTTGGCAATACATGGCTGAAAGAGCCCATTCCAAGTCAACGAAGGGTTGGGGGTAGGAGATGCAGTACTGGTGTTCCTGTGAGCTCGGAGCTTCAGCTTCAAATAGTAAGTTATCACGGCTGGTGCATCCTTATCGTGTTGGAGCCTGCCTGGTCCCCGGCACAGTGCGCATAACTCACCGTCTTTCTCAACCATCTCACCAGTCACCAATAAGGCAGGTTTACCTCCTGCTAAGTGGCAAGTGGATAGATGATTGAGAAAGGACGGTAAGCTGGGTGCGGTTGGAATAGAAACAGCTACTACATGGCTTGGTAACCTGAATCTTGGAAACAAGCATCAAACGCTTCACACAGAGGCTCTAAAGGCTCCCAATCCAACAATGTATAGTCACAAGTAGAGGAAGGTTGGAAACTATAGATAGGTCTTACAGAACGAGGGTGATGCGAAGGTTAACTGATTGAAGGTGGAACATGGGGTAAAGCGTGGTGTTTTTCTGGTCAGGGCTGATTTCACCATCCCAAACCCCATCAACAAATGAAGAACAAGACGTCAGCAAAGCAGACATGCGTCTCTTCGAAATCAAAAAAGCATGGAGGCCACCCCCATCCGCTATTCCTTCGAAAAATACAAGCTCAAGCAATGGGCCTTCGTCATCTTCCGCTGCACCTACAGGTCACAAGAGAAATGGGACCAGTTCATCGGTCTCGTCAAAAGAGCACACGTACGATGACTCTGAGTGGCGCGGATGGAAGACGTTTACGACCGCATGGCTTGGACGATTATCGAGGACACCGAGGCGTTAGAGGGCGCCAGTCTTGCGACGACGGCTCGGAGGTTTGTCGAGTGGGTAGATGGACCCGAGGGGCGGCAAGACAGGAAGGGCAGTGTGCTTGATACGGACGCCTTTCCGCCTAATGGGCCGCGATACCGATGTACACGTTTTTCTTGCATGCCGACGAGAGAGCCTGGTAGGCGAGGGAGCCGAGGGTGGGGGATATTTTTGTAAGGTGGCGATAGCTTACATGATCTTGGCGGCGGAACGAGAACGGCAAGAGGAAGGGGACGAACAAGCTGCAGAGCAGGAAGATGAGGAGGAGGAGTTGTTGGACTTTGAGAGAGTCAAGATCGATAAGCTTGTTCTTTGGTACGCGATTGTCCTCGACATCTGTTTGGGCACAGGCAGTGGTATTCCCCGTCCTAGGTGGTTACCTACATACTGTACCAAGGTAGATGGGTACGGCAAAAATACACCCCGCCCCAGTCTGATTGTCATGTGCTTTGCCGTAACTAGGCAAGACAGGGACATGCAACCGACCACCAACTCGCCAACTTCCATCGGCCCACGACGACACCTCTGTGCGATAGCCTTGCGTCTCAAAACTGTGAATCAGTGACCAAGACATTTTGAGAACATCCATTATCTACGCCTCGAAATTCGTATCACCGAAACGAATCGAATCACCAGCACGCACCGCACCCTAAGCGTTTCCATTGCCGCGTCATCGCGTCCTCGCCTGCCAGCCCAGGGGTTCCTGAACAGATCAACAGCCGACTGTCTCGCGATTCAATTCCCCGAAACCGCCTCTCTTCCCTCCGCCCAAGATGGCCAACCCCCTTGACACCGATGCCGGCACCGAGCTGTTCAAGCATTATGAAACCGAATACCAGCTGGTCCAGGCGGACCTGGTGCAGAAGTTGGACCAGATCGCGGAGCTGTCCGGGGAGCCGAGGAAGGCGGCGCTGAGCACGGCGGAGCGGGCGCTGGAAGAGGCGGGCGAGCTGCTCGACCAGATGCAGATGGAGAAGCAGAACGTGCCCTCGGCGCAGCGCGCCGCCATCAACCGGCGGTTGCGCGACTACAAGACGGATGTCGACGGCTACCGGCGGAAGCTGCGCTCGCTGGCCCATGACAAAAGCGCGCTGTTCGGGGGGAGATACACGGACAACCCGGGATCGTCGTCAGGGGATGCCCACTTTGAGCAGAGGCAGCAGTTACTATCGGGTGTGTTCATGCTTTGTATCGTTCGTACGGTGTTTCGAATATTGGGGGACTAACAGGGCCGTAGGAACGGACCGGCTAGATCGCAGCACGCAGCGGCTCAAGGCCAGCCAGGCATTGGCGAACGAGACAGAGGCCATCGGAGCCAGCACGCTGGCGCAGCTGCAACAGCAGCGCGAGACCATCGAACACACCACCAGGGTCTTGTACGAGAGCGAAGGCTATGTTGACCGCAGCATCAAGAGCCTCAAAGGGATCGCTCGTAGGTATGACGTTCTCTGAACCCCGGGGAAGTTGCTGCGAGGTCTTTTGCTGACCTCTCTCTAGGATGGCTACAAATCGGGTGATCACCATTGCCATCATCACCGTCTTGGTGCTCCTTATTATTGCAGTTATCTTCAGCAAGTTCAGATGATTTGTTGGCTAGCGGCCCTCCTGTTTTTTTTGGCCTCCTGTTTTTTTGCATGAGTATTCGGGTGATACGACTTAGAAGGAGTTTGAGGTGCTTAGGGGATGGGACACGAGTGCATCAAAGCGTGTCAGCCAATCTCCCGCGCATGGGCGGTCGCTTCAGCACATCCTAATGTATGTACACGTGAACTTTACGGTATGACCATCGGTTCACACATGAGATGACTTAACGGGAGATGTTGAGTTTCTGCATCCAGAACTTCCATCCTTCATCTTGAAGACCTGCGTCTATGTTGCTGTGCCCAGCTAACGTTAAAATACGAATACGCTCCGTTCAACTGAGCAATGAGTCCTTCGTAATTACGCCGGTATGTATCTGTAACGAAACGACGGGCGCCCCACCTGTCTCACCGTCCGTATGCGGCGCACTGTAGCTACAACTGGCAAGGACCGGAAACAATACATTACTCCGTACGCGACTCAATCTCAAACCCATTACAAAACGTACGACTTTCAATAACTTTATCAGTATTCCAAACCGGCGAACCCGTAGTCTCACATGAAAGCGGCAATGCGCGCACAATGGAACCCTCAGCGAAGCGCGCGCGACTCGGCCCAGCGCCCTTCGAGGACTTTGATGACCCAGACGCCGACGAGCTCAATGAGCGACCAGAAGAGGTGAACGCGCGCCGAAATCCCGCCGTGCAGCTCGAGCGGTCACGCGCATTCGCCGCATTCAAGCTGAAATCGGCCTTTGAACGAATATTTGAGAAATATGAAAAGGACTTCACCGGTGTCGGCGACGAGATCAAGCTCAGCACGGGCGAGATTGTCGTGGATAATGGGCATATCCAGTCGCTCAAAGATGCGCAGCTCGGGGGCGCCGAGGACGGGGACGGGGTTAGTGGTGATGAGGTATCCGATGCTGGGTCTTTGAATGAGGAGGAGAGGATGGTGAGGGGCAAGGCGGACAACAGGTTGAGCCGGCTGGGACAGAGTCCGCCGCTCTTGATGCCTCCGCAAATCGGCACACCACCACCACCCTTTCTCGCTGCAGGATGGTCTGGACGAGCACTAATGTTTGGAGGAACACCGAGAGTCCCAGGCGTAATCTACCCGGGTCAGATGCCGCTTGGTGGATTCCCGATGCATTTTGCGACTCCGAGCCCGATGCCGACGACGGACCCGACTTGGAAGACGCCCGAGCTACCCTCGTCATCGATCAGAAATGCCCTGACTTGGGGAGAATCCACTGGCTCGGTCAGGAAGAAGACAGCACGGCTCTCACTAAGCGCCGCTCGCGAGCAAAATGGCGCGGACGAGGACGACATCTTTTTGGATTTGTCTGCTACCGGGAAGGACGAGGAGAAGGACGGAGAGTCCATCGTGAAGCAGAGAGTTCTTCTGCCGCGACCACCACCCGAGAAGATCCGGGTCAAGAAGCATCGGAGCAAGTCAGGAGGAACTGGCCCCAAGCATGCACATGAGGTCAAGGAGCTTCGCGAATCTCAACATGTTCTGAAGCCCCTAGCCCAGAGAAAGAAGGTATTCCAAACAAAGCCTGCCATTGCGGTAGACCGCACGGGTTCTGTGCCTTCACCTGAGCCTAGTTTCGAAGCCAGAGCCGATGTCGAGGCGGCTGGAAATGCGGCCGAGCGGATGCAGGCGGATGTTGCTGAGCCTACCACGCCAATGGTTCCCGAAGGACCCAGGATTGAAAGCATTGAAAGAGATGTGCCAGGTCAGAGCGAACTGGTAGTCGTCGAATCCCCACAAACAACCGTACCGAAACCCGAGACCGAGATACTTGATCCAGCCGATCCGGATGTTTACGCCAGAATCTCCGACGAGGGCGAGGAACAGAGATTAACGAGGAAGCCAGGGAACCAGACCCTTCTAGTTGAAATAATAACAGGGAATGTACTTGATGTCCATTCGTTCAGAATCCATACACCAGAACCGGCAGAAGCAGACATTGCGAGGCATGGGGAGACCGTTATGGATGGACCCTCACCCAAGGAAATGAGAGCCGCCAAAGTCCGAGACACGGATAGCCAGTCTTCCGATAGGATGACCGCCTCCGGAAGGAAACACCAGCCTCAGGCCGTGCCGACCGAAGTATTCGCAAGAAACCGTGTCGATCCGACATATGCGTTCTCGGACGAAGAGGAGCCAATGCTACCGAGGAGACGAGTGTCGCAGCGAAAGCACAACAACTCCAAACACGTCAAATTCACCAATGCCGGAAATGCCGTGTTGCGCGAAATCTCTTGGAACGTTGGATCGGGAACAGCCAACGGTGGACGAGAGCCTGTCACAGATGCATCATATTTACAGCAGGTTGAGTCCGTTGCTGTACGAGAACAGTCACCGACTTTAAGTCTGCGTCTGGACGACGAGGAGAGTCGTCCTGGGAGCTGCCGCAAGGAGCCATTGGCGGGAGGTAGAGATGGACCACGGCAAATGTTGGTTACCAAACCATCCCAACAGACAGCCGATCAAACTGGGCAAACGCCAGGGGGGCATGTGAGAAGCCGATCGTCTAGAGAACAGGCCGAAAACGCTCCATTTGTCAACGCGGGCCCGATGGCAAGGGGCCTAAAGGCACAGCGGAATACCTGCAATGAAGCTCAAGAAACCCATTCTTTCGGCAGCAGGAGGAGAGGCCGTCCGCGCAGGACCCGGCCGCGTGATACACCAGCCAGAACATCCCGTTCGCTCAACTTGCCAACAGGTACTTCTCTGGCGCAGCAAATAAGGCAGGAGATACCAGAGACTTCACCCAACGCCCAACCAGCCATCAGGTCGCCAGAAACTGCCCCGATGAGGCCCATTCTGGAGCCCATCGAACCCAAACCCCCATTCTCGTCAGCAGAGCACACTGGAGGTACCCCAGATCAGCTCGACAGAGCACCCTCCCCGACGCCCACCAACCCGACCTCCCAATCCCAACCGTCACCATTCCATCCCGAACCACACAAACCTCCATTGAACCCCGGCACGCCCGTGAAAACACCCGGCTGCCGAGGCCACAAACCACGCCAAGGAACAGCGCCACCCACAACAGCAATCAGGACCAAGGCCGCAAAAACAGCAACCACGACAACAACAAGACAAGGCATCCTCTCCCTCCTACCCGCTGGTAATGACGACGATGACGATTACAAAGACGAGCTCTCCGTCATCAGCCCGCTCAAACCGGCCACCACCGTCCGCTCGACCCCAGCAACCCATCACGTCCGCCTGGGGCTGCTGGCGCCCACACGGAGCGGTAGCGACAGCGGCAGGTCCATGACAGCGACGGCGTCGAAGCTGAAGAACGCTGTTCTTGCCGGCTGCTCCGCGGCGGCGGTGGGGAAGAAAGATGGGGCTGCTGCTGCTGGTGCTGGGCCCGGGGCCGGGGCCGGCTTGTTGTTTCGCACCCCGAGTGGGAGGAAACGCGAGAAGGAGGGTGGTCCATCGGGGGCCATCACGGGAGAGGAGGGGTCGAGGACGCCGTCTTCTTCGCGGCTGGAATTGGGGCTGTTGGTGCAGACACCGGGAGGAACGATGCGCAGGTGCGGGGAGGGTGGGTTCAAGTGTGAGAGGGAGTTTTGCTTTAGCTGTTTGTGAGGGGGTGTCTGCTTTAGCTGTCTGTCTGTGAGGAAGTTCAGCCTGCCTTTGACCTGACCTACCCTAAGAAGATTCTAAGGCCTTCAACATAGCTGCCACGTAGCCACAATCAGTACAATGCAGCCCTTATATGTCTGTTAGCGCGGACCTTGAGCGGTTCACGCGTCTTCTTCACTATTACCTTCTATCTGCTCTCTTTTTTCCTTTCTATCTCAGTTATTGTTAATCTTTTCCTTTCTTTTTTTTTTTTTACATTTTCTCTTTGTTTCTTATGACTATGTATTTCTTGCCTTTATTTACTTGTTTTCTTACTTTCCCTCTACACTCCTTTCCATCCGGTCTACACACACCTGCCATGTGTCACGGTAGAACAAATCAGGACCGAATTGTAAACCGATTATCTAGACAAGGAGACACTGCAATGCAAAAGTTCAGAGGACAGGGGGACGAAGTTTCGAAAGCCCAGAAGACAAACGCCACTTTGACATAGTAAACATGTAACAACCTGGGTTTTGCACCGTCCCATTTGGATACGGACCAAAAAAATAATGGCATGCACACACAAGTCAGACTCCAGCCTGCGTCCCCTCCCCCCCAATCCATCTGTGCAATACCATCCGTAACCAACTCCCCATAACAGCACGTCCTGGGAATAACCGCCGCACACACTTCAATTCCCATCAAAGATAAGGGGACCAAACCCCACACTGCAAAGTTTCCCCTCTGCTAGTCACACGCTGCTCGTCACCTGCTAGCATCCATATCGGTGTTTACATCTGTGGGGCAAGGCATGTAGTATATCACGGGGCCCCACAAATCAACCTTATAACCCTCGACGTGCTCGAGGCCGTGGTATGGCCGCTTGCACGAGGCTTGTCCGTACAAAAATGGGCGAGAGGCCGAATGAACCATGAGAGCGGAATAAAAGCGTAACGCGCAAGAACCATGGGGTAGCGCGTGATTTGCTTTCTCCGTGGGTGGTTGCTCACGCCTGCGTGCTGCTGGCCAGGTACTGCTGCAGGGTTGCTTCGTCTCGGATGGGAGCAAAGTAGGGGTGGGCCATTGCCTCCTTCGCGGTGAGACGTTCCTACATATGGTGGTGTCAGGTTAGCTTTTTTGGGTGCACTCAAAATTTGATGATTAAGTTCGCAGGAAGACAGGGGCTACATACCGCGTGGTCGTACCGCAGCAGCTTGTCCAGGAAGTCGATAGCCTCGTTACTCACGAACCGCTGATTCTCCGAGTTGACGAAGCTGTGCCAGGGCTTCTTGGAGAAACGGCCGAGAACGTCGTCGTACTGGGCGTCGAGCTCTATCTCGTACTTGTCCAGGTAGTCGAAGAGGTCGTCGGTACCGAGCACTTTGGCGATCTTGACAAGCTGGTCCGAGTTACTGTTGCCGTGAAAGAAGGGTTCCTTGCGGAAGATCATGGAGGCGAACATGGCCCCCAGGCTCCACATGTCGAGGCTGTAGTCGTACTCCTGGAAATCGACTAGCAGCTCGGGGCCCTTGAAGTAGCGCGACGCAACGCGGACGTTATACTCGGTGCCAGGGTGGTAGAACTCGGCCAGGCCCCAATCAATGAGCCGCAACTGGGGACAAGGTCAGCAGGGTGTATAAAGTGCCGGTAAGGGGCAGCATGCCTTTTTGCTCTCATGATCGATCATAACGTTATGAGGCTTGACGTCGCGGTGCATGATTCCCTTGCTGTGGCAGTAATCGAGCGCCTTGAGCAGCTCGTAGATGTAGTAGCGGACATCAATGTCGTTGAACTTGGGGTAGAGAGTGCGAAAATCGGTGTTGTTGACGTATTCGAAGATGAGGGAGGGCGTCTTGCTCTGGGAGTCCCGCACAACGTCGAGCAGGGCGACAATGTTGGGGCCGCCGGCCAGGTTTTGCAGGATCTTGATCTCGCGCTTTATCTTCTTCTTCTTAACGGGCTTGAGCACCTTGATGACGCATTTCTGGTAGTTAACCACATTGATGCCCTCAAACACCTCCGAGTATTTCCCGCGGCCTGTTGAGCAGGGGGACGAGCGGTTAGCGAAAATGGAAAAACAGGCAATGCAGTCGAGAGCGAGACGGACCGATCTTCCTCACAACCTCGTAGTTTTCCAGGACTCCCCAGCCTGCGACAAGTCAGTCATGCGACAAATCTCCAGGCGGAATTGCCTGGGGACCGGGAAAGAGACTGGGGACGGACCGATGTTAACGCTGTCGTAGTCCCAGTAACTACGCGGCATGTTCTGGTTGACATCGGCGTAGACTCGGGCCATGCTTGCGACGGTGGCGCAGTGGTGCGCGCAGCCAGCTCGGGACGAGTCGACGTTGCAGGATGCTGGTGTCGTCGGCGAGGAGAGTGCTGGCCAGAAGAAGCAGTGAGGGGCACACGTGAACTCCAACCATTGTTTGCGCCCCGAACAGGGATTGGTGCCCCCGGCTTTGGTCGCTGATAACGTTAAGGCTGGGCGCTTATCGCTGCCTCGCGCCCCAGCTCCAGCGCTTTAATACTTCCTGTGGTATCCGTTTTTGTCAGAACCCGAAAGCTATGGTACGCTATGAGAGAGATGTCCGTGTTCTATGCCTCAACTCCAGACCATCGTTTGCTGTTCGATCCCCGGGCCTTTCGCTTTGCAAATCAACTGACGGAAAGGATGGACTTCCGGTTCCTTCCATGCTGGCAATTGAGCGCCGACGATCTTGAACATGGAAACCATCCCCCATGAGCCGAAGTTGACCGTTCCATGCGCGAGCTCGAACCCGCCAGACATGTCGCATAACACCCCCTGTTAACAACAGAGTGTTGCATCGGATCACTACGCCCTGCTCCTGTACATTATGCGGCGGCTTGGATTAATTACCGGGTAGAAGAAGGACTCTTGACAAGCGAATTACCATGTTTCCCTTCGCTCATCGTCTCTCTTCGCTTCTTCGCGGCAGTACTCATCTTTCCTGCGGCCCAAGATGGACTTCAGTTCGCGCCGCGTCCCATCTGCTACCGTAGACGACGGCGCTTCCATTCGGTCCCGGACCTACCACGACTCAACCCATCGGTTGCGGCCGGCCGAGTCACACTTCTCGCTGCGAGAGCAATTCGCCGCCACGAGAAGGGAGTACGAGTTCGGCTTCGACGATGGCTCGTCCGTCCTCGCACAGTCAACCCTAGCTTCGGAGGCCGCGCAGGTCGATGACCTTCACGATATTGTCACTGTCGAGTCGAATTCACGCACCTTCCCTGACAGCAGACTGGTTTACCGAGACTGTTATGAGTTGTTCTGCTTGCCCAGTGGGCCGTCTTTGTCCCCTGAGCAGGTTCAAGAAGCAGCACGCCGTCTTAATCGTTTACTCGCCGTCGATACACAGCCCCCCCAGCTGCAAAGTGCAGCCGCTTTTTACCTGGGCCTGGTGCAAGCAGCATATGTGACGTTGATTGATCCTTCCAGGAGGCTAGGCTACGATCTCTCGAGGCTTGAAGAGGCCTGCTCGGACTGGGACAGCGAGGAGGAAACCGTTGGCGAAGTGGAACTTGCCAACTCAGGGAGCAGTAGCACTTACAAGAGCAGGCTTCACGACCAATATCTCCTCCTGACCCAGCGGGAGTCGCGAGCTACTTCAGACTTGGGTCTTCGGATCGACGCTTGCTCTCAGCGGCATGGTGCCGGGTTAGCCGTCCTGGACCTCTGCCTCCGCAAATCTGCCACTGTCAGTGTACCTGCGCTGCGGTGGCCGATAGAGAGGACTGTGTACATGCTTCGGGGCCTGACTCAGGCACCGGGTTCCGAGACGACAAGTCCTCTTCGTCTGGCAGACCCGTCAGTAACCATCTCAGGATTAGCCCATGGCCTGTTGGATGAGCCCTTCAAGCTCGCCTCACTCTCCACGAACCGCTACCAGCCGCCGGGTCCTCCAATCCATGGACCAAGACGCATGGAGCAGCTGCTGGCGTCCCGATTCCTTCCTGTTCTGAGCTTGAACGTTCGTGAGGAAGTCTCCTGGCAGCCAGCTGCCCATCGCGAGCCGCTCCCAGACCTCGTTGTCGAGCAGGAAGTGGAAATCCTTCCCCAACTCTGTGCGATTACCCGAATAGGCCGCTCGATCAATCTGCTGGGGAGCGGTTGCCCACTCAACGTCGAAGTTTCCGCTCATAAGCTTCTTACTAGGAGGAACGATCTGTTGCCGAGTCTAGGGCTTGCTGTCCATCAGCGAGTCGGTGCCGGAACGGCCTACATTCTCATGGACGGGGGCGATTGGAACCTCCGGATATCGAGAAAGTGCAGAGAAGTGTTTGAGTTCTCCAAAATCTCAAGGGGCGTCGTTCCAGTTCTCGATGCCTTCTGGAATCCGCCCACCTGTGAAATTGGCTATGCTTTTTGCAGACACGACCTCGGCATGCAGCCCGGACAAGCCTTCACAAAGCCGTCTGAACGGGGTCTTTCGAGCCTCGACTGCGACTTGGACGAGAACAAACCCAGCTCCTGGACCATCTCAGGTGGCTTGACACAAGGCAACGCCGCAGCGTACCTCCGCTACAGTCGCCATCTCTTCTCTCCTCCCACCTCCAGACCGTCCTCCTTGGGCCGCCACAACGAGACCGGTTTCCGCGCTGAAGCAGAACTAGCCGGCACCACACACCGCGACTTCGTCCTCGCCTTCCGCGCGCTAAAATGCATCGGCCGCTTCTCCAAAGCCGGCGTGGAAATAGGTCTCTCCCCAAGCAACCTGCACCTCTCCCTCTATTGGTCCCGCCTCGGCCAACGCATTAGTTTGCCAATCCTAGTAGCCGCGCCCCACCAATCCAGCCTCACCACCATCATTACCAGAGTCCTCTTTTTGTCGACCGTCCTCCCCTTTACCGCCCTCTCCGCATGGGAGCTCTACCGGCATTCTCAGCGCCATCGGGCTGCTGCCAAGACCCTGACGACGACGACAACAACAACAGGAGCCGAATATCAAGAAAACAACGAAAAAGTCCAGGCATATGTCGCCCGGCGGCGGGCCGAAGCGGACGAGTTGACCGTGATACTCGCGACGGGCGTCGAGCTGCGGCAGCGAGCGGAGCGCGGGCGCGGCGGGTTGGTGATTGTCAGCGCCAAGTATGGGGTCAGGGACGCGCCGCCTGAGGAGGTGGCCGATGTCACGATTGCGGTGGCGGCGCTCGTGGATAATCATGATGACGATGACGATGATGATGATGATCATGATGATGGTGGTGAGGGCGCGAGGTTGGTTATCCCCAAGGAGGTGAGGAAGAGCAGGTTGCTTGGGTTTTGGGATCCGGCGCCGGGTAGGACTAAGGTGTTGAGGGTTAGGTATTTGTGGCGGGGGAGGGAGGGAGAGGTTGAGGTTTGTGGGCGGGATGAGCTGAGGTTGCCTTAAGACAGGGTCATTAGCTGGTGTGTGTATGCCGCTTTTGCTGGTGGATAGCCATGATGGTGGAGGGAGGGGCTGACCTTTGTTACTGCGTATAACGGGATAGGAGAACAAAAGTGTAGGTCCATTAAAGTTAGCTGCATGGTCATCCCTCATATACCGGCAGTTATTCACCGAAAATACGTGCTTCATAGACAGGCTTGAGGCGAGGGCTTCTTTTGGATTAGGGCACAATCATATACAGATCCCTTGAAGTTTCGTGTCAATTGATTGTCGCATTCATGAAAACCGGGTCCATCATCAATGGTCTGCGCCGGCGCAAATGGATCATGTAAATCATGGTATCATTCGCCTATCCTAGGTGTGTATATTACGCCACACGGCATATTCGCTACGAGGGAGAGCGAGTTGGAGCGCGCGAATCGCTCGACTCCAACGACAGAGACGCCAGACTACTCGCCAGCGTCCGGCCCCGCCTCCGCTGCTCGCCTCTCGCCTCGAGACCGACTTCGTACACCGGCCAGTCCGTGAGGACGGCCTGCTCCAGCGGGCCGGACATGAACTGGTCCGCTTCCTCGATCTCGAGGAACTGCTTGACCAAGCAGACGTCTTCTGGCCGCATCGCGCTTACCTGCAGGCGCAGGATCGCCCTCGCGACGAAGCACGCCCGGCTCTGGTCGTGCATTCCCTTGGTCAGGAGCAAAAGCGTCGACCGCCGGGCTTCAAGATACGACGAGCCCGTGCTCGTTTCTATCGCGTTCATGGTCATGTGGTTGAGGAAGGCGAGAAAGTGGAGGAGGAAGGTGTCAGTCGCCTCGAACCCGTGGCGCAGATAGTAAAGCCGCAGAAGCGTCTCAAAGTGGATTACAGCTTCGGTGTAAATGTCGCGCGGCGTCTGGATCAACTGCGCACAGGCGCTGCCGCAGGTGTAGTCCAGGATCGGCGTCATTATGTCGATCAGCACGTTTTGGTAGTGCATGTGCATCTTCAGTTGCTGCGGTAGCACAATCTTCTTGGCTGTAAGGGCTTCCGGAAGATTGTGTAGCCAGGCTGTCAGCCTGTTGTAGAAGAGGAGTGTTTGATTGACAGACAACTTGGAGGGTGAGCGGTGATGTGAGAAGGTGAGCATTGAGACCTCGTTTATGATGGTCCAAAAGTCGGCTTTGGCCTTGAACAGGAACCCGTGGTATGTTGGTAAGGGCGTGTGGCTCAAGGGATATTTCAACCACAGCTCGCCATACCACTGGGGCTCATTCGAGGGGTCTGGGAGAGGTACTTTGGGGGACTCTTTGAGCGGTGGCGGCTTGGCGTAATGATAGCTGCTGAGACTGCCGCGATGGTAGGTCAGTATGATGTTTGAGATGTAGGCTGCCGTAACAGATGCAGCTTACCTTTGCCAGCAGAATAACCCCCAAGCCGTGTATGCCCTTGCGCACTGCGTGTCACGATCATGGTGTTCGAGAGGCGGCCCTAGAAGTTGGATTTCGTCGGCCATCTCGATAGCTCTCTGTGTAAAGCGCCAACCTATCTTATCCGAACCGTTCAGGTTATAGGCCAGGGTCAGGAGAGCCGCAGCTTGTATGGTGGTAAGCCTGCTCAGCTCCCATTCCCTGTCTCTGCGCTCCCAACTTGGATTAGCGGGATTTCTGAACGGCCGCTCGCGTTCCGACTCGATTTCGAATAGCCGCTTGCCTTCGGCGAGAAACTGGTATCCAATGTATCCGGGGTTCCAATACTCAGCACGCCCTTGGAGGCCGCGGTGGCAGAACTTTGACATGTTAACTCAAATGCACGTTGAGCGACGGAACGGGCACTCACGCATCCCATGCACAGCACAGCGTTAACCAGGAGCGAGGAACAGAAGCGATGGGTTTCACTGGCCATGTCTTCCAGAAAATAGTCCTTCTGAAAGAAAGTGAAGAAGTCGTAGTCGAACAGAAGGTAGTCGTGGAGGAGTTTCCTCATCAAACAGTCATCCTTGCTGACGGCGGTCCATTTCGACGGCTTTACGGAATCCAACAAAGGGTGAACAACGGTTGCAGATAGGTAGGGCTTCAGGTACGGGTCTCGTTGCCCAGCGCCGTAGGCCCAATCGGCGCCGTTCCGCGTGTCGGGTAGGAGTCGTTGGTGTGCGTGTTGCCTTGGCTGATGAGAGGGTTCCGGGGACCCACGAAGCGCGCACTCGTAGACTTCCGAGTCCAAGTATGGATTGTCGAATTGGCGCAGAAAAGGGGGCATGTCGGGGAGATAAGGAAACTCGTATCGATATCGGGCCTCTGGGATCAAGGCAAGCTGGACAAGCATGTCGCCGTAGTTGACATGGCGGAGGATAGCACCGGCATCGGCGCCTCTGCGGATGCGCCGAAACAACTCGTCGGCTTCCTTGTCAGGCCTCGTCTGCAGCAGATCGTACACCTGCTCAAAAGCCGACTTCTGGCTCTGCAGCTCGTTGTACTTGCGCTTAAGCGCCTGGGTGTGCGTCTCGGCCTTGTTCGTGTCAAACTCGCAAACGGTGTTGCGGTCACGGCAGATGGAGCAGATGGGCCGCTCGCCGTCGCACTGTAAACGCAACAGGGTCAGCATAAAGCAAGCCGATTTCCGAGGGCATGGCAGGCGTCACACCTTGGACTTGCGCTTCCGGCAGGCCCCGCAAGCTGCCGTCGTTGCCTGGCCTCTCTTCCTCCGAGCAGGAACCACGGACGAAGTTGCGCCAGGAGAGGTGCTAGGACTGGCAGATGATGGAAGAGGGCGGGGTATTGATGTCTCGCGACACGCATCTGCTTCAACGGTAGCAGCGCTATTCGCAGGCAGGAGACGCCGCAGGGGCCCATTGGGGGGTAGCCTGTCGGGGGGAGATGCCGGTCTCAAACCGGATGGCATCACGGCCGCCATGGCTAACGAGTGCGCGTGCCGCAACGGAGCCCAGCTGATGGGCAAAATGCGCCTGAGAAAGGGTGCAGAGCGGCAGACGAGGACCACGAGGTTGAAAGCACCATTGTTCGCCGACAGCACCTGTGAAGGTGTTGAAAGAATAGGTGAGTTGCCGGTGGGAATGTAGCAGCCTTGGCTACCACGCATTCCCATCACCCTCCCATTCGCAGCGAATCAAAGCGGACTGTTCTCCGCTGCACTCTTCATTCGTTGCAAGCCCACCCCGACGCCGCCGAGCAGGGAGCAGACCACTTTCAGAATCGACCGCTTCTCCGCAACGTCTGTGCTGAAGAATACAATGCAGGTGATCAAGTCCCCTGGTCGACGGGAGGTGGGTCTGACACAGCGGAGACCGGACATTGATTACAGCCCGAATATGACATGTAAAGTTTCGTTCCACACTTGAGTTGGTAAGGTACCTTACCTTTACTCCGTAGGGGGTATCACCATGCGGATCCCGTCCCTTCGAAACGGAGCCACCAACGAGTATCGGAGATTGAACCTGTTCCCCGACCGGGTACCTTACCTACGCTGCGTACAAGTACTACAGTGCCCTGGCGCTGCCTTGGAAATCTCTTGGACGCCCTGTGACCGGGACGACGTTGGGTGATCTCAGGACCATCATCTTACCACGTATAAGGTAAAGTACCTTTGGGTCAAGCGTCGTCGAGTCCGCAAAATTTGATACAATCTAACCCTCAGGTGGTCCAGCGTGTTCAATAGCACAGGACTTATGGTACGTGTTGCCCGCCATGTAGGTGTCTTATTACGGTATGCCGCGGCTAGATGCGCTGGTACAGTCGTGGGCTTTTGCCGACACCAACCTCCAAGATCATCATGAATCATGGGCGAAGGCAAATCTCTGGCGTTGAGGAACGCAGGGACACAACGCAGAGACGGTCAGAAGCCAATTTGGAATCAGGTCCACCTAGATTCATGTGCTTGCTGACAGTGTGTGTTGCTTCAGTCAGTAACATCACCAATATGTCACTCTAGGAGCTGGTCACATTTCCAAGTGAGGATCGTACCTCATACTTCTCTTAGCCTACTTACAGGCACCACAGACGAGCAGAGTCTGATTTCTGACACCCACAGCCTCATCGGGAAAAGGATTGTTCAACGTCAGGCATGGGGGGCGGCCAAGAATCCCAAGCCACAAGCAGCGACAGCCGAGAGAACCGACCCGCCTACCCTTCCAGATGCTACCAACAACGATAAAAGAGGCGACGAGGCCCGAGACCACGCGTGTCAAGACGGAATCCCGACGTCGAGGGCTGGACTCGGCAACATCATGTACAAGTACGCAGGGGTCGACTCGGGATGGGGAACCCTGACCCTTATGCTGGTGCCCGAACTCTCTTCTTGGGAGTACCAGACAGCGTCGTGGGCCGCCTCGTTCTGTGTCAGGTTTGATGACGTCGGCCGCTTGATGCGCGAGGGCTTCTTCTGGGGGCCGACGACGTCGTACCCGAGGAAGGCTTCCTCTGCCATATCGTGAACCCGGCGTGTTAGCCTGCGGTTTTTCAGGTACGCGCGTGTCTGGATCTTTTGCCGACAAGTCCCATGGCCAAAAACCCGCCTGGGGTTGGCCATCTCGAGGTCGCTGCCTGTTCTTCCAAGACCCTCGCCAAATTTGAACTTCAGAACCTAGCAAAGGGACACACTCCGCTGCGCAAACTAGGATTGCGCGCGATAGGTCCGTCTATTGGTATAACCGGCGCTGTCCCGAATGTTGCTATACCTTAACTGCATCTACGACCGTATGCCGCTGCCGGATTGGTGGCCGTGGCCTAAGGAAGGACCTGGCTAGGCGGCGGCTGATCCCAATATAGGGATTGACGGCTTGGGAAGACGGGCTCTTTTGGTCTGCTCCGTCGATGCCTCCATTTACAGTTTCCTATGATGCGGCGGACGTTAGCGCTGATGGTGACGTTAGGGGCCGCTGTCAACGCCAAGCAAATACCTGTGCCATCATGTTATCGTATATAGGAACACTGGGGTGCTCTGATGGTCATGAAGAGCATGAGTTTGGATCTTACCACAGTGCTAGTCGTCGGAGCTTCGAAATCGCCTACCTGATCGTCGCCAACTTCAAGCCACACCCGACTGGGGGCCTTGGCGACTAGTCGGCTGGGCGATTTCGAAGCCACGACGAGTAGCCTCCTTGGTCCCATCTGCTCGAACTCTTTAGCCCAACTCTTTGATGCAGTATAAGTGACGGTTCCCGCCCGTTGTATGAAACAACCTGGCGCCCAGAGTCGGGGAGAAGAGGATTGTACGATTCCTATGAGAGGCGGGAGTTAGGTTCGTTTCCCAGGACGACGAAACCGGTTTTTCAAGACAAACAAATACAAATGCAATTCAAGTATTGTGTCCCGGTTGGCTGGTAGTATCAACGCGCTCTTAGATGGTCCGGCATGCACTTTCATCAGGTGTCGTATCCTCTCGGCGGCAATCCAACCGCTCGATGGCGACGGCACCACTTGGTGTGACAGGAGCACCATCAGCTAGGCGCAGCGGTAAAGGATGAGATGGCGCACTTCATGCTGCCACTCGGAGGAGTTTCCCGCCTAAACGTGTCGGCCGCTTTGTACCCGCGCGACGGGCTGAGGAGCGTGGTTGGTGGTATTAAATTCATCGCACGTATGATATTCTCCAAAATGCCGCGTACAGATTAGTGTTGCCAGTGCCGCTCTGCCGAAGCTTTGATTCCGCATGCCGACTGGTAGCTTGACATGCAGACCAATGAAACATGTGCTCCACACCTGGCTGGCATCGCGTGCGGGCTCGCAGTACAACTGACCTGCAGACTCCTTTCCCATACTCGTCGGGGCTCCGAAAACGCCGCCCAACCGGCCCTCCAAGGGGCGAGTCAGGGACGTTCACTTAATCCACGACAATTGTCATAAAACCACGGTCACGTGACACCGAGACCCTGCCCGCCATACAATTTGCTAGCGAACCAAGGTTCACATATCTTGCTGCAAGCTCGGTTGTCGCATGCCAAGGGAAACTGTCAGCCAATCGCCCCCTCCGCAACGCATGCGCCTTTCGCAATGCATCTGTCTAATACGTCTTGATAACTTAGTTGCCGTACTTTACCCTGGATTTCAATGCCCCTAAACACGAACGTGTTGTATGCGTGGCCGCGAATTTTGGTCCCGAATTCACATAGATGAAGAAAATGCACTCTTAATACTAGGCAGTGTAAGTAGTGATATCGATGACGGTAATGTCGTCTGTACTATTGTCGACATCAGCGAAGACGGAGATCCTGCAATTGAATAAGCGGATTCTTGGGAATGTTATGCGTTTGACAAGGGGAGCGAAGAGTTAACGAAATTACGGGGACTTCAATCTTGGTGGAGATTTCGAACAAATCAAAGTCTATTTGGTTCAAGTGAATGGTGGTGGTTAAAGTCAGCGTCCCCGACTAGCCGCCAGGGCTAGTCGGATGGGCGATTTGGAGCCCAGACGAGTAAGGTACCTTACTAGCTCTGTACCTTTACGCTGACTCCAGATTTTACCGGCCCTGCAGTGAGCAGGGTTTTGGCCGCTCTCGGCGCTGTGCCTGCCCTGGAGATTCTCCGTGACGCAAGGCGGTGACTCAACCTGGAAATCTGCGACGGTATGAATTGAGAACCACACGATTTCTAAGAGGTGGTTACATATTTAACATCACCAATCTCACGCCCGTTTCTTCCCGAGACATACATTGACCCATTGACCCGTCAATTAATTCAATTGTTTCACAATGGCTCCCACAGTACTGCACCTCCGCAGCGAGACCAAGCCCCTCGAGCATAGATCGGCCCTGACACCCACAACAACCGCCGCCCTGGTCAAGGCAGGCTATGTCGTCAACGTTGAGCGCTCGCCCGTGAGGATATTTGAAGATGCCGAGTTCGAGGCTGCCGGCGCTACCCTGGTGCCCGAGTACAGCTGGGTTGATGCCCCCAAGGAGCACATCATTGTCGGCCTGAAGGAATTGGAGGAGAAGGACTGCAAGTGGACCCCAAAGATGGCGCATTGAACTGTTACTGACTCCTTTCTCAGTCCCTCTCAAGCATGTGCATGTTCAATTTGCTCACTGCTGTATGATTATGAACTTCCTGTCTCGCAATGACTCAATCCTAACCTTGTTGCGCAGACAAGCAGCAGGCCGGTTGGGAGAACGTGCTCGCCAGATTCCCGAGGGGCGGCGGTACGCTGCTGGACCTGGAGTTCCTCGTTGATGACCGCGGCCGCCGGGTTGCCGTTAGTTATTTGTCAGCCATCCGATCGAATTGTCTCAGGGCTGACCGACCCATCTCCTAGGCATTCGGTTTTCATGCCGGTTTCGCCGGTGCTGCCCTTGCCCTCGAAGTGTGGGCTTGGCAACAGAACCACACCGAGCCCTTCCCCGGCGTCGAGAGCTATCCCAATGAGGATGCCCTAATCTCGGACGTCAAGAAGGCCCTCGATGAGGGTTCCCAGAAGGCGGGCCGTTTGCCTCGCGTCATCGTCATCGGCGCTCTCGGCCGCTGCGGATCAGGTGCCGTGTCTGCCCTGCGCAAGGCTGGCTTGCCCGAGGAGAACATCCTGAAGTGGGATATGGCTGAGACCGCGAAGGGAGGGCCCTTCAGTGCGTCAGCCCCCGAGGTGTTTGCCATTCTGTGCTAGGCTGACACGTTGTGTAGAGGAGATCACCGACAGTGACATCTTCGTCAACTGCATCTACCTGACCAGCAAGATCCCCAACTTCGGTGAGCCATTCCCCTCCAAACCCTCACTCCTCGCCCACTAACAAACCCCACTCTCAGTCAACTTTGATTCACTCCAGGTCCCCGACCGCAAGCTCTCCGTGGTCTGCGACGTCTCGGCCGTACGTCTACATCCCGGGTCTTTCCCCCACCTCACACTGGCTGACAAACCCCCTTGCAGGACACCACCTCCCCCTTCACGCCCGTCCCCATCTACACGGTCGCCACGACCTTCGACAAGCCGACCGTGCCCGTCGAGGGCCTGCAAGACGGCCCGCCGCTGTCCGTGATCTCTATCGACCACCTCCCCTCTCTGCTTCCGCGCGAGGCGTCCGAGGCCTTCAGCCGTACGTTTCTCACTTTTACCACCCACCCCCGCCCCCCCCCGCCCCACCAACCCAATGATCTCATTGATCATGTCTCTCATTGCACCGGTTGTTGCTAACACCTTGGGAAATCTAAATTCAGACGACCTCCTTCCCCACCTCCTCACGCTCGACGACTGGCACAACTCGCCTGTGTGGGCCAGGGCTCAAAAGCTGTTCAAGGAGAAGGTCGCTACTCTGCCGCCGAGTGCGCTGGAGAAGTAAGTGGTGGGATAGACAGAATGACATCTTTGGGTGTCATAGGATAGATAGCGATCAGGATGATTCTCTAGAGGAATAGACAAAACAGTAACCCAACTGATATCGGGCGGATTGGGCTTTATATGGAATCAATTGTCTGCTCATATGCTACCCTTGGGCGAGTAGACCCTCTTCGTTTACAACTGCCCACTCTCCGCAGCGAAGTGGTCAACTTGCCCAGGGGTATCTCATATCATTCGACATAGCAACGGCAAAAGAATGTGTTGAATATATCCTTGTCTTACTCTCATATGGTGTTAACGCGAGTTCCCAAAGGCGAAGTGTCCCCATATCACAAGCTGATTGTAGCCCGATCGTATCACCCCATGTCCCACCAAACTCCGTAACATCACAGCAACCGTCCCAAGTCATTCCGCTATTTTCCGTGTACTTGTGTGCCACTTCCGATACGACACTTCGACAGCTTAGGCATAAAGCTTCTTCTCGTATGTCTCCATGTTCACGCCACCCTCCAGCTGGGCGCTGGCGGTGCGGATCTCGAACCTAACGGTGCCATTGGCGACACACTCGTGGAGTTCCTTGAGGCTCTTCATGCCGCAGTCTTGCATCGAGTGCTTGAGACCCGCAGCGAGGTACGGAATGAACTTCGTGACGGATCTGGTGTGGAATATCAGCATGCCAAATAAGAACCCTCAATGTTGGGCGACGAGTGCAAGCTTACCCTCTGTGCGCCACAGCGCCCGAGACACCCTGCGCGACCAAGACGCTGTCGCCCTCCGAGAAATAACGAGCCGTGCCGGCATTGCTCTTCTGGCTGTCCTTGCCGCCGCCTCCAGCCTTTTTGTCCTGCATGGCATCGATACTGCCCATGCCACGGTAAGCCTTGACGAGCTTGCCCTCCCTGGACACGAACGACGTGCCGGGGGACTCGGTCGTGCCAGCCAAGAGACCGCCCATCATGACGGTCGAGGCGCCAAGAGCGAGGCCCTTTACTATGTGGCCAACGTTTTGAATGCCACCGTCGGCAATGCACGGCACCCCAAACCGGGCGGCAAACGAGCTGACGCTGTAGACAGCTGTGGCCTGAGGCCGGCCGACAGCCATGACCTCTTGGGTGATGCAGGCGCTGCCACTGCCCATGCCGATCCGGAGACCGTCCACGCCAGCAGCAATCAAAGCAGCTGCTTGCTCCCGGGTCACCACGTTACCACCGATGACCTCGAGGTTAGGAAACTCTTGCTTGATCCACTTGATCATCTCAATCTGGTACATGCTGTTGCCCTGGCTGCTGTCAAGGACAACGATGTCCAGGCCGGCTTCCACCAGCTTGGCGAGACGGATCTTATCCTCGGGGCGGGTGCCGATAGCGGCAGCGCAGATGAGCTGCTTGGAATCGGGTGTCTTGGAAGCCAGAGGAAAGTGGAGATTTTTGGTCAAGTCGGAGCGCGAGATCATCGACACGAGGTTTCCCTCCTTGTCAACGATTGGAAGCTTTCCCTTCTTTGACTCGGCAAGGATCTTGTTGGCCTCAAGCAAAGTGACGCCAGCCGGAGCAGTGATGAGATCGGTCACCATGACCTGGGACACGGGCCGATCCAGATCGTCTTCGAATTGAATATCACGGTTCGTGACAATCCCGAGCAGCTTAGACCCCAGCTTGCCGGATTCTGTCAAGAACAAGCACAGTTAGCTCGTGATCAACGACGACGCGCAAAGCTGTGTAGTCTCTGTGTGATAGACGAAGCAATCATAATTTTCAGTGATACAGTCCCCATGACACATAGGTCGATACGGTGGAACGAAAGTTAATGATTTTAAGTTTTGTAATCATGGCAACCGGGGCAGGACAAGAAAGCGTGGGAAGAGCAAAAAACTGACCTGTTACAGGGAAACCGCCAAATCCCCACTTCTCCTTCAGCGCCTTGGCCTCGCCGACGGTAGTCTCGCGCTTGATGACCACGGGGTCCAAGATGAAACCGTTTTCATACCGCTTCACCTTGCGCACCATGTCGGCCTGGGCGTCTGGGGAGCAGTTGTGGTGAATGACGCCGAGGCCACCCTGAAGCGCCATGTGGATGGCCATGTCGTGCTCAGTGACCGTGTCCATGGGCGACGAAACCAAAGGCGTCTTCAGCGTGATCTTCTTGGTGACGGGCGAGTCGAGCGTGACTGCGGACGCGGGGAAGCCAATGTAGCCAGGGAGCAGCAGGAAGTCGTTGTATGTCAGACCACCATGGACCTTGGTGTCCATGAGGTCGTGGATACTCAGACCATCTCTGCTGTCATACTCATCGAGGAGCTCAACCGCCTTCCGGTAGTCAAGGACGCCCTCGCTGGCGTTGGGACCGTTGATTGCCGGCATTTCTGCGCAACAACAAAGTAGCAACGAGCAACTGCACAGGTCTGAAGAAGGACGATTGCTTGATGGGGGGAGACAGCGACGGTGCTTTGGCTGGATCGCTGTTTCCCCCCCAAGAAAACGAGAAAGAAAAATTTCAGAGATGGCCTCTGAAAACCTTTTTATGCCACTCACACGTCGAAAATTGGAATGCGGGGCAGGCGGTGAAGGAATACCCCACCTTTCATTCCGGTGCACGGATCTCATCGAGCTGAGGTGAGGTGGCTGGTTGCTGTGGAATCGCTTGTCCACGGGAGCATGTAAACAAGAAATCCAGCAAGCAGGGCTTTTCTCCAATGCCAACCACCCAAACTGCCGGAACCCTGGTCACTCCCAACCTACCTGTTGCAACCCAATGCTGCTAATGGCCTAGCAGAATGAAGGCATTGCTATGTCTCTCGAATTCCTTGCGTTTTCGTGTCACCCATTTGTGATCCTTTGCCTTTGAGCTGCGCGCTGGCGTTTGCAGGGACTAATAAACACTCCCTCATATTCTCTCCATGACCGCATTCCGGATTCATCAGATCCTGTTTTATTCAACTAGAACGTCGAGTCCTTACTGTGACGACTGCCGAGGAACACACGGCCCCGCAGGTTCGCTCCAACCACCACGAGAAAGCACGGCAGCTCCCGATCTAATGTTGTCGTCAACCATCGTGCAGTTGTGTGACGAATAAAATGTCCCCCCCCTACAGGCCGCACCCCCTGCGGCAATCACAGACTACCGCCGACTACCCCGTCTGCCGACAGCCTTCGAATGCATCTTCATCGGCATCCTCAGGTTATTCAAACTCCTCGTCCGGGGCTTACGAATTCGGCCGGTCATCCATGTCCTCTTCGCCCTCCAGCACCTATTCCAGCCGTGGACACAAGCGCGGCCAAAGTGAGGTCATCCGCCGGCCTCCCACGTTTCACTCATCGCAAAGTCACCCCGCCACACCAATGCCCGAGAACATCTACCACGCGGCGCGGCAGTCACTCAGGCCGCTGCCCCAAGTCCCGCGCCCAACAACCCCGCCGCGCGCTCCAGTTCGCCATGACCGCGGCCACAGTGTTGACATTGGGAAGCTGTCGATTGTTGACCATGGGCCGACGTCACCCGCTCCGACGACGCCCCCGACCCCACCACATCACTCCTCTCTCCGTCCCACATCGATGCTTCTGACGCGCTCCGACTCGCTTCGCCGCGGCAACGAACCGACCCCTGTTTCGCCAGCTCTCATCCATGCGCATACGGCTCCTCTTTCCAGGCCCGATCTTGAGAAGCTCGGCCGTTCCTCGACAAACCAGCTGCGCACCTTGTCGAAACTGGCGCAGTGCGATACAGCAGAGGAATTTGCCATCACTGCCCCAGCTCAAGAGGTCGTCGGTCTTAGGGGTCGGAGGAGGCTGCAGAGGACGGATAAGACGGGCTCCAATCGTCCCGCTCAACGGGCAGGCGGTTACGGCTGGGAGGGTAGGAACTGGATGGATAAGCAGCGCCAGTTTCTCCAGGCGTACGAGTACCTTTGCCACATCGGAGAGGCCAAGGAGTGGATCGAGGACGTTATCCAGCGCACCATTCCTCCCATTGTGGAGCTGGAGGAGGCATTGCGAGACGGCGTCACTCTCGCCGAAGTTGTCGAGGCGCTAAACCCCCATCGCCGGTTCAAGATCTTTCGCCATCCTCGACTTCAGTATCGACATTCAGACAATATCGCCATATTTTTCCGTTATCTTGACGAAGTTGAACTTCCGGACCTGTTCCGATTTGAGCTCATCGACCTGTACGAGAAAAAGAACATCCCAAAGGTCATCCACTGCATCCATGCATTGAGTTGGCTGCTCTACCGGAAAGGCATAGTGGCCTTCCGAATCGGTAACCTTGTTGGGCAGCTGGAGTTCGAGCACCATGAACTGGAAGCTACGCAGAAGGGCCTCGATAAGCTGGGAGCTAATATGCCTAGCTTTGGCAACATGGGCGCCGACTTCGGGGTTGAAGAACCCCCAGAACCCGAAGAGACCGAGGAGGAGAGGATCGACAGAGAGCTAGCCGAAAATGAAGCAGCAATCGTCGACTTGCAGGCCCAGATCCGCGGCGCCGTGCTACGAATGCAGCTCGGCGAGACCATGCAATATCTCTGGGATTCGGAGGATTGGTTGGTGGACTTCCAGGCGCGGATCAGGGGCGACTTCACGCGCCAAATTATGGGCTATCGACTGCAGATGAAGCGCTTCGCCATCGGGTTGCAAAGCGCCGCACGCGGCTTTCTCGTCCGCCGCCGACAAGCAGGGACACAACAAGTCTGGAAGAGCGTTGAGGGTGACATCCTGAAGTTGCAGAGTCTATTGCGGGCAAGCAAAGCCCGCCATGAGGTACGAGAACAGCGTTCTCAGTTTATGGTGGCAGCGGGTCCTATTCGGGAGATCCAAGCAACGTTTAGGGGCTTCTTGCTCCGCAAGCAGATACACGCTCAGGAGCAGGAGGTTAAGCACACCATCGCCCCTGTGGCACAGTTGCAGGCCGCAGCCCGTGGCTTGCTTCTAAGGAAGAAACTGGAAGAGGAACAGGCCGAATTGCAATCGCAGGCCCATGTCATTGCTGGTCTGCAGGCCGCTTTCAGGGCGGCGCTGACGAGGAATCAGATCGCGTTGCGGAGAGAAGCCCTCGAGAAACTAGCACCACTCTGGAAAACGCTACAAGCTGCCTGCCGCGGAAACCTTGCTAGGCGCGGTGTTGACGGGCTTACGGCTGAGTTACGAGAACACACGCCCAGCCTCGGCCTTCTCCAGGCGCACATCAGGGCTGCTGCGGTGCGCAGGGAGATTTCCGAGAAGCTCGAGAGCTTGGGCGATGCTGAGGACGAGATCTTGGCATTGCAATCGGCTATCAGGGGCATGCTGGAGCGCAGCCGCGTATCCGACCTCCTCGAGGCTTTGGATCAACAAGAAGACTCAATCACCGCATTGCAATCTCACATCCGCGGCTTTCTTTACCGGCAGCGGCATCACAGCTTCCTTGACGAGCTTGGGAGACATGAGGAGGAGGTTTCGACACTTCAGTCTCTCGCGAGGGCGATGCTCCTACGTGACAGCGTCGCCAGAGTCCTGGATGAGCTCGAAGAGAACGAGGAATCCATTGGCGAGATTCAAGCTGCGGCCAAGGCCTTCATCGTCCGGGCAAGGTTCGAAGAAAAGAGACGGCATTACAACGAGAACATGCAGAAGGTGGTTAAGATCCAGAGCTTTGTCCGTGCCAAGCTGCAAGGCGAAGCCTACAAGAGCCTTACATCGGGGAAGAACCCGCCGGTCAACGCTGTCAAGAACTTCGTACACCTGCTCAACGACAGCGATTTTGACTTCAACGAAGAAGTCGAGTTTGAGCGGCTGCGCAAGACGGTGGTTCAACAGGTCCGGCAAAACGAGATGCTCGAGCAGTACATCGATCAGTTGGACATCAAAATCGCCCTCCTCGTGAAGAACAAGATCACCCTCGATGAGGTCGTCAAGCATCAAAGCAACTTCGGCGGGCATGCCAGCAACCTCCTTGCGAACAGTTCTATGGCCAATATCAATCAATTCGACCTCAAGGCATTGAACAAGGGTTCCCGCAAAAAGCTCGAGTCCTACCAGCAGCTGTTTTTCGCGCTTCAGACACAACCACAGTATTTGGCCAAACTGTTCAAGCGTCTGCGTGAGCAAGGGACTGCCGAGAAGGAATGCAAGAGAATTGAGCACCTTATGATGGGTCTCTTTGGCTACGCGCAGAAGAGGCGGGAGGAATACTACCTCCTAAAACTCATTGGAAGGTCGATTCGCGAGGAAGTCGAGGCTTGCGACAACCTCCAAGACTACCTCAGAGGCAATTTCTTCTGGACAAGGCTACTGCACAACTATACCAGATCGCCGCGGGACAGGAAATATCTGAGAGATCTTCTTGGTCCACTGATCAGGGACAACATCATTGAAGATCCTGAGTTGGACCTTGAGAGTGACCCCATGCAGATCTACCGATCAGTCATCAATAATGAAGAGCTCAGGACTGGTCGACCTAGCAGCCGACCATTGGACATCCCACGCGAGCTGGCCATCAAAGATTCAGAGACAAAGGCACTCTTCATCGACCACCTGCGCGACCTTCGCGAAATATGCGACCAATTCCTTGTGGCGCTCGAGGACCTCCTCCCGCGCATGCCGTACGGGCTCCGGTTCGTGTGCCGGCAGACTTTCGACGCTCTTTGTCAACGGTTCAAGCGGGAACCCCAAGACCGTCTGCTGCAGGTGATCACCAACTGGCTTTGGAAGTCATATCTCCAGCCAGCCGTGATGACGCCCGAGAACGTTGGAGTGATGGACAAGCAGCTAAGCCCGCTCCAGAAGCGCAACCTGGGAGAAGTCGCAAAGGTCCTTGGCCAAATCTTGTCCGGCAGGCAGTTTGGCGGAGACAACATGTACCTTCAGCCTCTCAATGCTTTCGTCGCAGAGTCCATTGAACGCATGGCTGAGCTGGCCACGAATCTCATCGCGGTACCCGATGCTGAGAGCACGTTCGACATTGACGAATTCAACGATCTCTATGCCAAGAACAAGCCGACTCTGTACATCAAGATGACCGACATCTTCGCCATTCACAACCTCATCGCCTCGGAGCTGCCGCACCTAAGCCCGTCCAGGGATGATATGCTGCGTGAGATCATGCAGGATCTCGGTAGCGCCAAGCACAACGAGAGCGAAATGACGGCGGCAGGCTCCTCAGATATCCAGATGTTCCTCACGCCCAAGCTCCACGACCTCGAAGATCCTGAAGCGGACGTGAAGGCGCTCTTTATGGAGACGAAGCGATGCATCCTGTACATTATTCGCGTGCAGACAGGCGCGAATCTTCTGGAGATCCTTGTCAAACCCATCACACCCGAGGATGATCACAAGTGGGCGATGCTCTTACGGGAGGACTTCGCGGGCGGCTCAAACACGCGCGGCGCTTATTCGGACGCCAACATGGTGGACGTAACCAGGATGTCCTACGCAGACTTGAAGAGGATGGCCCTCGAGAACGTCATGCGGCTGGAGCAGATGGGCCGCATCTCGCGGCACAACCACTACCAAGATGTCCTCAATGCCATTGCCGTCGACATCCGGACCAAGAGCCGGAGGAGAGTGCAGCGGCAGCGTGAGCTCGAAGGCGTCCGCCTAACGCTTGCCAATCTGCACGAGAAGGCCAAGTACCTGGAGCAGCAGCGAAAGAGCTACGACGACTACATCGAGCAAGCAATGGCCACACTCCAGAACAAAAAAGGGTAAGCTCTGATCACCGCGCCGACATCTCGCCAAACAGACACCCAAGCTAACGTATGGCACAGCAAAAAACGATTCCTGCTCCCCTTCACAAAACAGTACAACCACCAGCGCGAGCTCGAGCGCGCCGGGCGCGTCCCCAAGTTTGGGTCGTACAAGTACAGCGCCCGCGCGCTCTCGGACAAGGGCGTGCTCGTCTCGTGGCAGGGCATCCCCGAGCGCGACTGGGGTCAGATCAACCTGACGATATCGTGCGACGAGGTCGGCGTGTTCAGCATCGAGGGCAGCCGCGGCCACATCCAGATGCCGGGCGCCAGCGCGCTGGTGCCCATCGAAGACCTGCTGCAGGCGCAGTTCGAGGCGCACCAGTTCATGAGTCTGTTTGAGGGCGGGCTGAGGTTGAATGTCAATCTTTTGTTGCATTTGTTGTATAAGAAGTTCTATCGGACGCAGTAGGCGGGTATGCACCGGGTGGGGGGAGATGAAAGGGGGATGGTGAGCCTGCTGTGGCTTGTTGGACGGCTGTTCTTTTTTTCTTTTGTTCTGGGATCGGGGTTAGGTAGAACCTGGCTTCTATTTTTCTTGCTTTGGGTACTTTCTCTGGCTGATGGTCGCTCTCTTGGCTGGAGAAGGGCCAGTCTTGGCTGATGGACTCCTTTATCTGGCTTGCTTGTCGCTGATCGAGATAAATACTTGGCAAAGGGCGTGGCGCGATGGATTGGGCATTGGTTCGATTTGCTGGATCGATGGATGGAGGAGTGACGTGGATGACGAGACAGATGACGGATGACGGATGAAGGATGGATGGATGATACCGGGAATTCTGGGTCTTGCGCAGGAGCTGAACGAAGGATAGTGGTGATGTGGATGTTGTCCGTCTCTTTGCTGCGGACGCGGCAGAGCGACCCACTGCGCCGGAATGCAAATTCTACATTGATATTTATCTAGTGAAGGGAATGAATGATACGATACCTTTAGGTTTCCCCTCGCAGCAATACGCTTACGGCAAACTCAGCTGACCTGGTCACATGCGTGTCCTGGGGTCTTTCGCTACACGTACTCCAACACCATTCAGGTCAACCGAATGACAGTATGTGCATCCAATATAGCCTCCCACATTTCCCCTTGAGGTCTATGCTCTAGTCTTGGGATTGAAATTTGGAAGAAGGTTTGTGACTGACGTTCTTGAGACTGTCAGTCCTGAACTTGCGGTCCTGGAAGGCGGAGAGGCTGGAAGGACAACATTACAGACGCCAAATGTACAGACCGACATCCTCGACAATGACATTTCAGCATTGATTGTTTTCATCTATGATTCCATCTGGGTTACAGAAGACCCCTAGTTATCCAGTCACCTTTTTTCCCGCTAACCCCAACGCCAGGCTGAGGACCTTGACTCCGCTTCTACAGATATGCAAGATAAATCCAACTCGCATGGCATGGCCACATAGCGTCGTATATCCAATGACATACTGCCATGACAGTCATTACCATCCATGTCATATCGTCATAGGCGTTCGTAGCACCCCTCATATAACCTGCATCCCCTCATCGCCTTAACGCTCTATACACCTTATTCAAGGGTCCCATACCCTTTCTTCCCTCCCTTCCTGCCCTCTCTGCCATCTTCGCCAGGATCAGCAGGCGCCCCAATAACCGTCTCCAACGCAGCAGCCCCATCATCCCAACCCCTTCCATTTTCCCCACCCGTAAGCAAACTTTCCTCTTCCTCCTCGTCTTCCACCTGTCCTTCAGCAAGACCCCTCGCAGGCCCGTCCCCCTCCACAATGAACCAAGCTGGCACGGCCCCGACCATGGCAATCACGCCGAGCAACCACCAGGGGGCGACGGCGTAGCCCTCGCGCGCGCCCCAGCTGAAGACGGCGCCGACGGCCGCGGGGCCGACGGCGCGGCCGAGGCCGCTGAAGGTGGTGGCGAAGCCGTTGAGGGTGCCGAGGATGCGCAAGGACGAGGCCGAGTTGGTGAGCAGAATGGTGGTGCAGGGGAAGCCGATGATGACGACGAAGCCCTTGACGAGCATGATGGCGAGAAAAATCGCGTAACGAATTGTGGTGGACCGGATTAGGGCTGTGTAGGGGGTGGTGAAGTAGATTAGGGGGAAGATGAGGGCTGGTGATAAAGGAAGGGGGTTAGCGCAGTTGGAGAAATGGAAGCAAGAAAAGAAGGAGATGTCAAAGGGAAGGGGGGTGGGGGGAGAGGGAAGACCTACTTGCGACTCGGTAGCAGGTCAACACGCCGAAGCGGGCGCAGAGGGTCGGGAAGAGGAGGAACTGCACCACACCGCAGGCAATGCCGTAGACTGTGTAGATGGTACCGATCTTGTCGGAGCTGAGACCGAATCCGCCCGTGAATTGGAAGGGGAGGTGGGTGTTTGTTTCGTCGGGGACCACGCAGGGGTAGTTGAGGAAGACGGGCAGGACCTGGTCGTACGCGACCGAGTGCAGAGCGAGGAAGGTGTACGCCAGCAGGTTAATGCTGGTCTGCTGGGTGAAGATCTCCTTGAGAGTGACGGGTTCTGTCCTCAAAGCGATCTGTTTGGAGCGCGGCGCGGCTGAGTCGGCCAGCAAGGGCGCCGATGCTTCGTCGTCGACGAAAGAAAGCCTTCTCCGCTTTGCGTGTCCTTCGGGGCGCTTAAAGGGCCGGGTAAGTTTCTCTCCTAGGAGCAGGCCCCAGTCGCGTCGGTGGCGTTTGCTATGGAGCGTTTCCTAGGTTATGTCAGCTTTGTTTACCTGGCTCCTGAGTCGCATGCTTAACTCACCTTGAGGAATAGCAACCCAGTCATAAAGGAGATGAAGAAAACGCAGCAAGCCATTAAGTTGGGCAGAACGAAAGGATAACGCTTGAAATATTCTATATGGCCGAAAAATTCGGGGTACTGTTCTGCAGGTCGAGCAAAGAAGCCACCAAAGGCAGGACCAAAAACGGAACCGATGCTCCATACAAGAGGCATAAGGGAGAAAGCCTTTGGTTGGAGCTCTCTTTCTGGCACCATCTCTGCTACCATGGTTCTAATGATACCGACTGTGAGAATGTCAGTCATGTCTTCTTTCAGGACGACGAGCAGGATATTCGGAAAGGGGGTAACGTACCGTTGCCGTTGCCGCCTCCCATAATGGCACGGACAGTGATGGCCATGGGTAAACTCGTCGACATACCCCAGAGCAGGAAGCATACCATGGTGCTAGCAAGGCCCGTGAGTATAACGGGTTTTCGTCCAAACTTATCGGAAGCCCTCCCCCAGGCGACGGCTGTGAGGCTCTGGGACACGGAGAAGATGGCTCCCGTGAAGCCTGCCCATCTTGCGACATCGTTCTTTTCGACGCCAAAACTGGCAATCATCTCAGGGAGATAGGGAAACACTGAGGTCAAAGCTAGAGGCTCGGCGAACCTCGCAACAGCTGTTGATGAGGGAGTCAGCAAGCATCCCAGACATGGCGGGAGCCGTACCCGTAGAGTTGGAGATGGTGCAATTATGGCATCATGAACCGAGCTTTTTGAGTACTCAGTCTAATGGTGCACATAGGTCATCAGGGATAACTTGTTCTCTAATTGATTCACATGCGCGCATAGGTCAGAGGAGGCAACGGGATGGATGGATGTCAGTCTTACCGAGGATTGCCAGCTGCTGGGCGGGCAACTTGGGCCCATTTTTCGCTTGATCGGTCATGATGGAAGCATGAGCCGCAGCCTCTTCTGCCCGAAAGTGTTAGACAGAAACTCGTGTGCAGCCGATCAATGAAGAACTGAGTAAGACGAAAGAGGTGGCTTCCTAGGAAGAGTATGAATGGGAACAACAACCTGGACCTGGAGAACAGTCACAAACGGCAAAAGTCTGACCAAAGCCTCGCTGACAGAAAAAAAGGCGACATGCGAAAGACCCCGGTGCCGATCTAGGCCGCCCAGAAAAAGGGCAGACATGATTCGTCTGACAAAGCCCGGTCAGCGGGGCAAAGCCGTCGGATACGGCCCCGGTCAGCGGGCTAGTCCGAGTACAGAACTCCCGTCGGCATCCGAGTCGGAGCGGGGAGCGCCTTCGGATGGCTCCGCTCGGCAGCCCCCCTTCTTGACCGCACCGTATTTGGACATGAACACCAGGGGGTGGGCAATTTATGATCATGAATCCCAGCCGAGTGCTTTGTTGCCTGCAGTGGTACGAAGTATCCAGATGGGTAAGCGCATGATCAACGGGAAGGAAGGACCCCGCTGACTTAATAACGTCCTCGCGGGACACCTGCCCAGATCTCTCTCAATCCTCGAAGTACGCGGACCCCGATGTTCAGCACAGCCAAATTTCCGGGTATTAGGATGTCTATTGTTCTCAAAAGCTAATTCGCCGTCCAAGCTGCTTGCTTTTGCTCACAAATGTACGGAGTACATTATGGCGTACCTCAAATGCCAAGTCATATGCTCGAGCTAGTCCAGAAACGGCAGCTGCTCGACAACACCACGGCAGCTCCCGCAATTGCGTCAACGGTTCCGTCCCACGACGAGCCTCAGCCGTGAGAGTGTGACCAATGAATTCATTATCTTGGGGAATCTCAGTCAAGCCAACTTCCTTTTCATCAACAACGATAATCTGGAATGTCTCTGTGACATCAAGTATATCACCATTTGGAGTTTTGAATACGTAAATAGGGATATGATCACGCATCTGTGAGTTGCCACACTGCGGTAATCTTTACGAAAATCCATCATGCCTGGAAATTTCATCCGAGGGAGGACAATGAAGAGCTAACTTTCCGACCAGGTCTAACCTACATCTCTAACACACATCAGACATGCCCTCAGAGCGCACCCCACTCTTCGCCAGGGTCCCGGTGGCCGAGCGCCAGCCCCGATATCCCCATGGTGTATTGCGCCGCTTCTGCACCATCGCTCTGGCATCCATCTTGATATGGTTCTTCGTCGCGGTGGCCGCGTCGTTGACGTTCTTCCCAGACACTCATTCCCACCACGACCCCCGCGGCCGGTGGCCATGGCCTGGATACGGCCGGAGGAAGGTGAGCTATGACCAGCTGCAGCGCTTGCTGCTCGACACCCCTTCAGCCGAACACGCCGAGGAGTGGAGCAGCTACTATACTGCCGGGTCTCATCTGGCCGGCAAGAACTATTCCCAAGCGCTCTGGACCAAAAAGAAGTGGGAGAAGTTCGGCGTCAAGTCTGACATTGTGTCGTACGACGTCTACCTCAACTACCCCGCGGACCACCGCCTGGCCCTTCTCGAAGAGCAAAAGCGTCATGACGGCACTTCGGCCTGGAAGGTTTCGTATGAAGCATCCCTCACCGAGGACGTCATCGACGAGGACCCAACCAGCGGCCTGCCCGACAGAATCCCCACCTTCCACGGCTACTCTGCCTCGGGCAACGTGACGGGCCCTGTCGTCTACGTAAACTACGGAACCTATCAGGACTACGAAGACCTCATCAAGGCTAACGTTAGCCTCAAAGATAAGGTGGCCATTGCTCGATATGGAGGCATTTTTCGGGGGCTGAAAGTCAAGCGGGCGCAGGAGCTCGGCATGCTTGGCGTCATCCTGTACAGTGATCCCGGTGATGACGGAGACAACACCGAGGCGAAGGGTGTGAAGCCGTATCCCGATGGACCCGCCAGACAGCCGAGCAGCGTGCAACGTGGCAGTACTCAGTTCCTGAGCTTTGCCCCGGGTGATCCGTACGATAGAGCCTGCCCCTTTTTCCTCTCTTTTTTTCTCGAGGCCAAAAAGAAGGTCTACTAACACCATGATAGCACGACCCCGGGATACCCTTCAAAGCCAGATGCTCCCCGGCAGCCTGTGCACACTGCGATCCCTAGCATACCGTCCATCCCCATCTCGTATGCAGACGCACTGCCTATTCTGAAAGCGCTCAATGGTCATGGGCCCAAGGCCGAGGACTTCAACAAGTATTGGACCCGTAACACGGGGCTGCAGTACAAGGGCGTGCATTACAATGTCGGGCCAACACCCGACAATGTGGTTGTGAATCTGTACAGTCAGCAGGACTATGAGATCACCCCGTTATGGAATGTCATTGGCATCATCAACGGTAGCTTCCCCGACGAGGTCATTAGTGAGTAACCCCCCAAACTGTTTGTTGGCTTCAAGCCGCATCCTGACTGAAACATTGAAAGTCGTCGGTAATCATCGCGACGCCTGGATAGCCGGAGGAGCTGCCGATCCCAACAGCGGATCTGCAGTTCTGAACGAGGTCATCCGTTCCTTTGGGAAGGCCCTCAGCAAAGGGTGGAAACCGCTCCGTACTATTGTCTTTGCTAGCTGGGACGGCGAAGAGTACGGCCTCGTTGGGTCAACGGAGTGGGTGGAGGAGTACCTGCCCTGGCTCAAGGATGCCAATGTCGCCTACATTGTATGTGCCTCTTGCCATCCGGCGTTGCAACCACTATTACCGTGTCTAATCGTTGCTGACATCTTAACAGAACACAGACGTTGCGACAAGGGGCTCCTGCCTCCATACATCAGCAGCGCCCTTGCTCGATAACATCATTCACGCGGCTACCAAGGCCGTCCTATCGCCCAACCAAACCGTCCCTGGCCAGACCGTCTACGACGTCTGGGACAAGCAGATCCGGACTATGGGCAGCGGCAGCGATTTCACCGCCTTCCAAGACTTTGCCGGCGTGCCCTCGGTGGACATTGGCTTTGAGTCCTGCCCGGACGAGCCCGTGTACCACTACCACAGCAACTACGACAGTTTTCACTGGATGAACAAGTTCGGCGACCCAAGCTTCGCTTACCACCGCGCCATGGCTCAGGTTCTCGGTCTGGTCACGGCCCAGCTCGCAGATCTCCCCATCATCTCCTTCCGCGCCGCTGATTATGCCCGGGCCCTGGAGCGGTACGTAAAGAAGGTTGAGGACCGGCTCGACGAAGCGCTCTCACCCACAACAACAACATTGAAGTCTTCTTCCCTGATGGACGACGACGACGACGACGACGATGACACCTACTTTGAACTCCGCAGTAGCACCCGCAACTCCTCCTCCACTCTGACCTCCCTCTCCCGGAAGAAGTCTTCCTCCTCCCCTTCCTCCTCGTCAGAAGTGTCAGAAGAAGCCCCCCCGTCGTCGTCGTCTGGCGGGGAATCCTTCCGACACTCGCTCCAGCGCCTGCGCAAAGCCCTCGACAAACTGGCCTCCCGCGCGAAGAAGCTTGATAAGCGCGCGGATGAACTGCGTGATGAGCTGGGTAGGCATATCCCCTGGTGGAGGTGGCCTTGGCACAAGCTGAGGCTGGGGTTTGAGATACGCAAGGTGAATACCAAGTACAAGGATCTGGAAAGGAGTTTTTTGTATGAGCAAGGGTTGGATAATCGGCCGTGGTTCAAGCATGTTGTTTTTGCGCCCGGGTTGTGGACGGGTTATGCTGGTGGTAAGTTCCTCTTTTACTCTCTCTCTGCGTCTCATCATCGGGTTCCGGTGGTGATTTTGGTAGTGTGGGATGAAATTTGGTTGCTGACAGTGGTTTGATGGTAGCCGTGTTCCCTGGTTTGATGGAGAGTATTGACAGCGAGGATTGGGTGAATGCCGAGCGGTGGGTGGATATCATTGAGAGCCGGATGAGGAATGCCGCGCACCGGTTGTGAGGAGTTGTGCGGATTCCTCAGGGTTTCTGCTACATGCAGTTTGAGTACAAGCCTGGTTGGTTCAGCGATTTAGAGCGTAGGCTTTTGGATTGTCAGGATGTTCTGGCATAGATCGTAAGTGATAAGAGCTGGACCCGTATCGTTTGTGGCTTCGGAGTGGCTACAAGCGTTGACCCCAGCCTGGGAGAGATCGGGCCAGTGTAGAATGACAGCACATCAGGATATACTCTCATTCTTGTTCGATGGATTTGGACTAACATCCAAGCTAGTTACACGACTGAACTCGCTGGTCTGGTCCTTACCCCGTTTGGTTTGACCCTACCTTTACCGACCCCTACTCCCCTTATCATCCCTCCCCACTTGAGGTACTGACTCATATCTTACATCAACCCCTATAAGGTTCATCCCCCGGCAACTGCGGCGGCAGCTGTTTCTCCTCCTTCTCCTCCACCTGCTGGCCCTGCATCTGTTGCTGCTGGGCCCCCGGCGAAGTAGTAGCCTGGCTCTGTCCCGCGGGTTGCGGTACGATCGGCTGCGGCGGGGGCGGGCTCTGCGACGGAGATGGAGCATAGAAGCCTGAGTGCGGTGGAACCTGTTGCTGCTGCTGCTGCTGGGGGGAGGCCGCTATCATCATCTGCTGACCTGGCATAGGCATCGACATTGGCTTCGCTACGGGGACCATGTAGCCTTGTTCGGGCTGCTGTGCGTAATAACTCCCCTGCTGTCCGTATGCCGGAAGCGGTTGTTGTTGTTGTTGTTGTTGTTGTTGTTGTTGATGATGATGATGCTGATGAGCGGGGAACGGTGGTTGGTACATGGGCGCGGGCACACCGCCGTAGGGCGCCGCTGCTGCTGCCGCCGGGCCCGGGGGGCGGGAGGGGGTTGTCGGCGAGGTCGCGGGCATGCAGTGCAGGCCTGCGGCGCGGTGCCGGTGCAGACGGATCGAGTGGATTACGAGGGAGACAATGTACAGGGCGCTATTGTGGTGATTAAGTTAGACACTGTCAGGGTCTCTCTCCTTGTGCACAATGGAAAGAAAAGGTGTGTGGTCTACTAAGACAAGTGAAGAAAGGGCTCTTTTGAGGAAAAAAAGGAAGAGAACGCACAATTCGACGCCACCCAGCGCGGCAGCAAGGGCCTGGGTAATAAGTAGCGCATCTTCTGACGAGGATAGGCCATATCCACTGCCATAGTAACTATAGGAGCCGTAATAGTCGTCCACATAGGCGTACACGGCCGCGATGCGGGCCGCCAGCAGAGCAAAGGAGCAGAGCCACATGACGACCAAGAGGATGTCGAGGCCGAGAATCGCCCAGTAGTTGTACAAGGCGGGCACGCCCCAGTGCGCAACCAGATGGTAGATGGACGAGACGAGTGTCATGATGGCCTAGATAGTTTACCCACCTTGCGATCAGCAAATGTTCTTTCCTGTATATATTCAAGCCTTAAGAGAAAGGGCTGGGGATTTCGCGTACCACGGCCAAAATGAAGGAGTTGCCGTCAAAGGCGACGTAGGAAATGCCTGGAGTAGTAGTATGTTAGCCAAGACAAAAACGTTCCGCGTGCAAATGGGAACCATCACAAACCATATGCGGCCAAGGCAAGAACCAGCAATCCCAAGACCAGTTGCACGACCCTAATAGAGATGAATCTCGGGGGATATCTTGGGATGTGCTCCTTTCCCAGAGGGCGGGCCGCCGCATGCTGAGGGGTGTTCATCGCGGCTGATACCACATGAAGTATTTGCTGTCTCGATGGGACAATCTTGTACAGAACAAGGCGAGAAACAAATGCGCAGGATCGAAGAACAAGCAGGGAAAAGAGATACACAGCCAACACTTGTGGAGTGAAGAAGAAGACAGAGAGAACTAGAGCCTCGCGAGGTCCTGGACAAGGCTGGTACTTGTCTATCCTTGAACCAGTCACACCGGGGATGGCAGCTGTGTTTTGCCGGCTTTCATGCAACCCAGGCAAGTTGGGGTGCGGCTGAAGCAGCTCGAGATGTGATTGGGGACAAATATTGAGGCTCTTCTGTCCGAATTGGTTGGAAATTGCCTTCTGGGAGTAGTGTGGCTTGGATAAGGTCCAACTATTGTCTTCGCTTGCCCGGTCCATGAAGTTCTGCAGTGTAACTCCGTTCCGTTAATGAAAGCCGCCACAATCCAATTCCCAAAACGCCAGCGCAACAACATTAAATGTCCAGATATAAATACCATCTGTCGCATTCCATTCGCCAGACGTGATAGACACTACCATACCAAGCCCTGAGTATTCAAGCAAGAACATTAAGGGCAGATGACAAGACCTTGTCCCACATACTGGTACAATACATCCGTGGAAACATGACTACGTGTATCCAACCCCTCATCAGCATCATGCCTCAATCGATCTTCACGCCAGGTCTATGCAAATCCTCCACAGGAACAGGCCTGTTTATATAGCAGGAAGTGAGAACCCCGAATCTTTTCACCGCCCTCAAGCCAGAAAGCCAACAATGCAGCCCAAAGCGTTTCTTGAACACCATTAACAAGGCGACAGGAAGATAAAACCAGAGAACAGGGAAAAACAGGGGCCATGATGGGGTATCAAAGCAAAACCTAAGGTAGAACTGAAATAGTAGAAACCGCCCCTCCTCATCCCTCCCAGAAGGTAGAAGATGCCACCTCAACCCAGAACCTCTCATGCAAAATCATCCGCACTCCCGTCATCCAAAACGAGCTGATCAACCTTTTGCACGAGCTCCTTCACCTCGCGCGCAATTTCAAACGCAATGGGCGGCAGCGTCTGCGTCCACATGCGCCACTCGCGGCTCTTGCTGTCGTTGCCCTCAGCCACGATGTCGAGCCCCCGCTTGCCCGCCTCCATCAGCCGCTCGCGGCACGCCGCCACCCGCTTGACCAGCTCCGCCCCGCCGGGGCCGCCGGCCGACTGCGTCTCGGCCGTCACCTGCCCGACCACGTCCGTGATGACGTGGATCTCCTCCGTGACCTGGTTGATGTCGGCGTCGTTTCGGACCAGCTGGACGAGGTTCTGGATTGTCTGCACCAGAACGGCCGTTTGGTCCTCGAGGTAGATCTTGAGGTCCTCCGTCCGTCTGTCGGGCTGCCGCGTGTTGTAGAAGCCGTTTCCGTTCCCGTTGGTGTTGGGAGCGATGGGGAGAGCTTTGTTCAGTCCGCCGTACCCACCTTCACTGCCGTTCGCGGCCGATCCATTGGGAGTCATCCCACCCTTGGCAAGCGACTCGCGTGGCGAGCTGACAGGGCTGTAGGAGGATGAGTCTACGCTGGTCCGACTCCTGGGACCCAACCCCTGGAATGGCGGAGGTGGCGGGAGTGAGCTCTGGACCGAAGTTACGCTCGATATCTGACTCTGGCCATTGCTTTGCGGGGAGAAGAAGCCAGTCGAATCCAAGGGGGTGACGGTTCCATTGTCGTCATCCTCCAACTCGTCCGCGGGCGTGGACCGGATCTTGGCTACTTGAAGCAGGTCAACGACCGCTGCAACAAGGTGAGATGCGGCTGCATCCAGCAGTGATACTGGGGATATGCCGGCCGAGCTGGCAAAGTTTTTGGCCGTCGTTATCAGATTGTTGGCCGTAGAAGATACTCGAGATTTGAGCTTCTGATGCTGCATGACGGCGTCCCCATTCTGTGCCGATCCGTCGATGTCCTTGCTGATCCGCCGAACAGCTACGACAACCGCTTTCATAGCATCCATCACCCGCTCTGAATTGTCCCTACGCGCGCGCTGCAGGAGGTCGTCGATGGCCAGCTGGAACTTTGTGACGTGGATGTCCTTAACCAATCCATTGTCCCCCACAAAGCCCTTCTCCCGGACGTACTTGGCAGCGTCTTGATCGGCCGCGAGGCCAGCCGAGGAACCACGCATGTTCCGCAACTGCGTCTTTGCGCGCGCATAGCGGTTCTGCCACTCTCGTACCTCGGCCTCGAGCGACTCAATCGTCTTTTCCATCTCGGACTGTCTCTCCCAAGCTCCGACGCTCTGCTGCGAGATCATTTTCATCTCCCGGAGAAATTCCTGGGCTTCCCGCCGCACCTCCTCGGTCACTTGTTCCTGCTCTTCGAGCGCCGTGCGCAGTGCCTTATTCTCCCGCTCCAGCTCGATATCGGCCGCCCCGTTCGACATTGGTTTGCTGCTGGATCTTTGGGCCTGCTCAAGGTCATGCCTCAATTGCCGCGTCTCGTTCGCGTGCTCGCTTCGCATCCTGTCGATCTCCCGCTGCAGGGAATCATTCAGTTTCTGAGCCTCAGCTAGCTTGTCCTCCAGGTCCGCACGCGCATCATCCCACTCCTCCTTAGCCGAGCTCGCCGCAGCGGCTTTGGAGCGTTCGCCGTCTAGCAGGCTACCGAGTTCGTCGTTCTTCTTTTTCAGCACGTCCTCCATATTGTCAAGCTTCTCCCGCAGCTCCCTGACCTGCTGCTCATAGTCTTCGATAAGCTTCTTGTCGGACTGTAAAATCTGGGATCAGCTAGTCCATCAATTCTACAAGCAGGGAAGAACAAACCTCGGATTGTCCTGCGCTGCGCTTGCTGTTTCGATCCCTATACGCACCGGCGGCGTTGGGGTCTGGACTTGTGGGGCTGATGGAATCGTCATCTTCCTCCACCATGGTGCTCTTGTTCGGGACGATTGTGTTGCTCTGGAACTGTTTCGGCATGGGTCGCCCGTAATCGCCATTTGTCACCGAGGGGGATGGCGGGATAGGAAAGGAGCCGTTCATAGGCGTCGGCAACCCGCGCCCACTACGAACTGAGCTGGCTTCAGAGGGACGCCTTCGGCTCTGGTCCCTCGGAGGGTATCCGTTCATTCCGTTGACGGGTGTCCCTGATCGACTCGGTCGCCCGCCGCGGACCGACATTGGACTCCCGACCCGTGGAATGTCCGGCCCCGCGAAACGTGGGAACCGCCGCTCCAGCTCACAGAACACGTCAGTGGCCAGGTCGCGGAACCGCGGAGGTCCCAGAGAGGAGAGCTTCTGGCGTGCCTGATTCCGCTTCGGGTGAAAATTTTCTTCGGGTAATAGGTGATCGGGAGGGCCGGTGCCGGGTGGAGCATTCGGGGGTCTTCGGCTCGCGAGCTCGCGTCGCTTCAGCTCATCGTAGACGTCTGTACTAAGTTCGAGAAACTGGACGCCGGTAAGGCGCTGCAGCTTGTCGCGAGCCTTGTTCGGTGGTGGTTTCGGGTTGCCATCGCGTGATGTGGCCGAGAGGAATCGCTTGAGGGAGGAATAGTGTTCAGACAGCACCAGTTCTTGATTTTCTAATTGGCTCTGGCTCCTCCCGCTCTCGCTTCTCGCATATATGTTGGTACCGGCGCTGGATCTGCCGACCGAGGGAGGCGGCGAGGGCCCGCCGACGCTCCTCGGACCTGGTGGAAAGTTGCCGTTCATGGGCTTGCCTGGTCCCGCCGAGTCGGGCGGTGTGCTGAGCTGACCACGGGTGTTTTGATATGGAGGCCCGTCTTTGTCGCCGACGGGATATGACCATTCGCTACCGCCAACAGAAACAGGTGAGAGCGGCGCACCGCGGCCATTCATGATATGCGGTGTGAACTGTCAGTTGTGCTGGCGGTGTCAAGCGGGCGCCAGGCCTGGTCGCGCACTCTGCCACAGCTTGTGCGTGGCGCTGACGAAGGATGGGAAATCTTTGTCGCAGTTAAGTGAAGCTGGGTCGAACGTGCATGCAAAAAAGTGCGGAGGAGCAGGGCGCCCGGGAGTCGTCACAGCATGAAACGCCTTCAACGCGCTCGGCCAACGAACGGTCGGTGTCAGGAGCGGCTGGGTAGCGAGCAGCTGCTGCAAAGGAGGCTCAAGTGGCGCGGCCCGACCGACCACTAAACCGGAACAGCACAGCAAAAAGGATGCGGTCGAATGTCGGACGTCCTGGCCGTGGTACCAAGAATCGTGGCCGTGGGGTTGGGGACTGGTTGTAGCTTGTGGCTCGTGGGCTCGTGGGCTCGTAGGTTCCTCGTGTCTGGGAGCTGGAGGCTGTCTCGAACCGCCGTCTCGTCGTCCGGTCTCCAAGTCTCTACTTGATGTGGCTTCGTCGGTCCTCGGTACTCTGTTCAGTTTACCCAGGCTGCAAACTAGGCGGCAACAAAAAGAAGAAGAAGTAGAGCACGAGTCAGGAGAGCAAAAGGAAAGCAAAACACCGATCTGTTTGCGAAAGCGCTGGCAGACAAAGTCCTTTCCCGCCTGGCCTTTTCTCTTTTGGGCAGTGTAATCACACAAGCGCCCACACACAGCGATTTGGCTCTTTGTTGCGCGGGATGGAAGGTTGGACAACGAAGGACGACGGAATTGGTCAAAATGGGTGGGAAAGTCTCAAAGGAGAATCAATTTCCAGTCCCCTGCTACATACCTAACGTTAACGTTAATTTCCCTTGGCTGCTAATCGCGCGCTACGGTAGGAACGGTTAGGCGAAGGGAGAGTGGGATGGCGGAGACAGGGATGCACAGGGGGATTGCCCCTGCAAAAAGTGAATGGGAAGCCGATCGGTCCGCTCCTTCCAGTGAGAGTTGGGAAGCCCACGAAGTCAAAGTAGGGCCGAGCTGACAGAGAAGACATCAACTCCCTCGAAAGCCCTTCAAGTTCTCGAGGAAGAACAAAGGGATGCAACCTCATATGATCGATGCGATTCGGGGCCCGATCCTATGGAACCCCCTTGCCACTAGCCTGTAGGGGGAAGAAAAGCTGGTTGACGGCACAACTTTCTGCTTCCCTTTCCTTTCATCATCATCAGCATGTCTTTCATAATGGTACCTTTTTCTTTGTGCTTCTGGACCGTGTCTGTTTTGGACTCCACGTGGAATCATCACGCAGGCACAGAGTTGCTTCATGCTTTACGCTCATGTCATCAGGGACGGCCAAGGTACCGCATTGGCCCCCGGGCTTTCTCCGTATAGTTATTCCCCGTCGAGTTATCATTTTTTTTTCATTGCGAGTCAGCTAGGAGGCCCTTTTGCAGTGTCTCAGGAGTGTAAAGCTTCCACTACCATCCCCTGTTGCTTTCATTTCTCCCGTCATCATGTGTTTGCTGGTCAAACGGGGCCCTTTTTGGTTTGGACATCAAAGCTGAGCTGATGAGGCGGAGCTCGAGGTGGACCAACATGCACCAAGAGCCGAAAGATTACCCGAACTCTCCGAATGCACAAGCAGGACTGTTAGAAGAAAGCCAAACCAAACCTCGATCAATGACCAATGCTCAAACATCTCTGCTGTTGTGGTGTTCAATGGCCTATTGTCATCATGGCCAAGTTCATAGGTTTGATTGATGCCTGGTATCTCGTGCCTCGATCCCGTCCTTACGCCTGATTCCGCAAACCCAGCAACCTGCCACCCAACGCCATTGCATAGAGAAATAGCAATCAAAGACAGAAACCTCAAAACCAAGACAAGGTCCACGTGGAAGGCAAATCCGGCCATCTCTCTTGCCATTCAGCCAAGATCTCCGGCACCCGTTCGTCAAAGCTTGCTCTGCTGGCAGCCCCCCCAGCATCAAACGCAGCTGGCCCAACCTTCTCGCGCTCTTCCATGGCCGCTTTGTTCAGAGAATCCGCGAGGTCGACGATGGCTCCGCCGCCAATGGAGGCATCCTTGTGGTTGTCCTTGATATCAATGTTGATGACGTGGACGGGCCGGTTCAACGGGGCGCCGCGGTTCAAGAGGTCGTCGATCACGGCATCCCAACAACGCTCCTCGCAGGTGATAACGATGTCTGGCACGCCCGACTCCATGCCCGCGCTCCCTTGGTCCTTTTCATGCTTCACCCTCGGCATCCCAATCTGCCAGTCTTGCCACCGTTCAGGACCCCACTTGATGACGCGGTTCCGGCCGAGCATGTTCAGCAAGCCGTTCGCCCGGTATAGCTGAGGGTCCTTGGCCTCGAGTTCCCGATAGATACTGTCGTACGACGTCTGATTGAACTTGTAGACGTTGGGCTGCGTCACGGTCGGCCCTGGCAACCGTACGAGGGATCCCGTGCCGAAAGAGATGACGGGATAGTTGGCCTGTGCGAGACGGAGGTGCCCTTCCATCGACCTGCGCTGTGTCAGTCAAGGGCTTGACGAGCAGCCATGGCGCCGGGCAGCTTACCGATTCTGATTGCTTGCGCAGACTGTGCAGAACTTCAACTTGAATCCAGTTTCATCTCCCTGCTGGCCGTTCTGCGCCGGGGCCGCACTCCCATTTGCGGTCTCCATGATGAATGACACAGGCGGGTGGAGGGACGTTTGAATTTGAAGGGTGACTGCGCTGGGCTGCTCCGTACTTCGCGAAGATTGCACCCACAGGTCTCTACGCCAGGAGTTAGCTGTGCGCCGCTGGGCAAGAGATGATTCTGTCGAGTACTGCAGGGTATTGTCATGCCATCAGAAATAAATAGCGTAATAATGAAACTTGTCGTCAACGCCCGCCGAAGCGGGACTCAGATAGCTCCAATAATAAGTCATCACGGAGGAGGTATGAAGAGGGAAACCGGGGCCCCTACTATGCTCTTACCTGCGGGGAAAGACTCCAGGGCAACAGCGTTATGTTCGCATCCTGGATGTTAACCACGCTCCCAATGCGAGGTGTCGGGGGGCGGGTGGTTGAGAATCTCCAAGTGCGAAAGTTTGGAGACCTGGAAACCTGGAACTGAGAAATGTGTTTTTGAGCAGTTGGAGCCGCCCTTGGCAAAAACGCGATTCAACAAAGCCTGTGAGCCCGCCTTAGGTAAGCGGAAGCCGGTTATACTGCCGCTGGTGACCGCCTACTCTCGGAAGTCACCCCACTCGCATACCTGAGTGTTTCAGGATTGCGGGCCCAGACTGCGCTTTTGCCGGGTGAAACACAAAACTTTTGGACGGAAAGCTTCGTTTGTAAAGAGGTAGGCCTCAACGCTCAAGGTCTGTTTCGTCTTCTTTTATTCTTATTGCATCTGTTCTGTGGCTTTTTTTGTACCGTATGCTAGCCAGATCTGAGTTGTCGATAGCTCCAAGAGACGCGATGATGGGATCATGACTGCAGTTCTAAAAATAGCTACTCCGTAGAGTTGCCGCTTATTGGCGGTGACAAGTCGAGTTAGTCCGTCGACAACAGAGAGCAGAACGCTTGTCAGTTGGGCCATGATGCTCTGTTGAGCTGACTCACTGGATAGGTCATGGTAACGAGGGCGCCTGACGAGCTGCCGTCCTGGTGGTTTCGAGGGATGGATGGGGAGAATGAAGATCCTCGTCTCTTGAACTTCGCTCCCATCTGACGGGAGCCGCACCCAAAAGGAGCAGGGGAGAAGGGCTTGGCCATCCCTTGTGTTTCGCTTGTCGCACACTACATTCGCCAGCCAGGTCGTGCAGCGAAACATACCCTTGATGATTGACTTGGCGAGGGGTTCATACCCGACTAAAGGTACAGCGGGAGAGGGCAGGACAATCTAAGGTAGGGGAGGTCGGTGGTATACAGTAAGGCTCTGAAGTTTTCACTGTTGATACAAGACTACCTCAGGTAACCAGAGGACCTTACCTCAGGCAGCGCCGGCAGGTGAGTTTGTAAGAGCACTGGATCCATGGAACCGATTTGCAAGAACTGAAGTTCGAATGGCCATGAAGCGATTCAAGGATGCTGGGCGGGGTCTTGCAGTCTGCAGTGGCCGCAGCGCGCTTAGCTGCCACTCTTTCGCTGGCCAGCCGCCCGCCTTTGTCTCGTTCTTGCGCTTCTCCACTGCCCCTCTCCAACCCGGGCCCAGTTTGGTCTGTTCTGCGTCTTCTTTTTCTCAACTCCGACGAATCGGGCTGGCTGAGATTTGTTGGTTTCTTCTTATCCAATTGTGCCCGCTCCGTTCCGGCAACCACATGTGCCGGCCCTTGGATGTTTGCCGCTGCTGTTCCGTAGTCCGCCTCTTCAGGAGAACACCGGGGCCTGGTCTAATAATACGGCGCAGGCTGCCAACTGTGGATCGCCTGTCTCCTAGCGCTGGCATTGTCTGAGCCCAGAACAATATCAGCTGGACGAAACACGTATCCACGTTTCCTAGCAACACACAGCGACCGCTTCTTCCGGCTGCAACGGTGCGCATTGATACAAGCAACAGTTTGGGGACGCCGAAAGCGCTGCGCAGGGCTCACGAGCCCTCCCGAGTACCCTTGTATCCCAAAATCCTCGAGGCCTTCCTTGTCTCCACCAGCGACTTGAAAGTGAGCCAGGGCGCAAGCGCAAACTCCACACGGCGTCGAAACCCATTGATTCTTCCTCACCCGCGCTAATCGACCTTCGGCCAACCATGACGGCGGTCATGTCGCCCGGCTCGTCTCCCGCGACTTCGCCGCCTGCCGCTCTTCCGTCTCCGTCTGCGAACGTGGCGCACCCCGCCCTCCCTCCGCTGATTACCTCGCCGCCCGCTCGCAGGACTAACCTACCGCGCCCGATGTCGCACGCCTCCAAGAACCGCTTGTCGCAGTACTCGACAACGAGCTCCATCCTCTCGAGGTCGCGCCCGCCCTCGCATCTCTTTCCACTCTATCCTTCGAGCCTGCCCTACACGCTCGTGCGGGACTTCGCTTACCCTTCGTCTCATCCTCTGCACTATGGCCCGCCGTCGGAGCCCTCGCGGCCCCCCTCAGGCATGACCACTCCGGCGAGCGAGCAGCAAAGTTTCTCGGACTTCCCCGCATGGGATACCAGGACAGGATGGGATAGCCAGTCGTGGAGCAGCAACTTCTCCAACAGGCCTGCCGACCTGCCTTCGATTCAGTTTGCCGACGGCCCACCATGGAGCGAGGATGACGACCTCCAAAGTCCCGTCGTAAGCTCGAGGCACAGAAAGCACAAGAGCTCCGGCTCTCTTGTGAAGGGCGGCTCTCTCGTCAAGGGCCGAGGTAGCCGCGAGGCACAGGCAGCCTCGCAGACTTATGATGAGGACAGGGGGTACTACGTCGGCACCAATGGCGACGGCAGTGAGCGGTACTATGTCAACCAAGGCAACGAGGCCAATGGGCCGGGCGGCGAGTACGTCACATATCCCGGCGATGAAGCACGACACGGCAACAACGGGTACCAGCTGGCGAGCCAGCAGCCGCGCCAATTTGGCGAAGCGGGCGAGTTTGGCTCTGACGATTCGAGCGCATGCTCATCACCGGGCTACCACAACACGGACGAGTCCCGCTATTCACGTGATTACCAATTCACTATCACGTCGCCCGACGAAGAAATGCACGGAAAGGCCGTCGCGCTCTTTGACTTTGAGCGGGAGAACGAGAGCGAGCTGCCGCTCGTCGAAGGCCAGATCATCTGGGTCTCATACCGGTACGGGCAAGGCTGGCTGGTGGCCGAGGATCCCAAGACACAAGAGAGCGGGCTCGTGCCCGAAGAATACGTCCGCCTGCTGCGCGATATCGAAGGCGGCATGACCAGCCTGACGGGCAGTCTGAACGTGGGCGACGGCAGCCCGGCCAGCCCAACCAACGACGGCGGCACGCCGACCCAGGCAGAGCACTCAACGGCCCAGCAATTCCCCCGCTCGCCCGCAATCACCACAGCCAGCGGCTCGTCGACGGCCACGAGCAACACAGCGTCCACGGTGTCAGCTACAACCAACGGCTACCAGCAGCCGATCGTCTCGACCTTTTCCACCTCGAGCAAGGACCTCGACCCTTACCCGCAGCATCTGTTGGGCACGCAGGCTGGCCAACCGCCCCCACAGGTGGTGCACTACCACGGCCAGCGGGGTGGCAGCCAGGCCAACACTCCCACACTAGCCGTCCACCAGGGGTTCGGGTCCAGGCGGGCGAGCCAGGATACACCCTCCACCGCCACCACTGCCGGAAGTGGGCTGAAGAAAGGCGAAACGGCGGCGGCGGCGGCTGGCGGGCTGGAGACGTTGCCCGATGCGAAGCTGGAAACTGCTGGTTCAAGTGCATCGAGGAAGAGGGAGTCGAGGTGATATATGGAGCGCAGAAAAGAGTGAGAAATAGGTAGGACGGGATACCACGTTGAGGTAGACGTGTAAGGTGGTCATGTTGTCGAAGAAGCATATTCACTAGTGTTGCATATCAGGGGTGTTGGAGGGAAGCGGTGCGGGCGCAAAGAGGGTGTCATGTACCAATATCCCATGGTTTTGGCCGGCGGTGAAATTCACCGCGCGTGTTGTCTTGGTTTTCCGGTTTCTTTTCTTTTTCTTTTCTTTTTGGAGCTATGAATGATGACGATGATGCCATTGTTGACTTGGCTTTGGTTTGCGGTGTACTCGCACACATATGACCGTCCATTGGGACAATCGCACATATCCTCGATCGAGGACTTGCTCCAGTCCGTCCCACCTCACGCCGTGTCTCGTGCTTCACTTAGGAGCGGCCCGCTCAACCGCCTTGCAAGTTACAATTCCATGCGTTCCATGCTGCTTATGAAAATGAAGCCTAAGAATCTAGGCAAGAAATTGGAAGACAGGAATCCACACTCGACCAACTCGGAGAACAGCGATAGGTACAGTACGGATACAGTGGCCAGCTTGATCAAACTTACCTTATCGTAAGCAGGTATTGACCGTAGATACGCCATTTCAATGCTCCGAAGCAACATCCGATAGCGCCGCCAGGAACCGTTTCAGCGTGCGGAATGACGTAACGCACCTGCCCACCAAGCTTCAGATTGGTACCCGCAAACAAATCTCCCGAACATTGTCGAGGGGTGGTAACGGAAGAGGCTGCTCTTGGCTGTGTTACGATCGCACCATCACATCTCCTCATTTGCCCGCCACAAATACCCTTTCGATTGACACAACCAACACACCTACGCCTCCAAAAACAGCAATCAATTGTTAACACCATGAGTTTGTTCGTCGCCAGCCGATCTGCCTTCCGGGTCGCCGCGCCCCTCAAGCGGGTGAGCTTCTTAATTTGATACCTCTCTAGCGCTCACTGCCCACTTCCAAGCTCCTGCACCGCCAGACCATCTGACACAGCGTGCAGCAGTTCCAGGCCCGCCGCTATGCCACCGAGCAGCTCTCTACTGACCCCAAAAAAGGCAACAACATGCTGCTCTACGGCGCCGTTGCTGTCGCCCTTGCCGGCGTAGGCTACTACTTCTCCAGGAGCACTCCGGCCGTCAAGAAGGCCGAGGAGACCGTGAAGGACACCGCGGGCGCCGCAACCGAGAAGCTCACCAGCGGCGAGGCCAAGAAGGCGCTCACGGGCGGCGATCAGGGCTGGGTCAGCCTCAAGCTCGAGGAGGTCGAGATGGTCAACCACAACTCGAAGCGCTTCCGCTTCCGCCTGCCCGAGGATGACATGGTATCGGGCCTGCAGATCGCCAGCGCCATCCTGACCAAGTTCAAGCCCAACGACCCGGACGCCAAGCCCGTCATCCGGCCCTACACGCCCATCAGCGACGAGGACGCCAAGGGCTACATCGACCTGCTCGTCAAGAAGTACCCCAACGGGCCCATGAGCACGCACCTGCACGACATGGTGCCCGGCCAGCGTCTCGACGTCAAGGGCCCAATTCCCAAGTACCCCTGGCAGCCCAACAAGCACAAGCACATCGCGCTCATCGCGGGCGGCACGGGCATCACGCCCATGTGGCAGCTGTGCCGGGCCATCTTTTCCAACCCGGACGACACCACAAAAGTGACGCTCGTCTTCGGCAACGTCAGCGAGGACGACATCCTCCTCAAGAACGAGCTGGCGACGCTCGAAAATCACAACCCCCGCCGGTTCCGCGCGTTTTACGTGCTCGACAACCCGCCCAAGGAATGGACCGGTGGCAAGGGTTACATCAACAAAGAGCTCCTCAAGACGGTTCTGCCCGAGCCCAAGGAGGACAACATCAAGGTGTTTGTATGCGGCCCGCCGGGCATGATGGATTCCATCTCGGGCAACAAGAAGAGCCCCAAGGACCAGGGCGAGCTCAAGGGAATTCTGAAGGAGTTGGGGTATACCGAGGAGCAGGTCTACAAGTTTTGAGTCTTGGGGCTGGGGAACGAGATCGATGATTGGGGTGGAACTGGATCCAGCCGGCGTTGATTTTTTGCTGCTCCGTTGCTTGCGTTGAGCAGCATTGTAGACTAAGAATCGCTGGCGAAAGGGCCTGTATCTGTTATAGAGATGCTTTCAATCAAACCACAAGACGATTCAAAATCACTTCAGCGGTCCCTTTAACTGCAGTGCTCTTCCAATCGACACTACATGACAAGGTACCTTACCCTAGCCCGCTTACTTACGCACATCAATGCTGGCTGGCGCTCTCTCCCTGAACCTGTCGGGGACTCGGACCATCATCACCTCTCGGCGGGCATCACTTGAAGACGTGTCTCTCTTGGTGTCGCTATGGCATGCCAGAAACCGCGATACAAGCCAACTTCATTTCATATCAATTGGTCACTTCACGCCAGCGACACAGAAAATGGCATGTATCCCAACTCATGTATTCCCTACGCCAAATGCCAACCCTCCCAGAACTCCCCGAAACGCCCCACAGGAACTCCGGACCTTCCCGGCATGGCCTATCGGGCCTGTCCTTCCCTTGTCCGTCGCCGCCAACAACGTCCCTTTCCCGAACGCCGTATCATGTAGCCCCGACACCTGCCATGAACTCCCGTAATCTAACGTCCCTATTCCACCTTCATCCCTTCCCAAGCCAGATGCCAACGTTATTTTATGATGCAAGAGGCCGTCATTTCATGACTTTTGTCCCTTTTCCATGTCCATGCCAGACAATCCACGTCTCCATCGTCCATGCTTGACGAGAATTCTCCCACTCAACTCCCTTCCCAAACACCCCGAGTTCAGCCCTCTTCCCTAACATCATTCCACCAATTTGCACCAAGACCCCACTATGAGACTGTCAATTCATGACGTGTTCTCCTTCTCTCATCTTCTGCTTCGCCACCAAAAACCACCCGAAACACGTTTCACCGTCGTCGCTCTATGATGACACCACTTCTTCCATTCCCAACTCCGTTCAGAGACGACATGTCCAACATGGTGCAAAGCCTGACGGAAAGAAAGTTAGCCGCTTGTCCCAGGACATAACCACTGCAGATGCATGGGAAATCCGGATAGAGGTATGTGTCTCAGAGAGAAGATTAACTCGACATGTTTCAGCTCGAAGTCATGGCACAAGCCTTTCACTTTGCATGGGAGAAGCCGCACCACATTCGGCCAAATTTCCGGCTAAGGATGACGATACGAAAAATCTCATCATGTGGAAATTGTCATGCGCAAAGAAAGAGGCCGCGACTTACACTTCTTTGTCTGGTTGGTTGTGCTAAAGACGGCAGTGGTCAACTACCTGGCTCTGGCGCTCAAGTAGAGAGCCGGAGAAGACGAGGACAGAGAATTGCTTGGTTTGGAAGGGTTGCAGTGATGTGCGAGTGTCCTCCGTCCTCAATCGTCGTAAGAGATGCGACGCCGCTGGACCGCGCTGGCCTCAACGGGCTTGTTCTCTTCATCGCCGTAGTCGAGCGTGGCCAAACCCTCGTCGACTACATCCCAGGTTCGCTTGCGCAAATCAATGGGCTCCTCTCCACTCCTGGTTTTGCTGTTCTTGACTTTGCCGCGCTTCCGTTTCTTGGGTTTCTTCGCGGTGGCGGATGGCGTCGACAAGATCTCGCCTTCTTCAGATGTGTCGCGGGCCGCATCTTCCTCGGGGTTTGTGGTTGTGGCTTTTCTAAGCTGGGAGGATTCTCTTTTGCGGCGCAGAGCTTGGAGTTCAGAGTGTCTGAAGATGGCGATCTGCTCGTCGGTGAGAGTCCGTTTGACGCCGTCGGAATAGTAGCCCAGGCCATCCTCTTCCTCTTCGTAGTACTCGTAGTACTCGTTTCCGCCCACTGCATCGTATGTGGCTTCTCCTGTTGAAGGAAGGTCGGGTCGGAGGAAGTGCGCATGGAAGTCATCTGTCGCCGGTTTGGAGAAGTGCGCTTGGTGGAATGCGGTCATCTCAGCCTGCAGATAAAAAGGTCAGATTTTTTTATTCAACACAAACGCTAAGTTTGGGTACTTACTTCGCTGATTTGAGGTACTTTGAACGACGTGGCCGCCATTGTGTGGCGCGAGCGACGTGACAATTTGTCGGGTTCGGAGGATGAATGGTCGAGGAATGCTCGGGTGGATGCAGGAATCCCCAAACGGTCACGTGCTCGGTGTAAGTCGGATCGACTCGAAAGGTGCAGAGGCAGATGCTTTCGAAGCCACTCCAGATGAGTTTCCCCTTGGTTGTGTTTCTGATTCTCCATTCGTCGAGATCTTGTTTCGGCCAGTGCACAATTTAGCACGGGGTCCAATCGGCAGAAGAGGTGCTGTTTCTCAGAGACGTGTAGAATCGCAGAGAGGGGCTGACTCGCAGAGAGGTTGCTGATTCTCAGAGAGGGTGCTGTTTCTCAGAGGGCCGTCGCTGGGTAAGCTGAGAGTGCTCTTGTTGAGTGCCGACGGCGCGCGATCCGTAGCCACAGGGTCCAAGCATGAATGAACCCCAAGGAAAAGGGAGGAAGTCAAGTGTCGTGCAACAAACTCATCCGCCTCTTGGCGAATGCTGGAATGGCAGGTCCAACTCCTTTCCCAGGCCAAGACAGGAGGTTATTTTTTTTTCAGAGATCTTTTTGCGGATTTTGAAATGGTATGAGAGGTTTTGTTTATTTACCCGCTGTCAAGACCTGGGGGAGATTGATAAATTGAGGGGCAACTGACACCAACAGCCTCAACTTACTTTTGTGGGTTTTGTTCTTTTTGCTTGTGTTTTTGATGTGGCTTTGTCGAGTGTCGTGTCTTTTTCGCCTTTCTAAACACTGCGCGCCTGCTCGATGTTTCGGTGCCAGGGGTCGTACTGGCTGACAAAGTACTTTGCAACGTGCCGCGAGAACCAGTTCAAAACATCCTCCAACCAATCATCCTTGTGGTGTGTAGTTTAAGACTGGCTCAGGAGCGCCAGGGCACTCTGGAAAGCGCGGACAACCTCAGAGACTGGTGATATGTTAGGTCAGGACTGGACAGCCGTGGTGTGAACTAAGAGAAGAAGGAAGAGGAAGACAAGAACAAAGACAAAGGAGGAAGAGGAAGACGATGAAAAAGAAAGGATATAAGAACAAAACTTACGATGCTTTTTCTTCTGTGACAAGCTCTGTTCAGCTATCTTGACGTATCGTTCTCTGGTCTGGAGTCTCTTCACGCCGCGCTCGGTGTCATGGACTGAGGCCGCGGAGGCCCAGACGTTGAAGAACTGCAACACTGTCAGCGAGTTGTCCGTTGGGTACGGTCAGCGACGGCAAGGTTCGTCTCGGCTCACCTTGACAAGATCCTCAAACTCTCTCAGAAGCTCTTGCTCCTGGAGATCAGCGTCGGCGAGCGCCTCTTCGTAGCGCGCCTCGAACTCATCCCAGTCAAATGGTGCCAGATGCCCGGGGGTGCTGGGCGATCTCTCGCCGGTCTCTTTCTGGCCGTTTATGCGCTCTTTGGATTGGCGCGGTTCTGGGGTCCTAACTTGGGAGCGACTGGTCTGAGGTTTGGGAATTGTGGCCTGAGCATCCGCCATGGTGTCGGGAACGGCAGGTTTTGGAGGACTGTTTCGGATTGCCTCCGTCTGGGGAACTGGGAGAATGGGTGACTCGGGTGTCTCAACCGGTGACGGGTGACCGTGTGTCTTTGAGGAGGATGAAGAGCGACGCGATGCCCTGGCCATGAGAGTCGTGAATGGCTTTTTGGTTTGCTTTGTTCGTCTGATGTGACTTGACGAGACACTCGTTGAAGAAGGCAAACCCCCGAATAATCTTCTTGTATCTGTGTCAAGCCATTGGCGAATTGTTTGCTGCTGAAAGGGTTTCAAGCTCAGTTCTCGACTTCTGACCCCTCTCCCATGCTTGAGGGGAAAAGATGCCCGAGAAAGGCTTTGATGCCCAAATCAATCCCGCGGCCGTTGGGATGGCTGATTGGTGTGCCTGCGGCTCTGCAGATGATGTTCTTGCGATGAGCTGTCAATGCGATTCTCGCGAATGAGACGAGAACGATTTCGCGGGGCGGCGGGGATGATTGGTTGAGATGCCGGCAGGCAGGCTGGCGCAGGCTGGGGGCTGATTGGTGATTGGGATGCCAAGCGGTGGGGCGCGTTCCGGTTGCGCGATGACCCGTGACGCGGGCTTGTTCCGGAGCAACATTCCTTCCCGCTGAGAGCGTCGAGGCCAGGTGACTCGAGATGTTGAAGTCAGCCGAGCTCTTCAAGCTTCTGCTGTTTGTGAGTTTCTTGGAAGCCGATTCTGAGACGTTCTGAGAAACCGATGGAAGTTAGATTTTGGCCCGAGATATGAAATGATGCCGCCACACCTGATCCCTGAAATGTAAGGCTGCCAATAACTTACCTTAAACACCGCCTGCCAGCTGCCTGGTGTTTCACTCCTTCCCCGAACATCGCAAGTCCAACCCGGGACAAAGCGATCCTGCAGCCATGATTCACTGCGACATCTGTCATCGCCCGCATCACGCGACGAATCTGCCGTTTCTTTGTGCAGTCGACGCAAGGAATTGCCTGTATGAGTCCCGGGTCGAGTACGCCCGAGCGCTGATCGGCCATGAAGATGCTGAGCGCCGGGTCGAAGCCGCCTTGGCGAGCAGCGAAGGAGCTTCAAAGGATCAGACTCCCAGGTCGAGTGCCGAAGTCGACCGGCTGAGAGCTGATGAAGAGGCTTCCCGTGACCGAACGAGCCAGATTATTGCGCAGGCCGACCGGCTGAGGAGCGAGATTGATGCTGCGCGGAGGAAGATTGCTGCGAAGAAGGATGCAATCGCCCGGAAGAAGTCGGATTTGTCGTCAATCTCGGCCGGTACCGCGACGCGGCGGAACAGGCAGTTGGAGGAGGTTGAGCGGTCCATCCAGAGGCTGAGGTACAAGTGGAATCGCAGTGCCGACACCATGGCTGCCACCAGGGCCTTTCTGTGCGAGGGATCTGCCAGGCTGTATGGTCTTCGCCAGGTCAAGAAGGGCAGCGTCAAGCGCTATGAGATTGGCGGAGTCGAGATCTTCGATCTTCACGCCATGAATAGTAAGTTTTATTTGCTCGGTTGGTCGTCGCCCTGTCGCTGGTTAGCTGGTTGCGTTTTTGTTCATGTGTTGGTTGACCCTTGACTGACCATGCTGGCAGGTATGTCGCCTGAGCTGATTTCAACATGCCTTGCGCACATTGCACATATCTTGACGTTGGCGTGTCACTACCTGGCCATCCGGCTGCCGGCAGAGATTACCCTGCCGCATTCCGACTACCCACGGCCAACCATCTTCGCGCTTTTGGCATCTTACAAGTATGAAGAGGCGCCGTTTCCGGGATCGCTGGCGCCGCAGATTCCGCCCCTCTCGGACAATGGGGAGCAGAAGCATGTTTCACGGCCTCGTCCGTTATTTATCGACAAGCCTCTTCCGACGCTGGCCAAGGAGGATCCGTCAGCATATTCGTTCTTCTTGGAGGGAGTCTCTTTGCTGGCTTACGATATAGCCTGGGCGTGCTGCTCGCAGGGTGTCTCTTTCGGCGACAAGGAGTCGTACGAGGATGTGTGTAATATGGGCCAGAATCTCTGGCGTCTTCTCATCGGGGACCAACTCCACCGTCGATCCGTCGAGCCGACTTTCCCCTCTTCGCTCAGCCCGCCGACCGGGAGTCCCAGAGATGACGACCGTGGCGAAATCACGAACCCCAAGTCGACGATCGGTCGCTGGTCGCACGGAACGCTGCATAGCTTTCTGGGGGGAGCTGAGGGCACTGAATTCGTCCGTAACTTCAAGATTCTTTCGCCTCTGAAGTTGGCGGATCGGTTGAAGAAGCGCTTGTCGAGTGAGGCGCCGATGCTGGAATGGGAGAAGATTGAGGGCGACGAGCTGGAGGACGGCTTTGATGATGGTGTCCTTGTTCGAGATCATGGCAATGCTGGGCGCGGGGATCTCGGAGCTACGAGTGTCATGACGGTGCGGACTGTCGAGTCGAATGGCGGCACGCCCGGAGTCGCCAACACAGCCAGGGGCACCAGTGGCTGGACGAGATTGAAGCACCGGTAGGTGCAAATGACCGAAGTTCTCTGTCTGGCCAACCCGCCGCTACTCTATCCCAGAAAGAGGTGATAATGCTTCAAAGTCTTGATGTTGGTTATGTTTCGAACAGTGGCTGCATGCGTTTTAGAATGACGCCGTCACAGGAAGTATGGTCACCACTTACTGTTTGCTGCCTGCCATCATCTTGTCCCTTGTTCCTTTGTTGCTTGAGAGCGGTCAGCGGCCATCAGTGAGCTCTGCGAGTGAGCCTGGCTTTACGTTAGCAAGACACACAACGGAAGCTGGCTCGACATGAACTCATCTCTGGCCGGATCGGGTGTGGGAGGAGTCATTCCTTGGCTTTTGGTTCGACTTCTTGGGTTTCCCCTGGCAAGACGACTTCTCGGCCTTCTTATTCTCGGCGCTGGGAGCAGGTGCCGGCTTGCCGCCCTTGGCTCTTCCCGGTTCTTGTGGTCTTTGCACGGTCCGCGGCGAAGACCTCTGGCGGCGCGAGTTGTCCGTGATCTTCGGCCCCAACCGAGCGGCCAAAGAGAATCACTCGACATAAGGTTCAACGCGGAGCTTCTGGATGGGCAAGTGGAGCTTCTCAATTTGAGCGAGCCAGGAGGACGCCCTTCCAGGAATCGAGGTTGATGAGCAGGGCATAGTCGCGTTGTCGACTTCCACGTGGTCGCAGTCGGTATCCATTGCGTCGTACTCCATGTCTGACGCGTCAGCATCGACGTCCATCGCGTCAGTCAAGTCGATGTAGAGACTGTCGACTTCGCGCTCGGCACGACGGTGTCCCTGGGCCTCCGCAGCAAGTTCGCCCTTCCAAGCGTCCATGATGATTATGTGTTTCAGTGATGGGAAAGTCAGAATGAGTAATTGAGAGTTGGCGACGTTGCGTGGGAGATGTGTCTACAAGTTGAGAAGGCCCGGTGATCCAGCGTTTGGGAAATGTTTGGGAAATGGAAGAGCATTGGGAATGGGGGGCCTCGGGACGCGCTGTATAACCATGGAGCAACGGTGCTTGGATGCGTCCATAGAGACGGTTGTGTATGCAATATGCGTACAGCTGCAGTATAGCGTATGGCCAACAGACGCGTTGTTGAGCCCGTCTGCAGGGTGACGATTGCCCCTTGATATGCAGTCTCCTGAACCAGGCCTGCCTTGCTAGATCGACACACTGGACCTCCCGGCCCTCCCTTTCAGCGGCCTCCTGCTCGGCGTGTTCGGCCGACATGACCTGCTCTTCCGATACCTTCAAAAATGGCTGTCTCCGGTTCTTCGGTGTTCGCCTTCTCCGGTTTATGGGCCTCTTCGCTTCAACCCTCCCCCTCCCCCTTCAAAGAAGGCTCTGGATTATGGGGAAGCGTCAACATCCTACGTGCTTGAGTAGACCGCTGTGCCTCCTCAGCGGCAACTTTCCGACGACGTGGGCGTTGTTGGTCTCGGTACAGGCGTCGTTTGTTTACACAAAAAGACCGAAGCCCTCTCTCTGGCCCACCCTCCGCTACCCTATCCCAGAAAGAGGTGGCATTGCTTCAAAGTCATGATGGTGTTTTGCTGTCTCCCAGGCACGCGGTTCGGCCCACAAATCAGGCCTCCTCCTTCCCCTTGAATCGGACGTTCTCCTTCTCCGCAATTCTCTCGGCGAGCAACTCGGCCCAGAGTTCCGGCTCCCTCTCCCGGAAACCCCCAGCGGGAGTTGTCTTCCTCGCCGAGCTCACGGGTCAGTTCCCTCCTCCTTCAGGAGTCCTTGCAGCGCCTTCTGCTTTGCTTCTTTGTTTCCTCTCACGCCGCGAGCAGGGAGCACCTTCCGCTCAGCAGGACCGGCGTGCTGGGTCAGTGCGGCATTGGCCTGCTCAGCTGCGTCAGGTCCGAGCTTAGGTGGCGCCGCGTATATGGGTGTGTCCGCCACCGGTTGCTTCTCCTCCTCTTCCGCCGCCTTGCTCGGGCCAGACGGACTCGCCTAAAGCCCCTGCGATGCCCTCTGCTTGGCTTCCGGGCGCGCTTTCACGCTGTGAGGGACGGGCAATGAGCTGCTCATCGGATGGAACGTGCTGAGGCTGGGCGCCAGGACCGCGGATACCGGCAATCGCGGCCATCGCCGCCTCGACATTGAGCCTCGGTGACTCCCTGTTCGTCGGTATGTCCGCCCTGGCAACGGACCGGGACACCTGCGCTACCCGTTCGAGGTTGAAGTCGAAGACTGGAGCCGCTTGGCCGTGACTCAATGGTGTGTGGTCGGCGATCGCGGGCGTGACTGTCGGCATCTGGCTGACACTGGTCTCTTGGACGGGACCCATCGGCTCAACCTCCTCCGGGGATGCGGACTGCGGCTCGGTCTCTTGGGCGCCTTGGGTTGCTGCGCCAACCTCGAAGTTCTCGTCGTCCAGTTCGCAGTTCTCGTCGTCATCATCATGCATGTGCCGGCGCCTGAATTCGTCCATGCGGGCCATGATTGGGTCCAGCACGTAGCCCTCTCAGTCCGGTGCGAGCTGGGGCTCGGCCCCTGGCGCGTCTTCGGGTGCGGCGTTGACCTGGTCCTCCCCACCCTGCTCGGTCTGGTCGACGCCCTCTAGATATAGGTCGATCGGAGCAAACAAGGCCGGGTCAAGCACGCCGGCCAAATCCGCGTATTCAGGTCGCAGCTCGGCCTTGGTGGCTTTTCCGGTTGCTGCTTCGACCTCCCCGTCCCCAACCTCTTGGGTCAGATCGACGCCGTTGAAAACGGAAGCAGTCGTTGATCTGAGCGTCGGGGGCCGGATCATCCCAGCCGGACAGCGCCGGGTATGCGGGCTGGGCAGGAGGTTGAACGGCCATCGTGGCCGGGATTTGATACTCTGCAGCCGGGGGCTTGAAGTTCCGCGAGGTATCGGGCTCGGGCTTGAGCTGCCCGAATGCGTTCCTGGATGGCGGCGAGGTCCCCAGTCTTGGCCATCCCGTTGTCGGCGACCTGCTCCGCCAACGGCTGCGGCTCGTCGACGAGCATCTGGTCTTGTCCCTCCTGGGCGTTGGAGGTGTCCATCTCATCCTTCACCTCGTTCTCCTCCTCGTGTGAGGCCTCGAACATCGGTTCATCTGCGCGAAGGAGGAGGGCTCTGCCTTATCCGGTTCCTTGGTGAGCCCTTCCATTGCGTCAACCGTCTCCGGTCCCTTGGCGAGGTCCTGCTCAACCTTCTCCGGTTCCTGGGTGAGCCCCTCCATGGCATCGACAGTCCCCGGTTCATCGGCGAGCGTAAGGGCGCACTCAGCCTTCTCCAGTTCCTGGGCGAGCTCCATCACGGAGGCATCAGCCGTCTCCGGTTCATCGGCAGGTGCTCACTCAATGTTCGCCTCCCCCTGTTCCACCTCAGGGATCGACTTGGCGAGCGGCGCGGCGTTCGTGGTCCCCTCCTGCTCAAGCGAGCTCTCGGTTTTCGACCCGGCCGGCACGGTACGGGCGCCGTTCACCATTGCCTGCTCCTCCGAAGAGGCCTTCGGCTCCGATTCATCCGCCGCCGTCGCATCCTCCGCAGCCGTCCTCTCCAAGAGGACTCCGATTCGTCCGCGCCGTCGTGGTCGGCCTCATCCTTCCCCTGCAAAGCAAGCTCGGGTTCGGCGACAACGAAAGCTCCAGCCTTGGTCTCGTTCTGCTCCACCTCAGGACTCGGCTCTTCTGCGAGCGGGTTAAGGGTGGCCGTCTCCAGTTCATCGGCCGCAGCCTTCTCCGGTTCCTGAGCCTGGGTCGCTTCAACCCTTCCACTCCCCCATCAATGATGGCTCGGGTTCATCAGCGACGACCGCCTTCACCATCCCCGTCAAAGACGGCTCAGGTTGATCGGCTGTGGTAAGGTTGTCGGGTTCGATGCCCGACAACAGCCCGTAGACCTTCGTCTCCTCGACAATTGCCAACTCGACTTGGACCCTCTTGGCGGCGACAGCGTCGTGGGCGGCTTCCCAAGCAGCCTTGGCCTTGCTCTCCTCGGAAAGTGCCAACCCGAGCTCGGCCTCGGCGAACCGGCGGGTCTGGGTCGCGGCGGTCAGTTGTGCCTCTTGTTCGGCACGGGAGCGGGATGCTCCTTCTTCCGCCTGGGCGATGGCGCGCAAGATGGCGGTTTTGCTGGCCTTGCCGTAGCGGCGGCGGACTTCCTTCTTGGTCTCCTCTCTCCTCCTCCAGCCGTCTGAAACGCTGTTGTTGCAGCTGCCAGGGATCCCGGTTGGGCTCGCTGGCCAGCTGCTCGTCCAGCAGCCTGTGGTGCTCGCGGAGTTGCTGCACATGCTAGGTGCGGATTTCCTCCACTTGCTGCATGGCCTTGCGGAAGGCCATCTTCTCGCCAGACTGCTCAGCAGGCTGCTGGCGACTCCTGTTATTGGGCTTGGCCGTGGGAAGAGGAGTCGCGATGGCGAGAGACAATATTCCTCGGGGGTCGGCGAGGAGGGAGGCGCGGGGAGGCCGCGAAGAGTCGGAAGGGCGGAGAGAGGGGGAAGAGGTTGGGGAATGGCGGCCGAGTCGGGGGAGTCGACTGCGGCGGCGACGGTGATGGTGGTGGTGGCGGCGTCGGCAGGTGGAGCGTACAAAACGAGGGTGTTTGTTACCGACGCCGGGGGCTTGACCTTGCGCTTAGCGGCCACGGCGCGCTGTTCCGCGGCGATGGCGGCTTGCACTCGGCCGAAGTCGGAGAGGTTTTCCTCCGGACGCGGGTTTCTGGTCCTATTCAACATTGGATGAAATACAGAGACAATAGGAGTGAACCCCCTTCCAGAATGGAAGCCCTCCTCGACTCAATGGTGATATGACTCACTGCAGTGAGCAGAAACCTGGTGGTGAATCCTCCACAGAGACCATCGTAATGAACAGTTGGCCTGTTCTAACAGAGGATCGAGTTGTCAATACCAACTTCACTTGTTGTTTGTTGTTCCAACATGCTCGCCATGGGGTCCAGCCTGGATTATGATGGTACCGCCTTCATTCATAAAGACATTATCATGATGAGGACGACTGGGTAATACGCTCCTTGTGAAAATAACATGCCGTGAGTCGAACTTGGGTCATGCTTGTGGTCGCCTTTCGAGTTACCAAGGTCATACCAAGGTAAACGCTCGACGCCGAGCACAAAATAACGATGTTATTATGGAACAATCCAACCCCGAAGAAAACCTGATCAAGGCGATTGGTGTTTATAACGAACGAGATGGAGGACCATCGGTGGTTGATATATGCTTATTATTGCCCAAGTCTGTTATAGTATAGCTTCTCCTGTACAGCGCGATCTGGTGACACTCCAGACACGTGGGAATGATCAACTTTGTATTCCACTTTGCGGCTACCTTACACTGGCCCCTGTAATTGTCATCAACGTTTGACAACCGTGGGCTGATTGTGTACCACAGGGTCACTGTGTCTCCGTAATGAATTCAGACATTGGAAGCCCCGTTACCTCGCCCGTCAAACGAGAAAAGACACACACATATCAAAATTGGCGCGATTTGCCACTGGCGTTGTAGAGTATCAGCAGTAGCTCCATTCTTTGCATTGTGAAGCTCAAAGTCTACAAGTTTGAGTGGAAACATCAAACCCGCAACCTTCGAAGTTGATGGGAATTTTATCGAAACGGGTGCGCCCTCAAGTCTTCCTTAACACATCAACTCATAACAGTCAGTTTATTTCTTGGAGATGATGAGGGCATTTGCTATCGCCGAGTTCTCTTTCCCAACTGCCTTTGTTTTGACCAAGATCGAAAATCAGGGGCAAAGTCTTGGCATCGAAACAATGCTGGAGACTCGTTGCTCTGATTTGGGTCTGGACAGCTCTCTAGAAGTAAGTGATTGAGAGACGTTTCGCACAGTTTGAGAGCAGATTTCCCAAGGTCAACAATTCTGCAAACAGATGCACAGCACGCTATTAATTCTCAAGGGGCATACTTGGGTGGTGTGGCGACTACGCGCATCAACACCGCGAAAGACATGAGCAATCACCAACCACAACTCGTGATGGTCGTTGAGGGGCAACAAAATATTATGAATACAGTAACTGTGTTATCTTAGTATTGTGTCGTTTGAGCCGATGATTAGGTTTGTTCTCTCCTTATCCGGCGCGAGAATGGCCATGACTTGACGTTGGGCGGTTGCCAGGGCAACGCTTGAGCCGCACGTTCTAATTTGGATGACAAGCACCCACACCACCATGGGGGGCACCTCATGGAGCAAGAGCTGAAATAGCTTTGCAAACCAAGGAAAATACTCTGAAATCATGATACAAGTCCATTCACCCACGGGGTATCTTTGGCCTAAACCATTCCCGCCAACAAGCCAGCCAGTTCCACCCCAACCCAGATTGTCCGTTCCTGCCCTGTCCCATGCCACGGCCAAGCTATTCCCTCCCCACCAAAGCAAACTCCAACCGCTCACTGCCTCTGCCTTCCCTTAACCAACAACCTCTTATACAATTCCAAAACAGCCTCAACCCACCCGACCCTCTCATCCCCTCCATTTCCACCACCATTACCCCCCCAAACCCTCCCCGCCAAAAACTCCTTCATCTTGCCCTCATTAAACGACTCGCCATACACGACCCTCGCCTCAGGCGAAACCACCACATCCACCCCGCCGTCATCACCCCGCCTCTCCATCCCCAACTCAAGCACCACCTCGACCCTCGTCTGCAGCGGCGCCAGCAACATCGACGCCGTGACGCTCACGCCAGCGCCGGTGCCGGTGCCGGCTCCCACGTCTTCCTCCGGCGTTTGCGCACCAGTGCGCAGCACGACGGCGGTGGGGAAACACAAGCTCAGCCGGCGTATGTGCTCCGACACAGCGCCAGCCCTGTCCCACGCCGAGCTGACAATGCCGAGCAAACGCTTGGGATGATGGGTGACAGTAGAGGAGGAGGAGGAGGAGGGGGAGGCCTTGGTTTGTTGTTGGGAGCGGAGGAGGTGCCCGCGGATGTGGTGCAGGAAGAACTCCTTTTCTGGTGGGCACTGCGAGGGTGTTTTTGCAACGTAGCGGAGGCTGACAAAGCGGGTTTGCTGTTGCTCTTGTTGTTGTCGTTGCTGCCGCTGAGGCAACGCGAGGTCAAAGACCAGTTCGATCTCGCGCTTGTAGCGCATCGTGATGGTGGTCCCTGAGATGGAACGGATGGCCCACCCGTGTTTCTTTTCGACGGCGTCTGTTTGGGCTATTTTGGTGTTGTGTTAGCACATGTTTGTCCGCATATCGTAGGCAGCCTGCTTACCTTTGAGCTTGCTGACCTCGTCCGAAGACCACCCTCGGCACTCCTCGCGGACCTTGTCAGCTTCCCTGATCTGTTCGATGTAATGCTGCTTTTGCTGTGCGAGAGTCTCGGCGTCTTGGACTGACTCTTCCAGCTCTCGCTGGAGCTCTGCCAGCTTTCTCGCTTTCTCAGCGATGCTGTCACCCACCGCTGTAAGCTCTGCCCGAGCGTCTTCAAGATCCTGGGGGTCGCAGTCCGCAAGCTCCTGAGCGAGAGCCTCGAGGTTCACGTGCTCCCCCTCAAGCTCCTTAAGGCGCTTGACCATGTCGGGCAGGATCGACGATAGGAGCTCTTCCTGTTTCTCCAGCAGCCTCTCATCATTGTCCATGCCTTCTGCCGTCTTGAGAAGACCCTCCTTGAGCCCGTCCTGCAGCTTCATACGCCACTCGTACCACATGGCTTTGCTCAGCAGCCGTGCGTGAGTCTTGACGTTTTTGAACTGGTTGTCCATAAGAACCTTGAAGTCCGGTGAGGCCGTCATATACTCCCTGAAGAGCGGCGGGTTCTCTTCGAAAGTCTCCGTCTCAATCTCGCGGACGATGCGACGTCCCTCGGAAATATACTTCTTCAACTCGCGGCAAGACTGGGCTTCGTTAGCATCCTCACGCTGAACCCTGGTGTCAAATCACTTACGTGCTGATACAGCTCCAGCATGGGCACCGTACAGGCACCCGCCACCACACATCTCTCAAAAGACAAGTCGTCTTTGCCACCAGCGGCTGTGCTCTCTCTAGAGGTGCCTGGCGCGACCGTGTGTCTCCGTTTGGTCGTTGTCAACTCCATGAAGCGGATGCTGGTCATGTTCAGGAAGTCTTGCAGATGAATACGCTCTCCATCATCCTCGAATTGCGCCTCGGCTTCATCCATGGGAACAGCATGATCGAAGTCGATTGTGGCCATTGGCTGGTCATTATCGGCATTCCTAAATCGGCCTTGTCCCTTAGGTGTTGTAGCTCTTTGCGGCGAACTTGTCACGGTGGGCGTAACGCTGTCGGCGTCCAGGAGCTCCGCCGGCCTCATGCTCGGTCGTGTCTTTCTGCCGGTTGTTGTCTCGGCCTTCGAAGGGGGAGACTGGAGCCTGATGTTTTTGACGGGGCTGCCCTGATGACCCTTAAGTCGCTTGACGCCGTCCGACTCCTCCGACTCCTCCGACTCGTCATCATCGCCGAGCTCGGCCGGTCGCTTACCAAGAAGGCCAAGCGCGCTGCCCACAAGGATGCTCTTCCGGCCCTTGAGAGGGTTTTTCTTGGGACTAAGCCCCTGAATCATCTCCCTCAGGTTGACTGATCCCTCGCGGTCGTCTAGTGAGCCATTGACCTCTCGTTCCATATTCAACCTGCTGTCCTCTCTCTCGTGTTGATCCTGACGCTCTCTGTCAATCTCAGCTTCCATCTCTCGCGGATCAGTAAAGGCCACGTTCCGTCGGGGGTTGGCAGGCTGTGTTGGCACAAAGGGCCTGGCTGCTTCTCCGATGGATTCTCTGCGGTCGAAGATCTCAGCAACGCGCGGGGAACCTAAACCGGGCCGGTCCGCACCAACGCCAGATAGCCGACGACCTTGTGGAGTCAGAACGACCCGCGGAGTACTCAGCCCAGTACTGGGATCTTGATGGAACAGCTTTGACCTAGCAGGCGATCGGGGGGTAGTCTTGACCGGAGACGAGAGATTGCGTATGGGCGAACTGGAGTGGCTGCCGAATACTGACGGAGGCGTCCTCGTGGGACCGCGCCGTGCTTGCATGGCGGTTCTCTTGGGGGATGGGGTCAGCCTCATCGGGGAACTGCTTGATTGCCCCGGTGACCTTGCAGCTGGCGACTCCGTGCGAGGCGGTGTGCGACGAAGCCCCGCGCCTTGAAAGGCCGAAATTCCAGGGCTAGCATTCTCATCCGCAATGAGAGCAGCTGGTTGCTTCGGGGCTGTTGCTTGTTCGGCGGTTGTCGTCATTGAATAATCAGGTTCGTCAGCTTCCTGTTCCATAATCTTTCTGGCTGCAGATCGCGCCTCGGGTGTGGATGCGGATTTGATAATGCCTCCCACAGCCATGGTCATATCCATCCCCATCGTCTGGTCGCCGTCGTCCTCCTCCGCTCTGGTGGGCAGGATTCGGCCAACCGGCCCGATCATGTCCATCATGGTGCTGTCATCGTCCTCAACTTCTTTCGCTATTGTTCGCCGCCGTTTGTTCTGAACATCGCCTTTGGATAAGCCGGATAGCAGGCCGCCCACTGCGGTAGTGAGCTCCATGGACATGTCCTCGTTTTCATCCGTATCAACGTTGCTAGTATCAAATACCCCGCCCTGTTGGATTCCTCCAATTGCGGTAGTGAAGTCCATGGTTTGGTCTCCGAATTCACTCGGCGCCGGTTGCGAGCTAGGGTTGATGGATTTGCGCCGCAAGAATGCCTTCGCTTTCGAGAGAATCCCGCCGAGCGCTGTGGTCACATCCATGGACATATCCTCATTCACTTCATCGTCCTTGTCGGGAGACGGAAGTTGAGGATACAGAATGCCCCCCACAGCGCTGGTCATATCCATGTCCATGTCCATTTCCGAGCCTTGATCATCAGCCTTTTCGTCCGAGGTATTTTTCTCCTTCGTATTACTTTGGCTGACATTTTCCTGCGAGGAATTCTTTCTCCCCCACCCAGCAAAGCCTTCAATAACCTCCTCATCTTCATCGAGACTCTGAGTAACGGCCCGTCGAGCTGCCAGCCGGAGATTCTCGTCTAGGCTCCCAGTAGTATCGCCGGCTGACGGGGACCCAGCTGATGCTGTCGATGCCGATGTCATCTCCTCAGCCTCAACCGTCATGATGGTCCCATCTTCGTCATCGCTGGAGTCCTCCATTTCGATGGCCTGAACCTCGGCATGCTCTAAGTCTGAGTCGTAAAGCGAAGATGCCACGGTATCGTCTGAGCCGTACATCGACGAGGCGGCCGAGCTCCGCCGGCGTTTCGTCTGATGAAAGTCTCTCTGTTTGGCTGGGGATTCGGCCACATGGTCGTCGACGTGGTCTGCGGGCGTGGATGGCTGGGCTGCAGTTGGCTGTTGATCTTGCTGCACAGAAGAGGGTTGTCCAGCAATCGAATATGCTCGGCGCGTTGAATCGGTCGAGGTGGTAGAGTCCTGCATTTCCTCGACCTCGTGAAAGGTGTGCAGCGTCGCTTCTGCTGCGAACGAGACGCGGCGGTTTGCCAGAGATTTCCGCCTTGCATCTCTCCTGTCTTTGATTTCTTTCTCTAATCGGGCTCTTTCGTGCTCCTCCCGTTCCCGCACAGCGGCTTGCTGTTCTTCTTCGGTCCGCAAGGCAATCTTAGTCCCCCCGGTTTCGCCCCCCCCACCATTGCTGCCCGGTGTTTCCTTTGGCTTGTAGGACGGTATTTCGGGGAGGAGTGGTATTGTGGGCTTCAGTATCGATCGTGGAGGCGGGACAGCAAGAGACTGGACAGCGTCAGCAACCCCACAACTTGAAGGGCGCTTTTGGCCAGAGCGGGCGACGCACTGCTCTGCGGTTACCGTTGCTCTTCTTGAGGGCATCCAGTCCTCCGGGACCCATGCTCTTGCTTCTCGACTTCTTCCTACTGCCGGCCATGGCGCCGCCCACGTCGAGTGTCCGATTCTCCTTGTCGAGTGTCTTTCTCGTCGAAGTGTCGCCTCCTATGGACTTGCGTGTCCGACGCATCGCTGGAAGCGTAACTTCGTTTTGAGTCGCCATATCACACCATGGGTTACCGTGATGTCCGGGTGTGCTGTCGAGGACAAGTTCGTTGCGGAATTGGGAAGGAAGTGGACGCGTCGGGGGTGTCGTGACAGGCTTGCTCAGTGACGTTGGAGGGGTCGCTGTTTACGTGCTGTGCAAGCTTCGATTGGTCACCATGATTCACGGTAAATAAAGCGTGCTGCACGATTCCAATGGTGGGCCGTGCACCTATCCGGATCACACTGTCGAACAGTCTCAACCATTGAGATCATAAAAGGGCTTGGCACAACAGATGCAATGCGAGATGAAGTTCAAAATTCAACCCGCTAATTGGGATTACTATTCTAAAACAAGACAGGTGCTTTCCCTGTTTGCTGATATAGGCCGCTGGAGTTATTTTCAGCTCAGTGAGCTCTCTGCTGGTCCTGTTAGCGAGGCAGGATGCTAGAGGAGAAGAGGAAAAGAAGGAAGAGGAGAAAGGAGAAAACATAAAACAAGGAGAGACACCTGAGAGAATTGTAGGTAAATGCTTGAGTTGATTCTTGAATAGACATTTCTCTTCACAATCGCCATGTTTGTTCCCCTTAATTTCTCTCCATCTCAGAGACGCCTATTCCAACTCTCTTTGTCCAACTTACAGTTGATCAGGGGTGACAGTGTTTTTCTATCCGCCCAAGCCAGGCCTCCCTCTCCCTACCTGACGCGCAGTTTGCTCTGTGTCATGGGAGGAGAGGGGTGGCGAGGAAGATGCAGGCATAAAAATTACGGAGGTGCGAATAATGTGGTACATGGTTCCGACCCATCACCCCTACTCCCCAAGTTCCACGTTTGTTCGGTACGTTTCCTTCTTCACACCCACCTCCGAGCCCTTCGATGCCAGGGAGAACTGTAGCTGAGCCTGATGTTCAGGTACTGAAGTGTAGTAGCTCTGGCCAGATCGTGACTGCCGTCGGATTCAACCGGCGTCCGACAACAACTAAGGTAGGTTATTTAAAAGAAGTCGCGAGACGGCCACCGTGAATGGCTTCGCAGTATGATGGCGAGGCCGCCTATCACTGACACCTTTCCTTTCTTCCTTTCTCCAACCACCTGGAAGGCGAATCACAATGGTGGTAAGCGAAGCGGTTAGATATCCAGTGTTCGCTCTCTGCTTTCGGGCTTGTTGTTGAGTTGGGTACAAGAAAGACACCTTTGCTGATGTGGCAGGAGCAAGTCATCATCAACATTTGCCGCTTTGGCGCTACGAAGCGTGGCGGAGCTCGCCCCAAAGTCGTGGATGAGCAAACGAAGACAATGAGCAGGATATAGCGCCAATGACAGGCCGTCGTGGCAGCCAGTCGAGCTTTACTCGCTCAGTGTCTCCTGGACTCCATGAATTCTGGATTGTAGAGGCATCCACGAAGGCGATTTGACGTATCAACAGGCGCCGTCGGGTGACTCGCGGGCCTTCTCTTCCTTCCCTGAATCGCTGCTGACATGACTGTGTCGGCAGAGGTCGAAGGCGTTGTCGGGTGACTCGCGGGCCTTCTCTTCCTTCCCTGAATCGCTGCTGACATGACTGTGTCGGCAGAGGTCGAAGACGAGCAAGGCTTCGTCGGCTGCGCAGGGACAGCTCTGGCGGCAGAGACAGCAACAGAAGCAGCAGCCCAATTGTCAACACCAGGAAGCACAGCTACAACCCTTCCATCTTGCCATCGGTCTCTGATCGTCTGACTCGTGGTACTCCTAGACGGAAGGTCGACCATCCAACCCTGCCGGCCCCGCACTGTCGTCGCAAGTCCCTCTGCCCCCTTGGCAGTCTACCGTGGCCGTGCCGGCATTCCCAACCCCTCCTATCCCGACCTCCCCAGCGTACCCGCCTCTTTCTGCCGTGACTCCGGCACCGGCGCTTCCCGTAACTTCGGCATCCCGTCCGGGCCCTGCTGCGTTCCGCAGGTTATTCCCTCCGCCAACTTCGATCTTAGTTCAGGCACCCGCTCAAACGCCGAACTTTGTCCCGCCCGCCAGTTTCGGTCATCCCGGCCCTGGCGTATCTTGCGGCTATTGAGCCCCTGGCGTGTCCTGCCCCAGCGGCATGGCCTTACCCCTTGGTGTTCCGCCCCCAGCTTCAGTCTCCCTTTTCCAGGCCCTGGCATCCCATATTCGCGCCCGTGATCTCTCTTTACCTTGGTGCTGGTTATCATGGCAAAGGCACGGCAAGGACGGTATCAAAGGTCGAGAGATGAAACTGGATCCGGAACGTTGAGTTCAAGAGGCTGAATACAATCGGGGGAGGTTAGTAGTATCTTAAAACTCTAGGGAATGCAGCCCGCCCAATCTGAGCCTGGAGGATAGGTCTCCTCAACAACTGGAATGGTTGGATTGTGCCATGATGCTCCGAGTCTTTCACGCATGCAACAATTTAAACGCTTGTGACCACTTCAGACTTGGTCCAATGCGCACATCAAGCCCCAATGCTATGTCCGCAACCCGGTGTATCGAAACGCATGGACGTGGCTACTCGTGCAGACACGAAGGGAAAGGAGCAACGAGAAGAAGGGGAGTCGAGGCATGACTGGGCAACATTACTCCGTAAGTATGCTTTATTGCATAACGGTGATTCTGGTTTGCAAAGATGCCAAGGGTGGGGCCCCACTCAGCTGTGGCTCAAGCGCACCCGCCACCATTTGTGCCCTAATTCGATAATCTCCAACCAAAATTCTACGATAAACCGACAACTTCCCTCGACCAGAAGCACATCTCGGCCCACGCCCAACCGACAAGATGGCTACCGAACTGACCGTCCAGAGCGAGCGTGCTTTCCAAAAGCAGCCGCACAGTGAGTTTTTTCCTCGAAATGGCTGCATCCGATTGCAGCAAGCAATCGGCGATTGAGTGGACACTGATGACGGCAACCCATAGTCTTCCTCAACAGCAAGACCAAGGTCAAGTCCGCCCGGCCGGGCAAGGGCGGTCGGAGATGGTACAAGGACGTTGGCCTGGGTTTTCGGACCCCGAAGGCTGCCATTGAGGGCCAGTACATCGGTACGTAACGAACCATGCGCGATACCCCCGGCCGATCGACTCGTTCCGATTTTACGCAACCAAGACGACGATTCGCCGACATATGGAGGAATGCCCAAGAAGAGGAGTCAGTTTTGAAATGACGAACAGCAGTTGACTGGTGGTTTTCTCTCTCCAGACAAGAAGTGCCCCTTCACCGGCATGGTTTCGATCCGCGGCCGTATCCTTACCGGCACCGTCGTCTCGACCAAGATGCACCGCACCCTCATCATCCGCCGCGAGTATCTCCACTACATCCCCAAGTACAACCGGTACGAGAAACGCCACAAGAACCTTGCCGCGCACGTGTCGCCGGCTTTCCGTGTTGAGGAGGGTGATCAAGTTACCGTTGGCCAGTGCAGGCCTCTGAGCAAGACTGTATGTTTGCAATATGCCAGCGGCTTCCCAACCGATTCTCTGCAGGACAATTACCCGGCAATTTACAGAGCAGAAAAACTGACAGACCGGTGACAGGTGCGGTTCAACGTTCTCCGCGTGCTTCCCCGGAGCGGCAAGTCGGTCAAGAAGTTCAGCAAGTTCTAGAGGGTTGGCGGGGGTCTTTCCATTGGGCAATTTCTGGCGTGGTTTTGCTTTGAGGGACTTGAGCTTATCAGAAACGGGACGGCCAGGCAGGGAAAATGACTGCTCGAGAGGACATGATCAATCGTGTTATAAGAGGCAGTTCTCTCTGAATGAAATCCTCCAAGTGGACTTGACAGGCGCTATGATACCACGAGGCCGGGCCGATGTACCTTAGGACGGATGTCTACAAACTCAGCCAAAACCGGCAGCCAAGTGAGATTGGCAGTGCTGAATCAACCACCCAGTCAAGCCGTGTTCAGCTTAATGCTCATCGAGGACCAGAGGTGGTGGCTATCGACTTCGCAATGAGGACGCGGGATGGCATCTCGATCAGCCGGCCATTAACTCATCTGCCCCAGATGTTCACGAGGTTGATGGTACAAGCTCATCTTTGGGAGGTTGACGTATCGTCACCAAGTTTCGCGACCACCCACTCCGTCGGCCCGTAGGGTCATCATTTATGAACTTCGCTGCATGAGAAGCACCCAGATGGGCACATCACAGGGCGATGATCATTGATATGGCAGGAGGGCCCAGCACACCTCATACTCCCAAGCAGCACGATATGGACGCCACAACCTGATTGATCCCATATAAGCTGCCATACAACAACAAGACAATACTTTGATCTCTTTCCTCTGCCCACCGTCCTCAAAGCAGCCCAAGGACACCCTAGTAGTAACCCAGACCCTGACACTAATCAAAAACAATTGAAAAAAAAATCAAAAACCCTGCCTGCCAATAAAGGGTGGCAGACATTGATAACATTCTCACGTAGGTTCATGTCCCATACCCTCATAAAGATCCGGGTCGGGGCCTTTACTGAATCCCGCCGCCCACACTCCCACCACTCTTCGATTGCAGGAACCCATCATGCCTGAGGTGCTCCAGCCATTTAGGGAGCTCTGTGGTCTGCGTGGGGTCGTTGATGGCTTCGGATTCAGAAGTGGATCCTTATTCAACACTTCTGGGGGATCGGGAATCGGGTTGGGGTTCTGCTAAATCTCCTCCTCGCCATCCCCCTCATCACCCGCCGCATGCTCGACGGAAGACTGAAACCACTCAGGCAGGGAGTACTTAACCTCCCCGATACCTGCTTCAGAGTTCTGGTCAGAGACTTGCTAAATCCCCTCGCCCGCAGGCGTATCCCCCTCCTCACCACCACCACCGGCCTGCTCGACCCCGTGAAACGCGTCCCCAAAAGCCGAGTCCACTAGATCCATGTTCAAGTCGTCGCCGGGGTCGTAGTTCGCCAAAGCATCGCCGGCCGTGTCCAGGTCGCCCAGCGAGCTGAAATCGTTGTTATCCGCGTCGAGCAGGCCGGCGCCGGGCGTGGCGGCTGCTGAGGCGGGTTTGCTGCCGGCGTCGCCTCCTGCCGACGTTGTTGTTGTAGCAGGGGCTGCTGCTTGGGCTGTGGCAGGTTGTTGGGTAGAAGTGGAGCCGGTGCCCTGGTCTGGGGCGTTGTCGGTGTGTTTGGGTTGTCCTGAGTCGGCCATTTGGACGTCTTGTTGAGCTGGGACGGGGGGTTGTGAGGTGGCTGCTGGGGCAGGGGAAGGGACGTTGAGGTTTGAGGGAGTCGCTGCACTGGAAGCGATGGCGGACATGTGAGGTTGCGGGGTTGGGAAACTGTTGAGAGGTGTGGAGGTCGAGGAGAAGCCGGTGTGCATGTCCAGGAGGCCCGCTGCTGTGCCGCCCATGTCGATGTCGGAATCTCCGATCATCATGCCAGACCCTGCCTGGGATGGCTGCCGTGAAATGGGGTCTGATAGGTTGATTGCACCGGGCACTTGGGGTGCTGGCTGGAGAAGCTCTGGTTCGGGCGCCGGCTCCTGATAGCCGCCGTCCTGAATGCGCTGGACGTCGTTGACGACCACAGCACGCTTGCCTATCAACTTCTCAACACTGGCAACGATCTCATCAAGCGACCTCGAGGTGGTCTTCCTGTTCCATTGACTGCCGGATTCTTCGTCGTCTTCGAGCCTGCCCTCGAGCCGCCAGGACTCGGTACCAGTGCCTTCAGTGGTGGCGCGCAATTCTTGTTCCGCATGCTTGATGGCAGCGTTTCCCTTGAATTTCGCCAGCATAGTCGAGTGTTGCGCCTTGAGCTGGTCAATCTCGGCCCTCATGGCTTCGTTCCGAGCTTGTACTCGCTTGCGGAACTGGTCTGCCAAGCCCTCATCGAGGGCGCCAGTGTATGGCTTTCTGGGACCGGAAGCTAGTGCGTCGGCGCCTGGGGCTTCAAAGATGCCCTCGGTAAGTGAGGCGAGCTCCCCTTTCTTCCCTAAACCGATATCCGCAGGCTCAATCTGGCCGATACGGTACGGCGAGGACAAAATCTCCTCCATCCACTCGTGATTTTGCTGGTACCGAGCCATGCTCAATTCGCGCGGCGTGAGATGGTCAAACATATCGCCACGCGAGATGTCCTCCTCGTCGTCAAACGCCGTCTCGTTGCTTTGGTAGCCCGCACCCATCATCTGGCCTTGATGGCCCGGCGGCGGATGCCCCGCCCTCCTCTTAGGTGTGGGTCCTATTGCTGGACCACCGTGCGGAGGATAAGCCATAGCCTGAGGGACAGGGCGCTGCGGCATAGGCGGCGCATACATTGACTGGCCGCGCTGAGGGAAGGGAATCTGGGGCCAGTTCACCCGATCCGACAGCATAAACTCCTTGCGAACAATCTGGCCCATCTGGAACAGGTGTTGACGGAAGCTCAGAATCGGCTGCATCTGGGGCGGAATGCCAATCGCATTGGCAGGCAGTCTGTCGGACTTCTCGGCTGGCCCATAGTGAACGATCCAGAGATTGGGGTCGACTTGGGGGAGATTTGGGACCGGCGCTGATGGGGGGCAGAGTCGGAAGCGCCGTCTCGAGTGGACCGCAAACTGCTCACCCATGCGGTAGCCGGTCCTCTGGAAATAGATCTCCAGTACCTGTAGTGCACAATCAGCCAGGGCGCCCCGTGCACCGGAGCCTTCTCCTGAGATACGATGTCATACCAAGCCATTGCCTGCGTTCTGGCCATAGCACACCTCGGGCCCCGCCCACACATATCCATCGCTGGCGAACTCAAAGCCACGGCGAGCGGTCGGCTGCCAGGTCAAGAAGATGGAGCCATCGGCCGGGCAATCGAGGTATGTCCAGTAGAAGGGGGCCGTGTCGCGGGCAACTTTTGGCGCCTGCAGAAGCCACTTAGTCACGTCTGGCAAATCGACCCTTGGCATCGATGCATATCGGAACGTAGACAAGAGGTGCACATGGGGGAGCTGTTGCGCGACGGGTTAGCTTCTTCCCATTACGGCGAGGAATTGACAGCTCGGCGCGGATGCGGGAAACAACATACCAGGTCCTTGTGGACGTGCTGACTTGGGTCCTCAGCCATTTTGTTGATGTTCTAATGCTGAATGTGTTTGGTATAATGCCAGTAATGTTGCGATCGCCCGGCGACACAGACTGGCAAATTGTCTCTGGAATAATAAGATGGGATGAGGAATCCCCGGCTGCCGACGTAGTCAATTGTGGTGTCGCGAGTTCAGCGGAAGTCTGCTGCAGGTCGCGCTTTTCGCGAATTGGATTGAACTCCAGGTTGCTGCAGCACCTGTCAGCGACTAGGCTTTCTACCTCACCTGCCAAGACTTACGGGCAGTTCACACTTCACGCACTGACAGTCACGTGACCAGATCATTTTCTCACGATGACATCGGCATCAGATGATCAGACGGCGTTTGGCTCATGTTTCTCGAGCAGAACGGACAGATTAACAGACCATGTATCTCTAGCTCCATTTTACTTTACTTTCAAGTCATGAGCTGCCCACCCAGAACCGATTTCCATCATTAACTCGTGCTCCGGCTCGCTTTTTTAAGCCTGGTATGTCGACGCCGAAACGTTGCCTCCCCGTCCAGTCCAGTTGACGTGGATGTCCTTGCCCTCCGGGTACTTCTCAGTCGCCGCCTCGGGCTTGATCCTGAAGGTGTGGGCACCGAAGTAGTCACGCTGGGCCTGCAGCAGGTTGGCAGGCAGGTCCTTTGTCCGGTAACCATCGAACCACGACAGGGCCGTCGAGAAGGCCGGGGTCGGGATACCGAGCAGCGCGGCCTTGGCGACCACGTCTCTCCAGCCCGGCTGCGCCTTGTGGATGGCCTTGTTGAAGAAATCGTCGAACAGCAGGTTCTCAAGGTCGGGGTTGTTACGGTAAGCCGCCGTGATGTCCTTGAGGAAGACGGAGCGGATGATGCAGCCACCACGCCACATGAGCGCAATCGAGGGCTTGTTGAGCTTCCAGTTGTACTCCTTGGCAGCCTCCTGCATGAGCATGAAGCCCTGGGCGTACGAGATAATCTTGGACGCGTAGAGAGCCTGCTCGAGGTCGTCCAGGAACTGGTTCTTGTCGCCTTCGAAGGTGGTGGTGCGGCCAACAAACTCGAGCTTGGTCGATGCCTTGACACGCTGCTCCTTGATGCCAGACAGGCAACGAGCCAGGACAGCCTCGGCAATGAGAGTAACGGGCATGCCCAGGTCCAGGGCGTTGACCGCAGTCCACTTGCCAGTGCCCTTCTGGCCGGCCTTGTCAAGGATTTTCTCGACGAGAGGGGTGCCGTCGTCGTCGTTGAAGTACATGATATCCCGGGTGATCTCAATCAGGAAGGAGTCCAGAACGCCCTTGTTCCACGTGGCGAAAACATCACCGATCTCCTTGTTCTCCATGCCCAGACCACGCTTCATGATGTCGTACGCCTGTTCCACCTGTGTCAATTCAACCGTTCCACACAACGGGTTACAAGGGGTTACATACCTCGCAGATGAGCTGCATATCACCGTACTCGATACCGTTGTGCACCATCTTGACGTAGTGGCCAGCACCCTCGTCGCCAACCCACTCGCAGCAGGCCTCACCGTCGCTCTTGGCCGCGATGCTCTGGAAGATGTCCTTGATGTGCTCCCAGGCCTCCTCGTTGCCACCAGGCATCAGAGAGGGGCCGTAGCGGGCACCCTCCTCACCACCGGAAACACCGGAGCCGACGAAGCGAATGCCCTTGCCAGCGAGGTACTTTGTCCTCCGGTTGGAGTCGGGGAAGTGCGAGTTTCCGCCGTCAATGATGATGTCGCCAGCCTCGAGGAGGGGCAGCAAGGTCTCGATCCAGTCGTCGACAGGCTTGCCAGCCTGGACGAGAAGCATGACCCGGCGAGGCCGCTTGAGCTTGGAGACGAACTCCTCAACCGAGTGGGCACCAACGATCGACTTGCCCTTGGCCTCGTTGGCAAGGAAAGCGTCAACCTTGGACACGGTGCGGTTGAAGGCGCAGACGGTGTAGCCATGGTCGGCCATATTCATGATCAGGTTCTGGCCCCTGCACGATACTGTCAGCTTCCTATCGGCAGGACAGCAGCGCCAGGCGCGGGGAGTAGCAGCAACTTACATGACGGCCAGGCCGATGAGGCCGATATCAGCGCTTGCAACACTGTTAGCATTTTCCTGGGACTGCAACGAGGACGAGCTAGCCCGCAGTGCTCCGCCAACATTGATGCTGGCTAGGCGGGCGCTGGAGGGAACTCAGTAGGTGGTATATCAGGAAAGCATGTCGCCAGGATCGCAGCCGGCTTGTTGGCCGCTGCGGGCTTTGCATTGCAATTGCGATTCCCCCGACTCGCGGAGGGGTTGGAAATCGAGCCCAAGAATGCGAGGAGGGGCAACTGATGAAGGCGGGTAATGGTACTTACACTGCGCCGGACATTGTGAACTGCTGGGTGATGTCGTCGAGATGTTTGGTGTTACTGAAGCGAGGGCTAACTGAAAGCTTCTCAGCTTGCGGAAACTGGGAGTGTTGCGACAGAGATGAGGGAAAATCGAAGGATGGCAACGTCAGTTTTATTAAATGGGAAGCGAGGGGCTTGGGAGTTTCGATGAGGGGTGCGCGGAGTGGGAGCCACTTCCCACCCTCCTCCACCAGGTTGCCCACAGTAACAGGAAGCGCGGGGCTGACTCATGCATGCCTTGGGAGGGAAGTTACGGATATGTAGAGCAAGCTTAAAAGCTACCTGGGTCGTTTGTTTCAAACTCATTATTCAGACTCTCTTGGCGGCTCCTACACCGTGCTTCTTCTGACAACAACAGCTTCATCAATACACTTCTTTGCATGCTCTGGTCTTCCAAGCTCTTGCTCCCGGACTGCTGGTGATCAATTCCATCGCGCCCCGTGAGCTCATGAACCTGTATTGTATAGCGGACCCCAGAAAGAGAGGGTGGGTTTTGGCAGCCGGTCCAGTCCTGGAGCTTCGATTTGCCGCCAAGAGCGGTTTTCGATTCTTCCCCGGTACGACCTACCCCGAGTTCAGGTCCATATTGTTGAGAATGTCAGCATACAGAGCTCTTTGGCGCCCCTTTCGCCGTTGTCCGACGCAAAGTGCCTCGAGTTGAGGATCTGTTGGTTTCGAAGCCCGACGCCGTCCAGTGAGCATGGCACAGCCTGGCAGGTCGTCGACGTCTTTTTTTTGAACATTTCCGGTTGCGGGTGCCGCCCGTCAGGCTCATCAGATCCGGCAGCTTCCTCAAGGTATTTATGACAGTACAGAGGGACAATGTTCCTTGGCGTCTTGACAGTCCGATTCTTATCAAGCCTCGCCCAAGTCTTCCTATTTTTGATGTATGCATATCCTAACCGGCCAATTTCGACTAGCCTGTCTCCGCGGATACTTCGGAGTTACACTTTTGTTTTGCGAAAGAGCCCGTCCACGTTACGATACCCCAACCCCGAATGTCGAGTCCGATATGAGCCATGATGAGGATGCGAACTGGAGTGGGGGCACATCATTGGGAACATGGACTGACATCTGTTCACCTTGATTCCCCACCAAAGACGGAGGCCGCCATTCAAGGCCGACACAATTGCTTACACTAGCAAATTCACGCAGTTGAGCCATGGCATCTGGAGCTAATGATTTCAGGCTTATTTGTGTCCGCCAATTGGGAACCATGACGAGATGGAGCGCGTAACAAAAAAAAAATGTCTCTACCTCCGATTGTTGTCCGTCACCGATCTCGCTGACTGCCCCTCCATGTTCGGAGAGCTTGGTATTGCTGTTCGGAGGATCGATTACAGCTTGGCAGCAAGCCTTCGAAGGATAATAAGAAGCCCGTAATCCATGGCTGTGAATCAACATACAGTGTGGCTGAGACATTGGACCTCAGCGGTCCATGATTAAGGTGCCTTAGATCTCGCAAAGCTCAACTCGAAGTTCTCTCGGAGTTGAGGGATGGGCAGAAAAATATAGATGACGTAATGACACTCTTATACGGACGAGATCGCACCGCCACATCAAGTTGACAATGTGGAAGCCACTCTCCAGCCACTCCCCGGCCTTAGCTTTGTGGCGCTTTGAGGCGCTTTGAATGAAGAACTGCTTCGCCTGAAGCATGAGGCGCCTCCACGCGCCACCAGCCTAACATCATCGCAAAAACACAACTGCTACCTTACCAATTTCCACCTTTTTCGTGAGCCAGGCAACTCGGTTGTAAGGTTGCATGAGCATAGCTACCCGCCGGACTGGGCTCACAGGTACGTCACAGCTACAGCGCGCTTTCCTGCGAGTACAATTTCCCCTTGTTAGGTTGGGCGCAAGAAATTCATCATGCCGTACCCGGGTCCTCCAGGTGTTGCGAAGCCATCGAATTCACCACTCCCGCCACGCCCGCCCGTCAGCAAACTTTCCGGCTTCAAACCCGCTTTTTCGCCGGCTCCGGTAGCTCCCGCAGCAGTCTCAGCCCCGGGCTACACAGCGCCCACTCCGTCGTACCCCGGGTACGGGCCCTTCCCAACACCCGTCAGCTATGGCGCCCCTCCTACTGCGTCGCCCTACGTGGGTAAACCTTCAGCACCCGCCGTAGGTGCTGGCAGTGGGGCCTATGGCCAAGGAGCTTCGTACAACAACTACACACTACAACAATACCCGCAACAAACGCCCTACTACAGCGCCCCGGTCACAGGCAGCTATTCAACACCACCTCAAATCCGAAACCCCTTTCCAGCCCCCAGCACCGGGGTGGCTGTCAGCTACGACCCAGACGAGGCGGCGCAGATAGCCCAGTGGCAGAGCGCATACATGCCAAAAGACCTAAACGATCCGGCCAACAACAAAGCAGCCATGACCAGTGGCCGCGCAGGCACAGGCACCCCGGTTGGCGCCTCACAAGCCGGCACCACCGCAGAGGCAGCCGACGCCAGCGCGGCAGCCGTTGACGCCAGCGGAAAGAAAAAGACGGTTTACCGCGAAGGCGGCGGCAAGAAGTGGCAAGACGATTCGCTACTCGAGTGGGACCCCTCGCACCTGCGCCTGTTCGTCGGCAACCTGGCGGGCGAGACGACCGACGACTCCCTCCTCAAGGCTTTCTCGCGCTGGAAGAGCGTGCAAAAGGCCAAGGTCGTCCGCGACAAACGCACGACCAAGAGCAAAGGGTTCGGCTTCGTCAGCTTTAGCGACCCGGAGGATTTCTTTCAGGCGGCTAAGGCGATGAACGGCAAGTACATCCAGAGCCATCCCGTGGTCGTGCGCAAGGCCAAGACGGAGATCAAACCGGCTGTGGTCAACGAAGACCGCAAGGGCAAGAACAACAAGAAGAGCGGGGGGAACAAGAGCGGCAGTGGCATGGGCGCGGGGACGGATGGTGCGGGGGCGTACGAGCCGCATCTGGGTCCGATGGCAGGCGCCGGCATCACCAAGCCGGGTCAAAAGATGAAGGGCGGTTTGAAGTTGCTTGGCTGAGTGAGGCCGATGTGTTTAGCGCTTTCAATGGCTCTCAGGCTGAGTGGAGCGTATTGGGTTTGGGACTCGAGAACCCTCGTCTACCACCGCGCACTGCAATGTCCCTTGAGATAGTTGGGCCATCGGCGCGGCCATGCAAGTCGGACAGACCGCCTATGCGGCAGTCGCTGCGATGCCGAGCATTGATATGGCATTGCAAAGAGTTATGTCAGGACAAGATAAGCAAGTTTAGATTCTATCATGCGAGTCGATGCGCCGTGATGTGTTCCTCCCTGATGCCGTGTTTGTTGTTGCTCGCTCGCCCTTTCCAATACAGGTTCCAAAACAAGAATATGAAGATACACAGGTTACGCGGGTATCACAAGATGACAGTATGCCACTCGAATCGCACATGCAAACGCCTCTCAATCCGTCCTTCCCTCTCTGGGGACCGTACCATCAACCCTCCCATGTACTAGTGCCGGCCCTGGCCCCGCGACCACATCGCCGCCATCCGCCGTAAACAAAACCTCATCGTTATCCACGCTACCCCTCAATAAGTCGGCATCCTCACCATGGCCATCCTCCCCATCACTCACGCTGTTGCTGCTGCTGCTACCCCCGGGCAGCACCGCCTCGGCGGCGGCCAGGTGCCCGCGGTGCACGTCCGTCTGCACCTCGCTCCGCATCTTGCTAATCTTGATCCAGTTGTACGCGGCGATGGCCGCCAGCGTGACCACCAGCCCGACGACGTTGACCGCCGTCATGGTGTCGCCAAACACGACCGCGGCCGCCAGGATGGTGACGGCCTCCTTGAAGATGCCCGCGATCGACAGCGTCACGACCGAGGTGCGCTGCAGCAGCGCAAACTCGGAGGCGGTCATGAGAAACGCGATTATGCCGGGGAAGACGATGATGAGCGGGGCGACGAGCGCGCCCTTTTCGTCGGCGATGCGCCGCAGCCCCGTGAGCAGCGCTCCGGCGCCCTCGACGGGGACGGCGATGCAGATCAAGGTTAAAAACATGACGGGCGCGAGGAAGAAGATGCTCGAGAAAGGGTTGGATGTCGCCGGGTTGCGGAGCAGCAGAATCTGCGTCAACCCCCAGCGAAAGCCCGAGAAGAAGGCGGCCGAGATGACGAGCACGAAGCCGCTGAACTTGAACTCGACCTCGCCCGCGACCATCATGACGACCCCCAGGGTCATGGTCGCGATGATGCCTACGAGCTTCCAGGTCGGGGTTTCGAGGCGGAAAAGGAAGGCGAAGAGAAGGACGAAGGCGAGGGAGGAGGATTTGCACATTGCTATCGGTAATGTTAGACGTGGGGGCCCGGGGTTATTAAAGGCTCCGCTAGGTGCACTCACTGTAGAAGGTGAGGGTGATGAACTGGAGTGACGTGTTGCCCAAGCCAATGTCGAGGCCGGTCGCGACGCCGCACGGCCCGATCCTCGTGAGGTAGAACATCTTGGTCATGACGGGCCGTGCTGGCTCCGGCCCATGCCTTGACTGGCCCAGGTCGGACCTGTGGCCGTTCTTCGGCCTCAGCGAGGGAAAGAGGAGCAATATCAATGAAGCTAGCGAAAACTGCACGAGAAAATGCACGGCGGTGGTGAACATAGGAAAGCGGAAGTTGAGCTTGTCGGGTGAAAACATCCATTTGTTGTACTAGTGGCAGAGTCAGCAGGTTTGGCGTGAAGGGCAGGGACGCAGGCCTTGTGTCCATACCAAGGATATCAATAACGAGAAAAAGTACCACAGCCCGATGAGAGCGCCGTTGATCAGCAGCCGCCTGACAACGGTAAGATCCGCCTGCTTCTTTTCCTCCGGTGATATATCATCTTTGACGATGCGCTGGTCGATCAGCTGGTTCCGCCTTCTCTTTCGCCTCTTCCTCCGCCTGTCTTTGCCCGTCAGGCCCGTCTCCTCGTCGTCATGGAGATCTTCCTCCGTCGTGTCCTCCTCATCTAGCACCTCGCCCGGCCGCAGGGATTCCTCGCCGCTGCTCTCCTCGACGATCTTGTCCTCGTCATCCACGGCGGCAGGAGTCCGAATTGACTGTGATGTCGCTCTGGGAGACCGCTGCCGACTGTTTGAAGCATTGGCGGGATTGATGAGACTGCTTCGCCGGCGACGATGCCCCGATGGCGCCACGGGATCCATCTCAATGTCGTCGGGCGCCGGATCCGCTCCGGAGCACTGGGGTACAGCAGATACCTCTCGAGTCTCGGATCCGCTGACCGCTGCTTTCGCGTGTCCTGGTGATGGGGGTAGCAACTCAGGAACTGGGTCTGAGGGTCGCGAAGAAATCAAATCGGCTTCTGTGTTGGAGGACGCAAGAGGACTGGGACCTGGGGTGTTGGATGGGGGAAGGAACGACATTGTTGGGCGGGGAGGCGAGGCCTCATCAACACATCTTGGATTCTTGGTCCAATTGCACAGGGCTTTGGCGGCGCCCCTCGGCAAGGTCAAGCCAGGGAGGTCAAGATGAGCGGTGGAGATGTAGAGGCACGAGACGGCACTGGATTGGCCTTGGATTGGATTTGGCGTGCCGGATGACCAGCGCTGTGGGCCAAGACCCAGCTGAGCGTTGCGGCAGGCCAAGGCGCCGTCAGGCTGGGACGAGTTACATAATACATGTACGGATATCCTTACGAATACGTTGCCGGGTCTCTTGTGTCCCGATCTGTTGTTTCACTGCCATAACAAATCGTGTATTGAGCTGTGCTGGAACGGCTTCACAGAGCCTTGTTCCAGCTTCTGTTTTTTGACGCCATGGCAAAATTTTCAGCGTCGAGAAAGATTGCTCGGGCCTCAGGTGTCAATGAGAAACGGCTGACCTCGGTCTAAGGACCACCTAATCCTGCGAAGCAATCGGAGATGGAATTTGAAGTTCAACCTGGAAGTTCGAATTTACACCTGAAGAGATGGAGATGCCTACCTCATTATATTCGGGTTATTGTCTCTATTGGATAGAAGATCAAACACTCACCTTTTCACTCTTCTAACATATTCTTCATCGGTTTTTTCCTCGCTCTGTTGCTGTTCTTTTTCTCTCAAGAAAATCGCCTATCCTTCTTCAAGACCTTGACCAAGCCTCTGCCAAAACTACCAAACTTGGCGTGATCACATTGACCAACAAGACACCCAACCTCAAAGCTGCCCAGCTGATGAAGGATGCTGAAGTCTGTTCGGCGTCCCTCTCTGAACCGAATATGTCCACAACTTGCTTCCTATCCTGCCTCTGTTGGCAAGCTTGAGGTAGCTTCAAAAACACTCTAAATAGATAGAAACCAATCCTCAGATACCTGAGTCTTCGGACCGGACGAAGTATTGGTAGCAGCAGGTGGCCGATATGACCCCTCTGATCAGACTTGGGAATGCAACTCCGCTACGGGGCCTGTCCAGCGATTACTAAGGTCGCAGTGTGCTGCGTCATGGCTCTTGGATTGGCATTCCCCCACTTACAGACGTCACGTAATTCCAGCATAACGCTGAGCATGGCACCGGGTGCTGACTCAGGCATCGCATTCGTGTACCTGAAGTGTCCTGCTTGCTGCATCCATATCCCCAGGGACGTGCAGAGATGAAGCCCAGAAGACGGCTGGCTCAGGAGAATGCGGGGTGATGGTGAATTTCCAACATATGGGCCCGGCGAGTCGCCTGATAATGTGTAGAAAGGAGAGAGTCAAATACCCTAAATATCCGTACAGCTCTTCAATTCTTTCCCAGATCTTGCTAGATTTCCCGGTGATCTGGGTCCCAGCTCGACAAGTCAAAACTGGATAGACAGATCTCCCCTCCTCTTGTTGGCGTCATCTTCCCATTGGCCTGTCTCCCCACCCTCCGTGTTCATCCAAACACACTTCAGCTATCACGCTTTCCTCACAAATACGGCATCTAAACCTCAACCACCGACCGTGTCTCTCACCATGGCAGGCCAGTGCTCAACCCAGAATGACAGCAACATGCGGAGGCATGGCACGGGTTATCTTCCCATTGAGAACTATGGGTTGATTGGCAACATGAGAACCTGTGCCCTGGTTGGCATGGACGGCAGTGTTGACTTCATGTGTTGGTAAGTGTGCCGTGCCTTACAATCCGACCATACTTGTCAGTGTGTCATATGGTAGGATCAACAAGCGGAAGGAAGTGAAACAAGAAGAGAAAGGAGATGAAAAGAGAGCTGTGAACGGGATGAAGAGGGAAAGGGAAGAAGGGAAAGGAGAGACTTTACTCCCATTCTATCCGTTCCTTCCTCCCTTTTCTTTCCTTTTAATCTCTCCAGCCAAGTCACACGCTAGGAACATGACCAGCTTCATGCTGCACACCCAACATCGATCATTACCAACACTCTGCAGGCCCGAATTCGACTCGCCCTCTGTCTTCTGCCGGCTCCTAGACAAGGATAAAGGGGGCTACTTCAGCATCCACCCGTCATCGGATATCAGGTGTACGACCAAGCAGCAGTATCTCCCTTCGTCTAACATCCTGCAAACCCGCTACATCCACGAAGATGGAGTGGTCGACCTCGTCGACTTCTTCCCGCGCCCCAAGAATGCTTCGGTCATCTCCAAGGGACCAAAGCAGAGCGCCTACCGCGAGATGACCAGCATCCAGGAGGAACTCAAGCAGTGGCTGGTTCGTCGTGTTGAGTGCATTCGTGGCCGTCTCCAGCTGGGTCAGTTTAGCCCCCGGCTCTGAGAGAAAGAAAGGGAATGAAGCTGACGGCCCGCACCGGAAACTAGACGTTGAGATCTTCCCTGCCTTTGAGTATGCCATGGAGCCGCACACCACCACGATTCTCCAGGAGGAGACCATGCCACACAGCCCTACGAGCAAAACAGCCACCTTTCACAGCAAGAACACCAAGCTCCAGCTCGATGTTAGCCTTGATAGCGGCGAACATAGCGACGACCACTGGCCCATTGTCCGCTTCAAGAAGATTCGGAAGCCCGGCATGCTCGGCGAGGGCGTCGTAGCGAGCATCGACGTTCGCGAGGGCCAGGCCGTCTCGTTCGTCATCCGCAACGACATTGACAACCACGTTACCGAGAACATCACCAGTGTCATACTCGACACCCAGCAACACGACACCCAGACATACTGGTACAACTGGATCTCCAAGAGCAAGTATAAGGGCCGCTGGCGCGAGGTCGTGTCGAGGAGCCTCATGATCTTGAAGCTCATGACGTACGAGCCGACGGGCGCCATCATCGCCGCCCCGACATTCTCCATCCCCGAAGACATCGGCGGGGTCCGGTAAGCAGCTCCTCCGTTACTCTGCGCGGCCTCCAACAGGGTTCACTAATTACCCAGGCAAAGCAACTGGGACTACCGCTTCTCGTGGGTGCGCGACTCGAGTTTCACAATCTACATCCTGCTCCGCCTGGGCTTCACTGAGGAGGCCGACGCCTACATGGAGTTCATCAGCGAGCGCTTCGTCAAGTCGCGCGTGCCCGACGGCGGCCTGCCCATCATGTTCACCATCCGCGGCGAGACCGACATACCCGAGCGCGAGCTGACGCACCTGGACGGCTACCGCGGCAGCAGGCCCGTGCGTATCGGCAACGGCGCCGCCTTCCATCAGCAGTTTGACATCTACGGCGAGCTCATGGACGGCATCTACCTGTACAACAAGTACGGCAAGCCCATCCACTGGGACCTGTGGTGCCGGGTGCGCGAGATGCTCGACTACGTCCTGACAATCATGGACCAGCCCGACATGTCCATCTGGGAGGTGCGCAACAACAAGCAGAACTTCACCTACTCCAAGATCATGCTGTGGGTCGCCTTTGACCGGGGCCTGCGCCTGGCCGACAAGCGCAACTTTCCCTGCCCCAACCGGGCCAAGTGGCTTGCCGCGAGGGACGGCCTGTACGAGGAGATCATGGAGAAGGCCTACAACAAGGACATGAAGTGCTTCGTGCAGAGCTACGAGAGCCGTACCATTCTCGACTCGTCCATCTTGATTGCCCCGCTCGTCTTCTTCATCTCGCCCAACGACCCGAGGTTCCTCAACACCATGGACCGCATCATGCTGCCTCCAGAGAAGGGCGGCTTGACCAGTACGGGATTGGTGTACCGATACGACACGGAGGTGACAGAAGATGGTAAGCCAACAACCCCCCCTGTACTTTCAAACCATGTGTGTGTGTCTGTGTTTGTGTCTTTCGAACGAACTCTCAGCCAACTGATATGTCCTGCCCTTTCCGCAGGTGTCGGCGGGCGCGAGGGCGCCTTCAGCATGTGTACCTTCTGGCTGGTCGAAGCCATGACGCGGGCGTCCGTCTACGAGCCCAAGTACCTGGTGCGCGCCATCAACCTGTTCGAGAACATGCTCAGCTTCTCGAACCACCTGATGATGTTCTCCGAAGAGATCTCGCGCAGCGGCGAGCAGCTCGGCAACACGCCCCAGGCCTTCAGCCATCTGGCCCTGATCAGCGCTGCGTTCAACCTAGACCGGGTGTCTTCTGAGCCAAGGAGGTAGAGGCGACCGGTCAGGAATGGGGTCTCGTGTGTCGCCAGCACTGCCGGAGCGGGCAGTCGAAATATGAATGGTATAACCTATAAATCCTGCTGTACTCGTGTCTGAGGAACTTACCCAAACCGGGCCAGGTGTGCGCTCCCCCGACTGAGCCTGAAAAACTAGACTTGTTGTCCCGTGAAATGGGTTTTCCTGCTTCCCATTTTCTAGATCCCCAATGCCATCGCTATGCTTACTCGCTCCCACTTTATTATGAAACCTCCATTCTCTCCGTTCCTTTACGCTTGTTCTTGAAGATTTCCCCACTTTAGTAACCAACATTCCAGACATGTCACCCACGGCGGCCCATGGCCCGTGCTGCTATGACAAGTCCATCTCATCCGCAATGTGGCGATCCCCAAGCGAACTGAGCCCAGAGCTCGACGGCCGCGACTCCTCGCCGTCGCCGTCGCCGTCACCATCGCCATTGGCCTCGCGCTGCTGCTGTGGCTCAGGCGTCTTCTGGCCCGCGACGCGCCTCCGCTCCTCCCAGACAAAGATGCTCGGGCACTCGCTCCCTTCGACCAGCACGTCGCCGTGCTCGATGCTCCGCCCCAGGGGCGTTCCCAGGTACTTTGAGTCGTCGTCGGTTTTGCTGTGTTTTTTCTTCAGCGCTGTATATTTTGTTTGCATTCGTCAGTGATTACGCTTCAAGTGACCAAGAATGGAGGTAAGGAGAGGTGAAGTTACCGTCCAAGTAATCCGCCGCCTCGTCATTCCCGTCCAGCGCGATCCTCTTGATCTCCCGGTTCAGCGGCCCCGTCGCCCACGCGATGAACGCCTCGACCCCGCGCGTGTCCTCTCCGCCGAGGTACTCCTGCTCCTCGAGGATCCGTTCTGGCAGGAGTGCGCCGGCCCGCTGCAGTGCCATGCGTACGTCGACGATGGTCGGCGCGGGCACGGCCGGGTATGGTATTGGTGGTGGTGGTGGGGGTGCTGCTGGTGAAGCCTCCCCGTCCTCGTCCGAGGTCGTAGTCAAGAAGAGCAACGGTGGCGGTGATGGCTCGGCGTTGTTGTGCGTCGCGTAGAGAGCCGTCAGCTGGCACAGGCGCAGCAGGTACCGCGCGGCCAAATCCGTGACGGAGTCGAGGACAGAGGTCTTGGCGCCGTGGTAGCCTGTCGCGCGTAGGATTTGGAGAATGGCTGGGCGGAGGAGCGCGTGGTAGAGCGGCGGTGGTGGTGTCATCCTTTCGGTTGTTCTGAGTCGAGTCTTCTCGGTTGATGTCGATGTGAACAAATGATTGTGAGGAGGGAAGTTTCCAGGTGGTTGATGATGATGGCGGACTTAAGGTGCCGTCTGAGCCGGGGAATGTTGGCCGTGCGGGCTGTTTTCACAGCACTGAGATCGAATCACTTTTTTCGCAAGGTGATTCTTGAGACGGAGAGCGTCTTCATGGCCCTTGCCAGCTCACGCTCCTTCCAGGTTTCCGGGTGCCTCCCTCCGCCAGCCTGCCACGGGAAACTTGTCTTGCTTGATCGGTGCCGAGTCTGATCTAGTTGACATATGGTGATGTGTATCACAACCTCGTTTGAGCTGCGCGAGAATCCTGATTACGCCGTCGACCGGTGGTTGATGTTCACTACCAGGTAGCGAGACTACGAAGCAGTGAGAGATGTTCAGTGAGCTCGGTGGGTCATTACAACGCTCCAAGGAGAGTCCTGCTTGGCGCTAGCGTCAGGAACCCACCGGCAGGCGTACGTACCGTACTTCGGCTCTGTATCCGTACGGAGCGCCGTCAGGTCTTGCTATTTAAGACATTGATCATGCTAGCCTGCCTCAACTTCTTCCCATCGCTTTTGCGTTTCTTGTCTTCTAATTTGAGCCTTGAATGTTGAAAAACATCCGGGCAGCTGCGAGCGGTCGGCTAAAGACCCTAACCCTGATTCTTCAACCACACATCAATTGGGCCGCCAAGCACCCACCCCAATGCTGGGGTGCGCCATTCCAATCTGAACGACGGATCGCGCCTCGCGTTACATTTCATTCATTCATCAAGGTCCGCAGGGGCCTTTCAACACCAATCACACTCCGACCACCTCAAGCAGCCACCGAAATTCCGGCTTCAAATCGACCGGAGTGTGTGTCGCACGCTTCTTGCCAGCTTTGAGTATCTACTTTCAAGAGGCCGGCCACATTTTGCCGCAAAAGCATTGCTTTCCTCCAAGTCCGTTGTGCACTTGCATCGATTCGACAACCTCAGAAAGTTCTCGACAACTGCAACTGCGATTCATATACCGCTTCCCTACGACGGCCTGCCCGCGTACATTCCAGTCATTCTCGAGCACAATGGATCCTCCACAACAACCACCACCTCCCAAGCGGCTGCCCAGCCTTAAGATAACCAGCGGCGCATCCAGTTTCTCCGCCGCCGCCGCTTCTTCAACCATTACCCCAAATTCATCATTTCAACAGACCATGTCGCCAGCCCCACTCACACCATTACAAGGTCCGGCCAAGATCAAGCTTGTGTCCAAATCACAACCCTCGACTCCGGCCGACTCTCACCCGCCAGCACTTGTGCCTGGGCCAATCATCAATGCCACAGCGGACGGAGTAGGGAAAGATCCGACTGCCCCAAAACTGACCCAAACGAAGGCAGGGAGGGTCAGCAAACCTTCGGCGAAAAAGCGGATAAGAGACGAGGCCGAAGAGGACGAAGACCTGCCACTCGCCAATAAGACGGATCACCGGGCGAAGAAGACAAAGATTACTCTCAGGACTCCGGGTCCCACAAGGCAGCCGACACTAAAGCTCAAGCCCGTTGGGCGGATTCCCCAGAAGCCGCTCGGCGAGGGTTACGATTCGGAGGCGGAGGATCGCGAGGAGGACCCGGTCATTGAGGAGCAGTTCATCTTCCGCATGATGCCCGGCGAGCACTGCGAGTACCTGCGGCAAGCAGTCCAAAACAAGCAGATAGGTCTTCCAAAAGCACAAGGGGGCGCGGATTTTCAACTAAAATGGTTGGACGAGGAAGGCCGGCGGGCCGTGGTGACGGTCAAGGGCCAGATGTACGCCGCCGCCCTATTGGATCTGCCCACCGTCACGGAGGGCATGAAGACGTGGGACAAGAAGTCAATGGTCAAGTCAGCAGACATTTGTCAGATACTGCTAGTCTTTGCGCAGGTCGGCAGCGAGGAGGAGGCCAAGACGGCACCTGTGCCGGAGCGAGCCGATCATTATAGATGGCCGCACGGTCTCACACCGCCCATGCACGATGCCCGGAACCGCCGGTTCCGCAAGCGCCTGAGCAAGCTGGAGATCAAGAACAAGGAAGCCGAGGTGGAGCGGCTGCTTGCGGCTGACCGTGATGCAATAAGCGTCCGGACCGAGTGGATCGATAGCAAACAGCATGCCGCAGCGGACGACGAGGAAGAGGAGTCGGAAGAGGACGCGGAGGGGGAAGCAGACGATTACTTTGGCGATGCCAATGCGGAACAGCTGGGTCAAGAAAAAGAAGAAGAGGAGGAGGAGTTCGACGACGCCGCCCTCGAAGCCGAGTTCCTGGAAGCGCCTGAGACGCCGGCTATCGCCACGCCAGCGGCCGTTACTGACGCTCTCACACCTAGCGCCGCCAATGCCCCAACACCTCAGCCGCAGATTGAGGAAGAGGCAGGCGGCGCTGAGGAGGAATCTGCGGAGGACGAGGAGGAAGATGACGAAGACGAGGGAGATGAAGATGAGGAGGAAGAGGAGGAAGAAGATGAAAGGGGCGAAGACGAGGGGGAGGCCGCCATACGAAACGAAATTGCCAGCCTGAAGAAGCGTCTCCGGGACTACGAGGTGCAGCTTGCGGCCTCAAAAACGAATCTCATGAGGAGGCGACTCGAGGCCAACATTCGAAACATAAAGTCCGAAATTGATCTCAAAAAGTCGGCCATTGGCGAGACAGAGGAGGATTAGGTCTGTCTGCGGACTCTGTTATGGGCAATTCTGCTGGAAGGTGTAGCGAATTGTGGATCGGTTTTGCTCTGGGGCGGGGGAAGAAGCATCGACGAAGGAATTCAGCTGCGACATACCGATAACGGTAGCTATACCCGGTATTGATCATAATTATGACAGAAATGTGTTGATGTCTGTTAGTTCAGAGCGCCTGTCCTTGAGGCACGGATAGTACCCCATGAACAGGTGCAAAACCATTACCAGAGTCTATGCCATGGTGTATCTGTGCCAATATACATAGAAATACAACGATGTTGCATAACATCCAGACGCCTTCGTCCATCCCACCCCCTTCCAGGAGTGATCCCACAGAGCGTCTTTCTTCCAGCCTCCCACCCATCCGCATGACCCATCCACACTCAGCCATGACCCTCGCTTCTACAAACCTTACATAGCCTTGAGGTAATTCGCCTCCTTGATCTTTGCCCGCCGCTCCTTGCGCATCGCTTTGCGGAGCTCCTCCCGCTTGTCGACGGCCTCGATCGCCTGCTCCAGATTGCCCGGCTCGGCTCCCGGCAGGTTGACCGTCTGCTTCTGCAGCGGGATCTTGGGCACCAGCGCCGCCAGGTCGCCCGACGCCAGGATCTTGGCCTCTTGCTGCCGCTGCCGCTTGAGGGCGAGCCGGCGCTGCTTCTTGGATTTGGCTGTTGGGACGAGGGGTGGTCAGTTGATTTGTAATTTTCGGTTTGGGCCGGGGGGAATCGGGAGAAGAAAAAAAGGGAACTGGGGAAAAACGAACAGAATTCATCCCCCGCATCAGCGTCGTCCGCCGCGTCAGCCTTCTTTTGCACCTCCAGGCACTTCCACAGCCAGGACGGGTAGGCCTCGTCTGGGAGAGCGACAGGGTCCGTCTTGCCCTTGAAGTAATTCAGGCCGTTCAGCACCGTGCCCGCGGGGCAGGAAGACAGAGGAGCGGCTTTCGCGTCGGCTTGGAGAGGGGTGAGCGGTGTGAGATCGGGTGTTGTCGACTGGTCCGAGGCGGAGGAGGCCGAGGCTGTTGCGGGCGCCGCGGCGGCTGGTGATGGGGCTGCATGGCGCGCCGTAATGGTTGTGTTGAGGTACCGCGCGGCCGCTGCTGGTGTCCGCGCAAGCGGCTGGGCTGTTAATTGCCGGGTGCTGGGCAACCCGGCTTGTCGGAGACACGCTCGGCAGATCATGTTGTGTGTAGATGGTGGTGTTGCTTCAGGTCTGCAACTTGAGGTTTGACCCTTGAAGCGGCATGGAGCGCTGAGAGGAGCTAAAAATTCGTACGGTGGTCGAAAGATGCGAGGTGCGCAATTTTCATCAGCAGCATCTTGAATCCTTGACTGTCTGCGACTGACACCAATTGAAAAGCAGCCGAAGCAATTTAGGTCGCGAGCAGTATGATCTGGAGGTTTGTGCTGTGTTCTGTAAGTTTCATTTGCTTGTACGTACAATTGGATCTCCGAAGTTGGGATTCCCAGATGGTGGCCTCCAATACTTGGCCCATTCCACTACTACCTTCGGCCTCTCAACGTTGCCCTAAGATACATTTCCCCTGTGAACCAGCGACACCCAGTCCAAAATAGCTCATTCCATACACCCCAAGTCCACATCAGTTCATTGTTGTGCGCCTTCCTTGGAGAAGTAATTCTGCTGCTCAAAGAGGTAGCCCTTGACCTTGGCGTTCTTGAGCAATTCAAGATATCGTTCTGCGCTTCGTCAGCACCAAACTCGCTCGGCACCCCTAGCAAATGTCTTCTGTGTCCGGCCAAGGTGCCTGGTTGTTCATGACACAGAGCCTCCCTTCTGCGCTGCGAGAATGGACTGACCTCTGAGCCGACCGCATTTCTCCAAGTGATTGACGCCTTCCCGGTAATAGCATTTGCTCAACTCCTCCCGAACCAGCCTCCCCATCATGACCTGAACCCATTGTTCGCGGATGATTGCGTCCTGGGCCTGCTTCAGGCGCTTTGTGTCGTCGTAGTCGACTCCGTCAAAGGTAGGCGGGACCTTGGGCTTCTTGGCCAGGAAGGCCTCAGACTCGGGAGTCGGCATGGCGCTGTGCTCCGGCTACTCCAAAAGAGTTATTTGTGGCCGGGTCGTTTGTCGGGTGCTGGACGAAGGAGTTCAGCTCTGTCCAGCAATCGAGCTGCCCGCTTGTGATGCTTTAACTGGCGAAACCAAACGCAGATGACTTGAGCTCCAAGCCGATGTTTAGCTGCCTGAATTGACAGGCCAAGAGAATGCGGAAAGTCCAAGCGCCATTCTCGGCGTATCTTATCGAAAGGCGAGACCCACCAAAATTCTCAAACGATAACCCGCCACTCGAAATTTCAGTTTTATTCTGCCAGCCCACACTTTCTTCTCTTCTCTCTCCTTCACCCATCTCTTCCCTTCCTCACATTTGCATCCCCGACCCAGGAGAGACATTTCATCTTGGCTTCGTCTTCGATCAAACAATTCATCATGGGAAAGACCAAGGATACCAAGGCCGTCAAGGCCAAGGCTGGCCCTGTGAAGGCTGTCGCTGCGCCCGTCAAGGCTGCCGCCACCAAGGTCGAGAAGGCCGCAAAGTCGGTCAAGGAAACAGCCAAGAAGGCCGAAGTCAGCAAGAAGTCCAAGAAAGTCGAGTCTGAGTCCGAGAGCGAATCAGAAAGCGAATCCGAGTCGGAGTCTGAGTCCGAGGCCAGCAGCTCTGAGGATGCCAGCGATTCTGAGTCGGATGTCGAGATGACCGATGCCCCTAAGGCCAAGACCAATGGTGCTGCTAAGGCCAGCACCGAGACCTCTGATTCGGAGGGGTCTGAATCTGACTCTGAGTCCGAGTCGGAAGAGGAGGAGGAGAAGCCGAAGCCTGCCAAGGCGACCAACGGAGTCAAGGTGAACAACAAGGCCAAGAAGGGCGATTCTGAGTCTGAGGAGTCTGAAGTAAGTTATTATTGATTAGCTTTCCTGCCCTCCAGTTTGCTGACGTTTCGAACTAGTCCGACAATGACGAGGAGGAGGAGGACGGCTCAGACGACTCTGACGACTCCGACGACTCCGATGCGTCTGAAGAGGAGTCTGATGACGAGGAGTCGGAGGAATCCGAGGAGAAGCCTGCCGTCGTTGAGAAGCCCTCAAAGAAGCGCAAGGCCGAGGAGGAGCCCGAGGCTGCGGAGGCATCGACCAAGAAGACAAAGTCGGATGCCGAGGCTTCCGACAAGAGCGCCACCCTTTGGGTCGGCAACCTCGGCTGGGGCGTTGATGACAATGCCTTGTACGAGGAGTTCCAGAACATCGAGGGCATCGTTGGTGCCCGCGTCGTCACCGATAAGGAGTCCGGTCGCTCTCGTGGTTTCGGCTACGTCGACTTCGAGACTCCCGAAGCCGCCCAGAAGGCTTACGACGAGAAGAGCGGTGCCTTTCTCCAGGGCCGTGACTTGCGCCTCGACTTTGCTTCGAAGCCTAGCGCCGATGCCGCGCCCAATGCTCGCGCTGCCGAGCGCGCCAAGAAGCACGGCGATGTAACCAGTCCCGAGAGCGACACCCTATTTGTCGGCAACCTGCCCTTCAGCGCCGATGAGGACTCTGTCTCCACCTTCTTCAACGAGGTCGCTCAGGTCCAGAGCCTTCGGATTCCGACCGATCAGTGAGTGATCCTCTTCCTCCGCCATAAATTCTTCAATCCGCTAACCATTGCACTAGGGAGTCTGGTCGCCCCAAGGGCTTTGCCTACGTGACTTTCAGCTCTGTGGAGGATGCCAAGTCCGCTTTTGAGGCTCTCAACGGCTCCAGCCTTGATGGCCGGCCCGTCCGTCTGGACTTCGCCAAGCCCCGTGACAACAATGGTGGCGGCGGCTTTGGTGGCGGCCGCGGTGGTGGCCGTGGTGGCTTCGGCGGTCGTGGTGGTGGTCGCGGCGGCTTTGGTGACCGTGGTGGCCGCGGTCGTGGTGGTGGCCGTGGGGGTGGCCGTGGTGGATTCGGCGGGAACCGTGGGGGCGGTGGTTTCCAGGGCAAGAAGATCACTTTTTAAAGAAAGTGACATGACACAGCCGCACCTGAGGGGATCACAACGAGGGCTTTGCATGGTTCCATCCGAGGGCTTTGTGGGTTGTCGGCTTTTGAACTCAAAACTCCCTTCCCGGGAGATGTGGGCTTTGAGAGACAGCTTCTTTCCGCAAGAAGCAGCGATACACCTGAGGGCTTGATCTATGACTCGTGGGCTGCTTTGGCTCTTTGACAGCTCCTTGACGCATCGGCCGACGGCCATGCTGGTGGGCTTGCTGGTCATCGCCTCATTGGCGGTCAAATAAGATAATGATGGGTTTTTTGCACTCTGTGGGCTCGTGGGCTCTGAAGGCATACTCTGGCGGCGGAGTTGGGAGATGTCGGTTTCTTACCGGACAGTCTGCTCTCCGCTGCTTGCGGGCTTCCTGACGGTTCTGAGGGCATCTGAGGGCGTTTTCCTTTCTCCGTGGGTCATAAAAAGTTGGGCTGATTTCGGGTTCTATATCTGTACGGTACGGTCACGGGCTGCTTTCCTCTTGCGCCTCTTTCATAATTGGGCAGTTTCGCGAGTCGAGGTACGGTTCTCGACAGGTACACGGGCGATTTTACGCATGGCTTAGCTTTTGCCTGGTAAGTATCCCATACCCAAGATACCCCTTGCTTCGCGGACGGTGTCGATATCCAGTCAATCTTGTACGAATACGATCGATAGTCGGCAATGTCAGATTTCTCTCTGCCAGTTTGAAAGTGTGGGCTGTGTTGGCCGCATCTTGTGTGCAAAGTGCGAGGCCATGAAACTACGATTTGTGGTATTCTGTTGCTACTAGACCATCTGAAAATCATGGTTATCTCGAAGAATCAAGAAGAGCAAAAGCCCCCGTTCTCACCCACTACCTGACGAAAATCAAAATCGGCCGCAACCCGATCCAGCCGGAACAAAGGAAAATGTGGCGAATAAGTGGCAGATAGATGCAAGTGACACAAAAACCAGAGCCCAAAGCTCGAAACCCAAAACATCCCTCCTGTCGTCGTCCCATCGTAACGACATGCTTCGTAACCCATCCCAATGCCGCCCGTTCATGCCATTCCACCCAAACCCCTAAACCATGTCTCGCCTTCATTCCCCTACGTAATCACGATACCCATTAGAAACCACTTCGCTTTCACCAGACTTCCCCCTTGTTGTTGACGCGGAAATGAGAGCCGCGGCGCCCCCCTATTGCTCAAGCAGTGACGCTCTTGCCAACCCCTCCCCACCGGATCCGCCTCAGCGTCCCGCCGGAGACGGCTCCTGCACCACCGCCGCTGGCCCTGACCATCTCGCTTCCGCACCCTGCCGCGGCGGCAGCGGACGCGTTCGAGCCGGCAGCCCCAAACCCGCCGCCGCCCGACAACGAGGACGCGACGCTCTCCTGCCGGCCGACTTCCCTGCCAATGACGTAACCTGCTCCGAAGCCGACGACGGAAACGAGCACGACGACGCCGGCGCTGACGAACCAGGTTAGCAGCGTCGGGCTGACGGTGAAGAATGTTTGTTGCGATGTGTTGTTATCTGTCTCGTCGGTGGTGGTGATGATGGCTGGCTCGCTGGTCCGCTTCTTCTTGGCGGCGCGCGCGGGCTGTCGGGCTTGGGTCGCTGCTGTGCGCTTGGTCTTTTCCGGATGGTGGTCTTGGTGGTCTTGTTTAACTTGCTGCGACCGGCCCGAGCTGGAAGAGGGCGCGGCGCTCGGGGCCGACGAGTTCGATGCCGTCCGCGCCTGCTGGCCGGGCTTGTTGGCTCCTCTGCTGGCCGGGCTGCTGGTTGGTGCTGGTGGCGGCGAAGTGTCGGCCATGAGCTCTGATTCTGGGACCAGGCGGAGTTCCATTGGCTGGGAGCTTGGCACGACGCCGGCGGCGTTGCGCCGTTCATCTTGTTTAGGGAGGCCGCGGGCTGCGGCGGCGCACGAGAGGAGGGTTGTGAGCGAGGCGCGCAAAGCGGCGTCATTGTCGGCTTGGTAGGCTGGGGACATGTAGTTCGGTGGGCCTCGGTGGGAGCGGGTATGCGCCCGGCTCTGCATCGCAGGGCGTGACGGGAAGGAGTGGTTGTAAGAGGGTACAGCGCCGGTTGAGTGTCGGTGGTTCAGATGAGACGGGGGGTGGGAGAAGGCATTTGGTTGCGGCTGGAAGACCGGGGAGTTGGATGGTCGGCCGAGGGCAGTCGCATTCTCGTCATCGTCGCTGTCCGAGTCGGTATCCACCACAGCGGACGCCCTCACGGTCGTCTGGTTGCGGAAAAGGTTGGCGGATGGGTGTATCGCTTCGGTGGAGCTGGTCATGACACGGTCCTCCTCGCTCTCTGTCTCATCGTATTCTTCCTGACTGCTGGTTGCGCCTCCTTGAGTTGCGGGATGACCGACAATGAACGACGCAGGCATGGGTTGCTGTTGTTGGGAGCGTCTCCGCCTGGACGGGTACGAGGTATTGCCAACTCTGAGTCCTGTTGTCACGATCTCATCCCCAATGGATGATAACGATGAAGACGATGGTTGCGAGGATACTTCGACCCACGACTCTGAAATTTACGGGCATCAGCTCCTGTGCGTGTGCTATGCAGCGCCATACGACTGACCGTCATTGCGACGCTGGGGCGATGGCGTATCTTGCCGTCCTGTGCCCCGCGAGACGCCACCGGCACTGCGCTGTCCACCCTGCTGTGCGCGTTGAAACTCCGAGGGCGCCATCGTGAATAATCGTCACTTTTATGGTATCGGAAAACCAACGGCGCTCGCAAAGAAAGATAACACAGTTATGTGTAGATGGAAGTAAGTGTGCGGGATCGGTCGTGTCGGCGGTTGGTGCCCAGCGAGCCCCGCCTCCGAGAGTGGAGAATGGAATCGGATCCAGTAAGACGACGAGGTTGGCGATGCAGTGGCTGCGTGGAACGCTAATTTGACAGATGAGCCGATTGCATACAACTCTTGCGCAAAATGAAGTAGTGGATGCAAAGCTTAAGTCTCCCGCAACTCGGTCGTCCTGTGGCACTGTAAGAGGATGGACAAGTCAGGCAGTGGAGGCTCTTTGTTGTTCGTGGCTGTCGTTCAACCTTGGCAGGCGGTTGCAAGTGGCAGCGAGCATGACCCGGTCACTCTGTCACATCCCCCCAATTCATTGGCTGAAGGGGTTCTGGTCTGACCTAGATGACGTTACGGATTACGGATACGGCCAACGAGCTCAACTCACACATCTTACCAGGCCGGTTCCAAACTTCTACGCAGTAACTATGTATTGTACAGGCTGGGCTTTCAACATAGTGCGGTCGGCGAGTGCTAGACCAAGGTATCCAATTTCCAAACCCAAGATTCCCATCGACGTTGTCACCGACTCGACCTTAGATGGAAATCCTTTCACATCGTTGAATTACCATAATTTGGCAATCACTACACCGGCGGTGTGGGTACTCGTGATTCATCTAAGTTCGCTGATTCTGTTTGATCTTGTTTGAATTGACCTGAAAGCAAACGTTTATCCTCACGAGGTCTGCTCTCCTCCTCTTGATATCGTACTAGCCACACTCAGCGGTCATGCTCGTTTTCCAGGTTCTGATCTGGTATCGTGGGCGATCAGTTCGCACGTCATGGCTCCCATTCCACCCTCCGATGATTCGATCTAGATCCTAAGCCTGGAGAACCACCTCAACTTCTCAATTTGTAAGGCCCTGCTCAAGGAACAGAACACTGGGCTGAGTTGACGAGCTACTTAGCGTATATTACTTACTGGTCAGCCTCACCGTCACGGGTCATGACGATGGTGATAGGAATACACGTTGGCATCTTCACACTTGCCTACCTCGGGGCTACCTGGTAGCCACCGAGCCACCGGGGAACATCAATTTTTGATCAGCTGTTCTTCTTTCTTTTCTCAGTCAGTATGCCTGCTTCCATACCTTATTGGCAGACACCACAGCCTGGCAGCCTGCCAACACACAGAGAATCGAGGTAACTGCCGAAACCCGTCTCCTTTCTTTCTCTGATTTAATTTCTTCTTCCTTCTATCTGATAATCGCAAGGTCATGTGTCAACTTTCATTTTAATATTATTGCTTGTATATGATTTTCTCCTTCTCAATTGCAAGGCTGTTGTCTGCGGCTTTACCATTCTTCGTCGATGTCTTGAATCTTCCCCACTCCTTTCCACTTCTTCGCTCCTCATCATCTATCTGTTCTATATACGGCTGCTCTATCGCCTTGTGTCTCATGTCGGCCCAGTCCAACAGGCCGCGGGCCGACTGCATCTGCGGCCTCGCTGCGACCGAGTCTCATTCGGCAACCTTGAGCCGGGTTCCCGCGTCCTTGGGCTCGCCCTGCAGTCATGCTGAGCATTGGGCATCAACTCAAGCAATACCATCCCGACGAGCACGCGAGCGACAGCCCCATGTTCGGAATCGGCACTCGACCTGATTAGGATTCAGGCCTCTCCGCATCTGGTTGCTTGTAGCAAGCAACTCCCGCCGGAATGGCCACACGGGAGCCTCCTTTGCCGTGCCATACCGATCACGAGTCAACGCCGTCCAATGTAAAGCTGCTCTTGTCGGCAATGGGCGAGCCGTCCGAGTGCTATGAATGTGACGTGGCAGCATATGCCGGGGCGTGCCGCTGCGTCCTCGTCCCGAAGATGGAGGGAATCGGCGCGGGGGGGGCTGCGCTTGGGAAGGAACCTGTTGGTCATTGTGCTGAGTGGCATGATTGCTCCCATTGGCGAGAGGGAGAACTGGCAGCCATCAGAGTCACCACCATGTCCAAACAGCAGACTGACGAGCTGAACTCGGTTCCGTCCGGAAGAGCCGCAATACTTACGGTTTAGGCGGCACTATTTGTTACTAGTCTGGGTGCTGATCGTCTATTTAATCATGCAGCCTGTCGGTGAGGGAAGCCGGCCAGAGTTCGGTGTAGTAAGTGTACAGGGCCGCCAGTCAATCCAACGCCTCATCTCACGATACTCTAGGTCAATCTCACAAAGAACTCGACTTTGAGTCCGACCCTTCGAACCTCAAACCGCATGGCCACGCTGCGCTCACAGCCTTCAGCTTCGCATGACGTCGGACTAAGCTTGTGATGAGGCTCTTGGTACCGGCAGCCGGGCACAATTCCATTTACGCAATTGGGAAATTGTATTTTGTGGTCTGCGTGTAAGTGGCCCAGCGCAGGGTCAAAATATGATAAAATCCGGCGCCCGCCTGTGCATTTTCTTTGGACTTACTTGACCCTTGAAAAAGGATATGAATGTTGGGTTCCATCTCCGTCAGATGCGGGCCGAAGATGCAACAAAGTCTTGTCAACACTTGACAATCACGGCAACGGTGCTGTTGGGAAGATTGCTTAGGGCCAGGTCGGTAAGCAAGCCGCCGCCCACCAAGCAGATTGCCCATGACAACTAACACGATCACGGCGGACAGAACGCAGCCGGGTTGACTGGCAAGACGTTCTTCCCATAACTAAACGGCACCTGAAGCCCTCGGACATGCTGCCAGCGCCAAGCAAGCCGATTCAGCATCAAACAAAAGCAGGCCGGGCCGCCATAGTTGGCCGCAGCTGCATGCGGGCGGGCGTCAGAGGGGAAACCTGGAGTGCAGCGAAAGAGGAGGGACGCCCCACGCTCTCGAGCTCGCGGGCATGGCAAACTCCCTGAAAGATGCGGCTCTTTCCCGTTGCTTCTGCCCGTCCTATCGCAACGAAGCTTCCCGGCCTGCCACCCTTTGCAACCATCGACCGCCCTCGCGATGCAGACACACAAACCGGCCTGCCAATGGGACGTCTCGTCCACCCTGCACATCGCGGCCTCGGAGAGCCGGCAAGCGCCAACTGGGAAACGGAACTGTCCATGTGAACTGCTAATACCCAGGCCGGTCTGGCATCAACCGCATCAACCCCGCTTGGGTTGAAGAGCATCCGGAGGTGGAATGGCAGTGGTATGGGCGGATTCATTATAAGGGTGAGCATCCGGCATGGCACAGCTTCGATCGTCATGTTCACGAAACCTTTCCTTTGCCCGCCCAAGCGCAATACGACTGCCTGTTCCTTATCATCACCTTCACAATCAACCGGTCGGCTCTCAGACACTCCACATCAAACATGACCCAGAACAACACATCTCTCGGTGTTTGGGCGTTCACGGGCGTCAACTTCTCAGAGGAAGAAGAGAAGCCCCCCTTCTACACGAAGCCTGGGGAGAACAAGTAGAGCACGGCCCCTGAGTCCCACAGACAAGTTGTAAGAATTGGCCCGAAGTGACCCCTCGGTTAGCACCCACGTCTGCCAACCGCCTCTTGACTCCAATACAGAGATTTCAATCTCACTGTACTGACGTTTTCTGCCTAGTGTCGCATAGTCAAGACATAGCGACGAAGCAAGCGGAGGCAACTCTGGAGGATACGAGAGCGGGGACTCCGTAGTCGAAAAGAAGGAAGACTGCCTGACGATAGATTTACTCTGGAGGTGGAAATTTTCATTATCACTTCTCAATATCTTCTTGCTTACGCAGAATGACCGGGCGATCCAATCCACCAGCTTCGGGTAACGGCCTTTCACTCTATCACAGCCCTTCCATATCATCAACATCTCAATCCTGTTTTACGTTGTGTAGTTTGTTAGCTATTGCTACACGGAGAAGTACAACTTGGAGGAGAACGTTAGCAAGTCAGTTTCTGTCCATCAAAGTCTTGTCCACTCTAGATGAGGCCAAAATACTATGTCCGTCTGAAATACCAACATGATCCCACCCTGCCGTTGTTCGACCACCACCCTCCGCAAGCTGCATCCAAACAAAGACCCCATCCCAACCCTTCCAACTCCCCTTCCGTGGCCCGAGCTTATGTCCTCTATGGACTCATCCTAAGCAAGTCTACCCCCCTTGTCCCGCCAGCATGCTTCACGCCCTCTCGAGCACACATACACCTACCTCTTCCTTGGGGTTGTTAAAGCTCCACTAGGCCAGTGTCCTCCACCTTACACCCGGCCATTCGCTCTGGCTGTGTGCTTGGTATACCTGCTTCATGTGGGCTGCCTAGTCTTTCATGATTGGCGCGATATGGAACGGAAGAGGGAACTTGGCATAGCCAACGGCATCCATCCCGCTGGCCGTCGGCATCTATCACCGCTCGTCGTTCGCATGCTGGATCTCCAGTTGTCTCGTGTATGGGGCCAACTACGCCCAATCGACCGCTCAGCACATGGCCAAAACCTAGCTTTTCCTGTTCGGACAAAAGGAGACGACTCCCATGGCAAACTGTCCGCCGGCGTATAATGCTTTCTAACTGCTTCCATCAGAACACATCCACAAGCGGAAAATGGCGCAGCGGCGGATGGTTGACGTGTGTGCTTACGTCCAAGGTAGCCGTCCTTTCCCCTAATGCCTTGCAAGGAGCGGTCCTCCTCAGCCACCTGCCCGACACACCACAGATTCGACTCTGGTTTCATACTACATCGCCATCGTTTTTCTCTCTCTCCCTCTCATCCACATTGTCCCCTGACACAACCCCAAGACGAGCAGACAACTTTCTTCGTACCCTAATCAATCTGCATTACACTGGCCTAAATTGCCTGAATATCGTGCCAACACATCTCCAAACATCAACTTCCCCTTGAATAGGTACCAAACAAACCCCCCTAACATTACCCAACAAATCAAACCTGGTATTATCCACATGAAGTACCCCCCCCCCCCCCCCAACCAAAAAAAATCCATCCCTTCATATCACATCCCCCCTCCTCCACCCTACAACAGCAATCCCAGAAATTACAACCAACACCACCCTACTTACTTACTCAACCCCCCTCAACACCCACCCCGCCCCTCCCTCCCCGCCGCAGCCGCCAACCGCAGTCTCAAGAACTCCCCCTCCTCCCAGCCCCAATCCTCCCCTCCTCCCTCCCCTCCCCCTTACTCCCCGCACTCCGCGGCGGCAGCGAAAGCAACTCAAGACTAGCCGGTCTGGGCCCGCTATAACTCAGCACCGGCACCGTGAGACCGTACCCCTGGGTCCTACCCTCCGGGTCGTGCTGGTCCATCTCGACCCAGATGCACACGTCCAGGGAGCCGTCAGACCCCCTCCCGTGCTGCGCCGGCCAGGCGGCGGCCTTGTGTCGTGTGCCGCAGTTTTCTTCCCCCCAGTTCAGCGGGAAGCGGCCGTCCTTGTGTTTTTCTTTTTTATGCGCGATGGGGTTGTTGGTTGGGGTGGTGGCGGATGAGGTGGGGCCTGATGATGATGATGACGACGACGCAAAATGGGACGACGAGGAGGTACCTGGGGGTTGATGGTGGTGGTTGTGATGGTGGTGGGACTCGGTTTGGGTGGTGGCAGTCCCGTTGGGGACCCCTCCGTTTACGGCAGCCGCAGAGGGCTCGTTGTTGGGCGAGTTTTCGGTTATTATGGCGAAGTTGCGGCTCGGCATGGTGACGTTGTTGTGCGACGCCGTCTTTGGGCTCTTGCCCGGGTCCTTGTCGAAGAGCTTGAGGAGCGTCTCGGACGTGTCGTGGTTGAGGTGATGGATCCTGTTGCGCCGCGAGAGCAGATTGGCGACCGCGGCGGGCGGCGGCTTGTTGACGATTGCTGACGACACGACGTTGACAATGTAGCGGTAGTCTTGCTCGACGGGGATTTTGAGCCGCGGATTCGAGTAGAAGCGGCCCAGCGCCGCCAGATGTACGTCGCCGCTCAAGATGGTGATGCGGATCGAGAACTCGGCACAGACGCCCTGCAACTTCTCGACTAGCCAGTTGCGCTCTTTCTTGTGGGTCCGCGCCGTATAGTGGTCGTCAAGATCGTCCAGGAGATCGACGCTGCCGTCGAACGTGTTGAAGAAAGTGCCGCCGAGGCCCATGCGGCGGTTCAGAAATTTGATGGGGCCCATGACCGGACTCGCGAATATGTTTTCAAGCCACGTCAGGCGCTATCCTTGTTAGATGGAGGTCCGTTCGACTAGTACAATCATTACCATTGGCAGCAGACTCACCGGGTACGCAATGGGAATACCCAACAGAAGAATCAGGTGCTTGAACGGCCGCCCGGAGCTTGCAGCGGCCAAAAACTCCTGCTTCAAGCGGGTGAAGATGGCATAGTAGGTCTCGGGATGGTTGACTTGATGTCTCGTACGCTACCAAGGGTTAGGCCACCATCCAAGCAGACGGCTTGACACCAAACGCATACCTCAGTCCGGGCATCAATACCCAAAAAGGCGATCCTGGCACCTAGCTGGGCAAACATGTTGTGGGAATGCTCGGCAACGTACGGCTGTGCCTTGGTAAGCTGGCATACTCGGTAAGGCCGGCGGGTAGAACCTACCCCGGGTTTCGGGCCATAGATGTAGTTGGGCTCCTGCCATCTAGGATGGATGTAAGTGTTCATGGACTGGTTTGGGTCGATGCCCTGGCCTTCTTCGACCGAAGCGGCCGGAACAGCATCTGCTGCGCATTAGCGAGGGCATCCCCGTGAGCAACAAGGCGTGCTTACCAGAGGTGTAGGTGGATGCAGGCGGCGGGAGATGGTGTTGGAAGAGCATGTAGTACTTGTGAGCGGTGCCTCCGAGGCCCCTGAAGACATCGCACTTCATGAAGTCGTTCACATATGACCCGAATCCGTCGATGATCTGGGACGGTTAGTGTCACATGAGCTTGGTCCGTGAAAGATATCAGGCGTACATCGTGGTCATCCCAGATGTTCAACTGGGGAATCTGGCCATTGGCGCTCGCAAAGGGTTCAGTCGAGTACCTGCGCGCCATTAGCGCCGAGAAACCCCTTTCCAACAAAGTGAACGCACCAGCGGATGTAGTTTTTCAAGTAATAGTCGTCGCACTCCAGCCGCAAGCTCTCCGGAAACGGGTGGTCCCTCCGCTTCTTGGGGTTCTTAGTGTTGGACCAGTTCTTAAGGGGTCCGCCGATCCGGATGCCGTCGTTATAGATCTGATCACCGCCGCCAATCCTGAAGCGCTGTCAGCCCCGGAGCCTACTGATAACCTCAAAAAGATCCTCGAGCGAGCGGTATGGTCATACATGACATGGAACGGCCTCTCCTGGTGTTTCCGCATGACATCGTTCCACAGAGCCGGCCCGCTCCACGCGGCCTCGTCCGTCCCGACGCTGAAGCCGTTGCACGAGTGGAACATGATCCTCATCGACTCGTCGACGGCGGGCACAAAGAACCTGTTGACGCGCGGCTTGGTTCTACTGGCGAACCGCATGCCCCGCAGCTCATATTCCCAGCTGCTCTCGGCCTCTTCCATCTCGACAGCCAGGTCGAAGCGCCAAAATGTATTTCTGGGGTCCGAGTAGAGGCAGGTCCCCTCGACGCCGGTCACTCCCCGCCCTTCTTTACCTCCCCCACCAACCTTGCGCAATTCCAGGGTCGGCACGATCGGCTGCGTCCTGCCGCCGCCCGCCGTAACCACCAGGACGCTCCCAATCCATGTTGCTCCCTCTTGGCGACGGTAATTCAGCAGCGGACCGCAGACAATCTCCTTCCCGTCCGCAGGAGCAGCAGCAGCAACCGGCATCTCGGCACCACCATGGCCTCTCGGCGCATCATGTGCATGCGCAGTGGCGGCCCTCGCCTCGGACGCGCCGGCCACGACGGGCTTGAAGCGCGGGGTGCGCGGACGATTCTCGGCGGCGCCGTTATCGCTGCTGCGCATCTCGTTGGGGTCGAGGCGCGACTTGTTGAGGAAGTCGGCGAGATCGCTTACGCCGCCGCGGGAGTCGGCCTCGCGGGCGACGGGGCCGCCGTGACGATGATGGTGCTGCTGATAATGGGGTGGAAGGCCCTTGTCCCTCTCGTAGCGGGCGTAGGCGGCTGATTCGCCGTGGCGCCAGCGGCTGGAGGAGGCATACGGGTTTCGCTCCGCGTCTTGTTCTTCTTGTTCATGTTGTTGTTGTTGTTCGTGGTGGTCAGCGCCGTCGACGGCCGCAGGGTGTTGTTGGTGGGACGCCATTGTTGCGGCGACGAGTTTGCGACTCGACACGGCGCGTGAGAAGCAATGGTATCCCGGAGGACGTCCGGTTAGGTGCTGCTCGGCCAATTGATGCTGGGGGAGAAGGAAGAGGAGCAGAAAGGTAGGTAATGTAATAAGATGGCTACTGATCTGGCATCGGACAGATAATCCATAAGGAGAACCTCAGAATAAGCAACAAAATATGTGGAGCGGCACAGCGACAAGGGGTGGTCGAGACTAGGGCCGCAGGTCGCGTCTAAGATGATGACGGAGTGAGCGAGATTGGCAGTATATGAGAAGGAAAACGAATGGCTGCTGGTCGGGCCCTACCTATGTCATGCTCTTTTTGGAGCTACTGACGACCAGGAGTCAAAGATATGTGTACGGAGTAATAAAAAGAGGCCAACCAGGCATAGGCGGAGATGGAAGGATGCGGCGTCTGGCACGCGGTTGGGTTGGATGGATGGGCTGGATTGAGATGCGTGGCGTGAAACCTCAATTGATCAGCGAAACTCTGCTTTCAGGATATCATTCGACGAGATGCGGCGGACATATGGTGCACGAAAGATGCAGATGTCGTCCTCGTTTGCAGAAACCTCCTTCGACCCCCATTGGTGGCCATTGAATGGTCTTGTCGTGAGGCCGCTCTGGAGTCCAAGACTTTCCTCCCTGCCGTTTTTCGCGATTCATCAATCAAGCAAAACCTTGGAAGCTTGGGCACAGCTCTTGCGTCAGCGTTTGGGTGTGCTCCACACTCTCAGCTGATGGACGTGAGCCAAGCCGAATGCGCCAATGGCCGCCTTCATTTCGAGCTGCTGACAGGACCCCTAGCCAAGACCGGCTATCGGCAGAGCTTGGACCAGCTGAAACGTCTGGGTAAGCAACGTCCCTTTGGGGAAAGGCTGAGAGTGGATGATAAATCTGTTGTACTCCGTACAAGGGGAATGCAATGATACAATATACCCACACGTCTATATATACAACCAAGATTTCTGCCGCCCAGTCGTCGCCTTCTTCCGTTCTTCTACCAAGTGCCCGGCCAGAATTCCCACGCCCATGCCCACCAGATGCGACGTAATGTCTACCGTGAAGCGGCTCGCCGTGAACATGGCGCCAATGTTCAAGCCGACAGCCAGGCTGAGGAGAGTGAGACCTTGGAAGCCCTCATTTGGCGGCGGAGGGAGGCCAAAGATGCGAAAGCTCTCGAACCTGTGCAGCCAAAAGTACGCCGCACTGATGCCGTAGACGGCCCCGGACGCCCCCAGAGATGCAACCTCCATCCGGTTTCGCATCACCGCCCACGTCAGCGTCCCGAGCGCGCCGAGCGCCCCCGACGCAAAGTAAGTTGCCAGAAACGTGCCCCTCCCGACATCGTCGTGGAAGCGCACGCCAAAGAACCAAAGGAGAGCCATGTTTTGGACCAGATGAAAGAACTTCTGATGTGAGAACGCCGCGCTCACCATGGTCGGAACCCGCGGCGTGGCAGCCACGAGGATGAAATAATGGTTGAGGAACCTCCACATCGGCGGAATCTTCCACAAGCCCCAGCCGAGCAGGTTGGCCAGGATAAGGGTGCCAACCGTGGCGGCCGCCGGCGGGATGTCGGGCAACAGCCTATCGGCGCGCTTGGGCGGCGTGTAGAACTCGGCTAACGCCAGACAGAGGCCGCTTAACGTGACGACGAAAGCGGCCGAGGGCAGCACGCGCTGCCACTTCTTCATCTTGGGCGGCTCCTTGAGGTCCGACTGACCTTGGACTATGTACTCCTGCATCTTGGCGCTCAGCTGCCTCGTCTGCGACTTGCCGGCCACCTGCAGCGGCCCTGCCTTGCCGTGCCTCTCCTCCTCTTCTCGCCTCTTCTTCTCCTCCTCCCGCCGCTTGAGCTCCGCTTCCCACTTGGCCTTGTTCCTTGCGCGGATGGCGTCTAGCGCACTCGGCCCGTAAACGCCGTCTTTTTTAGGCGAGACATCTGCATCCTTGTAGAGCTTCACCCTGTTCTGATACTCAGGCGGAATCTCGGTTTGTTGGCTTTTGGCCGGGCCGCCACCCTCCAGAGCGGCTAACTCGTCCTCGGCCCGGAGGCCGGCATTCGCAATCTCGTCGACGGGCACGTTACTGCGGAGATATTCGAGGGCTATCCTTTGGTCCTCATTCGTAAACGCCATCGTGTTGATCCGCAAGCTCGGGTCTTCAAGTGTGCCGGCGACGCGGCGGCCGTGGAGGATCCTCAATAGCTTGTTGGCGGCGGTGGTGCTGATGCGAGGCCCGAAGTGGGCAACCACTTCGGCCGGTTTCAGGTCATGTTTGGCAAAAGGTAGCCCTTTCTCGTCTGTGTAGTTTGGTGGGAGGTCCACGTAGTGAGTGATGACGGCTGAACTAGCGATTATAGTACGGATCCCGAGGCATCGCGGGAGGACGGGTCGAGGGCCGCTCAATAGCGTCGGCCCTGCGACTGTGTTTCTGGCATGTCCTCCCCGCGGCAGTTGTGGTTGGTGCTGGGTGGTCGGAGAGATTGAAAAGCAGCGATTCGACAACAGCGCTGCGGGAAGGGAGGAGGTGCACCGTCTCGTGAGGGAATGGGCAGCGGCCTGGACGCTGGTTTGAAAGGCATTGACGCCCAGGCGGCAGGGGTTCATGGTCGCAATAGGCGCCTGCCGTTGCGCCGCTCTGCTAGTCGTCCATCAACCTCAATCGAAGAGCCGGGCCAAGGTCTCGTCGCGGGGCCGAGGGTTGGTGTCAGATGCCGGACAGAAAGATGTGGTGGGAGTTGGGGCAATGCGTTGCCGGAGAAAAAGCATCTCCCAGGGCCACGGCAAAGAGTGGAGGGCCATTGGTCGAGACTGGGACAGAATCCGGACCCGTGGCGGGGCGCTCCTAGCCGAACCCCGCCAGTCTCGAAGCTTTCCTAGCACGACCAGGCAGCTCCAGAGCTTGCGTCGACAGCATTCTGCAAACATCATCCACCAGCTCACTACTGTCGAATCCACGGGCTTTCCCACAAGCTTGCAGGAGAATTCAAATCAACCATCACCACAACGAGCAACACCTCACCGAATCACCAGTAAAAGTCCTCCCGGTGAACATTGAACCGCCCCTCCCTCCACCACTCAACTCGCACCAAAGCATCCAACAAACACACCCACCCATCAAAAAGAATTCAGAAAACATGTCCGCCGACTCGCTTCCAATAACCCCCACCCGCTTCGCAGCCGCCCTCAGAGACCTCCCCGTCTCCTCGCTCCACCTCAAAGTCCTCGAGCTGCGCAACAGCATCGCCCACCTCGACTACTCCAACGAGCAGCTGCGCCCCTTCGCCGAGGGCACCGCGACCGCGCTTTCCCCCAACACACAACAACAAGCACAAGGAGGAGCGCAACAACCACAACCACAACCAGACCAGGACTGCGTCGACGCGATAAAAGAGAACGAGCAAGTCATTGAGCGCATGCAGGAGCGCATCAGGCTGGTACGCCACGAGGTCGAGAGCCGGGGCCTGAGCTGGACCGAGTTTCAGAGTCAGGCGGAGCGGGAGGAGGCGGAACAAGAGCAAGCGGAGAACAGCAACATCAACAATAACGAGCATGGCCGCCAACAGACGTCAGCATCATCGGGAGAGGATAGTGGTAGTAACATGGTGGATGGCGACGTCGTCAATGGGGCCATCACAGCCACGGCCGTGAACGGCGAGCCTGTTCAGCGGCGGCATCATTCGGCCTGGTCGGACGGGACGTTCCAGACAGGTGTGCTTCGAAACGGGGTGGTGCACTTGGATGGCGTGGCTGGGTCGCGACAGCCTGCCGCAGGTCGGGGACAGGGCGGGTCACTTACGGATGAGGAGCTGAGGCGGAGGATGGAGGAGCAGTTGCGGGATTTGGGAGAAGACGAGGAGGAGGATGGGGAGGGTGGGTTGCATCTGTGAGGGTGGTGTTGCAGCTGTTCAGTTAAGGTTATGTCACAGTCCATAGCGTTTATGATCTGGAGGAGGGCCATAGGTTATGCTTTCGTTGCAAACCAGAAGTTAGCATGGCCGGCACAAGTTTCACAGAATACCGAGTTACGGCCAAGGGATTGTCATGAGCAATTTGGTTGTATTGGTTTGCGATGGTGATGGTGATAGGTACTCCGGTTGTATAGCGATACATACTGGAGCGAATGACGACGAGGAACAAAGGAACTCGGTGAAAGCAGAAATATGCCATGCTGTTGGTAAAACCCCCTTTTGCCGTTGCAGCCGGTCCGAACGCCTTGCCCAAACCAACTGATCCCAATTCGTAACAATGCGAGTCCCCTATGCAACGTGCTATGCGAAACCCATGCTGCGCCAGAAGGAGGTACAAGAAGCTATGAAGGGATCCAAAGAGAAAAGAAAGAGGGAGACAAGGGAAGCCCAGCTAGACGAGGCTAAGCTGATATGGCTAGGTTGGCAGTGACGGAAATGGCTTGCTGAGTCTTCGGTTTTGGCACATCTGTGGTCGAAGATAAGTTGGATATTTCGCGAAGGGGATGTGACGAATCGCCGTTATCCACTCCTGAGGACCCCCTGTCGTCGTATCCAGAGCTCAAAATCGTAGATAGCCTTGGCTTCTGAGCGGCGTGGGCCGGTAATGAGATGCTGTTGACCGATGGAGGGCTCCTCGGCACGTACACGCCCTCATCCTCAGTGTCCGATTCCCCCTCTGGCGGCCGATGGCTTACCCGCTTTCTTGCGCGGCTTGGCGGCTCGGCGTCATCGTCCTCGGAATCCGTAGAGGAGCTGCTGGTCCTGACGGTGCGCCGACTGTAGGTCCTCGTCGCCAGGGTGGCGCGCGACCTCGTCCTTGCCAACGACTGGTTCGACCGCAAATCATCGTCCAGCGGCGTCTGTCCCCTTCGGATCCTAGCCTCAACCGCCCGCTCGCCCACTAACCTGCCCAACGAGCTCGCGTCCCTCGAGGAGAAGGTCTTCCTAGACGCGGCGCTCGCCATGCTTGAACTCCTCGTGACGGGCACCTTGCCCTCCATGACTTTTGCTGGTGGCGGTGGCTGAAGCATCCACCGGAGGGCGTCCTTGTGTGCTGGCTTGCTGCTGACGACCGGCGGGTGGTAATCGTTGACAGGCGGGTTCCTAGGGGTGAAATAGAAGTTGTACCGGTCCTCGTCCGTGACCTGCTTCTCGAGGCCAAGCTTCGACTCCATGTATCGACCGGCTGTCGAGCCGGCCTGTTTGATCACGTCCATCAGTTTGTGGCCTGACCACGTAGACTCTTCGCCCCAGAGCTCTTCGTCCTCGCGTTGGTACCGTTTTACGTTCCAGTCGGCGCTTGTTGATATCGATACCGTCTTGCTGAGCGTCGGGCTTGTTGGGTCCTCCTCGTGCACCACCGTCGGGTCACTCGCGATCCCAGGAACGTTGAAGGGGTTCGTCGACGACCTGGGGCTGGCAATGGAGCCCATCTCGGACATGCTGACAACAACGCTACTTCCTGTGCCAATGCTCGGCCGCCCATCTCGACTGGCGGCCGTGAGCCGCCGCTGACTGAGAGTCTTGGAAATCCCCTCGCTCCCTCTCCTCTTCTTCGGCAAGCTCGGCCCCATGCGGATCTCCTCGTCCCAGTACGGGTTTGTGTGATACGGGTCCGGATGCCGATATAGGTGTGGCTGTTCCATGACAATGCGCTCCTTGATCTCCCTCTCCCTCTTGGCCTGCTGCCGCGTTCTATGTTGATGTTGTAATTGGTTGCATGGCGTGCAGGCGAGGAAATAGAACAGGGCGGACTGAGCAGCGGCTAGGTACGACATGGCCGGGTTGGCTTTCAGGCATCTCCCAGCTGAGCAGACGATTGCGTTCCCAGGATGTTTGAGAGCATATGCCGCGTTTTTCTGGAAATCCGTTCTTTAGGAAGTTCTCGTCTAATAATGAAACGTACGGAGGGTGGCCGCCGGAGAAAATACGGCCGTAGCGACAATCATAGCAGGTGCGCTCCGGCGCAGGAGTCGGGGGCAAACGATAGAGGCACTCGGGTATTCCGTTCTGTTCGTTCCAAGAGGCCGGGCGAGGTGCAATGCCGGACTGTATACCTCCGATAGGGGGCGGGTGCACGGAGAGGGGAAGCAAAAAGGTAGAGTGAAGGGTGTCGGTACGTAGTAACCTGGCGACTGTCAGGAAGTCACCCCAGCAGGACTCGGCCTAAATGTCTCTGCTTCTCGGCACAGCATGCATATGCAAACAGCTTGCGAGGTTTGTCGAGGCGGTTGGCATGCGGACCTGGAACCGGGACGACAGTGGGTGCCAAAGACGGAACAACCGGCAACACACAGCATACGTTCTGTCCGGGGAACCAGGAATTGCTTGACTACCAATGTAGGTAGTTGAAATAGACGCTGTCTGTCAACACAAAATGAGGGAAGTAGACACGGGCTGTTGGGTGCCTGTACGGAGTATTGTGTTGAATCTCACCAAGGGACTCGGAAACAAAAGAGTAGCACAAGAAGTGAAAGTGGGCTGCGGATCGAGCAAGGTCAATGAACGGAAACCATGGCTGTTGGGAGCAAGGCAAACCGCGGGGGCGCGGGTTGGGGAAATGTAATTTTGATACACGAGAACAAGCCCCCTTCCAGTCTTTGGTCCAGGGGCGAAGGCGACCAGCGCTAAGATTTGCAAGGATAAACACCCAGACCCGCAAGGGGAAGAAGCGTGACGGAGGGATCCAGCCCCATGTTAAACTCGGGACGATGCACCGGGCGGCCAATGGAAGAAGACTGACGCATTAATGTACGAAAGCTACAAGCGCTTTGGACGGGACATTACACTTATACAAAATCTTTCGAACTGCGGTGGCTCAAGCCAGGGCAGCTTGGACACTGACCCAGTAGATGTAACTTAAACCGTCACCGATTGATAAGATCAGGTGATTACCTTAAGTTACCTGTCTGGGATGGCGGGTCGAGGAACTTCCAGTTGCATGGCTCCAGCGACAATGCGGCTGGAGTCCAACATACAGCACAAGGTGCAACACTGGCAATTTTGACCTGCAGCTTTGGGAAAGTGGAGAAGCCCTACTCCCTACCTAGGTATTACTGTGTAATCAAGTGTACGGTGCATCAAACGGTAAAATTACATTCCAAGCACAACCAACGCAGAACGGTTGCCCTTCGCCAACAATGTTGAGAGGTTTTTTTTTCCTACATGCGGGCATTACAGCAGCCGCATGCACGCGTGGAAGGTGTATGACACGTGGATGCTGTGGAGGCCCATCTCTCGAGCGAGGAAACCGAACTCCCGACGATCTCACCCACACCCTGTGCTCAATTGCTCAAGGATGACTTGGGCGATCGGTTGTTTCGGCAAACTTCAAGACCTCGCCGAGGGCATTTTGAAACAACTAGCACTGGCCGATCCTGCAGCTCAACCGCCCTAACACAAACCGCACGGGGCCCGGGAGGAGGAGGCCTTTGGTGATAGGGATTCTCCTGAATGTGGTTGTTCTTGTTCTCCCACTCAGTGAGTGGTTGGGAACATATGTGTATTTTCCACCCCATACAGTATACTCCTCGACGGTGTGTTGGTCAGGTGCCGCATTCTACTACGGTTCAAGGACACCCGTTGGATCACAACACCAGAATCAGGTGTATGCAACAGATCAAGACGCCAGTTACATCGTGCCTCTGTGACACATTCCCCGCTCTCTTGGCGGACGGCATAGAAGTCTTGTAAAGTTTCGCATGTCGATGGGATTGAGGAAGAGATCCCGCCACCTGTTGCCACGTTTCGGCCAGGCAGATTTTCGAAACGGAATTGCTCTAATAATGGGCTCGGGCAGATTGTTACACAAGCAAGGTAAGCAATGTCACAGGCAGAAGCAGACCAGAGAACAAAGCAAACAGGTCCATGATCAAGCAAGATTTGGCCCTCATCAGGCGCGGTAGCATGATCCTACTGCACTTCTTCATATATCAATCGTCAACAGGGACTCAAACTTGTGAACCTTCGTTCCATGGCGTTGATAAATCGTCTGCTCTGCAACAGCTTTGCCCCAGCCCACCATCCAATTCACGCGCCTTTTGTCACAGGAAACCATTGGTCCTGAGAATGCTATCACCCCAATCACGACTACAAAGAGAGAAGAAGAAGAAATCTTACAAGATCAGTAAGGAAAAGAAATAGAAAGTTCAGAGGCTAAGGCTCCCAAGGCACATTTTCCGATTGGTAATATACATACACAAACTCCTTGCCCGTCTGATCAGAGAAAGCCCAACTGAATGTATATAATGAAGAAAGAAGACCAGCGCCAGTAGGCTTGACCTGGGGCTAAAGCGCCATAAGGGGAAAGGCGGGCGCGAGAGTTGCAGGACGTGAGAAGTGGTAGGCATCATAGCTCTGGCCGTGCGCACATACTCAAGTGCTTCAGACATCCCACTCGTTCTCCTGGTCGCCCTCGTGGTCGTCGTTTGTGCTCAGCGCAGCAAAAGCCGACTTCTGGGAGAAGGCCTTGGCGGGTTTCTTGGGTGCAGCACCGGAGGAGTGGTTGCTTGCAGCCCGGGCCATGGCGGCGGGCTGCTGTTGGATCGCCGTGGGCTCCGAGTCGACCGGGCTCTCCGCCGCGGGCTCCTTCTTCTTCTTGCTGGTCTTCTTGGTCGTCACCGTATTCCATGCCTCTTCGCCACGGAGCATCTCCATCTGCTCCTCCTCCGAAGGCAGAGTGGCAATCCAGCTGTCGGAAGGGTTGGTAATGACAGGGGTGGCGGTCTTGGGAGCCGATACGTCGGTGTAGCTGCCCGTGTCCAAGGTGTCGAGAGGCTGCACGGGGAGGAACCCGTCGTTGGTGGCGGCACTGCTGGTGGTGCTGCCATTGACACCGTTGCTGCTCCAGGCAGACGACTGGGCTTTTGCAGCAGCCATAAAGCCAGAGCCGTCCTTGGCAGGCCTGCCCTCGGCAATGCGAGCCTGTCTCCTCTGAGCCTCCATATCAATCTTCCTCTGCTTCTCAGCCTCCTCGCGGAGGGCCTTGGCAGCTTCGGCCTTCTGGCGGTTCTGGCGCTGCTTCTTGGTCTCAACCTTCTCAGGCTCCTTGGCCTTCTTCTCCTTCTTGGGCTTGACCTTGTCGGTGTCGGTAAGGCGCAGGACCGAGGGGCCGGCAGCCTTCGGCTCGAGCATGTCGCTGACACCGGCGGCGTCGACGGCCTTGATGTCGGGAGAGGGTGTCGACGAATCGTCATCGTCGGCATCGGCGCCGGCAGTTGACGAGGCAGCAGAGAACTTGGTCTGGTCGGCCTTGTCCTCAATGATCTGGGCGCGCGACTGCTTCACCGACTTGTGCCGCTTCTCATCGCTCTTCTTGGGCGCATTGAGATTGGTGCCTTGCTTGACGTTGGCCAGTTGGCGGGCAAATTCTCGGTTATCGACACCATCATCCGAGCTGTAATTGACCGACTGCACAGGCGAGGATGGCTTGGATGCCCGTGCCTTTGCTTGTGACGTCTTATTCACATCCTCGACATCTTTACTGTAGGCCTCTCCTCTCTGACGCTTGGCCTTCTCTTTGGGCTCTTTGCGGTTCTGATTGTTTGGCTTGTCGTCCAGGCGCTGCCGATGCGAGGCACTGCGGACAGCGTCACGAGCCTTCTTCTGTTGCCCTGGAATACCAAAGACGACAATGTAAACGGTTCCGATGACGACGGTCCATCCGATCAGGGTAGACAGGGAAGCGCCCATGGTTGCTATTCAATTCAGGGGGAGCGCGGTTGGCTTGATGAGGAGCGGGATTCGCAATCCCTCTTGGAAGGGCGAATACGCGACAGGCTCGCCTATGACGGCAGCGAGACGCGGCCGACTCGGATAAAGATTTGGACGTGAGCGAGAGTTCAATGTGAAGGTGGATGAAGATGGCAGATTCCTTGATTGACCGCAGGTAACACAAGGTCCAGGCTGAGGTACGAGCTTGGCTTTGCGAAGGGGCCGACAGGATCGGAGATCAACTGACGTTTTGCTTGTCGGAAATGTTGGATAGAGACAGGCCCCGAGTAAGTGTGTGCTGCAATGGCCAGGCGCTAAACAATGGCAACAGAGAACAGGAAAAGGGGAACTGTCTGTGGTGAGGTAACTCGAGGGTCGCAAACCAGCCAGCGTTGGCAGGTGAAAGGTGTTCAGAAGTCGGTTCCTCTTTTGGCGCTCCCCATTCGTTAGCCCAGCTAATCTCACGGAAAAGTTGCCGTGACATGGTTCACGGCTTGCGTTCGAGGTTAAGCGAGGCTTGGCCACGGGCTCTCACGTGACTTGATGTAACCACAAGGATGAGGCAGGTGGGAACCATGCGATTGGATGGAGGGGAAACAAGTTCAAGGAGGTATACAGTGGCAAATGATTGTAGCCCCGAAGGCGCGCGGATTTGGCATTCTTAAGTACTAGTCAGAGATATGGTGTGTAAGTCTGCTCTTGCAGATTTGAGCACCATGATACTAGACTGCTCTTGAATCAGCGGTTGCGTACGTCCGTGAGCGTCTCATGAGTGGGGTCTGCCCGGATCATACCTTTTAGCAATTGAAGCTCCCAAGTCGATGAAACGAGAGTTCGTGGTTACCCCAAGTGCTGGGTGTTTTGCATCACAGCCTGACTTGTTTGTAGCTTGTATTTCCTTGAGCCTTTGCTTGCTTGCACGTATGTGAACGGGATCTCTGCCTGTCCCTCACTCCGGGGTACATATCCAATAGTACTATGCCGGTCCCATCTGTATGTGGATTCGTCGAATTGGTCTCGGAGGAGGGCGAGGACCGACGTGGAAATTTGCGAAGGTCCATCTCCTAAATAATGGATAACGGGACTCGGCACCAGATTGGTCACACATTTCCTCGTCTCTAACTACAGACTTTGGATCCTCACTGATCTTCCAAGAAGTTGGGAAACTCGAAAGCAGATTTCCATGCTAGTTGAGAACCTAACATTCACACAGCCAGTCGTTTTCTGAACATTCGCCCCCACAGTTCATGCATTCGGTCGTCGCATGTTGGGTGTTTTGAGACGGCAGTGCCCCTCGCTCACTCACCTCCAGCCCCGCACCCCTTCCATTATTATCATATCATGGCGCCCAAGAACCGCATCATCATCGATACTGACCCAGGTTGGCTTGTACCGAGTTGATCATATCGTTTAGCTCGCCCAGAATGCTGCTAACACAAGGTTAGGTGTCGACGATGTCCTGGCCCTGCTGCTGGCCCTCAGCGCCTCGCCTGAGGAGCTCGAGGTTGTCATGATCTCCGTCACATACGGTAACGTGCCACTGCAAAGGTGCGACCTTCTCACTGGCCCCCCTTTTGGCACACATTGTACATGTGTACTGCCATCTCTGACACGGTTACTCCCAGTTGTCTTCGAAACGTTGTGGCCTTGTTCCACGTGCTTGAGAAGGAAATGACCTGGCGCCAGTCCACGGGCAAGCCCACCTATGGCGCATTGAATGCCTACATACCTATTGTGGCTGTCGGCGCCCAGCATGCCCTCGAGGACGAGGAGCTTGTCGCTGATCATTTCCGTGAGTGCCCGTACATTCCACGGAGGTGGTGGAAGACGAGGCTGATAGATCCAGACGGCGCTGACGGCCTACATGGCGTCCACGATAAAGTACGTGAGACAACAGTCCCTCCTCAGCCTCCCATAGACCGCTAATCCATCAGACAGCACCCCCACTTATCCCCGACCGACGCCTGGCGCAGTCTGTTTGAGGACGTCCCAAGCGAGTCCACCAGCTCGGCCGAGCCGCCGTCGTATTCGAGGTTCTTCACCCCGAGCAAGACCCCTGCTCATAAGGAGATGCTCCGGATTTTGAAAGAGGAGCCAGAGAACACGGTCTCGATCGTTGCCATCGGACCCCTGACCAACGTTGCTCTGGCGGCATCCGACGACCCGGAGACCTTCCTACGTGTCAAGGAGCTCGTGGTGATGGGAGGTGCTGTGGGAGTGGAGGGCAACGTCAGTCCGTGTGCCGAGTTCAACTGCCTCGCCGACGCCGTCGCCGCTGCCCGCGTCTATGCCCTGACCTCGCCTGTCCCCTCCTCCACCATGCCGCCCATGATCCACGGCAAATCCTTCCTGTCCCCCTACCCGGACAAGCTCTCCCGCCAGCTCAAGTTGACGCTCTTCCCGCTCGACATCACCACCCCGCACGAGCTCAGGCGGTGCGCCTTCAACGACCGGATCCAGCCGCTCAAGGAGGCCGGGAGCCCGCTCGCCCAGTGGACCGACACCTTCATGAACGGCACCTTTGACAAGATCGACTCGATGCTCGGCGAGGGCCACAACGAGGGCCTGTCCCTGCACGATCCCCTGTGCATCTGGTACATGCTGACGCGCGACGACCCGGCGTGGAAGACGGTGCCCAAGCCCGAGGACATCCGCATCGAGACGTGCGGGCAGTGGACCATGGGTATGCACGTCATTGACCGGCGCGCCCGGGCCAAGCCTGCCGAGAAGGACAGCACGGTGCGGACACACCCGGCAGACCCGATGGATGCCGTCACGGTGGACGAGGTGCCGGGCGACACTATGGGCTGGCTGAGCGTGCGCAAGGGCAACAGGATCAACAGGATGCTGGAGTCGCCTGGTCGGGACATCTTTGCGGACGTGCTCCTGAAGAAGGTTTTCGCCTAGATGAGATATAGACCATGGTTCCATAGATTTGTTTTTTTTTCTCATTGTAGGGTATCTTTTCTTTGATGTCGATGTAAATACCGAGCGTCCAGCCCTCTCTCCGACTGTCAGCAACCATTCGTGAGGGCTTCAAAGAGAGTGTTCTGTGAGAGGCATACCCTTGGACGGCACCCGGGCAACTTCCAAATTCCCAAAAGCAGGTGCGCAGAAAGGAGGAATCCTCCCATCCCCTGGAACATGTTGGTCTCTCCACACATCCAAACCCAACAGGGCGCCATGTTACTCTCCGGTGCTCCCCCTCCCCATCGTCTGTACAGGATGCCCGCTTGCCGCATGCCGTGAACTCGAGCCACCAGCGGGCGCCTCCACGCATCGCTTGCTCGCTCCGACGCCCAGGATGAAAGCGCAAGGAAGCGGTTCTAGTGTTTTGTCGTCCCAATCGGCGCGCCTTTCACTTCGGTCCAGTTGATGCTGGCATCGAGCGCCTCGTCCACCAGCCCCACTAGGCACACATTCTCGCCCCGGATAATGTACAGCCCCAGCGGCACCTCGGCCGAAGGCTCGCCGTCCTCGGGGCTGCGGATCACGCGCTCAACCGTATTCTTCAGGACCTGAAGAGTCGGGAATATTATTCTTAGTTTTGGATGTTCGGATGTCCAGGGTGAAGGGAATTAGCGACAAGAGGAAGGAGGAGATGGCGGGGGCGTACCAGGTTGGTGGTGTAGTCGTGGGCTGCCAGCACGCCGACAAGATTGCGCCCGTCGGTGGTGATTATGCACACCTTCTCTAGCGGCATGTCATTAGCTAAATATGGGGGGAACAGCGGTTAAGGGGGAAGCCTTCTCGCTTACTGTCGACATAGGCGTTCAGCGACATTGCGACGGTCGATCGCGACGGGTCACTCCCACCCCGAGCTGCAGACAGATCAAACCGATGGAGCAACTCTGCGAGATCTGACGCACAAGTTGTTGCTTGGCCTGCGCAACGGAATTGGTCGTGTTTTCGTTCCCGTCGCAAGCAAGTGCCTCTTCCAAGTTCAACCCAATCCAGACCAAGCTCCGAAGCTGTGAAGCTTACCCGTGTTTCGTTATATTGAGTGGGGTCCTTCAGTTTAACGGGGCCGAAAGTCGGATATGCAAGTTATCTTTATTATCAACTATCAAGATACCAACGTTAAGCGGGGCGTCTTCGTGTATATCCGTAATCCTTCCTAGCGTCAACCCCCTTAGCAACCAACTGCTGCCAGAGCCCAAGACAAACGGAAACATCGACAATCTTCCAGGAACAACGAGAGACCATAGACACGGATTTTGACGCGCAATAATGTGAGTAAGGTAACGCACTGTGAAAGTATACAGCTGCTATCCCATTGCTTCCACCACCAGACATGAGATACCGACACAACCCAAACATGAAGTTCAAAACTGCTATTCATATTTAGAATCTCTTGAGTTGGGGGAACAAAACAGCAAAAGTTTACCAGCTAACCCTTTGCACTATCGTGTAAGAGAGGTAGTCGGCTTCGAAATTTTCGGGAGGGTTTACTTCGTGGAAGGGCGCGCCCGGCGGGTCTTGGAGCTGAACTGGTGACCTCTCGGTCGTAACCGAGAAGACTCACCACCAAGCCCTGGGAGGGGCGACCACCGCTGATGACTGTTAGGCCACTCAGCGGTGGTCGTTGAGGGTTGGGAACCGGGACCTGCTACATATACCACTGGGTGGCGCCCACCGGAAGGACTGGGACAAAGCTTCAGTTGAAAGGATACGGAGTCCATCTATGGCTGGGTATTCTTGCTTGAAGTACGGAGTACAACTCCATGCATAGTAATGCTGCCTTCCTCCTTTCTTTTTTTCTTCCTGGTTTCCTTCTTCTCTTCCTTCTCCCTCACCTAACGAAAGGCTTCGAATGCATGTCAGCACACCATTCCAGGAGCTCAACCAAGCCGGATCGAAGGGTGCTGCTCCATATCAAACCTTGTAAGTTTCTCGAACTCTCGAGCCTCGAGAGATGAGACGCCTTGACCCAAGATCCACGGTTGTCCGGACTCCATCTTCACTCCAAGGCCAGACCAAAGGCACGGTTAAGTTAACAGGAAAGGAGCCAAGGGTTGGGCACCCTCGAGAACAGGAAGAGACATGAGCGCAACGCCGAGACAGAGAATAGATGTAATCCAATCCTCTCGCTTGGAAGCCCTTGTTTGCCAACGCGCCCTACACATTCCTGACTTTCATTCTATAATGCCCGAAGTCAGAGAATGCCACATAGACGACGAGACCCGCGCGGCCCTGCAGACGACCATGGCCCGGCGTACGCTTCCACTCTGCGCCAAATTAAGAGCCTACTCGGAGTGTTGATACTCTTCAATGTCAACCCTTGGGCACAACCCCTCTCGGAAAAAAAAGTCACCAAGGCCGTGGCGGAAGCAGCCAGGCACCAACATTGAACTGACCCCTTTTCGCCGTACACATGAGCGTGATCAAGCTGCCGCCAAGCCGCCGGCCGTACGCGCTCATCTGCTACGATCCCTTCCTCCATGTCTCGGGATGAATGCGACCACAAAGACTCTACGAAGCCAGTTTCTCGCAAGACCCTCATCAACCGATTCACGGGATCGTCAAGCGCGCGAACAGCTACCATGTCATGAGGAACAAGCGACTGGATGACACAACGGCACGCCAGTACAAGCACCTGCAGGGAAATGCGACAACGGCCCGCGGCCGTACTTTGTAGATGGCCTCTATCCGCACCCATATGTCGATGGGCGGCAGGTCGAGCGGTCCAAGGACGGAACGCGCCAGCCAGCCGAACCGGAAGAATGGGACTGGGAGCAGCCCGAGCGGAGTTGGGCGTTGGCCCGGGAGAGAATGAGTTGAAGGAGGACGGGGACGAGGTGGGGGAGGGGTGACCTTGGAGAACAATTGGTGGGAGAAAGGCAAGGCCTTTCCATCCTTACAAGCACATGTAGAAGATAGTGATCTTATTGAGTGGCCAAGTTCCGTGCTTAAGACCTCCGTCCCCCTGTCAAGCCAGGCCATAAGGGCATTGGCAGGATTTTAAGCTCGAAGGCCTCCCAGCAAGAAAGTAAGCCTGCAAGATAGTTAATCAACTCAACCCCCGGAAGATGTCACTACGCCAACGACACGGGAATCCGGAAAATTTGCCGTAGGAACGAGGTCATCGCCAGCCTAAAAGCAGACCAGGTCCGGACGACACATGCACGGAGACGAACCGACCATCGACCTTCCGAGTCCGGAAAACTGAAAGGACGGAGGTTAGCCGCCGGAGAAGACGCGGCATCCTGCGTGTAATAACCAACCACTCGAAATATCAAGGCCGAGTTGAGGTTTCTGCACCAACCGGCCGCCCTCGGGGGTGTTGGAACAATAGATGCACCCAGCTCCAGGGGGTGGTGGGATCTGTTAGTAGGGCTGGTTATAGATCAAAGCTGGGCCTTCCGAGCTTGTCGTGACAGTTTCGGCACGTCAAATGGGAAACCTGCCAATAACCTGCCAACTTGGGGCCTCTTGGGCCCAGCAAGAGACACGTCGAACGGGACGGCACAAGATGCGGCAGCCAAGCAAGCCACTGATGTCGACGTGCACATCCCCCATGAAAAGCTTATCCCCACGCCATATGTGCAAGCTCCCGCTAGAGATTTTATTGCTTTCCCAGACGGCATGTGCTGGCTGAATCCGGAACAATGAGGCTCGGCGCCAACCCGCTGGATGAGCAGCGTCCTCTCCGAGGGGAGTCGTAATATGGTCTCGGAATGACGGATCTTGGCCGGCACTGTTGATTTTGTTGGCCCGAAATCAACTCCCTCCAATAGACAGATCGGTTACTACCTTACCGTAGCATGTCGCAAATCACATCAAATAGTGTTCAGCTGCAGTGCTGCACGGAGTGTCGAAGATAAGGCGCCCTCCGGTGTCGGAATTGAGGAAATAGAAACCCAAAGCCGGAGAAGGCGGCATCGTATGGTCCACGGCGACGCCATTCGGGCATTGTTGAGATGTAGCTCGATGTGCTTCCGACACCACGTGTAGGGCAGGAAACGGTTTCTGCGAAGCTTGCGTGTACGTTCGGTCGAATACGTGCGATCCGTACGGAGCTACGGATACATGACTTCCACAAGTCGTTGGACCGCGGCTTGGCAAAAGCCACTCCCGCAGCCAACCTCGGATCCTTCGGGCGCATATCTTGTCCAGCTGGAGCTGCTATTCGAGAGCTTGAGATGCGGGCTGCCAGAAAAAGGCAAGCTGGAGCTTATGTGCGAAGCTGACACCTGCGATCTGCTCAGCTGCTGCCCAACAGATGCGGGGACTACTGAGACCCCGCCATGGGGAACTGAGAGTCGCACAAACAATATGTCTGTCCCCAACCCACGACGCTGTCTTTGGTAGTAGACCTGTCGACCTGGTAGGTTCTGGGATCTGTGATGATCCAAACATCGTCTCGATTCTGGAGCAGGCCATTCTACAAAGCCGTCATCTGTCGTCATCCCGTGCCGTCGTCTTGGCTGGCCGGTACCCTGTTCAACCAGCCGCCTCGTTCAATATCCACTGCAGAAACGGGTGCCAACATGTCCAACATGTTGACATCCAACCGGCTGAAACAGGTCCTGAGCCAGGGAAACCGCCCGGCCATGGGGTTCTGGCAGATGCTGCCTGGGGCCAACCTCTCGAGAGTGCTAGCCCGCGCGGGGGCCGACTGGGTTATGGTGGACTGCGAACACGGCAACATTGATGGTAGGGAGCCAGCCCGTCCAGAGCCGCGTCTCTGGGACCCTACATTTGCAATCTATCCCTCCCGTAGCAACCAACCGAGCTGATAATGGCGTTTGCAGATGCTGCCATGCATGAAGCGGTTCCTGCCATCGCTGCTCTGGGCGTTTCGCCGATCGTCCGCCTACCAGACCTCCACCCGTGGATGGTGAAACGTGAGCGTCCAACCCAGCTTTGCGGCCAACAATTGTCTGGCACTGACTCCACAGCCAGGAGCCTTGGATACCGGGGCACACGGCGTAGGAATGACCCTGATGAGTGTACCCCGTCCGAGGTCAGCCGTCATTTAACCCATTTCCAGATTCTTGTCCCCCTTATTCGGACCGTTGACGAGGTGAAAGCGGTGGTTGCCGCGGCTAAATTCCCGCCAGAAGGGCAGCGCGGATTTGGTTCTCCGTTTGTGCTGCAGAACTTCGGGCCCGGGTTGACTATGACAGACTATCTGCAGCAAGCAAACGGAAGCCTCTTGACCATGGTGCAGATCGAGACACAAGAAGCGCTGGATTTGGTGGAAGAGATAGCGCCGCTCGTTGATGTCGTGTTCGTTGGGCCATTTGACCTGGGGAACAACATCGACCACCCAATCATCAACGGCAAGATGGACCCCGAGCTGGACCAAGCCATCGGCCGGATTCTGAAGGCAACCGTGGCAGCTGGCAAGAAGTGCGGCATATACTGCAGCTCTGGGGAGGAGGCGAGGGAGTGTGCCGATAAGGGGTTTCACATGATCAGCGTCGCAACCGACTACTCAACGCTGTGGGCCGCGATGGCCGGCACGCTGGCCGTTGCTCGGGGTGAAGCGAAAGGAGCTAAGGGCGGTTCGAATTAGGCGTGTAACTGAGTTATGCTCGACGGAGGGGTGTTGAACAACGTTCTTGGCCATGGCTTCGGAGTTTCTTCCCCATTGATATCACCAAAGTACTCTGTGTCGTCTTGGCTCCCGACAACAACCGAGCAAGGGCGGTTCTGTCACTTCTCAACCGAGTCCATCTTTTCCATGACCTCGTCAACGGTAAACCTGTGCATGAGTTTTACTGCCTTTGTTGATTGCTTCGGGTCCTCTTCTGGCGACTGAGCCTTGCTGATATGAATCTGAGTGATGGTTGAGCATGTGGGAGACCAACAGCGGAGAGACAGCCGCGGAGTGTCTGCGGTTAGTTCCTGCTTGGCTGGGTTAACTCACCACGGGCACGTCAAAATCGTACAGGTCTCGCCAGCCTTTTGACTCGGGCTTGACGATATCAACCTCCTTAAACACAAATGGGCGCCTATCCCAGACATCGGACAGCACTGAGCGCGCCTGGGTGCACAGTCCGCAATTCTCGCGTGTGAAGAGGGTTATCCTACACGACTGAAGCAGCCGACCTGTGACATGCATTTTGGGGACGTAGAATTGCGGTACCGTCATATGTTGATGGAAACGGGGAATGTCTTGTAGGAGAGATGGATGAAAAATTGAGAATGCGAGTTGGCTCTTCAAGTACGGAGGTACATCCGTACAGAGTAAAACGAAACGGATAATTCTTGAGAAGAGCTAGTCCGTTTCAGGGCTAGTGAGTGCCCGGGGATGCGATTTACTGAGTTCGCCGCCCCGCCTTCTCCCAGGGCCCAGCGAGGAGCTGCAGTTCTGGGTGAGAAGCTTCCATTGTCTTCGAGAGCTTCCTCACGCCAAGTTCTACCATTTTCCTGTAGCTATTTGCTCGCGACAAACTCAACCCAGCTGCTCGTTGTTTCTCGCTTCAAACAGGACCATAACATTGACTTTCATTTCACCTCAAAGTGAGCCCAATTCGGTAATTTCGCCTCCCAGAAACGTCTAACTCTCGGTCAGTCGGACGCGGTCAAACAGAGACGGCCATGGCGCAGAAGTGTGTCCATCAAGGTTGCGGCAAGATATTTGCAGATACAGATGAGATCTGCCGCTACCACCCGGGCCCTCCAATTTTTCACGAAGGACAAAAAGGTAACTATGCCTGCCAGTGTTCCATGTAGAATACGTACAGCATTTTGGTCGATTGCCAAGCTAACCACAACTTTCTCACACGCAGGATGGAGGTGTTGCAAGCCACGCGTCCTCACCTTCGAGGAGTTCATGGCCATCGAGCCCTGCACCGAGGGCAAGCACAGCACCACGGATCTGCCACCCAAGGTCGAGAAGGCCGAGGCGGATCCGACCCTCCTTGCGGCCGCGAATCTCCCTCCACCCCCGCCTCGTGCCCCGATTACTGCACCCCAACACATACCCACCCCGCCCCCGCCGACCCCAGATTCCGAGGATGACGACGAGTCAGTCGAGATTCCGGATGGCCGGGTCTGCCGGCGCAAAGGCTGCGGGGTCACCTACAAGAAGGGGCCCAGCCGGGAAGGGGAGAAGTGCGTTCACCACCCCGGCGCCCCCATCTTTCACGAGGGCAGCAAGGGCTACACCTGCTGCAAGAGACGCGTACTGGAGTTTGACCAGTTCATGAAGATTGAGGGCTGCAAGACCAAGGACCGGCACTTGTTTGTGGGGAGTGGGAAGAAGGACGCCACCGGCAAGGGGCCTGACGCTGGGGGTGAAGAGCTGCTGGAGACGGTTAGGTGAGTTTGCTCCGTGTTTCCTCGATCTGCACTTGGCATCTGCTTGGACAAAGTCCTGCGCCTGGCCAAGACACAGCCAAGAATGGCTGTGCCTGCGCACAACACTGAGCGGCTGGCGGAAGTTGCTCTTTGACTGCCAACACGACTGCAGCCCAACCGGGACAATGTGCTTATTCCGTCGCTTTCTCCGCAGGTACGATTACTACCAGACCCAGACAGCGGTAATTGCCTCCTTCTTTCTCAAGAAGATTGACAAAGAGGCCGCCAAAGTGGAGTTTCAGGAACGCGAACTGGCCCTCGACCTGCCCACGACGGATGCGCCCCGGACAAAGCGGTACAAGGCGCAGGTGCCGCTTTACGGGTCCATAGATCCCGCCAAGTCGAGCTTCAAGATCCTGGGCACCAAGCTTGAGGTGTCACTAGGCAAGGCAGATGGCAGTTCTTGGCCGGTATTGCGAAGCGACGATCGGCTAACAGGTGAAATTCTCCAAATTGGCCGAGCCGGAAGAGCCTAGTCGAAGGAGAAAGAAGAGGAAGGAGATGGAGATGTCGACTTTGCCATGCTCGTCTTTCCGCCATTTTCCCCCGGTGCAAAGATAGAATCCCGTTGTCGCAGCGACGACTCGCCAAGGGGCGGCTCACGGAGAGGTGAAGTTCAAGTCCCCGTGCGTGTACGCGGCTTCTCGGGGCAAACAAGCTACAGAGTAGGATTGGGCTTCTTCGATTATTAGAGGCTTGCGGAGATCTGATAAGGGAGATGGTGGGATGGTGCGGGAGGGACGAGACGAAAATGGCCGAAGATGATTGGGACGGGCCGGCAGAACCGCACCAGACATGGGCAAAGGCAAATGCCGACATACACTGTAGCTCAAAAATGCTCGAGCTGGACTTCCATTGGCGCGTACCGTATCCTCTCGAGGAACGCGTCTTGGCCCTGGCCTGGGTGCCAACGGTGGCTGAGTTATTCGTGGTTTTACAACCCATAACGGACGGAGTATCCGTAGTCTTGTCTCGACTTCCGACCTCCATCCACCTCACCGGATTCTCGGTTCTTCTTTCCCATTATCCATTTGCTTGCCTTAATGCCTGCTGTAACACCCGAGACACGTCGTCATCCTTTCTTCGCGTAGCCCCTGTTCCGGTTGGGCAGCTGTCCCAGGCCCTTGGTCAGCCCAATACACGACGAGACATTGAAGATAGATCAGCAGACCTTAGCCACGGCTTTGTTTCTCCACGTGCTGACCGGCATGGCTTGTCAATCCACACAATCCATGCTTTGTTGCCGACAGTCCCATGTCATTGTCCTGCTGATAACCGCGAAACCAGCTGTCATCACACGTTTCGCAACCCTATACCCAACACAGACAGGCGGAGCCGTTCGGGCTGCTCCCGCTCAACGACAGCGCTCCGTCTGGGCGTTCTGTTAGCGGGATGCAACCCCAATGACCCTCTCTTTTATCGCAGGCGAATCGGATGCTGCCGCCGAGACCTTGGGAGACTAACCGGAGATCTCTCAGATCTTCGGCTCAACCGCGGCAGTGCATCTCCCAAGATGCAGCAAAGCCTTATCTCTCGGTACATTTGCATCAAGGTTTACTGTGTACGGAGTACTGAAGTAGGTAGGCACACCACCACCACCCGTCCGCCCCACACGTACGTACTGTGGTATTGATTGTCCAGGTTGAACCAAAATGACAAAAACTTGCTCTCTCCTTCCCGATTTCGCCGTTGAATCTTTGCAGTTATACGGTACCAAAAGTTCCCCCAGCCGTGTCAGGTGTGATGAATGTACGTGTACCGATACGGATAAGGTACCTCTACTCTGCATTGCACCACTTGGTACGATACCGTCTCCACCGAACCGTAGTCGATCTGATCTGAGGGCGTGTGTGTTTGTTGTGGATGAGGTTGCGAAGAAGAAAAGGAGGCTCTTCGCCGATCATCCGAATACGGCAAACCCCCTTCCAACGCACAAGTTGCTGTGTATCGTTACCGGCTGAGCCAGAAATGGAAAAGGGGCACCGCAACGGGCTTGTGAGACAAGTTTACGCACCAATGTGACTTCCTGCTTCGCTTCGTTCCAGGAAGAATCGAGCTGTCGCTATCTGCAGGTTCAAACGCACATATGCCTGGTGTTGTCAGACACACACACGTCCGTTGTCCTGCTACCCCGTGCACAACATGAAACCCGAGCCAAGGCCATGGCGAGAGAAACTGTCGGTCCGTTCCCAGCGTTTGGTGTAGCAAGACTTTACTGATATGATGTAAGATTTGGAAGGTGTTTGTGCACACACTCAAAACCCCAATGCCATGCAGGATGAAAACCACTACTGGTATAATGATGGAATACCACAGAAAATTCCACATTTGGAAAAAACAAAGTGAAACTGCTCAGGAACCAGTGCTGCCAGCCAGTGCATGCCCAGAATAAAAAAAAAACCAAAACAAACCACCCGCCATTTTCGTTTCCCCTTCGCCTGCCCGCATAAAATACCATTCCAAAAAGAAAGAGAACCCAACGCTCGTAATCCCAAGCAGAGACCACCAGGTAAAAGAAAGACAATTGCCCTTTGCCAAGGACAACCTTTTATACCACCCAACCAACCAACCAACCCAATCGGCGATGCCACGACGCCCAGGCCCGCCTCGCTCACACAGAAAAGACCAACGAGTGAGACGTCATAAAGAGGCGCAACCCAATGGACTCCCAAGAAAGACCATAACGTAAAAGCTGTAAAAAAAGACCCTAGAAAAGGAGACTCGTCATGTCACACAGGGGAGAGGTCCGGACCCAGTTCGGGCGGCGAGACGATCCTCACCACAGGTGACCGTGGGCTGGCCGGGGGCGTCCTCGTCGTCGTCGGCGGGTTGGGGGTAGGGGTCAAGCTCCTCCTGGGCGGCCGCTCAGCAGCGACCGTGGGATCCGAGTTGGCGTTGTTGGCGCTGTTGTTGTTGTTGGGGGTGAGGTCATTGACGATGGTCATGGCCTTTTTGAAAGCAATAATGACATGGCCGTCCCCGCGGCCGACGACGACGCCGTGGTTGCACTCGATCTTGCGCGGTGTGTCGTCGTCGGCAAACTTCATGATAGGGTTGCCGTCGGGGGTGAAGCCGAGGAACTTGGCCGAGATTTCCGACTCGTCCTTTTCACTGTCGTCGGCGCGGAGGGTTTGTCTGCGGGGTATCTCTATCAGTTTTCGGGGGAATCTTTTCAACTGTACGAAGCTGATAGGTAGAGGAGGGAGGGAGAGGGAGAGAGAGGGAGAGAGAGGGAGAGAGAGACGTACTCTCTGCTCATGGGCACATCGCGGCAGCTCGTGTCAAGCCGACCGGTAGAACTGTGGCCCGACATGGAGACAGCCCTCCTCCTGCCGCGGCTCCGGGATCGCACTTTTTTAACGCGCCGGTGCACGGCTCCGTGGACGGCATGGCCAATGCCTGCAACAACTAAAACCGGCGTGCCCAGGGCCAGAGCCCATGGTCTGCAGGCAAGAAGACCCATGTTAGCCAGGACTGACCTTGCATTTATTTGCCGTCCGCGTGGGCTTGGGAACGGGCTGCAGCGAACTTACGGGTTCTTTCTCCCCCGCAGACTGTTGAAGACGGCGAGCATGATGCCAAGTATGGCAATGACGGACCCGACCTGCATCATGGTCCAAGTTGACCAGTATAGCGGCATGAGGTCCTCGCCGTCACAAAACTGCAACGCCATCAGGGCATACACCTCCATGACGACAGCGACGACTGAAATGGCGGAATAGATCCCGCAGATGACCATGCATTTTGTCATGATGTTCCTGTACCTGGGAGTTCCGGGCTCCAGGCCTTGGAGGTTGATCTTGTCGAGGTCCCTAGAATGCGAGGAAGGAAGGAGCATGTCAGTTTCGGTGCAGATAGGTATCCGAAAGAGAAAGAGAGAGCCACGAACCCGCTGTATTTCCATGATGCCAAAAAGAGCATGCCTATAACCAGGGCAAAGAGGAACCAATAGATGAAGTCAAAAGAGGTCCGGTCCAGGTGGGAAGCGAAGCCGGCATAGTGCTCGCACCGTTCCGGGTCGATAGGATCAAACCCGCCGGCCATGCTAGGCTGGAGGATGGAAAAGGAAAGGGGGAAGAACCGCGAGTAGCGCAGAGGTGAAGAACAAACGAAGTCAGTTGTGAAGAGTGGTAAGATCGTTCTGGAGATAGTGTAATTTGTGTCCACAGCACTATAATAATTCTCCGGTTTAGTGTCGGGAGCCCTGCCTGTGATGGTTTGCTTCTGATTTCAAGGACCAGGGGGATGGGGTCCGCCGGAGGGTTTATATCATGAAGCAATGATGGCTGCTGTATGACGGAAAGGAAACCGAGTGAAGCGCAGATGAATATCCGTCTTGACAGGGCTTCGATATCTCCCTGCCGCAGAACTCTGCAGCCACACCCGAAGGCACCGACCCCAGAAAACTGATAGATACATGGGAAGAGCCGAAACTGCCTGGGTTACTGTTGGCAGGGGTGCATCGACCGTCAACAAACACCCTCTCTCCCCGGGGGGCGTGCGCTGTTGGGACGTGGGAAACGGCAATGTGTAACGGGGGCCCGGGGGTTTCTCTTTGACCGTGAGCTCCACTAGGACATCATCACTTGAGCTTCTGTACGGGCGAAATCATGGAAAGCTGCAGAAAAGAGCCTTGCACAGCAATCGAGATGAATGGTCATGGATCCCATCTCGGCGGTTTGGCATGCACAGAGTAGATTGATATTTTGCTCCACAACTCCTTGGCAAGCCACGGCCGAATGCGGCAGAGCTGGCGCCCCACGGCCGATCGCTCGCGACAGCGGTCAGAAAAGTCGCTGGGCCAAGAGTGGCCGGGTCCGAATGGTGACGATCAGACTTTCCGCAAGATGTGTCGGCGCAGCGCGCCAAGCCGTGCTGGGTCCCACGAAGCGCACAGCCCGAGTCACGTCTCCGTCATCTGCTGCCGCCTTTCTGTTGCCTCCACGGGTCCGACCGCCCAGCTGGCCGTAATCTTAGATTTAGTTCATGCCCGGCATGAGATCAACGGCATCGAGGATCATGGACCTGCTCAGTATATATTCTCGGAGCCACAGGAACTCTTCCCCCTCCTCTTCGCCGTACCGATGCTCCTCCGAGAAACCAAAAGAGCAGGCGATCTTGTCGAGGGCGGCGCGCTCCTCCTCGTAAAGCCAGCGATGGCGAAGCGGGGTGCCGGATGCCCAGGTCACCCGCTTCATCTGATCGTTGGCCGTGAAATGAGCCACCATGCCGATGGTGGCCGTGAAGCCCACGTAGCATAGGGCGCCCGCAAAGGCGAAACCAGTGGCAATATGGGGTTGGAGGGCGTGCTGCAGCTGCGCCAGCTCGGTTGCAATGTAGTAAATAGCCACGGGGGTACCAGCAACGGCGAAGCCTGGGAGCAATGCCTTTTTGATGAGCTTGGACCGCAGAAACGCCCGTGCCGAGTAGGTGTTTTCCAGGATGCCGATTGCGGCGGGCAGATCCTTGGCCTCGATGGCGGCATCCAAGGCTGCCTCGGCGATGGCGGGATCAACAGCGCTATCTGCCTTGTTGGGGTTGCGCTCGACGTACTTGATGGTCCCCGACACCAGCTTTGGCGTGGGCTTGCTCGCATATAGATCGAGGACCTGCGGCAAGCTCTCTGGCCTACCAAGACGTGCTTGAAGCCGGACATACTCTTCGAGGATTTTCCCGGTGAGGACAACTGCCGGTTGGGTAACGATTGTGTATGCGGCCTCCGAAACCTTGTCGATCACGTCCTGGGCCCGTTGTGAAGGGGTGTTCTGGGGGCGGGCCGTCTCCCCAGATTTCAGGTTCATGCCTTCCAGTCCCAGAAGTTGCGAGGCCGGTCTGCGAGTCTCGGCGGCAGCCTCTTCGGAGCGGCGTTCTCCTGCGTCTGGCAGTGGCCTCACGTCAATCTGTGCAAGTGACCGCAGAGCCATAAGAGTTGTCTCTTCAGATGGAATGCCAGAGGGACCCATGAAGCCCCTCATAACGCGGTCCACGCTGGCAATGACTGTTGCTGAGTCTAAGCTGGGGGGTTGGTATGTTACCGCCGCAGCTGTCCTGCCGAATCTGGTTTGCGAAGCTTCCGGGCTCTGCGGACTCGGGGAATTCTGCAGCTGTTTCGACTTTGGGCACGCCTGCGAGGTGGTGAAGGAGCGGGTAACGACGACCCAGATAGGAAATGGCGGGGACCCGTCAACAGGGCGTCTGGTGGGAGACGGAGCCATCGCGGAGCGGCGGGCGGGTGGTACCCACTCTCGTCCGGAGGCCAGACCACAGGCCTGGCAAAAGCGGCGGCCCGAGGTGGGTGAGAACGTCCGGCGTAGCATGACTCCTGATGCAGCAGTTTGTGACCGTGTGATGCTGAAATTGTGAAAATCTTGTATCCCGTTTGAAGTTCAGCGTCTCGATATAAGTGTCTGATCGCAACTGGGTGATCGGTTGGCAGGTGTGGTGTAGTGTCAGGACCAGGTTCAGAAACTCTGGGCAAACAATGGTTGCCAACACGATAGAATAACAAAGGAGCGAAAACTCTGGTGACCTGAACGTGTCCAAGTCGGCGATGCTGAAGAAGATGAAACGAAGCTCGATTTGAGGTTCAAAGAGAGCTTGTGAGCTAACCTGGAAGGTGATAGTGCAGATCCTTGCAGGAATTCAATTGAGCATAAGCCCCATAGACCCTTGCAGCAGATATGCAAATAAGGGGGCAGTACAGAGTACGGAGTATTCGACGTCGAATGCTCTCGGCGCCAAGCACTTTACTCTTCCACAGTCCCCACGTCTCTGCGCCCGACAACCACAGCCCAGTCCAGCAGTGACGCAGACTTGTTCAAGGCAACGAACCATCAACTCTTCAACACCAGGCTGCAAACGAGTGCGTGCCCTTCTCGACCCTTCGACATTCTTGACCCTCCCGGTTCTTGTCATATGCAGGGAACGCCGTAATCAATCCGAAACTCCGACTATTCCAGTTTCCCTTCCCACACTACGTTAGTTGCTCCTATAGCCAGCCGACAATAAGGTGCCGAACGCTCGTCTCGCAACCCTCCCGAGAGCCACCGACTCGGAGCCCAACCCACCATGCCTCCTCCTCCTCCGCCGCCGCCTCCTCCGCCACCCGGCTTTGGCGGGCCACCCCCTCCACCTCCACCTCCGCCACCAGCCGCTGCCGCGCCGGCGAGAGTGCGTTGCGTCGCCTGACCACCCCGCCGAGCAGCACACTAACACTTGGACAGGGCGCCCTCCTCGCCGACATTACCAAGGGAAAAGCGTTGAAGAAGACCGTCACGAATGATCGCTCCGCACCGATAATCGGCAAGGTGTCGTCCGTTGGCGGCCCGGGCCCCTCTGGCCTCGGCGCACCTCCTATCCCGGGTCTGCCCAAGAACCCTGGTGGCCTTGCCCCTCCCGCTCCCGGACTCCGAGCGAGGAGCAACAGCGATCAAAGCGACCGAACGCAACCGGCGGCATCAAGCGACGGGCCACCACAGTTAGCCGGTCTGTTTGCCGGGGGTATGCCGAAGCTGCGGAAGACGGGGGGTGGCGTAGACACGGGAGGTAAGTGACAGCCCGCGTGCCGCCTTCATGGGTGCGCAACTGACCGCGTTTAGCAAGTCGAGACGCCACTTATCTCTCTGATTCTGAGGCACTCCCGCGATCCGCTCCAAGACCACCCGCCGCGCCTGCTCCGCCCATTCCTGGCAGGCCGTCCTTCCCAGGTGCATCCAGCGCTCCGAGCTTGAATATCCCAAAAAAGGGGCCACCCCCTCCGGTCGGCAAGAAGCCGCCTCCGCCGCCTCCTGGGTCTAGGAAACCTTCTTCAACCGTCTCTTCTGCGGCCCCGCCTCTACCTGGCGCGCCAGCACCCCCGCCTCCCTCCTCAGCGTTGTCACCTCCTCCAGCTCCCCCGCCGCCGCCTCCTCCATCCGCAGCCCCACGACCGCCGCCTGCCCCGGCGCGGTCACAACCACCTCCACCCCCGCCATCGGCATCAACAAGCAGCATCTCGCAGAGTATCGCGGCACAGGCAGCCATCCGCGCTGCATCCAGCGTTGCCCCACCTCCAGGCGCAGCACCCCCTCCACCACCACCTCCTCCGCTTCCCAGCGCACCACCCCGCTCAGCACCTCCGAGCTCCCCACCACCGGCGTCCGCTCCTCCTCCTCCTCCCCCTCCGCCTCCGCCTTCCGCAGCGCCGGCACCGCCCCCGCCACCATCCGCAGCACCAACTCCACCACCACCCCCCCCCATCTCGCACTCTGCGTCAAGCGCATCAGGGCGATCGTCGATGCTCTCGATGCTCGACCCAAGCAACTTCACTCTCACGCCAAACGGCGGAGGCGCCAGCAAGACGCCCAGTCCGGGCCGTGGGCACTCGCCCTCGAATGGGTCTCCTGCCGCCGCGCAGGCCGGAGCGGGCGGCGGCAGCCGCTATGTAGTTCAGGACACGCGGTGGAAGTTCCACGGCGAGGATAATTTCCCAAAGCCCAGGAGTTTTGTGGGTGGGCCGAGGCGGTATCGTGCTGGGAGGGGGAGCAGCGTGCCGTTGGATTTGAGTGCCCTGTAAGGCTAGTCTGGGCGGATTCGATGGTTAGGGGTGGTATGAGAATGTGAAACGGGGTGAGAGGGTTGTTGCGGTGAAGAGAGAAGGAGAGGTTGAGTGGTGAGTGGTGAGTGGTGAGTGGTGAGATTGGGTGTGGTGGATGTGGGGAGGAGGTTTACGGTAAAAGGGCCGCAACTCGATGTTCGTGAGAGACGTCCTGTGGCAAAGCATGGTTTGGTCGCTGATGGGGCATTGCTGTGACTTGTTGGGGGAGTGGTTTTTGAAGTGGGAAGCCCTTGTGTAGGTAGACACGAGTGCTCTTGCATGCTTTGCATTTTGTCTGATCCCCCCCTAGACGATCATGGATATGGTTCAAACGTTACATCTGCCTCGCTGAATCTAGCTTCGATGCTGCCTCTCATATTCCAAGATTCCCTCTCTCTTCGTGATGCTGATGTGCTTAGGCGCTGGGCCTCGCCGTTCCTGCATACCGACTGCGCGCCGCTAGAGATTCGTAGTTGCTAGTGGCCGATTCAAGTCCCACTGACTGCCGGATACCAGGCAGAAGGTCGAAAGCAGCGTGATCATTCACCCAGCCTCCCGAAGCAGAACAAGCCCAGAGGAAGACGAGGACAGGCAACGGCAGTGAGGACAAGACGGCCCCTGGATGGACATGAGTTGGAACGGGCACGGGGCTGTAACGGTGATAGCAGGGGAGGACTTGGAAACTGGAGGCTGGCCGCGGTGGCAGGGAGAGTACCCAGGTGAGTCTTGTCAAGCACTGTATAAGCTCAGGGGTATCGCGTGATTAGGCCAGGGATAGGTACCTAGTGTCACATTTCGACACTGCAGCGGCCACTGAATGCTTCGCGAAGCGCTTGAGGGCGAGGGGAGCTTCTCAAACCACCCCTCGCAATCCCTGAAATAGATCTGAAGACCGCCGCGTCCAAACCCTTTCCCAAAGCTGTTACCGGAGGACGGCACCCCCAAGCCATTCTTCGTCCAACCCGAACTGTTTGTCTGCTCCGGCAATTCCCCATCTGCAGCATCATCAAATTCCTATCGAACCCCCTTCTATTGACAACCCAAGCCAGCCATCTGTGGAATTCTTCCTTCGCAGAACCATCGCAGTGTGCAACGCCCCAGAACACGCTTAAGCGTGGCGTAATGCTCCAAAGAGGTTCCGGTACGGGGCCGACGAGGGTGGTTTGAATTCCTTTTGTGTAGGTACCGCAGCCCTGTGCTCGCGTTAGAGCCTATTTCGCAGACCCCTCCGTCCTGTCGGTGGACACACAACGTCTCGCTTGCCTCCCCGGACATGGGGTGTGCATGTGTCTCGATGGGCAGCGGTCAGATCAAGCTATGCTGCTGCCCTGCCAGACCCCGACGACATCTGGGAGACATTACCTAACCGGCCCATCTGGGTAACATCTCAGGATAGCCGAAATTGCGAGCTAGATGGGCTGCAACCGCTGATAACGAGAGCCTTGCGGGTGGGTACAGATCCATTGATGCCGGACGACGGGCATCACCACCAAGCTCGGGTTCCCTGGCCTGACATGACATCTCTTGGTCTTCCCTTCTAATCCGGCGTCGAGGCCGGTATCTGACACCATCAATTGGCCCCTTTTCAACGACAACCGCGCCGAAGTGACACAGGTGATCATCCCATACCGAGGTAGGGATAATATGTGTTCTGAAAGCAGAGGCATACAAAACCCCACAACCAATATCATGCCAAGACACAAACTTGGCCCAACATGTGAACAGCAGCGGCAGAAAAAGGTCTTCTGATTCAAAGCGCGAGCCTGCTGCTCCCTCTCTCAACTCAACTACTGAGCAGATCCCTCACACTCATCCCCCTCGGACCCGCACTACTAGTCCGCCGATCCATCTGATTGAGCATGAGCAGCGCCGCCGTCGCTTCCTGGTCAAGGTCCCTTTGTGGAGGCAGGGCAGGGCTGGTCAGCGCCGAGCCACCATAAGCCGAGTGCGCGTACTGCTGCTGCTGCTGCTGCTGCTGCTGTTGGTGCTGCTGTGGACCAAAGAAGGGCGACGTGGTCGTCGACGTGATGTAGCCTCCTTGCTGGTGACTGAGACCGCCGCGGTACTCGGACGAGACGGACGAGTACGAGTTGTGCCGGCTCGCATGTGCATGATGCGAGTTATCCTGCTGCTGCGGGCCGAGGGCCGGCGAGATGGACGGCTGTTGGGACCGGACGGCAATGGGCGTGAAGCTCGGGGAGGCGGCTGCGCTGGAGGGGGAGCTGGTCATGTCGACGTCGGGCGAGCCGCCGGGGCCCGTGGCGGCGGTGGAGCTGTGGCTGCGGTGGTGGTGGTTGTTGTTGTTGTACGTTTCCCCGAGCGACGGGGATGGCAAGCCTGAGCGGGCTGTGTTGGGTTCGGGGTCCAGCTTTGGTTCGGATCCGCATTGCGCCTTGAGCTTGGTAATGCAGTCTTCCAGATACCGGACGTACTCGATGGATGCCTGCGGGACGAGTGTTAGTCAGGGAAGAAGAGCGTTTACAGGCTGTAAAGTGCCGTACTAACCTGCAGGATAGCCAGCTTGTGCATCTCCCCGGTGCAAGCCGGTATCAAGCTCTTGAGAACCGCAAACTCCTCGTTCATTTTTGATCTCCGCCGGCGCTCAATCAGACTGTGCGCCGTTTTCCTTGCAATCTTCCTCCCTGCCGCGCTGGTAGCTGACGGCTGTTTCCTCTTCGTACCAGCTACTGCCGTGGTCGTTGAACTTGCTCCTCCGCTGCTCTTGGAGCCCGTCTTGGAGCTCGCGGCTGGTATCTCCGGGCTCGGCTCCTCGCGAGGCTTCATCTGGATGATCTTCCGCGAACGGGTAGGCGGCGGTGGGAGGGAGAATTGGTCCTTTGGTGGGTTGGCGGCAGATGATCGCCTGCGAGATTTGACTGTCTCACTGGCCTGCGTGGGGAAGAAGGTCGCCGACGTGACCGGTGTATTGGCCCCGGCCTCGTTGGTCACTGCTGGTGGTGGCAGCTCAAATGCCAGCTGGAGAGAGGCCATCTTGGAGCCATCCTGGCCCTTGATGTCCGTTGACGACGCCGGCGTCGGGAGTAGTGTGGTGCGAGGCATGGTGGTGAATCCGAGTCTGGGCATACAAGATATGGGGGAATTTCGGGCCGCCAGCAGCAGGCAGGCAAGCGAAACTCTCGGAGGAACTCGCCCGTAAAGCTGGCGCGTTCGAATTTTCTCCTGACGGGGAGAGCAGTCGAACTTGGCAGCCTGGATAAGCAAATGGCAGAGGCGTCCGGGGATGTGTGACGATCAACAACGATGGCAGTGCTTGTACGCCTTCAGACCCAGAGATGGCTCCGGGAGTGAGCGCTGAGTGAGTAAAGGCGAAGGGAGATGGAGGATTGGGGCCGTTTTCCTTTCGCCGCGGCGGGCACGGGCAAGGGAGGACCAGAGTTGAGACATTGCGACCGACATTGAAAGCACACCTCAGCTAGGTCACCCGCAAACCCATGGTCAAAAAAGACGGGAGGGGCGGTGCCTGGGGAGGGAGTCGGGAAGCGGTCGCGTGCTCAGCTCCCTTGTTGAAGGCACGGGGTGCAACTCTAGACGCTGATTGGTTTCAGGGGTTGGGGACGGTTGGCAAAAGTGGGTGCTTGCTACACAGAAATCTGTCCGGGGCTGCAGATTCTCCCATCCTCGGCGACACTTCTCTGTAGCCGCAGCGTACATGCGTGTGACACCCGGCCCTCCGTTCCACCACCACCAAAGCTTTCGGGGCAAGCACCATCAAAAGCCCGGCTGCAGCACAAGCGTACCGCCTGTCCATCTCGTCCAACAGCGGCGACACGCCCCTCCGAGCCTTGAGGACCGACCGATTCTCACAACACCCTGTCCAATGCTTTGAACACGCGCCGGCCCCTGCCCTCGATACGCGTGCGTCTTTCCGTATGGAGTTCTTATCCGGAGAACGGATTCCATACCTATCCTTCCGGCGTACTTGGGTTCCGTTCCAGATGTGCTCGCGTGTCATAAAGTCGTTGTATTTAAAAATGTAATACCCTGGAAAATCTAGACCACCCTCCTAACTCCAAATGCATCGCTCTTCGATGGCTTTCTCCCGCGCAGATCCCTCCGGCGCCACATGGTACAGTATTACGTGTAGCTATTCCCTTTACCCCTCGCACGTGGCTCTGTCAAGCCCATCACACCTCATTGCTAGGGTACTCCACCCGCGTGGTGGCGTTGAACTCCTCCTTGATGCTCCTCATGCTGACGAAGCGAGAGAGGATGTTGATGCTGCCCGCCTTGTCGTTCGTCCCGCTCGCACGGCTTCCGCCGAACGGCTGCTGGCCCACCACGGCACCCGTGCTCTTGCAGTTGACGTAGAAGTTGCCCGCCGCATTGCGGAGCTTCTCCTCTGCGAACCGGACCGCAGCCCTGTCAGCCGCGAACACGGACCCGGTCAACGCATACTCATTGGCCGTGTCGACCAGCTCGCAAGCTTGCGAAAAGGCACCAACGGGGTCCTTGGCGTCGTCGTAGACGTAAACCGTCAAAATAGGGCCGAACAGCTCCGTCGAGAAGAGCTTGTGGTCCGGCGTCTTGGCCTGGTAGATGGTCGGCTGCACGAAATATCCCTTGGACTTATCGTAGCTGCCACCGGTGAGCAGCTCGAGATCCTTGTCGTTCTTGGCATCGTCGATCACTCCCGAGAGCTTCTTGAAGGAAGCCTCGTGGATGACGGGACCCATGAAGTTCTTGTGGTCCCAAGGGTTGCCGACCGTCAGCTTCTGCGTCTCCTCGACCATGCGGGCCTTGAACTGCGGCCACACCGAGGCCGGCACATAGAGCCGAGAGGTGGCGCTGCACTTCTGACCTTGATACTCGAACGCACCCCGCACCGTCTGCACGACAGCGTTCTCCAGGTCGGCCGACGAGTGGATCAGGTGGAAGTTCTTGCCGCCCGTCTCGCCAACAATGCGAGGGTACGACTGGTAGCGGCCCTCGGCGACTCCAGCGCCGATCTGGCCGTAGAGCTTGCGGAAGACGGAAGTGCTGCCCGTGTAGTGCAGCGCGGCGAACTTCCTGTGAGCCAACACCTCCCTGGTCACCTCCTCCGGGTTGCCCGGCACAAACTGGATGACGTCGCGCGGCAGACCGGCCTCGACCAGGATATTGTACAGCAGCCAGTTGCTGGCAATGGCAAAGTCGCTGGGCTTCCAGACCACGACGTTGCCAAGCAGGGCGGGGAGACCAGGCAGGTTACCGGCGATGGCGGTGAAATTGAAGGGGCTGATGGCGTAGACGAAGCCCTCGAGCGGCCTGTATTCGACGCGGTTCCACACGCCAGGCGAGTTGTGCACTGGTTGTTGGGCGTACAACTCCTCGGCATACTGTACGTTGAAGCGGAAGAAGTCGCAGAGCTCGGCCGCGGCGTCAATCTCGGCCTGCCAGGCATTCTTGCCCTGGCCCAGCATCGTGGCGGCCATGATGTCGTAGCGGTACTTGGTGCTGATCAAATCGGCCGCCTTCAGGAAGATGGCGGCGCGGTCGGCGAAAGGTAGGGACTCCCAGTCGGCCTTGGCAGCCAGCGCCGAGTCAATGGCGGCTCTGACATGTTCCGGCGATGCTTGCGAGTAGGTGGCGATAGTAGTTCGGTGGTCGGCTGGGTTGACTTGGCTGCCCGTCGAGGAAGTCTTGATCTCTTTTCCCCCAATCACGAGAGGCACCTTCAAGGCGCCCTTCTTCTGTAGTGTTTCGATGGCGGCCGTCAGACCGGCTCTCTGGGCGGAGCCCTTGGCGTAGTGTTGCTGGCAATAGTGTCAACATCATGCATTACGAGCGGCATGGTTGGATGCAGCACTGACGTTGGGCTCATTGGCCACCTTGGGAATCTTGAAAGTAGCCATGGTGGCCATATTGGCGGTCCTCGGGAGCTTGGGTGTGTGCAGTTGTAACCTGGGCTTGCTAGCAGAGAAAGCGGCTCTTGTGATGCCAGAAGGCAACGACAACAAGACTCGGAGTTGGCGCGACGCCATGGTTAAGGTAGGTTGCGCAAACACTGCAGCAGGTCGATGAGGTGTGGTCGAGGCGGGTTGAATCGGCAACGAAAGGTTTCTGACTTGGTGAATTATATTAGTCGCGTCGTTCTGCCCCTCATCCGATCCGTCTCCTTAGGTCTGCTCGAAAATGAAAGCAGACCCGTTGGAGCGGTTTCCCGCGGCTTTGAAGCAACAAAGACCCTGGCCGGGGCTGACATCATGGGGCTTGTGGGGTAGCCATTAACCAATAGCAGCTTTTGTAAGCTGCCGAGCAGGAGTCGATAATGGGCCGATAAGCTCATCGGCCCCGATACTAGGAGAGTGGAGACGTCGGCGGCTTTCAAGGCCGAGAGACTGATACACCGAAGGTTCGAGTCGCGTTGTCGAGCCGGGATCGGTATTGCACGGCTTCGCAAAGGCACTGCAGGACTGGAATCACTGTTCTGGAACCTCGGGTATGGTCCTCCCAGTTTTCCGTTTGCGATATCGCCCCATTACTGGAACTGACTCGCCTGCGTTTTCGGCGTCCGCCCAAGGCTGTGGATCGGGCCGTCTGATGGTCAACATGCGCCGAGCCGGGTACCGTAGCAGTCATTCAACTTTCGTGTCCGTCCCTGAGTTTTGCCATGACGCGACTTCGATGACTCTGTACTACGGAGATTCAAGATTCAGCTTACATACGTAGTCAGATTTCGAGCCCGTTCCGTCCTGTACTCTCCCCAGAGCACGGAATCCCTCGCGGACCGGTGCCCAACATCGCCATCCGTCTGCTGCAGCAACAGATGGTTGGTGAAAGACAGTTCAGTAAAGCACACGACGGCCCTTGGGTAGAGCGAATGACCGCCCCCGGAGAGCGATGAACACAGCGGCTTGTCACAAAGCTCTCTTGTTGAGTGCTGCCGTTTGTTTCATGGACTGCTCAGACAGACCGCCACCAGCCTGCAGGTCATATGGAGCCGCCCACGAATATCAAAAGCCGAAACAGGCCTCACGCGGGAGTGTCGAAACCCAACAATAAGCCCAACTCGATATATCCAATTTCGAAAACATGGACAGAAACAGGACGACACGCTTGGAGCGTCACCAACTCGACAATTTGCCACAACTGCGGCGACCGCGGCCCCGTGTTGGCCGCACTTAGTGTTGTTGGCCACAGAGGAAACCATACAGCCATGTGCTTTTCCATCTCATCATATGTTTCAGCGGCGCCAACGTGAGGTCAAGTCGCTGCAAAAGGGCCTTTTGAAATGGAGCCTCCAGACAGCAACGCCTGACTGGAGCCTTCTGGAACTCCAAAAGGCTAAGAGAACTTCAAAATAGCACGGGTGTGTGGAGGTTTGTGTGCTACGTGCCTTGGCCAGCAATCCCGTCGGTGATCGAGCTGGAAATGAATCCAACAGACAAGATGTGAAGGACGACGAACGACGACATCGTCGCGGCCGCGTCCAACAGTGACCTTCTGGTCTGGGGCTTGAGGGTTCTCAAAGACGAAGTAGCCGGCAGGCTAGCCGAGGCTAGAGTATGTATATAAGAGAAGCTCGAGTCGCCCTCAGGCTAGCCGGAACTCTTGATCCACCATTACCACACCAAACGCACTCTCAGCACCTCACCTCATCGGCTTCAAGCTCCCCTACACAACAGTCGTCGCCCAACCTCCTATTCTGTCCCCTCGCTCAAGTTCAGACCTTTCTCACTCAGCGTACGCAGCAAATGTCACATTCTCCACTCTAGGACCAAATATCACATCTTCGCTGACACACACAGTCACCCCTAGTTGCCATGTGCACCTGTATTGTGGTCCTCTGCGCCGAGGAGAACTGTGATGTAAAACTTTCGTCTTCGGATCCTATTCCGTCTGATCACTGCGACGGGGACTGCACCATGAACCCATCCAATACATCAACGATTCGGTCAGGGACGCAGAAGTGCGCCGTCCGCAGATGAGAGGCATATTATCGTCGGCGTCCCAGGGGTAGGGTACGCGCCCCAGCCGCAAGTCGCCGCTGACAGCGGGACTCGTGGTCCCCCGTCGCAGCAGCTAGCGATGGCCTGCTAAGGGGTAAGTAAACACCGGCAAATTCGGTCAACATGTCTGGAAAGGCTTCTTGAGCGGGCCTTGGCCGGCCACTCATGTCGGTCAGGGCTCGAGTGCTGATCTCCTGCGCGTCCGAAAGGTAGAAATAGAATCATGGATACCTACATGTAGGTAGTTTCTCTCGGTTTTCTTCCTCGTCTTGTGGCGGACCCTCCGGAGCGGGTGAGCTGCAAGTGATAATTCTTTCTCGCAAGAAGATACGGTCATCACATCACAGTTGTTGATTTGTGATTCACCAAGGCACTTCGGTAAGATCCATGTGAACTGGAGCCAAAACACCTTGTTCTTGGTCCGTGTCGTGTTGCCCGCAAGAATACCTAGTAATTTACTTCAGAGCGGACAGAGCAGCCTCCGCCGCCATCTTAGCCCGATGAGCCTCACTCTGAAGAACGGTGCTAACGGCGTCCATCTTTTCCTTACATTCAACGAGCTTGACGGTTTGAAATTCAACACAGTTGTCGACGGGCTCCGTTCCAGACGTCAGCACAACCACAGCCGGAGGAAGATCTCCAATTGGGACCTCCCGCTTCCAATGGAAGGCAACGTATTTGGTTCGGAACCAAGCCAAGTAAGCCCTTTATCTCCACCCGGGTTATGGGGCATTGCCGGGTCTAGAATCATGGTTTGGGTTTCGGCGCGCGGAACGTCGGCGCCGAAGAGCTCGGCGTTCAGGTCACGACGGACCTTCTCGACAGCGGCTTTCCCCTTTCGGAGCACGGTCGAGGGTGTGTCGGGGTTTGTTAGGGGTGTCATGGACGGGCCGAGGTGTTGGAAGGCATCTCGATGGACCTGGACTAGGATAATGACTGGGCGGGGGGTACAACAAAACCTGAGGGTTCAACCCTCACGGAGGCAGGCATTTTCGGTTTGTCCACTATTCGCGATCTTAGTGTCAGACTCTACATCACGTTTCTTTGAGGCTCACTTGGTCCGTCTGTTCGGATGAATTCCCCCTTCTCTGCTTGGATGCCTGTGGGAAGGGACTTCGGGAAATGGATCGCCCTGGTATGAGGATTGAGCACTCAGATCAGACAGGAACTGCAGTGCGTCGGTACAGATAACGCCCAACTGCTACCTGCGGGAGACTCCTACTGGACGAAATAGCACCATCTTCCCTCCCTTACGTCCAGGGTGCGAACACAATGCCAAGGCCTGCAGGCAACAACCCGGAGCTGCATCAGGTATGCTCCTTCCACAGGGCTCAGATGCTTCCGCTCTATGCTGTGCTTGCTCGTGGCCCGCCAACAGCAGGTGTTTGTGTCGCACAAACGAGCGCCGCCTCCTGGAGCATCCCAGATGATAGAGATTCCTGATTTCGCTGTGGGATTGTTGACCAAAACCGACACAGACTAGCTTACAGTGAATCGCTGAAGCGACGGGCAGGTTGTAGAATCAGTACTACCGTGACACGAACAGAGGGAGGAAGATGGACCTCCAACCAACCGCCCACAGCCCGAAGCAAGAGCACGGCGCCCTCATGCAGCCCTGATTCGAGGTCAGGGCCAACCGCAGCACAAGGGCATGGGGAAGTGAAGTAGACAAAGTTTGGGAAGAGACACGTTCAGCGCTGTCCTGCCAACTCCTACGCATGGACATGTTTCAAAGTATCAACCCCAGTAAGGCTGCGTTGGACAGCGGCGCTGTGCCACTTGGACGCCCTCGAAGTTTCGGTCCTACCCACCACCACCACAATGCAAGTTGATGCTTCGACAATGGCTGGAGAGTATGACTGCGCCGCATGCCATGAGCACCCTTTGCGGCAGATGGTCCCGGTTGCACGGAGGCACACTGAGCTTGGGGCTGTGCTCCCACAGCCGGTGTCGACGTCGGGCTCAACGCCCAGACTCACGCCTATCTGGCATGCAGAGCCATGGGCGTGCAGCATTGGGTTGAGATCACGTGAAAAATGCAGGACAGACACTCAGAGAGTTGCTCTTGTACTATGCATGTCAATTATACCCCAAGGTCCAGTTCTGAGCTGACTCGGGTGAGAAATAAGACCGGCAGTTGGCGTTGTCGGTGTCAGATTCTCTGGGCCAGAAAACCGGGAGGTACTCTATTCGAGACATTGTCAACACCCGGAAACGTATCCTGCTCCAATAGCATGCTTGGCTGTACTTTACGAAGTCAAGCGGAGTTGACTTTGAATTTTTTCTTGACAACTGCCGAAGCATCTGTGGGCGCCGGGCTGGCGTTGCAGAGCTGCCGATGCATGAGCTTCCAAGAGCTGTGCTTGATGGTGACGAGGGTGAATCCCATACCCCGGATCTCGCATGCGCGAGGCGTTCCGCCGTGGGAACATGAGGTTACGGAGATGGTGTGGGAAGTTGCAGGGCGCAGAACAACCGGCTGTCTCTTTAGGTAGGACCGGAAACGGGCGCCGGCGAGCAAGGTTTTTGAAATCCGTTCTCTAAATGGTGCACCACCGGAATTCCGTGGCGGAGCGGTACCCTCAAAGGAACACGTCTAGAGACAACCTTGAGCGTTGTCGGACCAAGTTTCTCATATCGTGACCTCCTGATTTCATCAGTCGTCTTCCGGTCCCAGAGTTCCCAGACCGAGTTACCTACAGCCCTCCCCTCTCTACTCTTTCTATAAAAACTCTTCATCCTCTGTAAGAGTCCAAGAGGAAGCGAGCTAACGTCGGCTTTCGGCCGGTTACGTGTGTGCCGGGCCATCCACTCGGCCTCATCCTCCACGTCCAACCCTGTGAGGCCCATCCACCCCATCATCAGCTTGGTCTCGGGCTGAAAGCGCTTCCTAGTCCGGCCCGGGTCCAGGTTTATAGCCTCGAGGATATCGGCGCGCCGAGCCATCAGGTATGGATGTACGGCCGAGATGACATCGTGGATGGCGACGAAAGTCGCCCCTCGCCTCGACCACCAAGTAGGTCCCCTAGCCCCACGGCTCCTCAGCCCGCCGCAGCACATTAATAGATGCTCATCACCGTCTTCACCCAGCAGCGCCCGTAGAGAGCATTAGTAGGGTCGTATATCCCGTCAGCGTCCGTGTGCCCTTCGAGCATCTCCATCCAACAGTGGTCCCAGTGGTCCAGCGGGTCGACGGAGACCTTGAGGGACGACACCTTTGGCTTGGTGAAGGGGAACTGTGCAGAAGGATATCACTGATGGTAGGGCTTGGGCACCTCGTCCGGATCGAAAGGCCACTCGCCTGTGACCGTGACTGCTATCTCGAGCGGGCCACTGAGGGTCCAGCGTATGCGTCGCGTCTTGGGGTTGAGCAGGATTAAACTCTCACGACTGGTGCAGCGCAAGCAAGGCGTGTTGCCGTCGCACTTGTGGTGCCTGAAGCGCTGCAGTTGCTCTTCGTAGCCGGGTAGCTTGGTCTTCGGAGTGGCGATCATTGAGGATACTAGTCCTTGAAGACCCCTGTTCAAGGTGGTCCTGGGGAGGTGGCGAGAGGGGAGAGAGTCGTCAGGGTGAGTGGTTCAGAAGAAGTAAACTTGAAGTGTGCCGGGGAATAGGGTCCAGAGAGCCAAAGAACTAAGATAGTTAGTTTAGATGTTAAAACATGTTGAAGATGTTGACGTAATTAGGTGAAAAGAAAAGGGGGCGGGATGGCTAGGGTTAGAGGTATACGGTAATATCCAATGGCTAGACTTACGAAGTATTGAAGCAAGTCGAAGTCAAGCCAACCGGAAGTACTATGGCGCTGTCGTGTCATGTCAAGTCAAATGCAGGTATGTGGTCAAACTTGACTGGCTTGACTTTGGTTGAGACCTTGATTATTTCAAGACGGCTCAAGCTGCTGCCAAACTGCTCCAGCCGAGGGAAAGATTGCCAATGGTTTCTCTTCGCTTGACACTTGCCGGCGCAAAGTGAGCGACTGGTACGAATGCTCACCGAAACCGCATGCTGTCAGGGCCATCCGCCCGCTTTGGGACATGTAAAGACAGCAAACAGTCCACCCGACGAATCAACTTCCAGAAGCAAAAGCTCGAAATCGAGCCCCGGATTGGGCATGACGATGAGGTCGTCTGGTGAGCCAGTGATGGGACAGAGGTGCCCGCACCGAGCTACTTCGCACCCCGGGCCACGGTGAAAACCCCCCGGCCTGCAGCTTCTGTGACGTGGTCAGGAACGTAAGGTTCGCTGGATCTCCCTTCCCAACCAATCAACCGCTTCAGATGCAAGACATCGGTTCCTCAGCCTCGACTGGGCTGGATCTGTGCATGAACCTTCTGAGATCAGGGAGAAAGCGCGGCCTGTTGGCGGGTCCTGTTCACGTTAAGGGTTAACTCAGCTGTGGGCAAGAAGGAACTTCATAGAGAACTGAGTAATTGATAGGTAGGTAATGGTCGCCGGCCGGGTGCCGTTTTGGGCTTTGCAATCGCCCTGCACACTCAAAGATGAATTCCCTACCGAGTCCCGGCCCCGGATCTGAGGGGTCTTGGAGAAACGCCGACTCCGTTCCCTGCCCGAGTTGGGTACCACAACCTGTCGAGCCTGTGGTACCCGTTTACTGCCGTCAAGGAGCTGGAGTCTCGGACGGACGCAGTGGGCAGCGAAACGACAGCGCTTCTGCGGCACATGCTTGGTGATTAAGAACAGCCGAGCAATCCGACTGGCATCTCCTGCCGCCCTGGCGGCTGCTCGGGCCAAAGACGGCGACTTCTAAGCGCAAGGCGCTGCAGCGCACGGTCTGCTTCCAAATTGCGAATCCGGACAGCCAAAAGAGCATGCCGTCGTTGCATCATGGCTGCTGCAGCGGAAGACGTTCTCTCCGCTGTGTGTGGATAAGAAGAATACCATCAGGGTAAGGCTTGTTGCGACATGGCTTCGCGCATTTGCGATGACCCTTGCTCCTGTCGTAGATTTCAGATTGAAGAGGATTGTTGGCTAGTGATATTTGACGGCATAAGGGTGAAGTGTCATCGGGCTTTCTCCTGTAAAGTACCCGTTGTGTCTTGCTTTTTGTCGTGATCGGATCTGGAAGCTGGTGGTTCCTGACAGTCAATCCCATTCAGGAAACACTGCGATTCCCGCTGCTGACCCACTTAGCCCCACAAGACAAGCTGGTGCTCGTCTCAACATTTCGAGGAACGGGAAACTGAACAAACCTCAGATGAGCTGTGGAGCGGAGGGCTCTCACCGCTTCCTCGATGAGGCCGACTCAAAGTGGAATTGCCCGAGATACCACACCACACCACGCAAGCCTGTCGCAGACTCGAGTCTAGTGAAAGTGTGGCATGGTTCACAAATTCTTGCCGGGCTGTCGATCAAGGCCAACCTTTCCTCGGCCCGCATCCGCTCTTTTTGTGCTGGACGAAGACGCCATCTACCATGATCGCTGGATTCCCGCTCCTACGTATCCAGTTTTGAGGTGTTGTCTTCTCTGCGGGGGTGAACTGCCGCGTTCTTGGCTTGCCCGCCCTGATATGTTCAGGCACAGCTCAAAACATGTGGGAGCCATGTGTTGGCTGGATGTCACCATTTCCCTGCTCTGGCAGCTTCCTGTGCGGATACGGAATACTGCGCAGTACGGAGGAGCACTGTGGTAGGTTATTGCCCCTGTCCCTGTCCTGCAGCTTCAGTGACAGGCCCGATTCGCCAAAAACCATTGATTGCCCCTGGACAAGGTCCAGAGACCTCCAATGCATCTGCAAGCACTTTCGCAAGCACGCCAACCCCTCGCGATAAGAACCAGGTCTTCCAAGACAGGCCGTTTCAGAAACTCTGCTTTTGCAGCCTGCAGATCCGCGCAGCGATTTGTGCCTGGACTCTGTTTGTTGGCAACCGGGATGACCAACACACACTGCTCAGCCATTTCGGCCGTCTCTCAACCCCTCCTCTCTGCGCGTTTCTGTGCCTGGCGCTACTCTGCGGAGCTACACTACGCCCATCCACTAGTGTGCTTGGAGCTCAACACCACCTTGACACGCCCCTTTCCAGTCTGGGTCGTGATGGTGTTTGGTGACCACCCAGCCAAGTCATGGTGTGTGTGGGGGTGGGTTCGAGCACATGGGGGGTATGTTTGCCGACTGCCTCCCTTTCAACGAGATATTTTAAGATGGCTCGGCTTGCCACAGCTCTCACCGGCACCTTTGTGAATCCATCTTCGACTCCAGAAGTGGAACTTTAGTCGCGGGAGGCTTCTCTCTCCGTCTGAGTTACTTCTTGTCCCTCGTTCCCTCTCTTTCAGTCCAAGGCCTTTGTGCCCAGATCTGATGCATGTCAAGCATCTCGGGTAGTACGGTCTGTCCGCCCGAGTTGGTCTCATAACGTTGGTCTCCCCTTTCACTTTGTCTTGATCGCTACTCTCTATCTTCCTCCGTCCTGCTCTGTCCGCAAAGAGGCACGTCCGAGCCCGAGCTTGCCCGATGAATAGCTAGCCTGGAGCATGCTTCTCTCTCCTATCCCCTCGTCCGGCCTCCTCTGTAAGACCACTACCCACGGGGATGTACCATGACTCGGCCGATGCTGTTGGCGCTGCTTTCCGCGGCAGTGCCTGGATGGATAGTTGACGCTTGGCCCGTCATATCTCAGGGTCCTGACAAGAGCTTTGGACGTGAAGCTGAACCCCTGGTTGAACCCAAACAATCGAGGGGTCCGTCATGGTTCTCTCAGAGCGCCACAACTACCACCACGACACTAACACTGTCGGTGCCAGGGTCGACCAGCCAGTCCTCACTCACCCCGAGCGTCCCTCTTTCGCGGACCACTTCTGGCTCGACAACCCCGTCACCGAGTCCACCTCCAGATGTTGGCAGCTCCCACTCTCTGAGCTCGGGAGACCGGCAGACGTCTAGCGAGACCCGATTGACCGATACTATGCCCACCGCCATCATTACCTCAAGTGGATCCCAACCCACTGGCACCGTTCCCGAGCCTTCTTCAAACGATAGCGAGTCTGGGACTGGGAGCAACAGGACGCTCATCATCACTCTGAGCACCGTGTTCTCGGCGGTAGGGTTGGCTTTGATTGCAGGGGTAGTGTTGCTTTGCTACCGAAAGCGACGCGGCCGCCTGCCGTTGCTTCCGCGAGGCGTCTCGCCCATCGACGACGACGAGATTGAGAGGTGGAAGTCGCCTCGGGATGAGAAGGCCAGATTCCAGGTCGGGGATACCGACATGGAGGCCGAGGCAGCCTTCCACAAGAAGACGGGCCGGCCATCACACGCCAAACATTTCTCGACTAGCTCTGTTAAGAAGCCACCCAGCGTGATCGTCTACAGCAGATCCCACGAGTCCCAGGCCGTACGCCACTCGACCGATGCCGAATCCCGTCGCTCCTTTGTTCAGAACCATCCGGCCTACAGCAGCAAGACCAGCTTCGACAAAACCCTCCCGCAGACCCCCATCCAAGCCCGCGCACCCAACGCCCGTGCGGGCCTGACCGATGAATCCCTCCCTGGCGATGAGCCTTTCATCATGAGCCCCAAACGCACGCCATCCCGCCTCTCCAAACACCCACCCAACTCGTCATCGGGCCGGCGAGCCAACCACGCCAGAGCAAGGAGCTCGCGGAGCAGTACCCGCAGCTTTGGAGAGTACTATTACTACAGCTCAGACGGAGGTGGCGGTGCCGTCGGCGGCGGGGGCACCACTTCGGCTGCGGGATCCGAGCTGGAGCTGTCGGCGCGGCACTCGTCGCACGATCAGCCTGGCATCCACAGTGGCAGCAGACAGCACAGCCCGAGGAATTATGGCGGCGCGCCCACCGGCAGCGGCAGTAGTCACTCGCGCGTGTACTCGTCGTCGTCGATCCCGCCGAGGCTGTCGTTTGGCGACGATGGTGTGCTATTCGGGGGCTTGTCGCCCGCCCGGTCAAGGTTCATGGGCGAGGGCGAGATTGGGCGCGCCATTGGCTGAGACATTATCTTTTCTTATTCGTCTCATATATCGGAGCGGCACCAGCCTTGCATTCCTTTCTGAGACACTACCAGGCTGGGGCGTTGGAGATCCCTGAACGCCTGTTTCATCTGCATTCTATTTTCCATTTACCATTTATGGACCCCGTTTTTCGCGGCACCAAAGCTCCAGGAATGGGCAGTATGCTCGCCAGGGGAACCTCGGAAATCTACCTGTGAGACGGGCGGAACAGCGTTATGATTGACGAAAGAGATGGATATACCCCGACTTGTGTTGATGGAAGGAAATATTGTTCTCGACGGGCTTGGACAGTCTTGTTCACACTTGGGGTTGAAAGGGGCTCGATGGAACTATTTGCTGCTGGCAGGATGACGACAACTGGTCTCGCAGGAGTGCACCAGGTTGGGATGGGATGGGATAGGGGAGATGGGCACGCTCAACTCAGCAGTCCTTGGTTGACAAAACGCACACCGCAAACCGTATGCTTCTCAACAACACAAACTCTGTAGCATGATTGATTACACACGTGTATGACTATTTCAAGCAGCGAAATACGGGAAATTGACGCGGGTAACGCACATTCCACCGCTCTCTGTCTGATGAGACAATTGGGACGGTGCATGCGTGGCTCCAGTCTATCAAATGGGATGCTTTCCTCCTCTGGAACCTGAAACATGGGCTTTTTGGGGCTTTGCGCTACAGTAGGGTGCGCATGGGAGGATGTGGATGTAAGAGATCAAATCTTGGATTGCATTGGCGTCAGTATGGTGGTCGAGGGCTTGGTAGTCGGGGTTCGGGAGAGACGATGGGGTGCTCTTTGAGAGAGTCGGGGATCAACAAAGATAGAGCTCCTCTTCGGAGTTCACTATTAAGGGGTCATTTACTATTACACGGCTGTGAGCGTGAAACCCCTTACCCTAACCCTCGAAACCCTACCAGTTATTGGGACCCCAGAAAGCCTATTTTCCAAAGTGATTCAACGACGCGTGAAACATGCGCGACGCGCCGCAACTCTGCGCCTCCCACCACAAGACGGATCGGATTGCTTCACTGCCTACCGATTGAGAACGCTCGCGTAAAGCCTGATGATATACCCGTCTTTGCGAGCCGGATCAGGAGCCACATTGCATTCTACCGGGTCACAACCTCTCTAACCTTTCGATTCGTGCCAACAGCTGCTGTTCAGACAAAAGTCAGAGAGAAGGCGCAACAACCATGCCTTCACGGAAGAGCGACGTCCGCCGGAGCGATGTATCCGTGGCAAGGTTCGTGCTCGCCGACGAGGACAGCGCCATGACCACCGAATCGCCCGCACCCGTACCCGCGCCAGAACCGCCACTAGCAGCCGCAGCAGGGACATCAGCAAAGCCTTCGATTTCAGGGTCAACGCCTGCCCCTCAACAGCCGCCAGTGGACAAGAAAGACAAGGACAAAGACAAGGAGAAGGAGAAAGAGAAAGAGAGAGAGAAAGAAAGGGATAACTTGACCATCGAGGTGTGCATGTCCGCTCCCGCCGCCCATCCAAAGGCCAGGGCGCAAGAAGGCTGACACCAGGCACCCGCTCTAGGACCTCAACTTACCCAAATCCATCATCACCCGTCTGGCAAAGGGGGTGCTGCCGCCCAACACACAGATACAAGCCAACGCCATCCTGGCGCTGACCAAGAGCGCCACGGTATTCATTAACCACCTAGCTAATGCGTACGTTTCCGTCCCAAGGCGCCCTCCTGATACTTGGCCTACTCCGGGAACCCCGTCTGACCCGATCCTCATCTGAGAGGTGCTGTAGCGCGAACGAGTCCACCATAGCATCCAACAAAAAAACCATCATGCCCGCTGACGTGTTCAAAGCCCTCGACGAAATCGAATATGGCTTCATGCGCGAGAAGCTGGAGGCCGAGTTTGCCAGTTCGTTCATTCCCCCTTCTTCCCCCGCCTCCTCCTCCTTTATGAAGAAAGAAGAGAAAAGGAAAGGAAGGAAAAGAAAAGAAAGGAAACATATACTGAACGTGACCGTGTGTAAACACAAATCTAGAGTTCAACGAAGTCCAAACCTCAAAACGCTCCCAATATCGCAAAAAGGTCGCCGCCGCCAAGAAGGCCGCCGCGGGCGGTGCGGGCGCAAGCCAGTCCACCGACGCCGGCGCCGCGGCAGATCTCTCCATGATGAGCATCGGCTCCACGGCCACGGCCGGCGGTGGCGACCGCGACGAGAGCAGCGCCGCGCTGCAGTCTCCCGGCGTGCTCGCCGGCGCCGCCGAGTCATCTGGGTCAGGGTCAGGGTCAGGACCAGGCCAGCCGCGGGCGGCGAAAAAGGCACGCCTAATGGACCCGACTAGTACTAGCACTGGATCTCATCGGGTCGCGGCTGGGGCGGATGAGCCGTCGAGGATGGAGGTGGATGAGGAGGAAGGAGGAGCGGAGGAGATGTCTGATGCTGAGACTGTTCCTGAGGAAGCCGAAGAGGAGGAGGAGGAGGAGGACGGGGAAGAGCAGGAGGAGGAGGACGAGGTGGAAGAAGAAGAGGATGAGGAGGAGGATGACGAAGAGGAAGAACGGGACGAGTTGGAGGAGCGGACGGCGAGGGAGGAAGAGGATGAAGCTTTGGACGACGATAGCGATTAGGGGGCGTCGTTGGCAAAGCCTAAATGGGCGCTCCCAGAGCGACTTTGGTCGGCGAGGGAGGATGACGATGAGGGGCTAGCGCTGGTGAGGACGGAATGGAACTTTCGAAGCACTCGTCGATGATGCGATGCGTTGTTTTGGGGTGGTTACGCTGCGATAATGATAATCTGGGAGCGATTGCCTGTCCCGCACACGAACGGGTGCGAGAGCCACTGCTCCGTTGCATTTGTTCGACACGTTGTAGACGGAGACCCATCCCCCGTTTTCTGTTTACTTTAGCACGGGAGGCGAGTGACATGTGCCTTGAAGCAAGGAGACATGGGAGTTATGTCGGCCTTTTTCAGCCGCCTACTACTATATAGTACACAATCAACACCTCGTACTGTTGCGTTGCCAGATTCGCGTTGGTCAGCTAAGGTAAGGTCTGTTTGTTTACCTCCCTAGCCCAGGTCAAGTGAGCATCTCGAGACACTACTTATGACTGCTGCTGTGAGTCGAGGTATACGGGTAGGGATGTGGCCGCTTGAAAACATGACGAGGGCCATGGATACCGTTGAGCAATCACCGAACAACCAACTACCTAGGTGACTGGTCAGTACCTACCTGACCTGCCACGTTACACAACGATTCAAAGTAAAAGTGGAAGTTCATGTTAAGTGGCAAGGTCGCCGGGTCTCAGCAAAGCGTTCCGGACCAGGTCGTTCGAAGCAGGCTCAGGATCGGCGATGCCGCGAGGTCTTCAAGGATCACATGCCCGGATTGTTTGCCCCAGATACGGCCAAGTCAGTAGAGCAAACATTAGCCATGGACGACTTGACGACATGATTTGCAGATTGGGTAGTTCCTCACAATCAGCCAACGCACCACTAAGAACGGAAATCAAATAAAGGGATACGTGTATTTGTCCACTGCCGTTCTGCTCGCCCACGTGAGATGACTGAAACCACTGCTTGCTAACGTTCCACATCCCCTGCCGACCCAGAAGACGTTCCCAGCCAAACCACTCCATGCCGAGTTGAGACCCAAGAGACGCATGTAAACCAAGCCACCACAACAGGGGAAACGAACAAGACCTCGACAAGACCAGACCAAGTCCAAACCGAGCATTGAATCGCGTGTATGAACCCGGCCGCTCGCAAAGCAAGAAAACAAGGCCAAAACGCGCAGGCAAAACAGGTGCTGAACGAGTGGGAGGGAAACCATGAAGGAGCGAGGTACCCCAACAAAAACTCCAACGAATGCTTGCAAATTTGAGCACAAAGCGTATACCGCCGGTCGTGTGAAATAAGCAGGTGGGTTAACTAACAACACGCAAAGAAGCGAAAGGAGTAGCAAGGCAGAGAAGAAAACGTAAAACAAGGGGGCAGTACAAGACCTAGCCAAAGTGAAACCCCGGTTTATCCCACCCATGTGTGCCATTCATAGTCCATCAGCATCAACCAACCCAAGAAAGAAAGAATTCCTCCAATACCACGGGGAAGAAATACACAGCACCCAACCAGAGCTCGTAAAAAAAACCAAATTGTTGCCTAAAGGGGAAAAGGCTTAAGTAGAAGCCTGCAGTCAGACACAGGCCCTGAATCCTCGACTGAAGTCCCCAAATTCGCCGGAGTATGGGACAATTCTAGCTTGGGGAGAAGCACGGGCGGTGGCGGAGACGAGGAAGTTCGTGATCCGCGTTCAACAGCGTGACGGCAATCGAAGATTCGGCGGGGGCAAAGGGGCAGGGGAATGAAGCGGAGAGCAACGGAAACCGATTGAAGAAATCAGGGCCGAGGAAAACAACAAGGTATCATAGGGAAAAATAGAGAGAAGAAAACAAAAAATGCCCCTACCCCAAAACTCCTCTATCCCGCTTCCTTTGCCCGGCCCGGACCGCTTTGCAAAAGCCGACCACACTCCTCCGCCTCCGAGGGCAGCCCTTTCCCATGTCATCCCCAACCCGCATGTGTGCAAAGGCTATTTCCAGGAGCCGACCAAAAAAGAGCCTGCCTGCCAGAAGTTCGGAAGAAGAAACAACAACGGGGTATCAACAAAATGTGGATAGAACGGGTGAATTTCGTGGCCAGCCCACCCTCCTGGGGTAGGGAGGTTAGGTTAGAGACTGGGGAAGGGGAAGAGGGAAGCGAGAAAGAAAGCCAGCAAATTATCCACTCAGCGGCCCAACAAATCAAAAGCATGCATGATCCAATCCGACCGACTAACAGACAGCCGCCCTGCCAGACAAAACCACATGTACCCCCGAAACGAACCCATGATCGAGATAGCACGACGCGATACACAAAAGGGGCCTCACTGCGGCTGACTAGCCCACCACTGCCCGGGCGCCTGCTGCTGGGACCAAGCCTGCGTGACGGCAGGTAGCGCCTGCTGCGGGTTGTGATGATGGTGCTGCTGCATGTACTGGCGCGGCGTCTGGTCGGCCGAAGCGTACATAGCCTGCGCTGCGCCGTATCCCTGCTGGCCACCCATGCCCGGCATACTCGAGTACGACGGCATGCCGCCGCTGGGCTGCTGCTGCTGGACACCACCCGGGCCGCCGCTCGAGGTGCTCGGGTGGCGCAGCTGCTGTGGGCCGCCGGGAGAATGCTGCGGGTGAGGCAACGGCTGCGACTGGGTCGTGTAGGCCGAGTAGCCGTGCTGCGGGGTCTGCGGCGTCGGGGGCCACATCTGGCTCTGCGAGTAGCTGTAGTTTTGCTGCTGCTGGCTTGTCTGCTGCGGCAGGGTTCCTGAGGAGCCTGCTGAGGGCGGGTATGTTGGTCTCTGAGACGTGCTACTATGATGGGTTGGTGGGTCGTGAGCCATACCTCTCAGTGTACTTTGGCCGACAGGGTTTTGGGCGTGAATAGGCTGCGAGTATGGTGCGGCTGTCATCATCATGGGGCTTTGGTTCGGAACCATGCCGGGCTGCTGCAGACCGGTGGTGCCGGAGTGGGATACTGCGCCGGGGCGACTTATCGGCACGGTTGCATCGGACGCGCTGACCGGCTGACTGAGCGTCGTCGGCGGGGGTTGTTCATGCGGCCGCCGCCAGAGGCTTTGCATGTAGTCGTTGCGCAACTCTCGCTGCTGATTGACCGACCGGTTGAACTCGGCGGCATGGTGAGCCTGCGCATGCAGTTCTGATATGGGCGAAGATTGGATCCGGTCCTGGTAAGGTGGTCCAGTAATCTCCTGCCGCGGGCCCGTCTTGAGAATGCTCGAATAATCCCGGCTCCGCGTATCGCTGTAGTCTGGTCCTAGTGTTATCACGGGCATTCTGGTCGAGCTTCCCGGCTGGATTCCAAGCATACCTGGTGGGACGAGCTGCGGCTGCGGGCCAGGGCCGAACTGGCCAGGGTTAGAGCTGTACACAATCTCGCCATGGGGAGCTCCGAGTATCGATGCGCTGTGGTTCGCCTCGGCTTCCCGGGCCTTGGAAGCGCCCGGCCGCTTTTCGCCCGCGGGGTCGGCCTCGGTAAACCCTTGTTTGCGTGCCTTCGTCTCCCAGTAGTCGTCGCGGACCCTCCTCCCATTCACAATGACCCGGCTACCAAACTGGCGAAACATGCTCCTCGCCGTCACGATGGCGATCTGACGCGAGCGATACGAGAAGGGGAGAATTTCCTGGGCGACCAAGTCATCTTTCTCGACCTGGCTGGCGATGATTTTATACAGCGACCTATTCTTGTTGAACAGCAGGTATGAATCGCGGTATCCCAGAACGCGCGCGCACTCGGTCGCCAGCATAAACAGCTTGTCGCCGCGATTCGGGACGAGGAAGGTCCGACATCGGTATTCGCGATTCCCCGTGAGCTGGCCGTTGGGTAGCACCTTTTTCTCGCCGGCCTCGTCGATCTCGCGTGGCAGATACTCGTCCCCGCCGGGACCGAGCTGATCTGTCGTGTGGTCGCGCACCGTCGGAAGCGCCTTCAGCGTTGATTTTGACGGGGTCGATTTGGGCGGCGACGACTGTGGGGCATATGTGGGCGTCTGGGCCGGCAAGGACGCATTCTGGCTCTGCGGTGTCTGCGGCGGAATCGTCTGCGGGGTGGGCGGGACCAGCGGGATGGGTGCCGGGACGGCGGTCTCGGGAACGCCCCCGGATGTTCGGGACTTCATCGATCTTCCTCTTTTCCTGGGCTTGTCACCACCTAAATGGAGGAGCCATGGCTGTTAGTCGGCCTGTGATCGCAGATAATACGCATCGAGGTGACACGGCAAAAGACGTGTAACGCGGCAACGGGCGACCAGGTCGTAAGACGCAAGCCGAACACAAGGGACGAACACTCAACATACCGTCGTCACCAGCCGAGCCTGGTGGCGGCCTCGCGTCCCCGAAATCGTCGGGAGAGCGGTCGCGCTTGACGCCTCGAGAGGAAGGATCTATAAGGTCTGAGCGGACCAGATGTCAGCACTATGCGCGCGCAACACGAGGGGCGGCAAATGTCGCCAAAGCGACTAGCGTTGCGCGGACCAGCCGCGAAAGTCGTGATGGCATCACAAGTGGGAAGAAAGGATGAACATGTGCGCCGAGGCAGAAGTCGGGCGATGAGACGGGGAGCGCCGCCGTAAACTTAATGGGTCTGCCCCTCAAGTTGATTCAAGAGAGATAGAGGGGGGGAGCACCACGCATCTCGCACCGCGAGGCGCAGAACTGGCGAGGTTGCGACGGGCGCGCTCGCGCATGTTCTGCAATCCACCCGAACCAGGTGCCCCGAGCGGCAAGTGTAAAAAAGCACAAAAACGGGTCCCAGTGACGCACCTGTGTTGAGCGCGGCGGGATTGATCGTTGCACTATCGGGGCCGTCGGGCTGTGCAGCGTACATCAGTGCCGTCGACGTCGACCACGTCGATGGGTCTGCGAAACGACGTGTCTTGATATAGTTGGGCTGGGCTGAAAGGGAGGGGCGACACAGGCAGAAGGCAGCCGTCAGTGCCGTCACAGCTTTCACCAGGCCTTCTCAAACATCCACTGTGGAATGCACGGGCGCGCGCTGGGTGGTGCAGACAAGGAAAGTCCGTCGCATGTGGTTGGCGCAAATCCACGGGCTGCTCGCTGTCTCCAGGAAAGATGGTCGGGTTGTCGAATGAAAAGCAAAAAAAGGTTATAAAAAGAGATTTCTCCGGAATACAGACGCAGAAGCAGGCAGGCAGACACGGTAGGGCGCGTGCTTTCCGTCTTCTTGATTTGCTCGACCCCTTTTACTCATCGACTTCCCCTTCCCTGCTGCTGCTGGGAACTTCAGGTTGGAGAGCAGCTTCGTGTCGGCGTTTGGGACTCACCACGGGCGGCGTGTGCTGAGAAAAGCTGCAGGGCAGAGACGATGCGAGGGGCCGACGAGGTAGTCGGAGTTAGGAAATGGCTTGGCTCCCTGACCAGTTACGGCAAGGCGAAGCGGGGGCGACGGTGTGAATATGTCGACGGCCACCGCGCTGTTATCACTTTCTAACACGAGCTGCTGCGGCAGCACCATTTGGGTAGGAAACCGTTCCTATGTCCCGGAGAGCCCACAAACTCACGAAGTACCTAGTCCTGTCAGGGCCGTTCTCAGATTGCCTCACCCCCGTCATCATATGAATGCGCCTACTACACGACGGCATAAACACCAGCAACCGTTGTAAAAGCAGACCTGCAACCCTGGCTCGGCCGAAGAAAATGATGATGGTTATGGGAGTTGATAATTGATAGCCCGTCATAGGTATGACTTTCCTCGCACGTATCGCAATATCAAGAAGCGGTGCCTGCTAGCGTACCGGTGACGGACCGCCATGTGGAGGAATCGTGAAGAGGAGGGGGCGGGACGATCTCCTGGGTCTGCCGTTTTTGGGGACGGCTCTCGGCTGTGGGGACTCCGTCCGAAGGTACGGATACTTTTCTTAGGCAGTGTATTTGTGCCCGTACTGCTAGGTTGCATATGTTCCCTCCCAAGGCTCTCGAGTCATCGTCTCAATTCGACTACACCTACGCAGCAACCCGAAGTGTTGCCTGGCAGAGAGGATAGCGACACATTCTGATTGTGAGTCGCCAAGACAACTAGGGATCCGAGTTGCACGCGTTTCGACAGCGCCGGGAACTGTAACGCCAGGATGGATCTCTTGTTAGGAGACCCGGAGGTTTCCTGCCTGTGCCGAGGTACCCCCATGTTCGGTCCGGGTCGGTGAAGATGCTCAAAGTACGGCATATCGCGAAACAGACCAGGTTTTATGGCGCTTATGACTCATAGATTGATACATACGAAAAGATATGTCTTGTTGAGAACGACGGTTCGAATGTTCGGACGAGGGAGTCCTTGTTGGAGGAAGTCGGGGTACTCGATAGCCGCCCCTTGTTACCAAATCCGATCCGACGGACTCGTTAGATCGCGACGGGACTGGAGTCGAGATCGGGAATCGACCAAGTCTTTTGTCACCTGAGTCGTCAGGTGCGAGTTGCCGAGTGCAGCCTATCCGACCATCACGATGATGAGGGTGTCATTTCATAATGCCATTTCCTCGGCGTGGACGACGGCCATTCTGTTCTCGACATCTGATGAACGTGGCGTCGGCTCAATCCGAAGAATACCTCATCCGAACCCCGCAACAACGGCTGTGCAGGCAGCGCCAGGCACCCGTCCCGGCGGGCATATGTCGTCCGTCTACACAGTAGAAGCCCTTCGCGATACTCAGTCAAGGTACCTGATGCAGGCGGAACTGAGGGCTGTGGACATGGAAGTGTATCGTATCCGTGCCCTTTTCAAATAGGGCATCGGCGGTACTTGGGAATATGCGGCATGGATCGTGTTTCTTCCGGTTTGACGGGCCGGCTGATGGACAGCGATGCGGGATTCGGTTCTTCCTTAGCTGTAGTATACGGTACGGAGCGTTGTTTGGCCATGTGGTTCGCGTGTCCGCTGGGTCGCACTTGTCAGAGACATCGGCCATGCATTTGCGAGAGCTCTCGTGCGCCATCCAATCAGACTGTCAAATAGCAACGGGAATTTCCCGATGGGAATACCCCACTGCACTTGCACCTGAACCCGTGCTCCTCGCACTCTCCTGTGATTCCCATCTTGCTGACTCCCGTTTTCCGATCTGAACTCGGTGCTACAATCCCTACTTTACCTGCAGTAGCCTCAATAGAGGCCTGACTTCATGCGATGGCACGCCCGAGTACGACAAATGGTAAGGTTAGGCAGGTTCTCTTTCACACATGCGGAGCTGCGCTCGCAGGCATGCATTGGATGCTTGGTATCCTCTTGGCCGCCAGCTTATGGATTCTGGGGATTCGTTCGCGGCCTTGTTGCACCGCATGGCATTTCAACAGATTACACAGTAGGTCAGCCTGGCCGCCGAGCCCGACAAGTCAAAGAACGGCCCCAAAAAAACAGGCTGCTCGATTCCTTCTTTCGCTACACTCCCGATGTTTGGATCACATGAATGATCACGCTGACCGGCTGCATGTCTCACTAAAAAAAGGGTCACAAGTACCATGACGAATTCGGCAGCCGTTACGTTGCGCAAAAATACCCGAGCTATTCCTTCGCTATGAGTAGTCAGGTCATCCACCTTATCGCGCTCCTCCTGTGTAAAAACTGGCTACCACGGATTTGCGGTTGCACGAATCTTGATATGGAGCCTTGCATGCAGAGCCCGATCTCTGCCCCAGACCTTTGAGCAGCAACCCCCCGCTTGACGGTGGTTCGTCAGCCGCAAATCATATCTGGCCCGCGAAGGTTTCATTGGCTGGCTACTGAGCGAATATGACGCCACAGCTGAAACTGTTCGCAGTGCCCTTCTTCAACTCCAGGCGCAGAGTCGACCGACACCCGGAGCTTCCGAGACGAACGGCTCAAGTTGGGCAACGGCGCTTCCACGGCAGACTTACTGCCCTCAACAAGTCAGCAGGCACAACATGAGCCTCGCTTCGATAGCCTGGCGAGTGTGGGAAACTTGACGGCGGAACATGGAGGACACGGCTTTGGTTCGGTTGACGGCGCGCGGGAAGATCTCACAGCACTCTGTAAATGACGCGCAAAGGCGACGCGACAAATTCATTCAGCCACACGTTCTTGGAAATAGGCGGAGCAAATCAGACAGACAGACCTCAGCGAGAAATAACTTGGCACCCGACGGCTCCCATCCAGCTGGACCCGGGCTTTGTCACTCTCACAGCCAGCCTCGCCTGCCCAGCCTGCCAGTTCCGCCGGTCAAACCCGCGCTCCGGCTCGCAGTTCCGCAGCTCTTTGCTTGCCAACCTCTGGGCGAAATACTTGGAAGCGGAGCAACAGTCAACAGAGCGTGATTCAAACGAAACGAAGCGTCGCGCCATGTGACGCGTGGGTTCCACAAGCTCTCAAGGAGAAGGGCTCCAAGCTCCAAGAATCTGGGGAGCGCAAAGCAGGCGAGCGAAGATGGTGTGCTCAAGAAGAGCCATGCAGCAGGGCAGGGACGGTATGGCGCATCCCGAGTTTGGCCATGAAGTGGGAGGGTGGAAAGGTGGGGCGCAAGACGAGGGAGCAGACCGGGGTGCAAGCGAGAACCGACGGTTGGACTTGGCTCTGTGCTCTGTCAGGGTATGATTGGTACGACAGGCAAGTTGCGCTGACACGGACCACTTTCATGCACATCATGGAAAAGGTTCACTCACCCCTCTAGCTTCGATCCAACCACACCCTCCCCTGGCCTTCTGCCCCTCCGTCGGACGCCGGAGCGTGAACGGCTGCAGTCTTACGGCTCCGAGACGGCTTGCAAATCTCCTCCGTTTTCCCCGCTGCCTCTGTCTTTCGGAAAGTAGATTCTATCATTCAGTGCTGCAAGAAGCGGCTGTCGCAACAGCAACAGTCGAGCTTCCCTACACCTGAGCATCGGATCCGGAAGATTGGCCCCTTCAAGCTTCCAGCAAGCCACCCACCCTCAGCACCTGCAGACTGGCCACCTCACCCTCGCCCGGCGTCCCGCTGCACGTCGTTTGCACAGGGGCGGGGCCGGTAGCACGCGCGAGAGCAATGGCATGGGTTCCATCTTCCCCACGATCTGCCTGAGCGGCCGTGAGAGCCACCTGCTGCTTCCCTCCCTCAGTTGTGCAGCTGTGTACTCAGCGGCCCCTTCCCGCTCTTGCAGCAGATAGAGGTTGAGGCCGTTTTCATGGGCCTGTTGCCAGGGTTCGATGGATGTTGGAAGAGCGAGGCTCTCCCCTACCACCCATTCTGCACACCATCTGTGCCCGCAGTGCAAGCAATCTCCGGTCGACACCACTCCCACCAGAGCTTCATCTCATCTGCCGACTGCTTGTTTCCTTGCACAAAACCGCGTTACCAAAAGCTGCCGTCACGGGAGACACGCTCTCGTGAACAAGCCCATGGCCAGGTCTACGGATCTGCGCTCCCACACCCACCTCCTAGGCACAATACCACCCAGCTTCCGGGAGGCACCACCCTTTCCATCAACCCTGTCTGAGCCCAGAACCAAGGCATGATCTTTCCAGGAGACGACGGTGGGTCCTGCGATCAGGCGGGCGCTAAGATGGAATGCCCATGACACTGCGGGAGATGGCCTCGACCCGCATTCCTCTTGGGACTTTGATATTGACTGTTGGTGATAGCTACGCGTCGGAGCATTAGGATTGCGCTGCGCACCGCGGCACGCACGGCACTTTCCCTTGGTGAACACAACACATGCAGGAGAGACTGTCCCAGGGCAGCATCGGATTTCGACTCGTGTAAGATCACCCCGGGCGTGAAAGGTAATGTGCTTTGCAAACCTCCCGAGATGCAACTATACCTGCAAGCCTTCGTCTCACGTCTGAGGCATCACGACAAGACGGGAAAGTGGGCGTCCCGTCCTAGCGTCGGCGGCGTGCAGCTTTGGAATGTCGCACGAGGAATCTGACCGTCAAGTACTGTGCCTTCAAGATGCATAATTCGCTTGCGCATCACCCTTTTCCCATTTTGTTGGGCTTGGCTCTGGCAAGTCCTTTGGGACATCTACCGTTAGGACACGGCGCAGTTCATGATGACCCTGATCCGGTGTTTTCCGCTCTGGGAGCGAGCCAACTTGAACTCGGGGCTCTGGGATGAGGCCTGCATCGTGGTTCTGAGGTGACACTGTGATTGCGCAGGTCCTCCTTACTCACCACACTGGACAAACGACGAGAGGCATTTCTTATCAAGAGGCACTTCCTGTCTCATTCACAGGCGAACCAAAACTATTTTTGGTGTTTCACAGATTCAAGGAGAGGATGAGGCCATCGGACTGAAATCCGACGGACGCTCGAGAGGATTACACGGCTCCGTCTCTAACCAAGACCTGTCTGCAGAAGCGAGAATGGAATGGCAATCTGGCAAAATGGGCCGGTTGAATCTTGCGCAGATCATACGAGCAGCGTGTGTGCTCACATTGCAGTACGCTCTAGCTATACAAGCTCTGGATTCATTCCGGGAGTGGGGATTTTTCCTCAGCTTACCTGCTCGTTAAATGTCGACTCACAACCTCTTGTTGTAAGACAGTGAGGAGCAGTTTGATGCCAGTGGCGCCAACTGCATGCTGCCGCCCAAGGACTGTCCGTGGGCAGCCACAACGAAGTAGGGTATCTCAACTGCAGTCGCGCCAGCACCGCAAAGAAACCGACTCAATCAGCGATTGAAGATCGACCCAGGTGGCACAGAGAGCCTGTAGACTACAGCGTATCCTCGGTGGAAGGTAAGAACATATGTATACCTCATATGCGTGCCACATTCCAGTTTGTTCAGTTGAGTCCATTAAAGTCCCTGTCATCGTCAAAGAAACAGAACGCTGGCTTATGAGGACCGGCCTGGCAGCTTACTGTCAACGTTCCATATCCGGGCTTTGGGTGTCGGGTCTTGAGTTTCGGGTCTTGAGTTTGATCAGGATTCCGCGCTGTTATTCGTAGCGTGTTGATGATGGCTTGAAGACCTCTTCTTGATACTTGATGCGCGATGTTCGCCGCTAGCGCACTTCTCATCCAATGTCGCCTAACTCTGATGTCTGGAGCATGGAGTGGGAGGGTGGTAAGGTAGGTTTGAGATACCAAGCCCTGCGCTTATTTTATGCCGGCAATGGCGCGGTGTTTGTTATCGATAAATGTTGGCTTAGCGCCAGCCACACGGTGATTCGTCAGAGAGACGCCGTCATCGCGTTTTCAAGCATTAGCAATCACTCACTCCGATCGAAATGCAAAAAACCGTGATGCTGGAGCATCACAAACTTGCGACTGCTTTCTTTGATTCGGAAAACTCTGGGCCAGACCATTAACGATGCGATCAAGGTATTGAGAGCATTCGAAGTAGCGAAAATATCACGTTACTCCGAAACCGACATCTACCCTTCTTATCCAGCCAGTAAACCGCGCCGTTTGGTTCAGAAAATGGCTAGTCTCAAGCGGTCTCTCGACTCGGATCCCTTCTCGGCCAATATTTCGAGCAAAGTCTATGTGAGATCGACAAAGAGTGGGAAGGTCCAAAAGATTGTTCGCGAGGTCTACCTCCGCCAGGACATCCCCTGCTCCTCTAGGTTATGCCAGACCTGCATCAAAACCGCCCCCAGAGATGCCGCGGGCCGACGTGAGCATGCCAAAATTACACGTCCTTTCTGGCTCCAACAGGATGAAGCGCTGACTTTGGCACAGCTACTACGTTTGTCCTCTCGGAAGCACCCGCCGGCACCAGTGTCTTCCCGCAGGGCCACTACCTGGTACCCGACACCAATGCCTTCCTGACTGCCATGGATCTTTTTGAGCAAAGCGCCGCCTTTTACGACGTCATCGTGCTTCAAGTCGTTCTTGAGGAAGTGCGCAACCGGTCGCTGCCGCTCTACAATCGCCTCATCGGACTTACCAAGAGCGAGGACAAGCGCTTTTACGTCTTCTTCAACGAGTTCCGTCTCGAGACTCACGTCGCCCGCCAGGAAGGCGAATCCGTCAACGATCGGAATGACCGTGCCGTCCGCAAGGCTGTCGCCTGGTACGGCCAGCACCTGGCCAGAACCAAGGCGAAGACGGTGCCGGCTGTCGTCATGCTGAGTAACGATCGAGACAACCTACGCAAGGCGAAGCAGGAAGGTATTTCGGCGTGCTCACTGGCCGAATACGTCAAACAGCTCAGGGACGGCGACAGGCTCCTCGACATGATCCCTGAGTCCGGAGACCAAGGGATTGTCAAGGAAAAGCGCCCCGGCGAGCCCCTTTACCCGGAATACTTCACCATGTCCAAGATGATGACGGGCGTCAAGAATGGTCTTCTTCACCAGGGTATCTTCAACGTCTCACCGTACAACTATCTGGAGGGCTCCATCAGGGTGCCGGCGTTCCCCAAGCCGCTCCTGATTCTAGGGAGGGAAAACATCAACCGCGCTATTGACGGAGACCTGGTCGTTGTGGAGGTGCTACCCAAGGACCAGTGGAAAGAGCCTTCGACTCAAGTGATTGAGGAAGATACCATCACCAAAAACGAGAACCCGGATGCCGAAGAGACGGCCGACCTTGTCTCGGAGAAGGAGCGCAAGGCGTTGCAGGAGGAGGTGAAGCGGACCCATAACAAGACGACCGAAGGCCATGCCCAACCGACAGCGAAGGTCGTCGGCGTAGTCAAGCGGAATTGGCGCCAATATGTTGGGCATATCGATCAATCATCGGTGAGCCAGTCAACCCAGCAGGGACGCAAGCAGGATACCGTGTTTGTGATTCCGATGGACAAGAAGATCCCAAAAATTCGATTACGGACGCGCCAAGTGGCCGAGCTTGTCGGAAAGCGGATTCTTGTTGCCATCGATGCCTGGGATCGCGGCTCCCGGCATCCCATCGGCCACTTCGTTCGGTGCTTGGGCGAGTTGGAAACCAAGGCTGCCGAGACGGAAGCCTTGCTCCTCGAGTACGACGTCCAGTACCGGCCTTTCCCCAAGACGGTCCTTGACTGTCTGCCCAAGGAGGGCCACGACTGGAGAGTACCCGAGAATATGGACGATCCGGGGTGGAGGGACAGAGAAGATCTCCGCGGCCTCCTCATCTGCAGTATCGACCCGATTGGCTGCCAGGATATCGACGACGCTCTTCATTCCCGGCCGCTTCCCAACGGCAACATCGAGGTTGGCGTACACATCGCCGACGTGTCCCACTTCGTCAAACCCAACAACGCCATGGATACCGAGGCCAGCATTCGCGGCACTACCGTGTACATGGTGGACAAGCGTATCGATATGCTTCCGATGCTCTTGGGTACGGATCTGTGCTCGCTCAAGCCCTACGTTGAGCGCTACGCCTTCTCCGTCCTATGGGAGATGACAACAGATGCCGACATTGTGAACGTGAGGTTCACCAAGTCAGTCATCAAATCTCGGGAAGCGTTCAGCTACGAACAGGCACAGCTAAGGGTAGACGATCAATCGCAGCAGGATGAGCTCACCAAAAGCATCCGGACCCTACTTGCCTTGTCAAGGAAGTTGAAGCAGAAGCGGCTTGACGCGGGTGCTTTGAGTCTGTCCTCGCCCGAGGTAAAGGTGCAGATGGAATCCGAGACATCCGACCCTATCGACGTCAAGACCAAGGAGCTCCTCGACACCATGTCCCTGGTCGAAGAGTTCATGCTTCTCGCCAACGTCAGCGTGGCTCGCAAGATCTACGAGGCCTTCCCCCAGACAGCAATCCTCCGTCGCCACGGAGCGCCTCCCAAGACCAACTTTGACGAACTCGCCAACCAGCTCCGCGTCAAGCGCGGCCTCAACCTGAGCGTCGAATCATCGCGCGCCCTCGCCGACAGCCTGGACGCGTGCGTCGACCCCAAAGAGCCCTTCTTCAACACGCTCGCCCGCATCATGGCCACCCGCTGCATGATGGCGGCCGAGTACTTTTGCTCGGGCACGCAAGCGTACCCCGAGTTCCGCCACTACGGCCTCGCCTCGGAAATCTACACGCACTTCACCTCGCCCATCCGGCGGTACGCCGACCTGGTCGCCCACCGCCAACTGGCCGCCGCGATTGGGTACGAGGCGGTGCACCCGAGCGTGCGCAGCCGCGGCAAGCTCGAGGCCGTGTGCAAGAACATCAACGTGCGGCACCGCAACGCGCAGCTCGCGGGCCGCGCCAGCATCGCGTATTATGTCGGCCAGGCGCTCCGCGGCAAGGCCGCCGAGGAGGACGGGTTCGTGCTTAAGATTTTTAGCAATGGATTCGTCGTGCTCGTGCCGCGTTTTGGTATCGAGGCGCTCATCCGGCTGCGCGACCTGGGTGATCCGGAGCCGGCGGCCGAGTACGACGCCGAGACGTACACCCTGAAAACGAGCGGCAGCCGCGAGCTGACGGTCGAGCTGTTCCAAAAGGTGCGGGTCAAGGTGACGGATCAGAAGGACGAGGCGACGGGGAAGAGGGGGGTCAAGATGGAGCTCTTGAGCGTCTACTGAGTTTTTCTCGGTTGGGCGAGACACTTTCCGTTGTTGTTATTTGGTTTGCTGTTGATAGGGTTTAGCCATCTAAGTGTTTGTGATGCTTCTGTCGAGCCAAGATGGGAATGGAAGCTTTGATACTCCTCGTCCTGCGCTGTCCGTTGTGAGATTGAATCAAATACCTCTTCAATTGGATGGCAGGTCTGTGTTCTGGTTGGAATGGATGAGCTCCGTCCAGCTTTACACAGGGTAGGTATCTGTACAATACACATTGTATTGTACTTGTTCGCCTGGCGATCAGATATCATCCCTTTTGCGCCTGAACTGCCTAGTTAGGGAATCCCAAGCCTGGATCCAGCTTGTCTCAGATAGATTGAGGCTTCTTTCAGCATGTTATCATCATGCCATATATGGAGACACTGGCAACATAGTGTATTTAGCCGGATTGCGAACCATGTCAGTTTATATATGAGGCCCGGGAATGGAAAGAAGGGACAGGGCGATCATCCATCCCTTGGACTGAAATGAAACGTGCATCGAGCGGGACGGGCCGAACGGCGAGGCAGCCCTAAACTGAAGTCTATCCCAAGTCGTGTTACCCAGGGAGTCATGACGACTTGCTTGCACCGCCAGGAGTCATAATTTTCCGGCAACCACCGTCGCTTTTTACTGTTAGGCTGTGGCAGTGTTTGGTTGTGTTGTGTTGACGTCTCTCATGCAAAAGTCTCGCCGGAACGCTTACCCCCTTACAAAGCAATGATAATATCTCCATTCCATTCTGGTCAATTATGTTGATTCGTAGGCGAGGCTTCCATGCACAGGCTGTTACGATCTCGCCGCAGGCAGAGTGATTCTGCCGTCGAGATTCCCAGAGAACCATTAGAGGGGGAAGGCCACAAAAAGGAAAACGAAACAGGCCCGCACAAATAAAACTATCGCAGAGCTACAGAAGGGAAGTAACCTACACATACAGTGCCTTGCCAGACGCAGAAGGCCCCTCACTTTCCCATTTGTGTTTGTTTCCCGCAACGGCTTGGTACCACGGCGACATTGTAAACTCTCCTGTGAGAAGACGGAGGGTGATGTAGCACAGCACCAGGGGCATAGCCCAAGGCATATTGGCATGGTGTAAGATAGACACGTCAGATCTTCGTGCTATTGTACGTAGGGAGGTCGGGTATGAAGAGGTAAGTGATTTGACAGATAGGGCGGGCTGGCAAAATAACAGAGGGAACCCAAGAGCACAATCATCTCGCCACTCCAACAGTGGCTTTGTAACAACGATATGACATACGATATATATATAACGTTATATATATAGTTATATATACGGTATAACTCTGGAAGCCCAGATGCTTTGGGATGCCTCACACAGTCAAGCTCCCCATCGACCTCTGGGTTCTCTTATCCGACTCCAAAACGTAAAACACGTTAGAATGCGATTCCCTTTCCACATGGCGGGTATGAACAATTTCAAGACAAAGGTCCCCGCCCTCTTCCAGCCTGAGCCGAAAAGCCGTACACATCCTGTTTCCTAAGTCCTCCTCCTCCTTCACCCTGCGAGCCATCAACGTTCCCTATTGTTTGCCCAACTCCGCCCGCTTGATGACGCCCCGGCGCGTTTAAACCGCCCTCCCAGCCCATGACGCCGGTAGATATTTGCAGGCCAGAAAGTTGGAGGTGATGTGGAAGGGGAGAATGACCGAGGATCTTCTTTCTATCCAACAGTACAATGTTGATGTTGCTCCCTTTCCATTCTCGGTTCCACCGCTTTCTGTATGCTTGCAGAGTGGTATATCCCAAAAGATGAACCCATTCCAGCAGCAAGGGTGAGAACCGGAGCTGATGGGAAAAAAAGCTAGGGAAAAAGACAAACCTCCAGAATTTCCTCTTTGTGTCCGTGTATCATTACATTAAACGCGAAAAAAAAAGAGAAAGGAGAAGTATGCTCTTCGTCTTTGCGTTGCTCGAGGTATGTTGCTGATGCGCTTTTTCGCCGGAAACCGTAGCCACGTGTATAAGCTCGGGGAAACAGGTGAGACGTACATATCAAACGAAATGTAGAAATAAAGACTGAGAGAGCGTTTGGAATATCTCGACGTGTGATCAAACAATCCGGATCGGTCTGCAACATTGCGAGACCTCTTCGCGTAGAAGGGACAAAGGAAAATGTTGGTACACTGCAGCGCCCTGGGGAGTTGTGGGGAGGATGCGTTTGGTTTTGGTGGTCGATCGATTCGAACAACCAGGGAAACGGATCCTCAGCCGGATCCCGTAGGTTTTCATGACTTATTCGTGTTGAAATCCTGAGGAGTGATGTTCTGGGCAAACTGAAACTGCTTCGATGTTGGGGCCGCCACGGGGGATGACCGGGCCGAGGACTCGACTGGATACGAGTCGGGGAAGTGGTACTCGGCATGTCCCAAACTCGTGCCAAAGAAGCCGGTATAGGCCGGCCCCATCGCGGGCGGGAACGACGGCGTAACCGGCTGACTGGCTACGTAGCCCGGCAGATGGGGTGCCATCGAGAACTCCACCTCGGATCCGCCGTGGCTGCAGAGGCTCGGTGTCGGCAACGGCTCGTCTTGCGGCGCATAGTTCCAGGCATGGTCGAGCGAACTTGGGAAGTGGGCGTCCGGGAAGCCAATGGGAAAGTTTGGCGTGCTCGGAGGGGACGTGACGGTGCGATCGGCGTTGTACAGGGGAAGTCCGCTTACCGGCCCCAGAGAGCCAAAGGCGAAGCCCTGTTCATCGTCCGAAGGGCTTGTTCCCACTGCGCAATCCTCTAAACCCGCCCCAATTACACCCTCCGGGCCCAAGGAGGGCATGGCATTATTCAGAGGTGCTATGCTTGGAGTTTGTGACTCCTGCAAACTCTGAAGCAGCGCCTCCTTGTTCCGATCCATGGCAAACGGCGACCGCGGCCCGCCCGATGCCATAAACGACTTCTGGACACGGCTGTAGAGGCTTGTTGCCGAAGAAATCCGTCTGAGGGGGCTCACCGTATCGGCCCGCCTCGGCACCTCAATGCCGGTCTTGGGACCTCCGGGGCCGCCCCTTAGCGACAGCAGTCCGAGGGGCGCCGGTCGCCTGCTCTTCCGGCGACCGGCAATATCGGCCGGCGGAGGAGGGGACTTGAATCGCAAGTTCGATACGGTCGAGGGCGAGTCGGGCATCGAAAGCGGGGACACGATATCGGACTGTGAAAGGCTCTCCATCGATTCCTGGTGCCTCAGCAATTGGCTGTTGACGTTGATTGAAGCGTTTGGAGCCACCATCTCGGAGGGAAACTGAGGGGCCGAGGGAGTAGCATAATAGTCGTGCTCCGTAAACGGACTGAATGCGCCTGTGTCGCTGATACCCATACCGTTGTGGGGGGCGAACGCATCCAAGGTCGGACGCGTCATATCGTCCGCGGCACTTCCGTCTGCAAGATGGAAAGGGAAGGCTGTTGATGGTTGCTGGAACCCATCTTCATCCTGCCTCGCCCCGAAACCATCCATCATGGGCCCGGAAGCCAGCAACCCTGCCGCTTCCTTGGTTGACCGGCCGAAGTGGCCATAGTCGACATGGACGAAACCATCACTGTCGGAACTGGTTGGGCTCTCACAAGATGGTACGACTGGCGAAGAGGACTGAGTGGCGCCGTCGATTGGCTCGCTTTTGATCAGGACAGCGTCCCTTGATCCAACAGCATCGTCGTCTCGCCCGAACGCGTCCGTGGATGAGCTCCAGGGTTGCCTCTGGTTGGCAGGCTCGTAGTCGCTGTCGGCGTTGTGGTCCTGATCGCCCGTTGACTTGGTTTCCGAAGCCGCTCGTTCCCTCGCCTGCTGCGCCTCGAACTCGGCCGTCTTTTTCATCTGCTTCTCCTTTGCCCGGCGATTCTGGAACCAGTTCTGTCACGGAAAGGCGTTAGCACAGGGCACCCCGCCTGGCAGCATCCTCACGAAACCCACGTTTATCCTCGGCACCTCGACACCCATCTGCTCAGCCAATTCGCGCTTGGTACTACTGCTCGGCTTCTGGTTCTTTGCGAACTCGCGTTCCAACAGCTCCACCTCATCCTTCGCCAATCTTGGCTTGGGCTCCGCCGGCTTTGAGGGCTGCATGCTTCCCTGGCCCATCAATGCCGCCGCGCGATGCTGCTGTTGGTAGTATGCCATCAGAGGGTTCCAGTACGGATACTGGGCGTTTTGGGGTTGCCCCTGTTGCTGGACCGCGAAAGGCTGCACGGCCATGCCAGGAAAGCGGCGGCGGAAAGGGTCCAAGTAGTCCATGTCCATCGTGGCAGTCGGGAGTGCTGAAGCGGCCTTGTCGTGAGGGCACACTGTCTCGACCCGCGGCGCGTCTCGATGTCAGTTGCAATATACTGATATTTGGATGTGTCCCGCTCGACACTTGAGATGCGGGAGCCGACAGCGTCGTGTTATGTCGTGGGTGTGCCCCGAAGGAATGACTGAGGGTGAGGCAGATTGAGAGGACGGCAGCCGGCTAACACGTAGGGACGCGAGATATTCGGGGAGGGGATGTTGATGAGATCTAAAGAGCGTGTGGGCCTAACTCAGGATCACCAAGCCAAGAAGTAGACTAAGATGAGATGGGGGCCGGGTTCCTGCCGGGGGTCTAAACCGGTTAAAGAATGAGTGGTGAGTGAAGTGTCCGGGAGCAAGGACGGCGGGGGATTCGAAGAGGGGGGGAAAGGAGTGTTGCTTGAAGAGATGGATGGTGAGGCGGCAGAGGGCGAGATGCAAGTGAGCGCAGACAGGGCCTCTCTTCCCGTCCTCGTCTGTCTCTGCTCTGCTGTATTCTCCTTTCACGATAGGGCAGGGGGGCGGGGGGGCCGGCGAGACAGCGGGTGGGTGTGGAGAGGCTGCTGTTGCTGCACAGCACAGGGCTCCCCATCTCGCACAACTTGTAATCCATTGTGCTGCCGCCCGCAGCTCGTCGCCGTGAGAGCAGGGAATGCCGAGTGGAGGTGTGCTTGGGCAAGGGGTTGTCATGTGCCAAGGGCCCAGGCGGGCGGGAAAGAAAAGACCAGGGAGCCTAGCAGGATACTTCCAGGTACGGAGGACGGCTGGGCACGTTGGGTACCTCAGCTGAACTGCAGGTGGGGAGGTTGTGGGGTGATGATTGAATCCCGGCATCTTGGAGGCTCAAGGCATATCTCTATAGCGTCAGAGGATCATCAAAAAGTTAGAGGACCAGGCGCCGCGATCTAGAGAGCCCCTACCAACAACCTGTATAGCGGAGTTAGGTACACAGAGCCCTTTGACGCGTTGAGGCCACAAACCGTCTGTTTTGTATGGAGAAGCTGGCTCTGGCTGCCCCCGCATTTGGGCTGATCCGGGCGAGCTCCCCGCCTCGACATCGGACCAGGGACTGGATACGGAGATGCAGCACGGCCTATAGGGCACAAGATCCGGTCCCTTGTGTTTCTGTCCCGACCTGCAGAACTTGCAGAAGCAGGGCGAGAGCCGGCCGGAGTGTGTGGGAGCCGAGGCCGGAAACACCGTCGGTCTCTCGGAGTCAGAACTCGAGAGACACCCGCCTGCGCCTGATGATGACGGGTTTGAGTTGCTGGCTGCAGGGACCTCATGGACAAGCTGAAACGCATGCCAGGGGCAAAAAGAAAGCATTTTGCTTCACCTATCCGAGCCTTGGGCTGCGGGCTGGATCGAGACCCGTTGACGACGGTGTACACTGCACGTAACACGTGGAGAAGCCAATTGGAAACAAGATTCGTCCTGAATATTTTCAGAGGCTTTAGAAGCCTTGTTTGGTCACTGTGCCCGCACAGTAAACAGTGCCGCAACTTTCTGAGGTGACAGCGCAGATCTTTTGAAGGCTTGGGCGCCGGTTCTTGCATTCCTTGCTATGCCTAGTAACTTACCGTAACGTTACCGTGTATTACCAATCAAGATAGAGGCCACTTCGGAAGTTCAAGTTGCAAGGTACAGGCCGGCTCGGCTTCTTGCTGCTGTCAGGTGGAGTGATTGTGGAGAGCGACTGGAAAGGGGTGTCGTTTGTGTCGCGGCTTCAATGTCATCGCTGTCCAATCCCAGTGCAGGAGTGACCACTGTCTTCTGGCGTAACAATCGAGATCATCGCAGCGGCCGTCCCAGCAAAAGGGAGTGCATATGAATATGGCTGGAATGCCGCCCGCAGCCTTCCAAGCTCTCTCCGCTTGCTGCGGCTGCCCCGATTCCATTGTCAGTGAATTTCTTGACTGTGTCTAACGTTACTGTGAGTACTGTCATATTTAACCAGCTTTTGCCTTGGGGAATGGAGCTCGGCCCGATGCACCATGGATGACTGCGGGCTGCTCACGGCAAATGGAGCTTGACAGCGGTGGAGTGTCCCGGCCGACTGGCAACATTGGTGCTTCCATCCACTCGGACAGTCACGATCAGTTCATCAGTGGCAAAACCACAGGAAGAAAATGTCCGACGAACCTCCACTGTGCAGGAAGGTAAGTTAGGTGTTGGATCCTTCAAGTGTATTGTCGAGATTGTACTCCGTCCCTCCGTACGCTAGCTCATCGTCGGCCACCAGTGTCTGGACTCTCTGCCTGTCTGTGGCTTCATCTCCCGACTGGCGGGTCTTTGACATTCTTTTGTGGGTCTCCTCGCTTACCGCCGCGTCTGATTCGTGCAGACCGAGGACAAGCAACAACATTCCACGAGCCAACTGATGAATAAGGCTTGCTGTTCTTGCTTGATGTCTTGAAAGTCTTTGTCTAGGATCTGTACGGATCCGTACTGACGGGACCTTTACACTCCATACCAAAAACATTCAAACACCAATCCCGAGGTCTGTGTTGGCGTCCTTCGCTCGACGGGAGAACAGCGGACATGTTTCTCCTTGGGGAAGTGGTCCGTGGGTTTCTAAACCTGCAATCCACGAGAACCTAGGGCAGAGTTTAACTCGGTGGTTTCACTTCTTTCAGAATCACAGGACCAGGTCATAAAGTAGCACAACATTTGCAGTGCTATGCTGCTATTTATGGGCCCTGCTCCCACTGCAACCTCTGCACACCTGCAGCAGGAAGGGGTCCGTCCCGTACAGATGCGGCTTTGATTGGGCATCGAAGGTGGTGCCAGCGCACAGGTTCGACAGCTGCTGCATTCGACTGCTGATGAGGAGCTTACCCGATCGCACACGGACCTGCACACAGCAGCTGCGGTGATGGGGCTCAAGCCTTGGGCGCAACGTCGGCAAAGACGGAAGTTTCTTGGCTTAGATGTTCCGCGCGGGCGTGCCGTGGCATACTGATGCTTTGCAGCAGAATGTGCGGAACTTTCTGTCTGAACGTACACATCCCAGCCGCAACCAGACGGTGAGGTCCATCCTCCTAGTGTCACTCACTGAGCGCACGACCAGCTGGCCGCGGGGCGGAAACAGATCCCTGGCGGGCCAAACAACCTCAGAATGCGGGCGCGAACTGCCCCAATCAACTCGGACCAGGCACCGACATCATGATCATTCTTCCAGCTTGCTGTGGTTCGCCAGCAACAGGTGGAATTCAATACAGGCACCAAGCCAATGAATGAGTGGGAACTGTCACAATCCCAGCCGCTGATCACCTCACTACACAGTACCGCTTAACAGGGTCGATCTGCCGATCCGCCCAACCTTTGAGGATTTGGAGTGATATTATCACCCGGTATGTCATTGAGGACAGCGATGGGCACAATGCTTTAAATAAGGTCGTTGACTCTGACGGCTTCTTAAAGACGCGCTCGCCCGCAACTGGTCACGGAATGAGGCTCGCTCGACTCCACAGCACGTGTTGGTCCCGGCCAGTGCGTTCATTGGACAGCGTACGACCCTTTTAAACTCGGAACCATCGGGTGTCGAGGTCCGGCGAGACAAGAAGTACCCGTACCAACCGTAGGTACCTCCGCAGCTAAGAGATGCGACGGTCGCCCTCCTCAAGGTAGTCCGTATGCCGTCTTCGATCAGCTGGTTGGAATACACTTGCAAAGGACCTCTCCCCCGCACCGACACCGGCGGAAGAAGCTGGTTGGCCTCCAAGCGCCTGGAGAGTACCTACGCCCATCAAAGCTTGTGCTGCTAACACTCCCGCGTGCAGGAGACCCCATCGTCCTCTCACGCTGTACAGTACACAGAGGATCATTTTACACGTCCTTCAGGTATTTTCCCACCGTATTCCAGTATTCTTCTTCTTCGTTACAACTCGGGATGTCACTTGGTCAGTGACCGCGCGCCAAATCCTCTCCACAGAAGGCTCTTCCACAGGGGAACGAGAGAACTGCTTTCCGGGCCCACCGGGCCACGTGTTGGAAGGTCGGCCTGCCCTGCCATTGATCCCTGCTCCTCGACTTGCAGCCCGGTGTGCCGTGAACCGCCGGCGGCGCAGGACGGTACCTCGAGGTACAACACTCTCAAGGCACAAGTCCCCGCCGGTCTCTTCTTGATAAGGGAACCCGACAGGACCTAGCATCCCTATCATCGTACTGCGTACTTGCAGCGGATAGCAGTCGGGATTGTTGGGCGACTTGCGCATAGCAGCTTGCCGTTGTTCCACAAAGCACGGTGAAAGCAGCAACAGCAGCAGCGAGATCGATAACGTACCCTCTAGCGGACGGTACGAGCATCATCCCCCTGCTCTGTACAGTATGGTATGTACTGACAACGCCGAGCCGCTTGTCCCACAAGACAATCTCGGGTTGGGACGTCTTCGGGACCGGAAGTCAAGCCGATGGCAGATATCATGGCGTGGGGGAGCAATCTGACGTTCCCATCACTCTCACTCTATCCGTACTCTACCCGGATGTGAGCCTCATCGGAGCCCAACCCAACGCTTCGACAAGTTTGGAGAAGAACTCACCTTGAAAACGAGTCCAACAAGCTGGTTGGCGAAACGCCTTCAACGACCGCACAACCCTCATGTCTCTGGTTCCTGCAGCGGGACTCTCGGACAGCATCTGCAATTGTTCGCTCGGGAGTTGGGACCAAGCTTGCTGTGCAAGGGGATTGGATCCGAGAGCGAACATCGAACTGCCCTGTCCTTGGAGCACTACTTTACCAGTAATTACATTACTGTGGTACGGATACAGCTTGTGTCTTTTTTGCGCTAATCTCGCTTCGGGTTTTCTTTGCCGCTTCTGGTTCTCGCCCTAACCGCGTCCGTACCACTCCCGAGGCTGAAGTGTGGCTGATCGGTTCTGTCCTAGGTTCGGAGCCGAAATAGTGAAGAGGAAACGGCTTTCAATGATCGGCGGCATTCTCCAGCTCTCACGGTCGGTTGTCGAGTCAGGCCGGGATGTCAAGGAGCCCCTGACAGACCGTCTCTTTCACGACTCAGATGTGTTTGCGCGCAGCAACAGAATCGTGAACTGGGCCGCTGGGGGTTCATGTTACCCAGATCGCCGACCAATTTGTGATGCCGGGAGATGACTTCTGCAAGCGTCCGTATGCTCCCAGACGGGACGCGACTCTTATGAACACCGCAGTTAGGTCTCACAGTCGGAGCCCCCAGCTGTGCGTCTCGGGGTCTCTGGAGCCGCGCTGCAACTGACCGTTTCCTCATTTCCTTGCCTACTTTTCCCGACGCAGCTTGCCGGCATTCGCATGAGTAAGACAGCCAGCTGTACGGAGTATCTTGGACGCTCTCCGCCATCAAGCCTGGTGTCAGAGTGTGTCCGTCAAAATCCGATCCTGATTTCACCTCCTAGGTGCCGCCACCATGTGTGTATGCGAGCCGGTGCTCTCGAACATAGCTACGTTTACAAACAACCGCGCACCCGTACAGCTCGTCATCGCTGATTGTAAGACAATCACGGACTCGCCGGGGCTGTCTTCGAACAAGACACCATCGCTGTCTCAAACACAGGCAGCAAGTTCAGTGAGAAGGAACTTCAACTGCACCCGTTAGATCACTGATCAGCCCAAGATCCAGCCCCCAGGCGATGGACCAGCCAACCCAGCCTCACCTGAAGGGTCTCTCCCACGCGGACAGACCGGTGCTCGCCACCTCGTTCCGTGATAGTCGGCACGCATGATGAAGGCGCGGCAGCGGCGTCGTCGTCAAGCAAGAATGGCCTGGGCGGGATGTGGCTTTGCCGCCGTTGGTCTTCGGGACGGGCCTGGACCGTTCTCGAAATTCTCTTTGTGTGTTTCGGATACTAGTCAAGTCTCCCGTGATGCCTGAAATGCCCGAGTCAGGCATGAAGCGAGACGGTGGCAGGCATGGCTCGAGAATCAACTCCGCAAAAACTGGCAGGACCGCTCGTCCACAATGTCAAGCAAGGAAATGGGCCTTTCCCCAAGGCCCTCTTCCGGGTCCAGAATCGAAACATACATATACCTAGCATCACAGCTTGGTAACTAAAACTAACTAATGCGGGCGGATACAAAACCACCTTAGAGGGCGACGATCGGCGGCCAGGGGGGCAGGGGAACGGCTGGTTCACTTTCATCAGCACCAGCAAAACTGGCGGTGATGTCCAGTTCGACGCCACGAACTCTCTGTTTGGATTCGAGTCTCATCTCAACGGGCTTGGCCCGCTCCGCTCCGCATTCCTGCCCCTCGTTTCCAGCCAGATGGGACGACTTTTTTGCCGTCGGGTGGGCCCCCCCTTCAGAAAAGAGATCGTGGAGTTCCAGGCCTTCTTTCCATGGGTCCTTCGTGCGTTGGGGCCTTTCTGTCAGGCTGAGACTCGGTCTTGGCTGATACATTCGTTGCATTGCGTGTGGCGAACAAAAAACAGTCAAAAACTGTTTCGCGGACGGGAGACTTCTTCAAGTGGCATGTGCGAGGCGAGGCATGTGTGCTCGTAACCAAGGGCCGAGACATTGGACACGGAGCTGGAGTGTGTCTCTGCGATGGGGCGACGGCGGATGACCGTTACATGACCTCGCACACCGGGCGACTTCCCAAGAACGGACGGGGACGGAGTACAGCGAGGTGGATTTGGGTCGACTCGCTCTGGCAGATTTCATTGTCGTCAACTCATTGCGGATCAATTAGAGCCGGTTTTGCTATGCCATCACCCACAATGCTTTGACCGGACGACGAGACGGGGCTAACTCTGAAATTTCGTCTGTCCAACCCAAATAACCAAGTCTATGTGAAGTACAACGGCGAGTGCCCGGCGGCCCTCCCCTTCCCCCCTCCAGCGAAGCTCCCCATCTCCTTTATCCCAACCCTTCTCTACACCCCGCTCACATCATTGTCACCCACCAACGCATCCCTAATTTCCAACGTCACCCTCCCCTGTTGGTGTTGGTCCTCCGCCCCCTGCACCAACCGGACCGAAGCCAGATCCCGGACGACCCAGTCGGGCCCGGCGCTCAGCACCTGCTCGGCCGTGTGGCTGGTGACGACGGCGAGCACCTTGCAACCGGCGGCCTTACCGGCGCGAATCCCCGCGGGGCTGTCCTCGAGCACCAGCACACTCTTGTCGGCGCCGCGCAGGCCGAGGCGCTCGCGCCCGAGCAGGTAGCAGGACGGATCCGGCTTGCCGTGGGCGACCGACTCGGCCGTGACGAGGTGTGGCGGGGCAGGGAGGTCGAGGACGTCAAGCCAGCCGGTTACGAGGGGAAGCGTCCCCGAGGTGACGATGGTCCAGGGTGCGGACCGGGCAATGAGGTCCTGGAGGAGGGACCTCGCGCCGGGGATCTCGACGGCGTCGGCGCCGTGCAGCTTGGGGAGGAGTCCCTCCATATACTTGACGTCTGTTGCATTCCGTTCCGTCAGTTTGTTCGCCAAAAAGGGGGCCTACAGTTTGGGTGGGCAAGACAGGTGAGCGGCTCTGCCGGGACAGCAGCCATCCACCCCCTTTCCAACATGATATTTGGCAGTCATGGTTTCTGGTACACTGCGCTGTTGGATTTGCTCACATTCCCAGTTTGCCTTTTCTGGGGCCAGAAGCCCGAGCGTGTCTATGGTTCTTCGCCCGTGAGAAGTCCTAGATCCGCCAGGTCAGCACTCTCCTCATCAAATGAAACCAGTGCAGCTGAATTGGCCCCGTGGTGGGTGCACTCACTGGAGGATCACTGCCGGGTCGACTCCTATTTCCTTGCCGATCCTGTTTGACTCCCGAGGCGGTTAGCCAGGCCGTGGAAGGGGCCCAAGAAAGAAGGTCAGAGTGGACCCACGTTTCCCAGTGCTTGATGACTGCATTAGTCGAGTCGATGATAGTGCCGTCCATGTCGAACAGCAGGCCGTCGAAGGTGATGGTCTTGGGTGGCGCCGAGAAGGGCGATACTGCCGGTTCCGTGCTTCCCATCTTCGGGGGCCTGTGATGCGGTCCAAGTGGGATGAGATGTTTCTGGCGATGCCCGAGTTCAGTTCAAGAGAGCGGGATTTCTCTTCGACGTCAATACGAACAGTTAAGCACAATATCTTAGGGCAGTTGTATGGTTTCACCTAGTGAGCATGTAGAGCTATGAAGACTTGAATACTTCAGAGAGTAAGAGGAGTTGAATACTTGTCAAAGCAACAGGCGAGTTCGGGTTATGGACTCAACGCCGGCAGATCGGGTCGGGATGTTGTCGGAATGTCCTCTAGCAGAAAGCCAGACCACGGATCTAACCAAATGAGTAACTCCGCCGCGGTATACAATTCCAATCCCTAACCCTTTGATTTTCTAACCGCACCCGTTTGCGCAGGAGTACGGATCCGTAAAGTAACTTGGGCCATTCTTGAAGCAAGATATGATGTCCATTCGGCCCGTTGCTGGATCCTTGGAGCCGAAGGACCGTGGAGTTGCTCGGCGAAATCGGTGATCAAAAGTGGGGTGTATTTCTATCCTTGGCGCCGCGGATGAGGGGCGATGTGTGGGTTCCTCAAGCTGATAAGCACTATCGGGGCGGTGAGCACTGGCACAAAGGTTTCTGCTGCAGAAAACTGCCATTTTGATCGTAGCTCCAGGTAAGGTATGTCCTGGTGCCAATACACACTCTACACCGAGAGGGAACCGCAAGTTCATAACGATGGCCGGGTCAATAAACAAGCCAAAAAGTCAGTCAACAATCTTGCATCTGCCTGTACCTTTTAAATTTCTGATACTAATAAAAACACCAGAGCCCAAGTCCAAGCGGACACCGGTCCGGCTGCGGCACAAGATCGAAAAGGCGTCGGCCGCGAAGCAGCGCAAGGCGAGGAAGCTGGCCAAGAAAAACCCGGAATGGCGGAGCAAGCTGAAGAAAGACCCGGGTATCCCCAACCTGTTTCCCTACAAGGAGAAGCTGTTGCAACAAATCGAGCAGACCCGTGTCCGGAAACAAGAGGAGCTGCAACGCCGCCGCGAGCTAGCCAAGGCTGCCAACTGGGCCCAGCCCGACAAGAATGAGGATGAGGAGCACATGGACGAGGATGGAATTGCCGATGAGTCTCTGGAGGGAGAGGACATGGACGACGCCATGGACGAGGACGCCAGCGACATTGACGAATCCAACCCGCTAGCCGCCCTCGTCGCCAGCGCCAGGAAGGCCGCCGAGCAGTACGAAAAGGAGTTGCAGAGCGGCAACGAGATGGATGATGACGAGGACGATGACGATAATAGTGAGGGCGAGGGCGAGGGAGGTGTCATTGAGGTCCAGGGCGGCGCTTCGTCCCGCAAGGCCTACGACAAAGTGTTCAAACAGGTGGTTGAGCAGGCCGATGTCATCCTGTACGTCCTGGACGCGCGCGATCCCGAAGGCACACGGTCCCGCGATGTCGAGCGGGCCGTCATGGCCGCTGCCGGCGGCGGAAAGAGGCTCATCTTGATCCTCAACAAGGTCGACCTGATCCCGCCGCCCGTCCTGCGCGGCTGGCTCGCCCACCTGCGCCGCTACTTCCCTACTCTCCCACTGCGGGCGTCCAACCCGGCACCCAACGCCCACACATTCAATCACCGCGACATCACGGTGCAGAGCACCAGCGCCGCTCTCTTCCGCGCCCTCAAGTCGTACGCCGCCTCGCGCAACCTCAAGCGCGCCATCTCGGTCGGTGTCATCGGCTACCCCAACGTCGGCAAGTCGAGTGTCATCAACGCCCTCCTCTCCCGCCTGGGCGGGAGCACCCGCAGCCAGCGCGCCGCCTGTCCCGCCGGCGCCGAAGCCGGCGTGACGACCTCCATCCGCGCCGTCAAGATCGACAACCGCCTCACGCTGCTCGACTCCCCGGGCATTGTCTTCCCCTCCACCACCGGCTCATCCTCCTCCACATCCACCACCACCTTCATCCCCAAGAACCCGACCGAAGCGCACGCCCACCTGGTCCTGCTCAACGCCGTCCCGCCCAAGCAGATCGACGACCCCGTCCCGGCCGTGAGCCTGCTCCTCCGGCGACTGTCCGCCACGCCCGACCTGATGGACCGCATGGCCAAGGTCTACGACTTGCCGCCGCTGCTGTCCGACCCCCAGAGCGGTGACCCGACCATGGACTTCTTAATCCAGGTCGCCCGCAAACGCGGCAGGCTGGGCCGCGGCGGCGTGCCCAACATTGCCGCCGCCGCCATGACCGTCGTGACGGACTGGCGGGACGGGAGGATACAGGGCTGGATTGAGCCGCCCGTCTTGCCCGTGGCTGGCGTTACTGCTGTGAAGGGGGCGACGACCAAGATTGCGGATGAGGAGGTCATGGCAGATCAGAAGGAGATTGTTACCGAGTGGGCCAAGGAGTTCAAGTTGGAGGGGTTGTGGGGAGGTGATGAAGGGGCGGCGGATGAGGGGAATGAGATGGAGATGCAATGATTAGGTAGCTGCAGCTTCCCGAGAAGGGGCTATGGTGTTGGGAGACCAGCCTGATGTCGAAGTGCCCCCAGTCTTACTCGAGGCGTTCTGGCGTCAACAATGGGGAATATCATAGGGACAGTTGATAAATTTGATTCCAGATTCGGATGGTGAACATACGCGACAGCGTTACTCTGAATTCATGTTGTTCCTTCCCATATACAAGCACGATTCGAACAGACACGCCGCTTGTCACACACCGCATCCACACTAAATAGGTATGTCCCATGTCTGGCAGCTATCACAGTGGAAGGAGGGCTATTTGCGTGGGTAGGTAGGCACCTGTCAAGTTCTCTTTCTCCAGAAAAGGGTATCGATCTCTTTACGCAACACATCGGCTCTGAAACATGGGAGACGGAAAAATACTAAGCTAGGTACTGGAACGGTAATAGATAGAAGACCGAATGTGCCAGAAAAAAGGCAAGAAGCTTATTGAGGAAAAGAATAAGAGAAAAACGTAGTAGTGATAGATAATCAAGCCCCGAGCCCCGGGTTATAAAAACAAAATCGCCAACACCTAGCTAGCCCTCCCCAAAGCCGACGACGCCAAACGCACACACACCTGTCAGGAGCCACCTAGTTTGCATCAAGCATTTATTATATATTCAAGACCCATCCCCACCAAAAGCACCCCGCATAGACGACGTCGCAGTGTTGGGCGTGTTCTGCATCGAGCCACTGGCATCGCTGCTCGGCGTGGCCGGCTCGACAACGCGATTTCTAATAGTCATTATCCACTCGTGCTGCAGCAGCTCGACGGCCGTGTCGCGCTTCTTGGAGTCCCTGACGAAGCAGCGCTTCAAGAAGTCGATCCCTTGTGGGCTGAGCTGGTCCGGCGACGGCAGCTGCGGCGGGTTGCCCTGCGCGATGTTGTACATGATGGCCCACTCGTTGTCGAGGTTCGCCCACGGCCGGCGGCCCGTCGCCATCTCGAGGATGACGCACCCCAGCGACCAGATGTCGACGGCGCCAAAGTGGCCCGGGTTCTCGCCTTTGATCACCTCGGGGGACATGTACATGGGCGTGCCCGTCATGGACCGGTTGGGCTTGGTGCTGGCGAGGTCGTTCACCAGCGTGCGGCCCTGCCGGGCGATGAGCTTGGCGGCGCCAAAGTCGACGTATTTGATGATGCCGTTGTGATCGAGGAGAATGTCTGCGACGCAGTTAGCATACTGAGTTTTCCCTTTTCGGATTAGGAATTAAGGGAGGAAAAGATGCTTACTCTCTGGTTTGATGTCGCGGTGGGCAATCTTTAGCTCGTGTAGGTAGGCCAGACCCTCCAGGAGCTGCAGTGCGTACACCATGATGACCTGTTCATCCTCGATCCGGCCGTGTTCCAGCAAATTGGCCAGCGAGCCGCCAGAACAGAACTCCATGAACATGTAGACGCGGTCTCGATGGACCTCAATGCCGTAATACGACACGACATTGGGGTGGTCCACCGTCTCCAACACACGCATCTCGTCCCTGATCTGCCCGGCGATGTTGGGGATCAATTTGGGATCCTGTAGGCGGATCTCCTTCACGGCCATCAGCTGGCCCGTGTCGAGGTTCATGGCGGCGTAGACGTTTCCGAACGTGCCGCCGCCGACAAAATGGCCCTGCTGCCACCTCATGGTGAAGTTGGTTGCTGTAGAAGACAGCCACGCAAGCGAGCGGTCCACCTCGTTGGAGATTTCCAGAACCCGGCCCATAGCCGAGCGCTCCAGGAGGATTTGTCTCCTGTACTCGTCGATCTTGGCCAACTCTTCGAGACGGTGTTCTTCGACGTATTTGGCAGCAGTTTGGTCATCCACGCCCTGTCCCTTGTTGAACCGTTTCAGCTGCACCATGAGGGCCTCCATCCGTAGCTTCTCGGCCTGTGCGGCGACACTGGACCTGGCGCCCATGATGTCGAAGTGCGAGATCAAGAGCGCCATGCAACCGGCCACCTTTGCCCGCAGCTTGGCGTATTCGTCATCACCAAGGGCCAAAATGTGCCTTCCCCTCGTCATCACCATGGCGAACTCAAGGGCTTGCACCGCCCAGCGGAACGTTTTGCGGTCCGAGGAGATGCAATCGTCGCAGATAAAGCTCACCCAATCGAGCGCGAGCTTGGTGAGCTTCATGTTGTTCATGGTCCGCCTGTTGTTGTCCATGTACAATAGCGAACGCTGGCCAAACTCGGTGGCAAAGATGAAGCACGTCTGGATCAGTTCCTGGCAGTTGAGGCCCCGGGTTTGCCGCCGGATGGTTTCGACGCTGTCCATGAACGCGTTTGACAGCTTGAAGCCAACCTTGCGAATCTCCATGAGCCGGACGTTTACTTTTTGTAGGCTGGACCTCTGCTCCACGATGAGGTCAATGGGCATGTCTACGGCGTCCAGGAAGGCCTTCCGAGCGTTCACCAGCCGCGCTTGTGAGCCGCCCGCTATGAGCCTCATATGCCCGAGCTTGATGTCCAGCGGCTCGTCTCGCACCGCAAGATGGAGCTTTGCTCCAAACCAGGCGGGAGGGTCCTCGGCCCTGATGATGAGGATGTAGGGATCCGATGGGTCTTCGGTGATCGTTTCGTACGAGAAAGTGCTCATCAGCAGCTGGATGTCGGAACCGCGGCCATGTAAGCTGGGGGACGCAATCATGAGGACGCCCGCATGCTCCGGACTTCCGGTTAAGACCTGGAAATGGCCCGACTCAACCAGACGGTCGAAGAGTTCTTGAAGCTTGTCCGGACCGAAGGCAACGGTGAAATCACACGCATTTTCGTAATTGTCGCTGAGCATCCTTGAGAACCTCTGCAGCATGCGTTGCCGCACGCGGACGGAATCAAGGATCTGCTTGTATCGCTTGGTCATCTCCGAGACACTCTCCTTGGGTCTCCTCTGCAGCTCCTTTTCGAAGGTTTGGCTGAGTCGGTTGAACGCCTTGTAAGTTAGGGAGCTGAACTGCTCCGCAACCTCGACGTCTCCGTGCGTTAGATGGCTTCCGATTTCGTTACCAAATTCCCATTCTTGGAAGAGCAACTCGGCTTCTTTGAAGGTGTTTTTGTTTCCGCTCAGCTTCCAATTCAGCATCTTGAAGTAGTACTTCAGTGCATCTAGGATGACGCGGTCAAAGTCTTCGTCGATGCACGGCGGCAAGTCCCAGCCGGGCTCGGGCTGAGAGATAGCCATGTACTCTGACTTAATCTTGATGGCCAACTTGAGCAGGACCTGGAACTGAGAGATCATCTGCTCTTGCATCATGGGATTCTGCTGCGCCGACTCCTTCATCTTCTTGGCATAGGCCAGCCGAACCTTGATAATCTCTTCGATGAGGCGAGAGGGGAAGCAAATAAGCGTGAGCAGCTCCTCTATGTAGGGTGGCAGGTGGCGTTTCTGGAAGGCATCGGCGTTCATGATCAGAGTGTCCTTGGCCTTGGTGATGACCATGGAGATGCTGTCCAACATGCTCTTCTTCCTAAGATTCTTTCCGTCGCCGCCGCCGTTGTCATCGTGCAGCGACTTCAGACCCTCTTCTTTCATTAACCGGTCCAAGAAGGACGTTTCGTCACTGAGCCGGCCCGAGGTTTCCTTAAATCTTTGAAAGTCCAGATCGTCGTTCCCGACCCATTTCTTCAAGATAGACAACTCTGTATTGATCATTTCGTTGACGTTGTGCCAAGCGACGACGGCCTCGCACGTCTCTCGGTAGGCATCGTATGTGGAAGGCTTGAGCGCTGCGATCAGTGCGGTGTTGGAGGGGTAAAGACCTTCGATCTTTTCAATCTTTGCGATAGCGTCGCGGACCTGTTCGATTGGGGGCTTGCCGGCTTCGCTCTCGCCGGCAATGGAAAAGTTAATGACTTCGTCAATGGAGCGGTCGACGGAGGCCCGCGCCTCCTCAATCATCCTTCGCTGAACGGGCAGGTGTCTTCCGCAGACACGAGCGCGTATTCCCAGCCAGAGCTCGGCCTTGTGGGCGCTCTTGCCAAAGTCCTCGTCGGCGGATCCGATGAGACGCTTCTTCTCCTGCCGCACCACATCGCCAGTGAGTACGGCCTCGAGCATGCCGTGCCACTCGAGCCGCTCGCGGCTGTGGGCATCTTTCAAATCCTCCTCGGTGATCTGGCTCCCCTCGGTATTGACGAACATGATGTGTGCGTCGTCATAGCTGTCAAAGGGTCCTTCGGAGGAGGGTGTCTCGCCCTCCGAGTCCGAGTCGTATTGCTGTTCCGAGGAGCCATATGTGTCAAAGTAATCGCCATAGTTGTCTTGCTGGCGCAACCTCCGTACGTATTCTCGTTCCTGAGCGCGAAATGTAGAGGTTCCTACCGCCCGCGGCCGCGAGGCGTCTTTGATATGGAGTCCGCCGTTGCTGGTAAAAGAGGACGTCCCGGGCTGGTTGGGTCTCCGTTGCGTGTAGGGTTGGTAGGTGTTGGAAGGGGTCCTGACAGGGCCAGTGGGACGTTGGGAACGCGGTGCTGGCCCGTTGGAATATGAGGAAGGTTCGGCGGTGGCACGCTGGTGGGTGCCGGCGCTATTTGCTGAGTTGCCGGGCGGGTGCTGCTGCACAACGGCGGGATGTGCCGCCTCGACGTATCGGCCGAGCGACCCAAAATTATCTTGCTGGTCCATCACATGGGTGTTCAGATGTAGCTCCCCCACGGAGCCCGAGGACGCCGAGTTATCCGAGTCAGACATGACGGGCACAGGGCGGTAGCCGTTCTTGAGCTTGTCTGGCCGGGCATGGCCGTCATCGTCGGGTTGTGAGAAGCGCAAGTTGCGGGGCGAGGGTTCGGTTGCCATCCGGTCGACAAACAGATAAATGGACGCGCGGTCTTAGCAATCCCTAAAGTAGGGCCGACGGAGCAAGTTCAGCACGGTCGGGGGGCGCGGGGGG